AGCCGCGCGGCTCACCGTCACTCTTTTTTGGCAAATATTGTTAACCATGCACTCAGCTTGGTCGTCATCACTCGCTGTGGCTGCCCTTTGGGCTTCATGCATAGTCCACGCGCAGACACCTTACAAGGTCCAGACGCCGCCTCTCGACACTGACTGGACCTACACGGTCGGCACTGACCCATGGCCTGAGCATCCTCGGCCTCAGCTCCGCCGCGAGGCCTGGCAGAGCCTCAACGGCCTCTGGACGTGGAGAGCTGCTGCCAGCCCTGGCGATGTGGGCAGTCCTCCCAAAGCAGGCCCTCTTGACCGCGAGGTCTTGGTGCCATCTTGCATTGAGAGTGGTCTCTCCGGTCTGCAGATTCTCGATGTCCGCGACATGTGGTACGAGACCACATTCGACGTGCCTAGTGACTGGAAGGGGCAGCAAGTCCTGCTCAATTTCGAGGCCGTCGACTATGAGGCCACCGTCTTTGTCAATGGCGTCAAGAAGACGACCCATGTCGGCGGGTATGCGCGATTCACCGTCGATGTGACGGACAATGTCAAATTCGGCGGCTCCAACGACTTGTAAGCCCCACGAGGACTTGAGCTCGGGGCGTCGACTAATATGACCACGCAGGCTCGTCTTTGTGTCTGATCCGACTGACTCGGCCGTGATCCCTGTTGGCAAGCAGACCCTGAACCCTAGCCACATCTTCTACCGCTCTTGCTCGGGCATCTGGCAACAGGTGTGGATCGAGTCCGCCCCTAAAGATCACATCAGCCGTCTCGATGTCGCGGCTGACATGGATGGCCAAGGTAGGACCTTCTTACGACCTGCGAAAGCGAGAGCATGTGCTGATGTGTACCTTCACAGTGACTGTCAATGTCTTGTCCTCTGCACAGAAGAGCGCCAACGTCGAGGTCAAGGTGTTTGGCCGCAATGGCTCTGAGATTGCATCGCAGACCGGCTCGGCTGATGAGCAGTTCACCTTCACTGTAGAGAACCCTGACCTGTGGTGGCCCGACTCTCCCACTCTGTACAACCTCACCGTGACTCTGGGCGACGACGAGGTCAACAGCTACACGGGCTTCCGCACAATTTCCAAGGGCGAGGTCGAAGGTGTCATGCGACACCTACTCAATGGCGAGTTTGTCTTCCAGTTCGGTACCCTCGACCAAGGGTACTGGCCCGATGGCTTGCACACCCCGCCCAGCCGCGAGGCCATGGTGTACGACCTTCAAGTCCTCAAGAATTTCGGCATGAACATGCTCCGCAAGCACGTGAGCTCAGCTCTGCCCCCCGACACCCCTCCAAGACTGACCATTGGCGCAGATCAAGATCGAGCCCGATTTGTTTTACGAGGCCTGCGACCGCATGGGCCTTCTCGTTATCCAGGACATGCCGGCCTTGTCGGCATCCAAAACCCCCAACGACGAGGAGCAGGCCGAGTTCCAGCGTCAGCTCGAGTTGATGATCAACGAGCACAAGAGCTACCCATCCATCTACTCCTGGGTCATCTACAACGAGGGCTGGGGCCAGCGCAATTCAGACCCAGCTCCAGAGGGAGGTCTCACAGAGGTCATCCGGAAACTCGATCCCACACGGCTCATCAATTCCATCAGCGGCTGGAACGACCATGGCTACGGCGATTACCATGTGAGCAGAGCAGAGCGGCGCAGGAGGCGTGGTCAGTGTTGCACGACAGGCTGACTGACATCTTGGTAGGACAACCACAACTACGCGCACCCGCAGTGTGGAACCCCATTCTACTCGCGGCCAAAAACGCCCTATGACCCTGAGCGGATTGGTTTCCAGGGCGAGTACGGTGGTATTGGCCACAACGTGTCCATCGAGCAGTGAGTAGCACACAGCCAACACAAACTGCTGGACCCGATCGCTAACTTGGTGTGCGCACAGCCTGTGGAACGTCCAGGCCGCCATTGATACCATTCCCGAGACGTACGAGATCAACGAGGACCTCGCGTCATACAGTTACCGGTCCATGGTGTTGTTCCGCGACCTTCGTGAGCAGACGGAGCGCTACGCCTGCAGCGGTGCCGTCTACACGCAGACGACAGACGTGGAGGGCGAGGTCAACGGACTCCTGACGTACGATCGTCGCTTCATGCGGCCGGATCTCGAGCAGTGGCAAGAGGATATCCAGAGCCTGTACGAGGCTGCGGCGTCGCGCGGCGGACGGCCTGTTGGCGGCGGTAAAGTCAAGAACTAGTCTTTGTTCAAGTGTAGCGAGGCTCATGTGTGATAGACGCTCCAATCGACCCAGCTGCGCTTCTGAGGCACGACACGATGCAAAGGCTGCAGGCTACGCGACCATGATCGTCGATGTCGAGTGAAATGACGTCGTAGGATGCGACCGCTGCGCCGGGGCTCACTCGAGTCTGGCGGAGACGATGAGCACCTGATGGCTAACTTGGACGCCGAGCCGCACATTAAGCAGGCGTGCGGTACCCGAATATCTTATGTTGAGACTGAAAAACATCGCAAGGCTACTGGAGACTGAAGTGGATTTGGGACATGGACCTGGGGCGATGGTGGGGCGCTATAGAGCAGTAAGTAACTTTTCCGCACCTCGCAATTATTATCCTGCACATGACAAACAACATGAACTCTCTCTATGAGATCTTGACATGCAACGAGATATGGAATAGCGACACGGATACTTTCAGTCATCGGGCTATTGTCCTACACCGCGACGGACAGTTCTTCTCAGCATGTGATCCCCAGCGTAAAGGGTCCATCGACCAGAGTCAATTGAACCCCGAGCCGATTCCCGTTGCTCACTTTCGAGCACCTTTCACGGCGGAACTCACAGTGGCGCCAGAAATGCATTTACAGGATGAGCAAGTCTACGTCAAGGAGCCGCAGCTGATAGGCTACGGCATGTGTTCGTCAGCCGAGAAATCAACTTTTTATGAAACCCAGCTCCAAGAGATTCAAGTTTACGAGCTTCTACGGTTGAGACCGCATCCAAACATCGGTCTCTACCATGGGTGTATCGTCGAGGACAACCGCATACGAGGTCTCAGCCTTCGCCGTTATCAACGCACCCTCAAAGATGTTGTGAAAGAGGAGGAGCCGAGTTACAAACAACGACAGGTATACTTGGAAGATATCAAACGGGCCGTTGCGCATTTACATGGCTTGGGGCTTGTCCACGGTGATTTGAATCCCTCCAATGTCATGGTAGACCATAATAATCGCGCCGTACTCATTGATTTCGACTCATGCCGGCCGGCAGGCAAGCAGATGGGGCGGAAGGGGCGAACGTGGGGATGGTGCTCTGATGGATTCCCAGATACTGCCGAACTGGAGCATGATCAAGTTGCGCTGAAGCGGTTAGAGCAGGATCTGTTGGGTGGGGGCAGCATTGAGGAAGAGAAAAGATAAAAGGGGGTCTAGCGCATTCAGGGTGAATCCTTTCACTGGGGACCGCCGACAATTGTAGGTGAGGGTTGATCATTAACTTGCGGTCAAAAAGCCAACGCGTGGTGGACGTGAAGAATCGTACCTTGTAGAGGGTTTTTCCAGTCGCTTCCTAATAAATTCCACGGCTCTGGTCCGGCGATTAAATAACAGCCACATAAAGTACCAAGTTAGGCTGCCTAGCGCCGCAAAAGACGGCCAATCAATAGCGCGTACTCTGTTCGACCCCTGAGCAGCTTGTGGAGGTGGAGGTGGCTGGTGGCGGCACAGGCTCTCGCGCAGCAACACTTCTGGACTAGCTTGCTCTGTTGGTGGAAGCTCCACGCCAGCAACAGCCTCGAATTGGGTTCTTTTGCAAGTTAACCACGCACCTCTCAACAGGTACAGTAGTTAGGGAGGCCAATGTGAATGAAGCCGAATACTCGTCTGCAAAGGACCTACGGCCATTGCTTCATAGGAGCGTCAATCTGGCCCTCGAGCGTCAATTGACGAGGTCTATTTTACCCTGTAGCCCCATGGACATTTGACGAGCAAACGGGGAAGTCGCCGAGGACGTGAACCAGTGGACACCGCACGTCATGTTACAGTAGGCTACTTTCAGGCAAGCTCTCAACAGGCACAGGTGAGGCACAGCAAGCGATGACTGGAGGAGCTGCATAGTCCCTCTGCGAAATCCTGCACATCTCCAGTATTTTAGGATGCATCCCTGCACAGCCTCGTCAGCCCAACAAGTCTCGGGCGACATGGAGCGCTGCAGCCTGTCTGTCCTCTGTCGACTGTCGACTGTCGCAGGCTCACAACGCCAGGCGTGAGACACCCGCTAAAAAATGGCACCGCCCCCCCCCCGCGCCAGGTTTCAGCCTAGGCTGCCTAACAGATCGCTGTGGCGAGCGTACGGCGCAGTGCTAATGGTCCGAAGCTGCGCAGCGCCAGCACGAATAAGCGGCAGGCGCGCCCCCCGCCCCTGCATGGACGGTCCCGCACAAGGCCCGCACAAAAAAAGAAGACGGTAATTACGATTGTGCATGCGCGTCCAGGGATCAGCTCCAGTCGCTCCACCACCAGGCGCAAACTCATCTCCAGTCACTGTCAGCTGTCATCTCCCTTCTGATTACCTTGCCTGTTTCCCAACCGGCCGCCGTCAGCCGGCTACAGTACCAACACGCTCGCTTTTCTCCTGCCCGACTCTTCTCCCATCCCATCTGCTAATTGTCGATTGCCTGGCCTCGATCTCCGGGCATTGACTGTTTCTTGCGACCTGACCTGCCTCGAGCCATCCCTCCTTCCCTCCTGAGGCTCGAATCCGACGACGCACATCCTAGGGCCGCATATCAACAGCGCAGCGCGCTTCGTCCCCTCGTTCCACTTCGTCTCGGTACCCGGTTTGATGCTCGGGACTCTCAAAGACCCTTTCGCCTATGATCGGGATCTCAATGGGGTCGACGAGGTCCTCTTTCTTGACCCCGAGTCTGTCAACGCCAGCATGGTCGCTCTAAAGGACCATCCAGCAGCGCGCGTCCGTCGTTCACTATGGTCCTGGCTTCCGTTCACGCGTCAAAAGAAGCCATGGTACATGTACTCTCCGCCATCCTATTACATCCAGGTCCCGCGACAGACCCCGAATAAGCGGTTTCGACGCGTCGCCTTGATCACGGGCCTTCTCGCCCTGCTGCTCATCAAACTCATGTTCACCCTCTCCCAGGACCGGCCCCACCATGCGCCGTTCGAGACGCCAGCCTCCGACTTGATCGTCCACGGTGAACCGGTCAAGTTCCTGCCGGTGCCCCAATACCCACTGGCGCCCTTTCCCGAATCGCCAATGCACTCGTTGCTGGATGAGCAGAAGCCCCCGTCACCCTGGCTCGTGACCGTCATCAGCCCGGCCACCGACGCGGCCCGTCGCATGCTCATACGCTCGACCTGGATGCACCTGTACCGCGACGTGCCCTTTGACGCGCGCTTCGTCATCTCGAACCCGGGCCCCCAGTGGATGGAGAACATTCGCATTGAGAACCGAACCTTTGGCGACATGATTGTGCTTGACCACATCCCCGAGGATGATGTGACCGCCAATACCATCAAAACCATTGAGCTGTACAAGTGGCTCATTGCGCGGGGACACCACTACGAATTCGTGTCGAAGATGGACACGGACCTGTGGTTCAACGCACGGGGATTCTGGGAGCGATACCTGACGCCCCTGCTCCGGGACGACGACGCGGGGCGGCCTAGGGCGCTCGTCGAGCGCACCATCATCGGCGAGCTGTATTTCTCCAAGCGACACGACCTCGTCTTCCCGCACGGCGCCATGTACACGGCCACCTGGGACATGGTGGAGCTCCTGTCTAAGCTGCAGGACGAGCACAACGTGATCACCGGAGAGGACATGGCGGTAGCCATGCTCATGCTCCGGGGCCGCGAGGTGGCCAACATGATCAACTTCAAGGGCACGGAAAAGTTCGACTACGACGACGGCGACTCGAGAGGCGACGGGACGGCGTGGGCCCGCCGGCGGACGCACCCCAATGCGACGCAGCACGCCATTGCCGGCCAGGACGCGCTCGCCGTGCACCAGCTCAAGGACGAGAAGCTGTTCCTCAAGGTGGCCGACTGCTTCGACGAGCGCGGGGTGCGGCAGGCCCCGACGTCGGGGCCCGAGCGAGAGCCTCCGTTCCGCGTGCGGTGGTGGGACCTGATGATGCGCTTCAAGCTGGTGACGACGTGGAGTTCGCGATTTGACATGATACCCGACTCGTTGTGGAAGATGGACAACGGGAGCTGGATTTGTGATGATATTTGGCGTTTGGGCCGGTCTAGAACGGGATACCTAGAGGAACAGTCCATTTAAGCGAGCATTGTATACTGCTTTTAATTTACACAGACTAATGTCTACTTCTGAAGAAATTGTGTTGATCAACCGCAGGTGTGTGTGTGTGTGTGTGTGTGTGTGTGTGTGTGTGTGTGTGTGACATATTATGAGCATTGTACTATGTAGTCAAACAAGGTCGCTAAACTGGATCAGTCTTGTCAAGGAAAGCAGATATCCATCATTAATCATCAAACATCCCACATGCCCCTCAGAACGCCAGCGCCTCCTTGTTGGCGACCGGGCAGTCCAGGGCACTGCACAGCTTCATGTCATTGTTGCTCGCCGTCGCGGACGAGGGGATCTGCTGGCGGGACGGCCAGATCTCGCGGCCGGCGTCCTGCTCGCGCTTGTGGTGGGCGACCATGTGCTCGCGGACGAGGCGCTGGAAGTAGAGGGGCCCCTTTTCCATGCGCGGGTGCATCTCGCCGTTGACAAAGACGCCCGTGTTGAGGTTCTTTTGGGCGTTGGCGCAGAGGTACTTGTCCTCGGACATGATGCGCTTGTACATGGACGTGATGAGCTCAAAGTCCTCGTCGCTCGAGTTCTTGTTGCGGAAGACCTCGTAGCGCATGACGGAGTTGTTGGGCCCGCTGGGGACGAAGCGCTGGATCATGAAGAAGTGTGGTCTGGGTGGACGGTCAGCCTTTTGTTCTTGGAAAGTATGTGATGAGATGGAAAGAAGGAGACTTACGTGACGTTCATGGAAGCGTTGGGGAAGTAGTAGGAGGCGGCCACTCGGAACCCCTTGGCAATCTGCTCGGGCGTCGGGTTGCCAAAGTGCTGGATGTGCCCCCCCTTTGTCTCGACGCGGTAGCTCTCGAGGTCGGCGATGGAGGGGATGTCCGGGTGGGATGTCTTGCAGTGGTAGCACTCGTTGTAGTTGTCGGCCAGGATCTTCCAGTTGTACTCGCCCTCCATCTCCCAGGTGTGGTCGAACTGGTAGTCGTCCCAGTTGTAAAAGTCGAACCGCTCCTGGGTGTCGACGCCCTCAAGGTCGTCCTTCCAGGCAACCTCGGGCCGCGCGCCGCCATCGAGGTTCACCCAGATGAAGCCCTTGTCGTCAATGTGCACGTGGATGGGGAGCAGACTGCTCTGGGACTTGTCAAAGCCCTCGAGCTCTTGGTAGCCGGGGGCCTTGGCGAGCTTGCCGTTCAGGCCGTACGACCAGCCGTGGTACTTGCACGAGAAGACGTGGTTGCGGCCCGAGTCCGCGGTGACAATGGGGAACGCTCTGTGACGGCAGACGTTGTGGAAGGCGTTGATGTTGCCCTGGCGGTCACGGCAGATGATGAACTCGAAGCCGGCAATGTCATACCGCAGCCACTCGCCATTCTCCTGGAGACGGAGCTTGTGCGTTGTGAGAAGCCACTTTTTGCTAAAGATGGCTCGGCGCTCGAGCTCGTACATCTCCTGAGAGGTGTACCAGGGGGCGGGCAGGGCGCGCACTGGAGCATTGTCGTCTTGGGCGGCCGGTGCTGCCTTGCTTAGGCCAATGTAGTTGAATAACGAAGACATTTGGTATGGTTGATTGTGATTTCCAGTGACGGAAGATGGGTATTGTGGTATAATAGAGAACTTAATTCAGGGGGGAGTGACACTCGTGCGTATCTCTCTCTGCTTTGTACATGTAGTTGGGTCTTATCTTCCAGAGCTCATAGTCTGAACTCTCTTTAATATCCCGTGGCCAGTCCTCTGAGTGCCTCATCATCACTTGGACACCCTGTTTCGGTACACACCTCGTCGTGCGGTGATGTTGACAAGCCGTCGGACACTCTGATATGGCGGCCACGGAGGCCGGTCACATGATCGGAGTAGCCAACCGCAGGCGCCGGACAATACCACGAAAGGCGTTCGTGGCGTTGATACGGGAGTGGCACGGGCAGATTGCGTCTGGATAAACAATCATGGGAGTGCTCAACCTGGTGTTGCGGTGAACGTGCGATGTCGCCCTGGTAGGTCATTTGACGTGAGACCGGCAGTGCAGTCGGCGGACGCAGGGTCTGGCGCCGGTGATGGTGGGAGACCGCCGGAAACATGTAGCATCGTCGTTTTCCATCACGGGCCGTATCGCGATGTACGCGGACGAGACATGGAGTCAGTAAGCACAGGTACTGGTCGTATGACCTGGGTGAAGGCTGTATCCGGCGATGTCCATCAACCACTTCGACTGCTGTGAAATGAAGTCGAGGAGCTGGTCCCCAAAGACGATGCACAAGTCCCGAGATGCTATTGTGGCACGAGAAAAGCCAATTCCCAGGAATAGATCAGCATGTGGCAGCCACATATTCATCTCCCGCGATGGCAGACAAGCTTTCCAAGCTCCAGCAACCCGCTGTGGCGCGCCGCTTTAAGTTAGACGCACTCTGGGATCTTATCATTTTCCCCAATTCCGTGTCCCCAGATTCTGTCTGTTATCTGTCCATTGTGCGAAAGAGACAGGGAGGGCTGGACATCCACGAGTCAAGCTTCCCCTTCTAGCTTGCCTGATCTAGAGTACACGTACGCAGACCTGCATGAAGATGTGCCACTACGGAGGGCCCGGCTTTGACAGAGTTTCATGTACAGAGCATGCAGGGATATTTTGATGCGTTCGTACTGTCATCATGATGAATTGGAGTGGACGGACTGGCAATCCGGGGACTGTGGAGTTGGCCACGGCCACGGCCACGGGAGAGGGACCGGCATGTCTAGACCCGAGCTCGGACACTTTCCATGTCACGGCAAGCACACCTAGATGCCAGTTTAGGGCAGGCGATAGCATATGCTGCATTAGCGTAGATCAGCAGAGCTCGTGCGGAGAAGAGTCAGTCGCCGTTGGCGTGTCACGCTCCAGCGCCAAGTCTGGAATCTGGACTCTGGCGAGAAGCGCCTCCGTCCGACAGACAATCATGGATATCAGCCTTCGCGTTGGCTCTGGCGTCTGCAATGCTGCCCATCTCCGATTAAAGCCACGCCCTGCTAATTATATCATCAAAGATAACCTGGCGTTGGGTCCTTTGGGAACACCAGAGATCCCACGTGATCGGCGTACACTATCGCAGCCGACATCGGCCCTCTGGAGCGCCCGCGTCTAATCAAATGCGCATCGATGTTCGATACCAGCAGGCCAAGGCTCTTGGATAGTTTGTTTGAGCGATCGTGCTGTAGCTGAAGGGCGGAGTGTATCGAGCACACACTGCATGTTCAGTCGAAGTGATTCATATTGCTCACTCAGCTCATCATCAAGACATCTCGGACTCTCACCCTTTGTCCGTCACCCCATCATCAATATCTAGCTGCAACCTCACAATGTCCCGCCCCAAATCATACCTCATAGTAGGCGCGGGCGTCTTTGGTGTGTCTACAGCATACCATCTCATCCAAAAGTACCCCGGCGCCAGCGTCACCTTGGTCGACCGCGACGCCTTTGACGCTGACAGCCGCGTCGCCGCCTCATGGGACTGGAACAAGGCCGTCAGGGCCGACTATGACGATATCGTCTACTGCCAGCTGGCGCTCGAGGCCCAGGACATCTTCAACAACGACCCCCTGTGGAAGCCCTACTTCCACGAGACGGGCGTGTACTGGATGTGCCGGAGTGACTATGGCCGCAAGGTGATTGACAACTACCGAAAGCTGGGGCGCAAGGCGGCGCTGGAGGTTGTCCCCGTGGAGGAGGCGCGCAAGCGGTACGGAGGTCTCTTTGGGGACGCGGACTACACAGACGTGAAGGAGGTGCTCATCAACAAGACCAGTGGCTGGGCGGCGGCTGGTGACTGTCTGCGTGCCGTGACCCGCAAGGCGATGGACCTCGGCGTCAAGTATGAGGTTGCCGATGTGGCAGGTCTTGAAATCGATGCGCAAAGCAACTGTCGGGGCATCACAACGTCCGCTGGCAAAACACTGCGAGCCGACCACGTTATCTTGAGCACGGGCGCATACACACCCAAGCTCCTGGAGCTGTGCGCCGCCAAGACTGGGAGAGACAAACTGTCCGCTGGTGACAGGATCGTTGCTGGTGGCATTACCACGGGGATGGCGAAGCTTGACGAGGAGTCTGTCAAGAGATTCACCGACATGCCCGTCGGGTTCCAGGGATATCCTGCGGACGTTGGCCCTTTCCTGGGCTCTCTACCGCCCACAAAGGACAGACAGCTCAAGTGGTGGGGATGGACCATCTTCAAGAATACGCAAGAGGTTCTGCCCGGTCGATATCTGTCAGCGCCTCCAGCAGAGCCGGACTATGCTCAGTGGAAAGTGACTGGCAAGCTAAAGGAGGATATAAACCACGCCAACAGATCCTTTTATGGCAAAAGGGGCGCCAAATGGACCATGGAGAAACATCGCATTTGCTGGTAGGCCATCTCGTGCGAGTTGTCTGCAGAGAAGACTGACAAATCCCAGGGACGCTTTCACAACGAGTGGTGACTTTATCATCTCGCCGCATCCAGCAGCCAAAGGACTTTATGTCGCGACCTGCGGTTCATTCCACGGGTTCAAGTTTTTCCCGGTGCTGGGCAAGTATGTCGTCCAGATGCTCGAAGAAGCACTTACCCCTGAGCTGGCTGGGCGGTGGGCATGGGACAGGGAGAGACCTGATCCAAAGTATAATCCAGAGTGGCCACGCGCGGAGATGGACGACCTCCGCGATCCGATACAGGCCAAGCTATAGTCCTCTAGAACGGCACTTGCTCGCCAGGTATAGAACATGTGAAGTAATACATGAGCGCTTCTAGTGCTCCATATGACGTTTCGTGGCGAGCGACCTTGGATGTGTACGTGTATGATGCATGCAGCATGACTGTTTCGGGTACTGGCGAACATGAACTGCATTAGAGGCCGCTTTTAGTTCATGTTTCTGATGCGACATAGACCACCGGGCGAGGCATGCATCGGCGGGATCGCCTCGATATGCGGAGTAACATGTCCGCGCAGGCAAGTTGGAGAAGACGGTGCGCGAGCGCATCGCCTCGCATGGCGTGTCACGTCGTGTCTGGTCGCAGTATGTAGCAGCACCCCTCTTGCAATACTTGCCACTGTCTTCAAGGAACTTGGGCATGTTGGTTTGTATCTCCCGCCTTCAATGCACCTGGAGCAGATGGAGGCGTTGGGCATCGCTGCTGGGTGGCCTTTGATGGCACCAGACCGCACTGCAGCCATCGTCGTGGAGGTGCAGGAGTTGTGAGCCCCTGCGTTGCAAGGCCCAGGGAAGAGTGAGAAGTGAACGAGACGAGAAGAGTGAAAGTCAACAAGGACAAGATAAGCAAGACGAATGTCTGTATCGCGAGACGCGTCTTATCTCGACGGCTAGCTGGATGCGGTAAAACCTAGATCAGGCTGGCTGCCTGCCTGCCTGCCTGGCGAGACCCCTCACCGAATTAAAGCAGCACCCGTGACCTGACAATCAGATTCAGGTTACGTACTTATTATATTATCATCACCGACTCTCACCTCCAAGGCTCATTCATCCCTCATCATTGCTGGTTCTTCGTTCAATCACCGTCACCTGCACGGCGCTCGGGCGTCGAGGCTGATCCTAGAGACCTAGACCTACGAGACTCGATGAAGGATGACACCCAGCGTCGAAGATAACGGCGCGGGTCGCGGACGAAGGAGGTCGCATCACGCCTGTTTGCCTTGCCGGTACGTGCCAAAGGCGCTATTGCTACAAAGAGCAAAGGAGAGAATTTACTAACGCTCTCATAGTCGCAAAAAGACAAGATGCCCCGGCGAGAGACCCGCTTGCTCGAGCTGCTCGCGCCTCGGACAGCAATGCTCCTATCCGCCCGCGCCAAGACAAGCACGAGGAAGTCATTCGGTACGAGAGACCAAACAATACACAGATGCCGCAATGACAACGACTGACAAAACACGCAGGATGAAAGACTGGCGCACTTGGAAGAGAAGCTCGATCTCCTCCTCAGTGGCAGGTCGTATCCACGCCCTGTAGCGAAGCCCCTTGCAGACAATCTAACTGGATGCTCAGGCAACGCCGCCCGCCGCATACCCGCCGCCATACATCAGAAAGCATCCATCGCGACGCCTCCGACAAGTCACAGTCTGTCACGCCGCCCGCGCGCGAGCAGAGCGAGCCGCTCAACCACTCGTCCGCCATCACGTTTGAGTCGGACGACTCGAGCTTGCGGCCCAGTCTGTCCGACATTGCCATTGGGGTGAGACTCTACTTTCAATACTGTCACAGACAGCCCATCTGGTGCTTTGACCGCGAGGATGTCCATGACTGCGGCGCCATACCGGAGGAGCTGGCCTGCAGCATCCTCGCCCTGACGTCGCGCTTCCTCGACAACCGCAGCCAGCTGCAGTTCCACGGGGAGACGGCAAAGACTCTGATTATGCTACGCATAGCAAATGGCACGGTAGGCCTCGGAACCGTTGAGAGCTTGTGTCTGTTGTCTTACTCGTCTTTCATAGGTATGTTCTCGCTCCCATGCTCATGCACGTCTTATGTCAGTGACACGTTGACTTATCATGTGGAAGATGGCAACCATCACCTCGGCCAGTTCCATCTGGGCCTTGCGTTCCAGATCTGTCGCTCCGCCATGCTGGATCTTGAGTCATCCTACCGGATGGACGACCCCTTACAGGAGAGGAAGAAGCGGTGTTTCTGGAGCCTGCAGCTCTTGCAGCAGTGCTACGGCCGCCAGGATGGAGTACTGAGCCTGCCCAGCGACATATGGGGCCCCCTGTACGCGCCGAGCAACGGCGGCAGCACAGAGCTGGATCCCACCGTGCCACCGCTGCCGCGAGATGAGCTCGGTTGCGCGGGGCCGCACGAGAACGGCATATGGAATACTGGCGTGCACCTTGCGTGGGTCTGGAGCCAGGTGAGGAAGTATGTCACAGACTGCGCGCACAACGTCCTGCGCGAGCCCTGGCGGCGCGACTCGCCCTATGCCAAGGTCATTTCCGACTTTATGGAGATTGAGAACAGGATACCCGTGTCTCACCGGTACGACACGGCCAAATTCTACAAGCGAAAGGTCGAGGAGATCAAGGTCAACCGGGACTACTGGGCGCCGTGGTTGAGAGAGCAGTTCACGTACCACGCCATCCACACGGTCATGAACCACCCCTTTATCTACATTATAGGGGCACAGCACAACCCCAACCTGGCGATACCCAACACCTTCTGGAAGCGGTCGTCCGAGCTGGCGCTGCTGCACGCAACCTGGATCGTCCGCATGATCGACATGGTGGTGGACAAGCAGGTACCGCTGGCCGATCCATTCTTCGGACACGTCGCGGCGATCGCGGCCACGGTGCATCTATACTACTGCTGCGCCGCGGCCGCACGATTAAAGCACAAGTCGAATGCCGACTTTTCAAAATGCAGGAGGTTTCTCAAGAATTTTATCCCCTACTCGGCAGCATGTGCCGGACTGGTATGGACATCCCACAAGCTTGTGATGGGGAAATGAAACGCTGACAACGGCTACAGGACAGGAACCTCGACAAGATGACACGCATGGCGGTAGGACCAGAGAGCATGGACGTCGAGGACTGGATGCCTTCCAAAATTTACCTCAGCATCCCCCTCATGTGGGAGACGCTGCGTTTCACCACGGAACAGGGATCGCTACCGAACCAGAGCCCAGGCATACTAGACGGCTCACTGATCCCCCCCCTGTCTCACGAGGACACGGACGAGGACTCGACCATTGAGATTATCGTCGCCACGTCGCCAGAAATCATCATCAACACGGCCGAGGGCGGGCAAGAGGCGCCCTCCTTCTCGCACCGCGGACCGGGTCAGCCCTCGAGGAGTGCAGGATGGAACAGCCAGAACACTGTCAACACGGGAAGCAACCAACAGCCCCAACACCTTGGAACGAGCGGCAGTGGCGGCGGCGCCGGGAGCAGCAGCAGCGGCGGTGAAAAGCACGGGGAGCAGATGGACTTTCTGAGCTTCAACTTTACCCCCTGGCTGTACGCCGACTCGGCGCAGTTTGCCAACATGGGCGACATGGGGCTGGCCGACCCGCAGCCTGCGATGCCCGAGGACAGGGGCTCTGCGTGGTGGCAGGGCGAGAACTTTAGCAATATCATGTTCAATCATTTCTGAGGGAGAGCGCGTGTAGAGTAGAAGCGTTGGCATTTCGGGAGTTTTCCTTCCTGTTGTACATATAGACTAGGCTGAAAGGACGCCCCTGGACGAGCATTGTTCCAAACATAACCACAATACTTGATTCACAAGACCCCGGTGTTCGAAGGCTTTGTGTCAGTGAGCACGAGCAAGCGCATTGAGGAGGATGCCCGAGATCGGACCTCCCAGCAGCACGCGTTGCGTAATGCGTCCAACATGAATGGACGGAGTCTAATGCTTCAACACCTCCAGGCAGTCGAATTTGGCGACCGTACAACACGACACCTGACCGCTGCCGACGAGCCCAGACCTGTGCTGATACACCCCATCGTGCGTCAGCCACCCTCCCGTGTCCTCCATCCTCCGTCCATCACGAAGCCAGCATGCACCTCTCGTGAGGATCTTCACCTGAATTTGGAGAATGGCTACCCCGCATTCTAGTCTAGACCCCTTATCATACCGACCGATATGCAGCCGCTTCTAGACGCAAGCAACGACACGTCTCTGGACCACTATCAGGCGACCTCGCGCACGCACGGCGCCGATGCGCATAGGCCGATCACGTGAGCGCATCGCCTCTACCATCTCATGCTGATCAGATAGACATCGTGATCAAGGATAAGGAGATGATATGTTGATGGTATCATTGATCTTAAGAAGCCGTGCAACATGGTGCACTAATCATTGCCCTCCCTGACATCCAGCCTGGTTTGGCTGCTTGTCTTTGTCTTTCACACACAGAGGCACACCTCACAATGACGATGGACAAGCGCGTGGTGATCATCGGTGCCGGCATCGTGGGCACAAACCTGGCGGACGAGCTCGTCTCGCGAGGATGGACCAACATCACTGTCGTGGAGCAAGGGCCGCTTCGTATGCCGGGTGGCTCGACGTCGCATGCTCCTGGTCTCGTGTTTCAGACCAACGCCTCCAAGAGCATGACAGAGTTCGCCAAGTACACCGTCCAGAAGCTCCTCTCCATCGACTGCTTCAAGCAGGTGGGCGGCCTCGAGGTCGCAACGACACCGGAGAGAATGGAGGAACTCAAGCGCAAGCACGGCTACGCCACGTCCTGGGGCGTCGAGACGCACCTCTTGACGACGGAAGAATGCGTCGCGCTCTATCCGCACTTGAGCAAAGACATCGTCTTGGGAGGTTTCCACATCCCGAGTGATGGTCTCGCGCTCGCAGCGCAGGCTGTCCAACTCCTCATTGAACGTACGCGCAAGGCGGGTGTTCAGTATCTCGAGCACACGCCTGTCACTGGCTTTGTCAAGGACGACGACACCATCACAGGGGTGATCACACCCAATGGGACGATTCAGACAGACATTGTCTGCTCATGTGCTGGCTTCTGGGGCGTCGAAGTGGGCGCACTGGCAGGCGTGCCCATCCCTCTTCAACCCATGGCCCATCAGTACGTCAAGACGACTGCCGTGCCCAAGCAAAAGGGGCGCAACCCAGAACCCAACGGCGCCACACTGCCCATTCTTCGATACCAAGACCAAGACCTGTACTATCGTGAGCACGGAGACCGGTATGGAATCGGGTACTATGGCCACAAACCCATGCCCGTCACCGCAGCGTCTCTGGGCCCGACAGCCAAGAACGTGAGTGAGAGCAACATGCCCTCACGACTGGCCTTCACCCCGGAGGATTTCGAGCCAGCGTGGAAACTCACGCAGGAGATGCTCCCCGCGCTGCGCGACAGCCAGATTGCAGAGGGCTTCAACGGCATCCTGTCCTTCACCCCGGACGGCGGGCCCCTCGTGGGACGCGCCCCCAACCTGGAGGGCTTCTACGTCGCCGAGGCCGTCTGGGTCACCCACTCAGCCGGTGTCGCCCGGTCTCTCGCCGAGGTCTTGACGACCGGCAAGTCCACGATCGACCTGTCTGGCGCCGAGCTGTCTCGGTTCGAGGACATTCAGCTTGCGCCCGACTACGTGACCGAGACCTCCTCGCAGGACTTTGTCGAGGTCTACGACATTATCCACCCCCTGCAACCCAGGGAGTCCCCGCGCGACCTGCGGGTGACGCCCTTTCACGCTCGACAGAAAGAACTGGGTGCCTTCTTCCTGGAGACGGGCGGCTGGGAACGGCCGCAGTGGTACGATGCCAACGCCAAGCTTCTGGGAGACCTCCCGCCCCGGTGGCAGCCACGCGAGCGTGACGCCTGGTCGAATAGATTCTACTCGCCCATCACGGCTGTCGAGGCGTGGAAGACGCGCACGGCCGTCGCAATGTACGACCAGAGCCCCATACGCCGCATCGAGGTCTCCGGACCGGGCGCGGAGAGTTTGCTGCAGCGTCTCATGACGGTTGATGTGTCAAGGAATGCGGGAACGATCACTTTCGCGTTGATGCTGGATGACCATGGTGGTGTTCGCAGCGATGTATTCGTTGCGCGGCTGGCGAAGAACCTCTATAAACTGGGCGCGAATGGTCCAACGGACGTGGCCTACTTGACACGGGAAGCTCGCTTGCAATCGTCGACCGATTCCCGACGCTTTGTTCATGTGCGTGATATTACCGGTGCCACTTCGTCCATTGGACTCTGGGGACCTCGCGCAGGGCAGGTCATGGGGTCGTTGAGCTCAGACAAGCAGCTCGCTGAGTTTTCACCCATGAGGGTCACGCGGACACACATTGCAGGTTTACCTGTCTTGTTGCAGAGTATCTCTTTCCTGGGTGAAACTGGGTGGGAGATCCAAACTAGCGCCGAGAACGGTCAACGGTTGTGGGACGCCGTGTTCCAGGCTGGCCAAAGCCATGGTATCGTCGCTGCAGGACGAGCTGCGTTCAACTCTCTGCGCATGGAGAATGGCTTCCGTTCATGGGGCACAGATGTGACCACCGAGCACAACCCGTTCGAGGCTGGGTTCGCTGACGCAGTGGACACGTCCAAGGCGGACTTTGTCGGTCGTGCTGCGCTGGTGCGGCTGTCCAAGGCGCCTTTGACCAAACGTATTCGCTGCTTGACACTGGAAACCACGGGGACTGTGATGATGGGCAAGGAACCGGTCTACCTTGACGGGCAAGCGATCGGCTACGTGACGAGTGCAGCTTTCGCGTACACGGTCGGCAGGCCGATTGCGTTTGCCTACCTGCCGAATGAAGTCCAAGAAGGGTCAAGAGTTGAGATTGAGTATTTTGGGAGGCGGTATGCTGCCACTGTGGGCAAAGGGGTGCGGCCAGAGCCTGTGGTTGGCACAAACGTGCAGCATGGGGTCAGAGAGGCACGACTGTAGGCATGGCGTTGCATTAGACGTCAAGGGGTTTGCGATAGTATGCATTTTGCCATAGTACGATGTAATGATGATCTATGAACACACAAGAGAGTCGACTGCGTTCAGCATGTCTGTGTCAGGAGACAACACACGTGTGCCCCGACAGGCTGGAGTGCCGTCGACTTCATGTTAGAAGCCTCGACTCTTTTCTACCTTGCGACTGTCAAATCTCAACAAAAAGGACAACTCCCGTCATCCATGTAATCGGAAACGGATGCAAGGGGTTTGTCAACGCCCAAATAGGCAGCTCAATGCTACAATCCAGTTCCCCCGCATGGACGGCATTGACAAGTTCTAGATCGCCCAGGGATAAGTAGTGGCCAACCCATCCAGGGGTCACATCGAGTGCCGTATCGAGCGTGGCTTGGCTGGCTTGGCATGGGGAACCGCTTCGATTCCATTGACACCATCTGCAGGCACCGAGACGTGACCTCCCCAAACGGGGTCGTAGGCCGTGGATGTATGCGACTCATCGTTAACAGGCGGAAATCTGTTACCGCTCGTAGGTAGTATTCCTACCGTAGACCACGATGTGTTCAATGTATGCAGGTTCGTGGACGAAACAATAGTTCCTCATGCGTCCGGTGAACAATGCTGCAGACGCATACTCCCGGTGCAAACACTGTCCAAATCCGACATGTTGGGCCGAAGGCATCGTGGTAATGGTTGACTATTTGATTGCTCAGGGACATTCATTCATGTACCACATGGGCATGTGATTTGTATATCTCGATTGGTCTTGCTTGGAACCATCTATATAATGACAGGACGCGCCCTCTGAAGCCACAGAAACCAACCCTCTCACACTCGACAAGTTCCCACCCAAACACCACTCTTTTATACACACTCGTTCATCATGAAGGTCACCCAGGTCATCTTTGCCCTCTGCGCTGCTGGCTTCACCGCCGCCGCCCCCGTCGAGACTGAGGTCGACATTGCCTCCCTTATCGAGGCGGACGCGGACTTCCCCCTCGCCGAGCTCGAGAGCTACTACGAGAAGAAGCTCAACGTGAATGTCTCGGGTCTCAAGGCTCGCCAGTACACTAGCAGCACCTCCAACGAGCTCACCGATGGCACCGCCTGCCGCGCCGTCACCTTGATCTACGCCCGAGGCACCGGCCAGGACGGCAACATTGGCGACCCGGCTGCTGTCGGCCCTCTGTTCTTCAACAGCCTGGCCTCGCGCATCGGCCGCAACAACCTGGCCGTGCAGGGCGTGGACTATCCGGCCAACGTCATTGGCTTCCTTTCCGGCGGCGACGCGGCTGGCAGCAGGACCCTCGCCTCTCTCGCGCAGAGGGTATGATTCCAAGTGTCCTCCTATTCCATGGACTCGACTGACTTCTTGACAGGCTGCGACCCAGTGTCCCAACACCGAGATTGTTCTCAGCGGCTACAGCCAGGGTGCTCAGCTCGTGCACAACGCTGCCGCGATGCTCTCGACTGCTGTGACCAACCGCATCACCGCTGGTACGTCGAGCCTATGAATTCATCGACAAGACACTTGACACTGACATGTTCTAGTCCTCACCTTTGGCGACCCCAAGCAGAACCAGGCCTTTGGCTCCATCCCCTCGTCGCGCACTCGCGTCATCTGCCGCGCTGGGGACACCATCTGTGCCGGCAGCATTATCCCCAACGAGGCGCACACGCTTTACCAGGAGAACGCTGCGGACGCTGCCGCCTGGGTGGCTGCCCGCGTCTGAGGGCAAAGGGTGATATTCGAAATGGGTGGGACGTGAGATGAAATCGTAATGATTTGATGACTTTGACGGTATTTTCTTTGCTCTCGAGGCGCTCCCACAAAGCAGCGCAGTATAAAGGGGTCCACGCTGTCGTATGTACACATGTATTCGTAGGCGACCATGAAGATCAGAACTATTCTAGTCATCTTGTATATATCACATTGGGGACTTTCTCGCACCTCTTTGCTTACTCGCGCACGTACAAGCCGGCCATGCCCATCCCAGTTCCCACGCACATGCTCACGACACCGACCTCACCACCGTCCCTCTTCAACCCATGCAGCAGAGTGCTCGTCATACGCGCACCCGTGGCACCCAGAGGGTGGCCAAGCGCAATCGCGCCGCCGTCAGGGTTCACTCTGCCCTTTGTCCACTCCTCTTCGAGACCCAACTCCCTCACGCAGTGGATGGCCTGGCTGGCAAAGGCCTCGTTGATTTCCCAGCGCTGCACATCGCCATTTTCAAGACCAACCTGTTTCAACAATTTGGGGATGGCCAGAGCCGGTCCAATGCCCATCTCGTCAGGGGCACATCCCACCGTCACAGCGTTGACAAACTTGCCGATAATGTGCTGGCTCAATCCAAGCTCCGTCGCCGTGCTGCGTCGCATGAGCAGCGTCGCCGCCGCGCCGTCTGATACCTGACTCGAATTGCCGGCTGTCGAGACACCGTCCGGCTTGAACGCGGGCTTCAGCTTCGTGAGGGCCTCGAGGCTGATCGAGTCTCGGATGCCGTCATCGTTCTGCGCTGTAATTGTCTTCTCGTCGCCGACCTTGTTCCCTTGCTTGTCCATCTCCTGGAATCGAGTCGTCACGGGGACAATCTCCTGCGCAAAGCTACCGTCCGCGCGGGCCTTGGCGGCGCGACGATGCGACTCGACGGCAAAGGCATCCTGATCACCGCGCGACACGCCATACCGCTCCGCCACGTTCTCCGAGGTGATGCCCATGGACATGACGCAGTCCCTCGCGTCCTTGACGGGGGACTCCTTGAGGGCAGGCCAGTAGTGCTCCGGGATGGCGCGACTACCATAGTTCCTAGTCATGCTCTCCATACCAGCCCCGATGCCCACGCTGATCATGCCAGTGCGGATCTGCGCCGCGACATTGGCAATCGCCTGCAGCGACGACGAACACGCGCGGTTGACGGTGTAGAGCGAGGTGGTGTGGGGGTAGCCAACGTGGTTCATGGCCATGCGACTGGCCTTGGAGCCGCCCAACTCCGAGAGCACGACGCCCACGGCGACATCCTCGATGACGGCGGGATCGATCCAATCTTTGCCGTGGGTGTCGAGCGTGGCACGCAGGACGGTGGAGAGGAGCTCTTCCGGGTAGGCGTCTTTCAGCTGGCCCTTGTAGGAGCGGGTAATGGGCGTGCGCAGGGAGGAGAGGACGACGACGTCGGAAGGCGCCTTTGTGAGGACGGCCTTGATGCCGTTGGGTAAGGATGACATGGCGACGGCTGTGGGGGGTGGATTGGCTTGCGGTGAGGTGAAGACGGACGGGCGTCTGTGATGAGGTAGAGCACGAATATGTACGTTCCGTATGGCTGGGCGGCCGGTTAAGGAATCACCCGCACCAGATCGAGAGTCGTCCGGCGGCGGATACTGTGGCGGACACCGTCGTCGTGCTGGGTTTGTAGGCCACAGATGCGCTGCAATGGTCTATGAATGTGTTTTTGAGTGTGCAAATAGGTTTCCTTTGTAAGAATTGAGCACTTTTTGAATTGGATAATGCTTCTCGGCTCTCCTGCGTCGGAGAATGCCGCGTCCTGGCACATGCACGTACTGTGCGCTACCCCAGCTTCCAGCGGCCTGCCTGGAGTCCTGGACCCACTCGGCACTCGATCACGGCAATGCTCGGCTGCCTCCATTCGGGACGTGGAGGAACGATGAGTGCTGATGTCCATCCTCGATAGTGGTCAGTCAGGAGCAGCGTCAGATGTCAATTTGCGTCAACGATGGATATGGCCGTAGCTTGACGAATCTGGTGATGCTGGTGAGAACAGGTAGCTATTCGCCTACCCTAAACCATGTTGGCTGGAGCTTCAGGTCGGGAGAAGATCAAGGCTGCCAGGGCCCGTGGAGTATAACAATCTTGTCGCCAGGCCTGACAATCAAATTTATTTGCCATGTATGCATTCTCCATCGCACGTAGCCGGTCGAGCTAAAAGGCTGTCTGCCTTGACAATGATTAAATAAAACAAACATACGGTTGCAGTGTAAGATTAAAACACACAGCGCAAAGAAGCTCAAAATAATGAAAAGAAACTATGAGATCGAGCCCAGACACTGGATATGAATCAAAAACATTGATTCATACAATTTCTTCTGCATTTCATGGCAGCAATGGTGTCGTGCCAAATAAACACCATCGAACTCAGGGGCTACCAAGAAAACATGGCCCCAAGTACTAAATAACATGCAGGCGATAAGACTACATCACTCCACCATGCACAGGATTCAAGATTGCCATTTTCATTGCGTCTCATCTGTTGCTACTATCCCTGTTGCGTTCCAAGCAAAGTGTCTTATAGAAAGAACTCAACTCCTTGCTGTCACTCGCCCTCCTGCCTGGCAAGACGGACAGACTAAGCCAAATGTATTTGCGCGGCCAGATGCGGAGCCTCAAACTCATCTTGGTTGTGAGTCCGAATTTCTTTTGTTGCAAACAACCCCCGGTACAAGCAATGCCCTTTTGACGACCAATTGTTCGTGACCCCTGAAATAAACCGTACCACCCGGAACCCATGCGAGATGCCAATGTCAAAAGACGCAGAGATGTGCTCCACCTCACTCATTATTCGCATCCCCTTCCTTCTTGACCTTGACTGTCTCCTCTGGCTCATCGTCGCTGCTTTCTTCGCTGCTATCGTCGTCGTCCGAGTCATCGTCATCATTCTTCTTCTTCTTGGCTGCGGCCTTTCGAGCTTTCAAGTCCTCCTCGAGAAGTTCCGGGGGAATGCTGACATCTTCCAAGAGCATGTGCTCGAAGGCCTCGGGAGATTGCCATTCCTTCCTCCAGGCAGCGAGGGTTTCCTGCACGCGAGACTGCACGGTGAGCTTGTCCGAGGTCGTGGAGTCACCGAGAAGGTTGTCGATGAGCAGGTAGACGCCCGTGGAGACTCGCTTGACCAGTTCATCAGCGAGTTGCTCCAAGTCGTTCTTCAGTACCTTCTTCTTCTCCTTGTAATCGTCGCTCATGGCTTTGATGATGCCGTTGAAGATGTCGTTCGAGCGTCTACCGACGAACTCCTCGACATACTCACGACGGCGCAGATACGACTTTTGCCCTGCAGCACATTAGTATGTCTTCTCACAGATAGGTTTGGGTTGTCTCACCTGTAATCTCTGTCTCCATGAACTCGAAGCACCTTTTCAGAAGCCCAGAAGCGTAAGCATGCGCAGCACCCAGCACATCCACGCTCTGCCGGAATGCATCGAGTCTCTGGGTTGTCTGTGAGAAGATCAACTTGCGGTTCGTGGCGATGTCCGCCTTTCGCTCGTCTAGGTGGTGCGAGAGCGTCGCGTCAAATTTCTGCGCAACCTCTATCAGCTGTTTGAAGTGCGCTTCGAGGACCTGCTTGACATTGGCTTTGCGCTTATCCCAGAGGCCGGGGATCTTGGTGTTGACACTGTGGTTGATAAAGGCTGACATTTCAAGGATGATGGGTCGATAGCTAGGAGATGTCAGCGAGGCGACACACTTACGCAGGGAAGTGTTCTTACAGCTTGGGTATCCAGTCGTACTCAATGTCTGAGTTCGCGGTTGGGGAATATGGCCCCCCCTTCCGCTTCACCACCGCCAGATACGAGTTCCAGCGCAGATGTTCTTTGGATGTCTCGTCTTCGGGAAACTTCAGGTGCCATCGGCTTGCGATAGTCTTCGCGCGAGGTCGGAACTTCTTCTTGGCCGATGCCAAATTTCCAAAGGGATCAACATTTGTTATCTCTCCAAACAGTTCCCGCAGTTCCTTGGCACAATCCTGGGGAGTATTAGATAATGATCACAGCGCCGGCTTGGCGATGATACTTACGGTCTGTAGTTTCTTGCTCTCTTGCTTCAGAGCATCCTGAAGTCCGTTGTAGTCGACGATGATGCGCAAGTCCGATTGGCAGGTCTTGGACCAGTTGTCAATGCTGTTCATGCACTGGAGTAGTCGCTGGATTGTAACGTCCAGATGCTTCTCTCGGCGCTCCGCCGTCGCTTTGTAGATCCACTGGATCATCTGGGGGACGCCTGTATACCTTTCCGTCGGGAAAGATAAGTTGCTGTCATTCCCGTTGCGAAGTCGCCAGAACGCCTGGGAGCTTGTGGCGTGGACCGCCAGCGTGCTCAAGTGCTCCGGGTCTTCAAGGTCGCCGTCTACTGTAGTCCGACGTTGTCGACGCAGAAAGTCCTCCTGCATTCTTTCAGCGACGGCAGCGTTTCGCGTTACGGTCGCCCAATGGCGTAGATGCAGCATCGCATTGTCAACGATCCCCTGAAAGGGCTTTGCGTCCTCTCGAAGACTCTCCATTTGGTGCTCTCCAGATTCTAGTTTGGACTTGACTCCCTTAATCTCCTTTTCGGTATCACTGCCCTTGGCCGTTACTGCGTCTGTCTTGAGCTTCTTCTTCAGCTTCTTCAGCTGAGATGTGAGCCTTTTATTTGCCTTTTCGATGAACTTCTCGCTCCCGATAATGCTATCAATGATTTCTTGGGCAGCTTTCATGTCTGTCATGTGCTTTTGGACATAGGGGTCGTGCTCGGCAGCCCTTGAACTCTTGACGTATGAATTAATGTCCAGGTCGTCCATCTTGGTCAGCACAACACCGAACGCATGCTGATTTGTTCCAGCCGTCAGGCGCGCTCGCATCTCTTGAGAGTCATTCAAAAGTCTTAGCGTTGTTCTTTCGTCGGCCGCGCGCTGGATAGCGGCGACGATCATGGTGACCTCAAGCTTTTTGTGGAAGTCACTGGCGACTTTAACACGGCTCTCCACCGCGTCACCGACTCCAGGAAGGTCAACAAGACAGATCCCGTGGCGTAAGATCTCGCTCCGTATATGGACGTTGACATTGCAAATTAACGGCCACATGGCCACATCGCTGCCCCCGAGGACCGACGTAGTCGCGTCGAGGTAAGGTTTGATCTGTTTGGCCAAGTCCTCACCAGTCGCACCCTTCAGCTCAATTTGTCGTGATTTGAGGACATTGATGAGATCTGGGTTGGTCTGTAAGATCGTCTGAGCCATGGCTGCGAGCTTGTTGTCGTTGCCGCAAGCCAGAACGGAACGTCGAATATCCGCCTCATCCAGGTTCCATACCGCGCGGATCTTGTCCATGCCGTGCTTGGCCTCGGCTGCGGCCACTGCTGCATCATTGATCCGGTCGTCCTCTTTCAAGTAGCTGGTGTCGTTGGCTATCGAGACCATGCTCCTGATTGCCTGTAGAGTGCCGAGGATCTGCAGTTTGATCTCGCTCAGGTCCTGGAAGAACACTTCGGCGCGACACTCATGGCCCGGGTCCATGTCGTAGTTCCATGCGACCTTGCAACACACTGCCGTTGCGGCTCTTTCGTGGCCTGAAGGCAAGAGCTCGTACTCTCCGAGCATGGCATTGAGCAAGGAGGTTTTGCCAACGCCAGTCTGGCCCACGACGCCTACAAGAACTTGAAAATCCTGGTGACTCTGCAGTGTCTCGTCTACCCAAAGTCAGTACTTAGGCGACGATTGAAGGTCACTCAAGTGTTCAACTCACCAGCCTCTGCTATCCATGAGTTAAGTGCAGCCTTGAGGGGAGGAGGCGCGCCGGCATCATCCGCGTGTTGTTGCAAGAGGTCCATAAGCTGGTTCACATGAGCTGCAGCATTTTCAACTGCGGTCTCCTTGAGAGCAATTCTTCCGGCAATGGATTTGTCTTCCGCAATATCCCAAGCAAAAGACGTTGTCTCTGCGGAATCCCCGGAGGTGTCGTGCTTCTGTTTCTTGGAACGTTCATGCGGCGGCGCGGTGCCGCTGTTCGACGTTTCAGCCATGATGGTCGATCGTAACTTGAGTTCAGCCTATCGAAGGGCTTCTGAAGCTTTAAAGAGATAGAGAAGAGCCGAACAAAATCTGCTGTGAGGTTCGAGAGATGAAGAAGAGTTTCGTTGATGTTGGAGTGGGAAGAGAACATCAACTACAGGGCACAGTTATATACTTGCCCGGCAGGCTTCGACGTCATGGGTAAGCTGCGAGAACTGGGGCAAGAACTCCCAGCGAAGTTCATCAGGAGGTTTGACATCAGATGGAAGGAGATCGCATGAACTTTGTACTCATCATCATTGAAACCTCGCCGCCTTGTAGCGCGCCTGTTGCATCGGATGAAAGACTCACCACTGTCGCCAACCGCAGGAAGAAACCTGTACAACAGCCCCCCTAAGTAACCTCAGTGCTTCGATAAAACCCAGTGTCTAAGAAAGCAAGTCGGTCTACATGACCATCCAAGTTATGCATTCTCATTATTTACCGTTCAAGGACCACCATCACGCAGCACTGAACCCCGTGACCAGTCCAGTCCTACCATCCCTACTGACTCCATTGCCAACAACAACCCCCTTTTTGCGCAATGCTGACTTCGAATCTGGCAGAGCCCCGTTCTCGCGACCCAACTGTACCAGGGACTTGACAACCCTGTTATAGTCTCCAAAGAAAGCATGCGCTCTGACATCCGAGCCCTTGACTAGCCCGTGGCCCAATGTGACACCCCACATACCACCAACGCGAATACCATGAGCCCTCGCGTTATTATCCCTCTGCAGCATGATCGAATAGATGGAGCCAGTGTATCGGGCCGCGCCCTCAGCGCAGGAGGCCGGGAACGCCCATGTCTTCTCGTCCTTTGAGATGGGATGCCACGGTGTCACCAGGACACCATTCACCCGGCACAGAGTTGCCCCTTCCACTCGTGTCTTGAGGACGACAGCCACCTTGCGCGGTCCCACCGGCGTCTGCACTTTGACGCCTCGTTGGAGCTTCCTGATCGGCACGGTGCGGCCCGAGGCGAGTCCAACTGGCGTCGAAGCCGCAAAGCACACCCCACAAGGATTATTGTATGCCGACATGGAAATCGAGGCTGGCCCCGAGCCCGCAAGTGTCCTCATAGCTTTCCCGAGGAGACTGCGCTTTCCTGGCCGTCCTAAAAAGGACGGTATTGCTGGCTCGGGTGGGGGTAATCTGTCAAATGCAGAGTCGAGGCGCTTTCGGCATTCGACAAAGAGCGTGCTGTCGGTGCCGTACTGAAGAGGTCCCGGGTCTTTGAACGAGTTGCATTCCTGGCGGGCGTGGGCGTTCATCAGGGAGGGGATGTAATGCCGACCCCATCTTTGGAAGTACTCTGCATTCTTGAGGGCCAAGGAGACTTGACCATGCGGACTCTCTCCTACGAGATCCGTGATGAGCGAACTGTTCTTCTCGTCAGAGTACTTCTTTGCTGGCAGCACCTCGAGCAACTGCTCGAGTTCTTCCTGCTTGGCGGGCAGATTGTCACGTGAGATCGCACGGTGTTCCTCGAGCTTGTTTAAGTGGAACAGGGAGCTCAGAAATTCGCATATCCGCGCGCGAGACTCGTGGTACGCCACAATGTCGGCGCCGATCTCAGACTCGGCAATCATACTGCACTCTGCAGTGAGAGTCACTTGCTCATTGGCCTCGGCGGCCTTTGGGGTGAGGTGGACAGCCTCGTACAGAAGCTTGGCTTTGATGACGGCATTGTCTTCAGAGACAAAGGCATCCTTCTTCCGCGCATTTTCAACGTTGAGAAAGACGTCCTTCGACTGTCCGTACAACAAGCTGCCAAGGGGAACCCGGAGACGCATGTGTGATCCTTGTTCACAAGGCGCCTGCTGATCCACTGTTGGACCTGTCGAGACATTGACGGCCAGAGGGTACGCGTACTCCAGTTCCAGCACGGTATTGATGGCGTAGGTGGACTGCATGTTAGCGATGGCGTGCACAAAGACGGTTCCAATCATGCCCGCGTCAGGGATGAAGGCATAGTTGCCGCCGCCAATCTCGGCAATCGACTTGAGCAGCCCAGACTCGAGCTCATACCCGAAACCGAACGTGGAGATGGAGGCGGGCAGCGGTAGCATTTCCCGTAGCTTGGCCACGAATCCCGCCGCAGGGTTCATCTGATTCGGCATGCCGTCAGTCAGCACCATCATGGACGGCACCCTTGAGCTGCCACCACCGTCCTTGAAGACATCCAAGCCGTGGAGCAATCCGTGCCAGAGATTCGTGGCGTGCGAGGGGTGGATGGTTTGGATGCGGTCCCACGTGAGCTTCTTGTTGTCCTCCGTCATAACAGTGAGACCTTGGACCGTTTGTGCGCGGGACTGGAAGGTGACCACCCCCAGGCGATCACCTTCATCCAAGGTCTCGATGATTGTCCGAGCCGCATGTTTGACCAGGTCCAAAACGTTGAGCCCGGTACTCTCGGTTTCTCCCGGGACGTTCGCATCTGTACCCATACTCCCCGACACGTCGATGACCAGAACGATGTCGCATGGTACATGGTTGACTTGTTGGGCTGGCGCTTTGGGTGGCTGGATCTTGACGAGCAAGGCATCGCGCGATGGCAACGCATGCATTTGAAGAGCATCGTCTTGGTCGGGGGTGTGCTTTTCTCTGACGGGGAGTTCCACCTCCGCGTTGTTGGTAAAGGGGACTCTCTAAGGAGCTAATCAGTTATGTTCATGGGCATCATTCCGAAATTAGCAGCTCACCATCGCGGCATAGATCTGTTGTTGCCTTGTGTAAATCTCGTGGATTCTTGAGTGAACAGCACAGCGAGTGCCTGGGGATCGGCCCTGGCGACTAATGCTGGACTATATAGCTATGTCAGCATCAGCGTGAGTCCATGTCAGCGTGCTGCGTGACACGTCGTCAAAGGATGAGATACCAGACTGGACTGCGGGCTGCAACCCAAACAGGCGCTTTGTTGGGGAATACATAGTAGGTAGCCCGATACAGCTCGTGTCGCAAGCCAATAGGGTTTGTGTGGATGATGAAGAAGGTTGGCCAAGGCGCCAGAAGTGGCAGTCATTGGGACGCCATTCGTGATGGAGGCGGGGAGCTGACATGGGCTCCAAGCGAGGCAACCACTCAACGCCGGGTGACTCAATCATTCGCCGACTAGCGTGGTGTGGTTCTGACCTAACATGTGGTCCGCTTATTTAGGTAGCCAGATCATGCCAAACGCGGCCCTGCCAGGCAGACAATGAGGCAGACGCGCGGATCACATGGATCTCCTCGTCTGGAGTAACCCAACATATCCCGCCTGCGGGCAGTGCGGTCTCTTCGCCACGCGTGATCTCAGACCAGGCACCTTTATCGTGCCATATCTCGGCCGGACGCACACGTCGTCCACGACTGATCCGCACTCGGACTACGACCTGTGGCTCGACCGTGAGGCAGACCTTGCCGTCGATGCGAGCCTGCAGGGCAACGAGGCCCAATGACTACCGAGGCGTGAAAGACAAGCCAAACGCAGAGTTTGGTGGGCGTAGGGAGGAGGAGGGATAATAGGAGTACAGTCACCACGTCTTGGCGGTCGAACTGTCGAAATGTCGTCGCTCTGTCAGTTGACGCTCTTAGCCTGCCTGCAATCCGTGTATACCAGGTAAACATGGCCTTGCAAGCCGTCGGGTGCCACAGCTCCTCTGCTATCGGCATTTTCGAACGTACCATTATGCTGGTGTAGCCGACTTTCGAGCCGGGGCGGAACCTTGCCGGACACCAATGATGAGATGTAGAAAGTTCTGGCTGAGAACCTCAACTGTTTTGAGTTCTGATGGGTTCAGCACCTGCTCGAACCTTCTGCTAGGACCCAGCTCACGCACACATTGCATTCGAATTGAGCAGGCCTACAAGAAGGATACCTAATCAAAATTGTCTAGACTTGACTTTTTTTCCTCTTCTCACGCTGCCTCTTCACCTCCTCCATCAGCACCCAAACACCTCGAAACACCCTACCTTCATATCCCAGCCAAATACTCACTTCTCTCACATTTCATCTCTACTTGGATAATGTGGCAAGACTGGAACGATATCGAAACGGGGCGTTTGGACACGTACATCTCAGGCCTTTACAGCCATGGTGCTTTGGCTCAGCGTCATGCGGAAAGCCTGCGAGAAATTGATACACTATCTTCATTCTCGAGCTTGAGATATCGAAAGAAAAAGCCTAAGCCTCTATGCAATGTTCCCAAGACTTTGAAGCCCCGTTCAGATCAGAGCCGAGAGTCGGCCACGCCCAGGAGGATTGAGGGAAGGGACATTGGTTGTCTTGAGTCTTTGGCCCTGAGCAGCTCCTGTTCCGTGTCAGAAGGCGAGCCAGAGGACGAGAAATCCTACAATGATCTGTTGACGTTTGGGTTCGAAGCATCGCCAGATCAAAATTCTTTGAATGGTCGGAAAAGCAGGCTTGGGCTCTTGGAATTGCCTTCAGACATTCTGCTGCTGATAATGAAGCATGTCAGCGAGTGGCCTCTGGCTATGTACTGGCTTCGGCATACTTCGGCCATATTCATGACAATTTTTGACAAGGACGAGTTCGCACATCTCCACGAGGCTTCCGATTCATACAGTTGCCACAAAGCCTTCGATCGTTCTCGGTTGACGCGGGGGAGCCTCTACGTGGCAAGTGTTCGCCTTCTCCAGCACCTCCATTGCGATTCTTGCCAGGAGATGTTCACGAGCGGCACCTGGAGGCAACGTTGGCAGAAGCTCCACTCACACTACTACTGCTCGGGTTGCAAAACAAACCACAGTGCCTTCATGTTCTTGTCAGAAGACAGGGCGAGGCACGATCTTTGCGGAGGCAGACTGCTTTGCATAGGACGCCAGGGGGAGATCTCGCTATGCTGCCATAGCCAAGGTCATTTTGACGCGACCAACAAACGCACCATGTGGCGGGACATGGATGCCCTTTCCAGGAGGACCGAGACTACAGCGGGAGCTGCCGAGGAGTATGGACGCTTTTGTGCGCACCCATCACACGAATCCGTACGAAGCGACAGCAAAATCACGAGCAGTATGCTTGGCATACACGGATATCCGAGGCTCATTGCGTTTAGCGATGCTTCAAGTCCTGGATCGCATGTTGTTGTCGAGTATGGATGGGATCTGCCGCTCCTAGAAATACCCTCGTCTTTCACGCCTAGTCTACGTGTTCTTCAGGGTGAGCTCTCGAGCTTGGTTGTGCAAGCCCTCGAAGAACATAAGATATGTCCACACGTCTCACCGGACAGAGAGATCCTCGAGTTCGTCCAGACAGGTATCTGCCATTGTTTCAGAACCGAGTCGTCTTGGCCCTCGGAGGCCGGATTAAACTCTTTAAAGGGTCAAGGTTCGAAAAATTGGCACGATCTCAACCAATCTTGTCGGTGTGGAAGGAAATCCTTTTTCAGATGTCGCGAGTGTGGTGCGTCGTATATGTGGCGCCTCTTGCGTGGTTACGTCTCTTTGAGCTTCCGTCACTCCTGGCGCATAAAGAAGCCTATCAGTGTGGGTTGGATCAGCCTACTTGATCAGCAGTGGCGGAACAAAATCTTTGACGAAGGAAGCAGGCACCTATTATGGTGTGACAATAAGGACTGCCGGACACACACGTCTCAGCCTTGGGATGTGCTAGTGAAAGATGAGGTTTCATGGGATTCTTCCGACCACCCAGCTGGTGAGGGTGAATGTTCTGACTTGGCTTTGATGGAGCTACTTGAAGAGCAGCATGCCTTTCGAGGCTGGTAGATCAATACAGCGTCCCGCGTCCTTGGCTCCTTAACGTGGTAAGATATTGACTGGATTCTGCCGTTCAGACAGTTCAGACACCAATCCCAAGTCTCCTTGCAAAAGTCGCCAACAGCACCCCAGCAAGATCGGGTGCACCAACTGCACGTCCAGCCCAAGCAGCACATGCAGCACTTGCAACACTCCGGCAGAGATATTGCTAATGCAGGCACAGTGGGGATCGAGGGCGGCTGCGTCTTAAGCACCACTTAATCCGTCGCGTGAACCCTTTGTCCTGTGATGGGGCCGAGACGTAGCGTAGGGCAGGGGGCCAGTTCTTCGGCTTAGGCATGGCGATGGTGAAATTGTTGCCAGTCAAAGACCAAATCCATCACGCTACATGAGTATAGTGCAATACAAGGCTGAGTCATCCGTCGTGACAGCGGCGGATCATGCGATATGGCACAAGGATTCTCTGATTTCCTTCGCCCCGAGCTATCTATCATCATGCTACGGATTATAATATACCAGATCTTAATTGCAAAACAAGAGAGCTGCGGACCCCTTCCTTTTTCCCCTACCTGCTAAAGACAACATCTTACATGAACGATTCCTCAGTGCGACATGACCTCCCTGTATCGCTCCATCCCTAAATCCACCGAATACGCCAGCAGACGATCCTGCGTCAGCGGCAGATTGAGTATCCGCGATCGGAAGTCGCCATCCTGGTATTCGTAAGCCACATACTCGGAACTCGAGAGACCTGGTTTACTCACCTGCTGGTTTCTAGTCAACTTGACAATCTCCTTGGCGGTCTCGTTCGCCATGTCTGACAGAGCGGCATAGCGAATAATATTGTCACCAGACACCTGCTCGTTCTGCAAGCCAGCCAAGAGTTTCTCCACCACCGACCGAGGAGCCGTTTCACCCCGGCTGCGGTGCTGCACCAGTGTCAGGAACAAGCTGTAGATGCTACCGCCCTGGTGCCACTCGGGGACCATGTGGAGGTGCTCATCGAACTGCGACAGCAGAGCCGCCAGGCTGGCGTAGTCCCGCTCGATGATAGCCTTGGGCGCAACTTTGGTCGTCAGCACATGGTGGCTCTCGGAGAAAGCGCCTGCCTTGACGAGGCATTGGACCTCCGCGGTGGGATCTTGCTTGACACTACGCATGTATATGGCGAGGGCCTCCCAGATCCACGCGGAGGGGATTTGGTAACGGTCTGCAAGAAGGGCGAAGGTGTCTGAATCAGGTTCGATCAGACCGGCGTGGCGGCACAGGTGGTCCTGAATGGCCATCTTGCGGGCAGAAGGGTCGCTCAGGTGAAGCAAAACGAATGTCGCCTCAAGCCACTCCCCGGCGCTCGTCAGTTGTGCGGCATACGAAATGGTCGCGGCATCAGCCTTCTCCGCATTCTTCTCTCCGAATTTGACCTTGCCAGTGGCGCAGAGTGCCACACCAAGCTGCCAAGTGAGCCTCATATCGAGAGGGGACAGCTGCGAATTCTCCGGACGCAGGACGGCTTCGAGGTCGGCACTGGGGTTGGCATAGATTTGCATGAGTCCCCACATGAGGTCCTGGCGGTGATGGGCCCCGTAGTCGTACCACAAGGCATCGATGCCTTCCTCCATATACCAAGGCTTAGGCAGATCTTCGCGGTCCTGATCGATATCCTCGGCAAATCGCTTGATGGCTTCCGCAGGATCCTGACTTTGCGACATGCCGTACCACAGACGGAGACCAAAGGCCTGTTTCCAGTTCAGGCCAAACCTCTTCGAGATAACAAAGGACTCGACGCGATCCTCCACGGGACCATTCTTCATGCCATCACAGACACTGGGGTTACCAGCGAGTAGCTCATAGATGGCCCGAATGGGCTCGGAGAACTCAGATAGCATCTTCGAGTCATGCCACCCCTTGACCTGCTCACGCATATTCTCTTTGGCTGAGTCGCCAGCGCCAATGAGCGGTACCATGGTTGCCAGGTGAAAGTTCTGCCCCTCGAGGAGGTATCTGCAGGCATCGGTAATTCGGTGCCCGGCCAGAGACGCGAGAGCCTTCTGCTCTTTCGATCCAGCGAGACCGACCAGCACCGAGGAGGCCTGATCAACCAGATCCTTCCAGAAGACTGACAAACGGGCCTTGCGCAGGCTGCCAGGCTCGCTCTGCTCATCAAAGAGAATGCTGGCAAGCTCCCAAGTCCGCTTCTCGTGCAGGCTTGACGAGTCGCTCATGTTGCGGTGATGAAAGACATCCTGCACGCTGGACGCTTGGAGCTGGGCCAACGGCACACCGTCTTGTAGAGTGACAACAGTCAGCTTATCCTGGTTCTGGAGAAGCGTCTTCGAGGAAACAGTCGAGAATTTGCCCAGTCGCAAGGTCTGGTGGGAGCTTTGGATGGACGACTTGTGAAGCGTAAGGATATCGGAGACTTCGCGCAGGGACCGTCGCATGTGCTGGGATCCATTGAACCGAGGGACCACGAGTGTCTCGCCTGGTCCCCATCTCGGACAACCACCGTCGTGGAAAGCTTGCTTTTCTTCATCGATCACAATGGCCTTGTCGTGTCGGGCGTACGGGAACTAGAATAACACAAAAGTTTAGCATTTTTTTCTCATAGACTACAATTAAGTACATGATTCAATCTAGAGCCCCATGAAAACTTCAAAATGCGACAAGGGTACCGACCTGAGGGAAGCCTTTTGTGGCCGAGACGGAAGACCGCAAGTTAGACGCTGCAGTCTTCGGCTTGGGTTGAGGCCTCTCGAACAATGAGTTCATGAGATCGATGCTTGTCGCGAAACCACGTCCTTTGTCAGCGCCAACAGTGTTAGCTGCAAAGGCATCCTTCTTCTGTGTTGTTGTGTTCCTTTTCCAAATGGACGACTTTCTCAGATCGACGTCGCCTGCCTCCTGCTCCGCAAAAATATCGAGGCCTGTCTGACGGGTGGGCGAGGCGTCGTTGAGTTCTTTGAGCATGCGACGGTCTCTCTTGGCCGGGCTGACCGTTTTCTTCAGCATCTCGGCCCAGTCGTCGCCGTCTGCGACTTCAAAGTTGGCAGGGCCCGCCGACTCCTTCAGGGCCCTCATCCTCGCACGGAGGACGCCGCCAGGGGTGCCCTTTGCAGGCTCTTCCTGGTCAAAGTCCTCCTCTGACGAAACATAATCATGCTCCGCGGCAAGATGCTGTCCGGCGATGGAGCTCGTCGACTCTTCATCGGACACGTCATATCCTTCACTCATGGGCTCGGCCTGCTCCTCCTCGAGGGAAAGCCAAACGTCATTTTGTGCAGGATCCGCGGAGCTAACCCCTAAAAAAGACTCCTTCGGTGCTGCAGCCTGGTTGTCCGTAACGAGCATGTTCACCTCGGGCTCGTCGAAAGCGCCCGGCAAACCTCGGGATCGCCTGAACTGAAAGGTGTCATCTCCAATGGAAGAAGACATCGACGCGTCCAGAGCTAGGTGCTGAGACTCGGTCAATGCCTTCGGCTCTTCCTGAGGTGGCATCGTCGACTCGTCTTCGTCGTCGTCGTCGTCGTCGTCCATGCCATACGTTGTGAAATGGTCGACAGTGAACGTCCACTCACCCGTCCTCGGGTCATAGTGCTCAAAGTGGGTGTCGGGCATGCTCTTCAGCTTGTTGATGTGCTTTGCCAGTCTCCGATCATCTTTGGTGATCTTCCTGTCGCGGCCGGATCGGGCCCATGCCTGCTCCAGCTTGATACGCGAGGGGACATTGAGACCGTGTCCAACAGGTGGCTTCTTATGGTTCTGAGGGTAGACGGTAGCTGAACGAGGCTCCAATACAATGACGCCTCCGCGAAGCTCATCAACGGAAAAGGCGCTGATATCGACAGGCTGAAGAAACTGGACATGACCGACGTTGACACGACCAACCTTGAGTTCGGGAACCTTGGTACGCTGGACTCGGTTCAACTGCTCCAGCTCGTCAAATGATGGGACAGACCAGTACTCGCCAGGGACGAGGTCGTCGACGCCAGCTGAGGAGCGTCGGCCGGGAGTGGCCATGTTATCCTCCTCCTCAACCATAGAAGCGTCGACATCGGGGGTAGAAGAGGATTTGCCACTGGAGATACGGTTCTGACGAGGCGTTTCGTCAGCCTGGGCATCCTGTTCCTCCTCGGCCGCTGGAAGGGCTCCGCGGACAGGCTGTTCGTCGCCGGCGTCCATAGTGTCGAAGCTGACCCGCTTCTGAACGACCTTGCGCTGGCTCGATCCCGCCTCGATGGCCGGTCTCTCCTTTTGTGGCGTTGAGAAGAGATCGGTACGGAGATCGCGGTTGATGACGAGCTTCTTCGAGCCAGTGCTGCCGTACCATCGTGACCCATTGGTGGTGGTGCCGATACCGGCAGGCGAGAGTGCGCTTTCCTCGTTGGCAAAGCTCCGGCGAAGGTTGCTCACTGACACGCTCTTGCTCAGCGATCCACTGGAGCTCGCTCCGAGCAAGCTGCGACCGGCCGTACCTGGTGTGCTGGCTATACTACTAGCAGGACTACCACCAGGGGTACCGTACGTGCTGTAGGAGAACCCGAAACCACGCTTCTGCGGTGTGGCAAAGCGAGAGGCAGAGGCGGGAGCTAGCTTGTACATTGGCAGGATAGAACTTCGCTTGGGCTTGGAGCTCGCATTAAGAGGCGTCGCAAGCGGACCAGGGTTAGCAATCTCATTGCCACTGACATTGGTGAAGAGTGACGGGCTACCATACGCCGAAACGTCGTTGAGGTTGGCCGTCAGACCTTGGGGAGCGCTCTGTGAGTTGCCCAGCATCGAGTTGCCCATACCCTGGTTTTGTTGGTTCGTGCTGTTACCGAACATGCCTCCGCCAGTGCCTTGGTTGGTTTGGCCGCCGAACATTCCTCCAGTGTTCTGAGTGGTGCTGCCGCCAAACAGGCTGGGTTTCTGCTCGTTGCTCTGGTTGTTATTCGCATTGCCAAAGAGCCCTCCACCCGTATTGGTCTGCTGGTTGGCGTTGCCAAAGAGGCCGCCACCGCCGGTGTTTTGCTGAGCGGGCTGTCCGAAGACACCGCCACCAGCAGGCTTGCTACCAAACAAACCACCCCCAGTGTTCGTGTTACTAGCACCACCGCCGAAGGCATTCGTTTGTTGCTGGTTGTTGTTGGCGTTGCCAAAAAGACCACCGCCACCACCAGTGTTGCTCTGCTGCGGGGTGCTGCCGAACAGTCCTCCAGGTTTTTGTTGGTTGCCCCCGAAAAGACCTCCGCTGGCTTGCTGCTGGGTGTTTTGATTCTGTCCGAAACCACCAAATGCGCCTCCTGTATTCTGCTGTTGGGTGTTGTTGTTCGCACCCCCAAAGAGGCCGCCGCCCGTGTTGCTCTGCTGGGTGTTGCTGCCTCCAAACAAACCGCCGCCTGTAATGGCGGTGTTGGTGTTCTGGCCAAAGGCGCTTGTTGTATTGCCTCCAAAGCCGCCTGTGGTGTTGTTGGTCGACGAACTGCCGAAGAGACCTCCCGCCGGTTTGTTCTGGTTGGTGTTGCCGAACAGGCCACCGCCAGTGGTTCCACTGCCGCCAAAGGCCGAAGTATTGGTCGTGTTCGTCGCGCCAAACCCGCCACCAGTGTTACCAGCTCCAAACCCAGTGCTCTGGGGTTGGGAAGTGGTGCCTGAACCGAAGAGGCCGCCACCTGCGGGTTTGCTACCAAATAGGCCTCCTCCGGTAGCAGTGTTGCTCGTGCCAGCGCCGAACCCAGTCTGGTTCGACTGGCCAAAGGTGGATGTGTTCGTGTTGTTGGCCGATCCAAAGACGCCTCCGGTGTTGCTCGTGGTGTTGTTGCTACTGCCGAAGAGACCTCCGCCAGTTCTTGGCTGTGTTGTCGTGTTGGCGCCGAAGCCTCCTCCTCCAAACCCAGAGCTCACGCCGAAAGCGCCGCCTCCGCCAGTTGCTCCGTTACCATGACGGCGTCCCTGAGCGTAATCAGCTAGTCGTAGCTCGTCGCTGGACCACTTCTTGTAGGGGTCTTGGAACAGAATATTCTGGAACGAATTCGTCACGGAAGAATTGGCCTCCTTTTCGGTGTGCGCCTGGAAACCGGTTCCAGCCGTCCCAGGGGGCGTGTCAGTACTTGCGCCCAAGGTGCTGCCACCGCCGAAGCCACCACTTCCAAAGCCAGTATTGGTGGTTGTTGTCGCGTTGTTACCGCCGCCAAACAAACCCCCCGTAGTACCGGTAGACCCAAATGCCGGCTTTGCCGCAGTGGTGCTGCCGAACAAGCCTCCTCCGGTGTTGCTGGCGGCGGCACCAAAGCCACCCGTGTTGGTCGTGGTATTGTTTGCGGTAGCTCCGAATCCTCCGAAGCTACTGCCTGTGTTTTGCTGTGTGCCACTACCGAAGAGGGATCCGCCTCCGAACGCTTTGTTGGCACCGAACCCGCTCGTGTTGCCGGTGTTGCTGTTCGCGCCGAAGCCGCCACCTGCATGAAGTGTTAGTGGGACATTCCGAGGCAAATATGTAGCAGACATACTTGTTGAGGAACCAAAGCCTCCACCTGTGTTGGTCGTCGCTGCGCCTCCGCCAAATAGACCACCGCCAGTGTTGGTGTTGGCAGTCTGGCCAAAGGCTGAGCCCCCGCTACCGAAACCTGCAGCCAGATGTGAGTTTCTTTGTTTCTGATGCTCTTTGCTAGGGTCGTTCGACTTACCACCAGTTGCAGTGTTGTTGGTATTGCTCGCGCCAAATCCACCGAAACCGCTGGACTGGGTGGTGTTGTTAGTGTTGTTGTTGTTGTTCGCGCCGAAGCCTCCAAAGCCTCCAAAGGCCGACATGGCGACGTCGGGTGGTCGCGCGAAGCGAAATGGAGCTCAGGCTGCGACTAGGGCGATGGGTCGTCTTTTCGCAGATACGAGGACGCGTTGATGAGGTCAAATTCGCATTCGCAACGTCGAGTTTCGTGACTCTTGATCGTAGACAGGCGTGCGCGCGTGAGAATCGCAAAGCAGATGGATGGAATCGAGCTGGTGACACGTCCGCCCAGCGCAGGGAATTGAGCTTGTTGACTGAGGGTCAGAAAACCAGCGCAACAGAAAGCTTGTGAAAGGACAGAAAGGCAGGATGATGAGATCGGTCAAGGTACGAGAATGAACGCGTCCTTTTTGTCCTGAGCAAGAGGTGAAGTTGACCTAGGTCGGCCTCTGCAATGGGGTCAGTGGTGAGGTAAGCTTTTTCCTCGGACGTGGATGAGCAGCGGCAGGCTTCACTCGCGTAGAGCTGCAGAAGTGGATGACTAAGACAAGCTCGCCAATCGCAGTTCCCCAATAAGCTGATCACCACAAAGTCCCTGCTGCCTGCGCATGCTGCCTGTTCTGCCTGTCACGAGACCTGCAAACGGTGCTCCTTTTTTGTCAGCAAGGCAGACTGCGTTTGACAGTTTGTCGTACGTAGCTTTGCCCTTGTCACCCGCCAACCAGTTCTGGACTATGATAAGGATTCATAAGATTTCATAGTGCCTTCTATCAAACAGGCAAATTTAGTCTCATCCAGCGCCCAGGAGCTGTGGCAGAAAGCCTCTCTGGTCTCATGTTGAGTGAGGTTGGACACCACGCCTGAGTGAGCACTGACTGGGCTGGAGTTTAACGCGCCCAAGCCGTCAAAGACACGCGCCAGGTCATTGCACCATTGGACGCGTCGCATTCGTCTTGAGCAATCGCATACTCTTTGTTCTCTGGGCAGACTTCACGACCAGAAATTCGTCTCAGATTTGTTTGCTTCAAACATAGTTTCTTCTCCCCAAGCGACGGCTGCAGCTCAACATACCATCTTGCTACTACTGCCCTGTTGTCGAAACCCAGCCGCCGTGAAATCAGCTCCAAAAGGCAGTCTTTTACACATAATGAACTCACACGCAACGCCGCGGGGATTCCCAATACGGTCCATGGCGGCTTCATCGTCGCATCTACCGAAGCAAGCATCCGGCATCCCGCAGTCAAGCAACGATGATTACAACACAATACCTGAAGAGGATCGCGAACACATAGATGAAGTGGTATGAGTCTCGATCGCCAATTACATGAGCATGCCTGCTGACGGCTTCCAGTTTGAGCTCATGGACCTCAAGAAAAAGGGCTGGCTGAATAGCTATGAATTCCGGCACTCACTCTCAGCCCTGGGCTTCGACTTGTCCAAACCGGAATATTACCAGCAACTAGAAACGCACGGGCACCCGCCCCAAGACTGGGCGGAACCGCACAACTGCCCCGTCAACCGACTGCTCGTTTATCTCGACCAATTTCGCTTATGTGCCGCCAGGCTGATTGCCATGAGGGATCCACGCGACGAGGCGACCAAGGTGTTTGGGATGTTCGATTATGACGGCGATGGTGTCATCTCGTTCGACGATATGCGCCATCTCGCGCAGGATATCAAGGACGAAAGGACAATGACAGACGAGGAGATACAAACCATGATTGATCACTTGGACCATGACGGCAAGGGGGGAGTCAACTTGGAGGAGTTTATACAGATGATGGAGGAGGCAGGCTGATATCTTTTTGGCCTGTATCAACTTGTGAGGGAATACGGGACGGACTATATGTGTTGTAATGCGAATCGTACGGTGAAAATTATGTAGCGTGAGCGATTGTATCCAGGCAATCAACAGCTGGCCTCATGTGACTTCCATGCTTGTGGCTCAAGGCGACATAGGCCACCGTACCTCGTCTCAGCGTTCACTCCATCAGAGCTGTGATCACTCGGGGGTCATGTGGAGGATAATAAGGTCAGCGTTGTACTAGAATACGAAGGCTATACGGCACCAAAGCACGGCTGCTTATGCTTCTTTGTTACACTCATTAGTACACTTGACCTTGCTTCGACGGTCTACGCCCATCAAGACGCCCATCAGATTCACGATGAAGGCACGAAAGTAACCATGACTACTACCCCATACATCAATTGTGGAATGTAAATCTAGGTCTGGGGATCTGAGAACGCGCTATCTACCTCAGGGCCAATGTCCGCCCGCCCCATGTAATCAGTATCCGACAAAGATAACCACACTTCAGCCTCCCGTAGCAATACTGATGTCAGACGAGAAGAGCAAGCATGAGAGGGCAGGGCGTCAAATGAATCAAAAAGGTTCCGCCTAGAATTGGGGATTGGGAATTCGGATCCGAACGAGGGCTAGAAGTAAAATGTTGAAACACACGAAGCCCCGAAACGCCACTGCATTTGCCGAGTTCGGCTAAAATTGAATGAGGTCCTGGTTCTGCTGCTGTCCAGGCTGCTGTTGCTGGCCAAACGGATTGTTAGTCCCTTGGCCATTCATGCCAGCGGGAAGTGCGGGCACAGGGGGGTGAGGCTGGTTTCCGTAGCTGACAGATGGCATGCCAGTGAACTGCTGTCGCAAGAAAGGGTTGTTGCCGGTCTGCTCTGCTTGGAGGCGGTTGATGCCGGAGCCTGCACTGTTGACAAAGGTTCCGGGGGCAGTGTGCTGTGCCGGAATACGCATCTGTCCAGTGTTTCCGTACGTGTCCATTCCATCACCTGTAGCAAGCAGAGAGTTGAGCTTTGACTCGTGTTCGTTGAGCTCCTTCTGCTGCGGGTTGTTGAATGAGGGCTGCTGCTGCTGCTGCTGCTGCTGGCCAAAGGAGGGCTGCTGTTGCAGTTGTCCAGGCTGAGATTGGAAAGACGCCAGGGTCTTCTGCTCTGGCACAGCTCCCAGGCTATTCATGGTCGGCTGGGCGGAGGATGGCCGGTTGAACTGCGCAAACGGGTTATTAGAGCCAGTTGGCGTCGGCTTCATGGCCGCAGCGTGATCATTACTGCTGCTATTCGTCGCCCATGGATTGTTCGTGCCGGCCGAGGGTCCAGGTCCATCAACGGGAGACTGGAGCATTGTCGGCTGCTTCTGGAGTGCCTGCGGCTGCTGGCCGTAAGGGTTGTACCCAGTAGGCTGGGGCTGGAAGCCCTGCTGCTGCTGCTGGCCATAAGGATTCGCTCCAGTAGGTTGAGTGCCAAACGGAGTGCTGAACGTATTCTGGAAGCCTGTAGCCTGAGGTTGTTGATAGCCCGTATAGGCGTTGGACATGAAACCAGTTGGTTGAGTCTGCATCTGGTTCTGGCTTTGGTTTTGGTCTACCGGGTTCGCGAACCAATCAACTTGGTTTCCCTGCTGGTAACCTCCGTTGAATCCGGTATAACTTGGCTGGGCAGCCTGTGCTGGCGAGTCGTCAAACAAGGAGGCTGCGTTGCTTGCCTCGAGCTCTCGGCGGCGATACTCCTCCTCTTCCTTGCTCAGCTTGATAGCTTTGGCCAGATCGTCATCAACGTCGCCCACCTGAGTGCGACCTTCTCTCTTCTTGCGATCTTCTTCTTCCTGGTATTTGCTCGCCTCGAGCGCGAGCTTGTACTCTGCGTCTTCCTCTTCGTTGTTCGGTCTCCTCTCACGCTGACCGCGGCGGTCGCGGCTTGGGCCCGTGGCGGAATCTTCCATGCCTGGAGGGGGGAATTCTTCGAGCCCAGTGACGCGTGACTTCCACGATTTTCGGTCACTCCTCTCCGCACGCAGGCGCTCCTCGTCGAGGATTAAAGAAGTGATTTCCTTGGCGGCAATGCGGACTGCTCAAAGTCAGAGGGTGGACTGAAATGCAAGGGTGGCGGCTTCTTACCATTCTGGCCAACATCGCGACCCTCCTCGTCTACATACTGGAACTCGCGCAGGGTTTTGATGATGTAGATGCTTTGGCGAGCCCAGCTCACTACCAATTCCGATCCCTCGTGCAAACAGTAGTCGAGAACCTTTAGAGCTTTCAGGACGTGTCGCCAGTTCTTGCCCTTGTCGTTCAGGCGCTTATCGAGCATATCCATAATGTCGTAGAAATCGCTAGATCTGGCTCGTTTGTCAGCTTGGTTCGCAACAAAGACGTGGCTCACTAACGTGTTGAAAGTCATCTGAGCGATCTCGCTCATTTGCGTGCCTGTCGGACCCCATGGGTCATTGCTCGTCGCTACAACAGCTTGTCAGCCGCGGATGCCACTTGCGCGCGATCCGAATCTTGTCTACCTTCTCGGACCTTAATTTGAGTACTGGAATAGCCCTTTGTGACATTCCTGACACTCCTCATTACCCGCGACATGGTGGCGGCTGGTTCTCCAACTGTCAAAGTCCCGGCTAACGTTGGCAACTAGTTGCGCGGCGATGCGCTGGCTGTGATTGAGCAATGTAGGATATTGGAATTCGGCCGATGCGCCAGGCAAGTCGAGAAGTGACGTAGTCGCTTGCGTGGATTATCCGGCCGCGAACTGTGGTTTGGGACGCTGCCTCACTTCGCAGACTGGGTAGTTTCGGCTGCCGATCGAGTCGTATGCTTTGCGAGCGGCGTAGAAAATGGCTTCAAGAGTTGATTGTTCGAGGCGACCACTCCGGCGACGTCGTCCACTCTTGGGTGCAGGCGCTTGCTGTCGGGATACTACGTAGAGTGTGTGTTGGTTGGTGGGCAGTGTGTACCGAATACAGCACTTCTACTTGCGCGGTCAGTGCCTAATAGATCTGGTGTCTGGGAAAGACAGCCAGAATTTCGCAAGTCTGGAGGGGGTGAGTGTGTGAAGCTTAGTCGGGATCATGCCAGCCATGGAGACGGACGGACGCTTGGTGACCAACTCCAGTCCATGTCAGGCTCATGCGCGAGTGGAGACTGTTGCGGCGGGCGAGTGGCTGGGTGGGGCTCTCACCTAAGGTACCGTACCAAGAAGTGATGACATGTCCCAGGAGGCGCAGCCGCACGTAGCGCAAGTGAATACCGACTACCCTACGTGGTGCCAAACTGGCGCCTCGGGATGGCAGCTCGCAGAAGGGCATCAGACTATCAGGGTACAATGCTTGTTCAGGAGCAAGTGCGAAGCTACGGCTATGCTTGCTACGGTAGTTTCAACGAATAAAACGCGGCTGCGCCAGCACTCTATTGTGGATCTTCTCATGTGACACGCTTGGTAATTTTACATTATTCCAGCCACTGAAGCTTTCGCAATATGAAAGCGACTAGTCATGTGATAGCAACAGCACAGTCTTGAAGACTAAAGCATTATCTATGTTAACATCCTATATACAAGATAGAGCTGCCCGCCCCCGGTCGATTCCAGGGTCATCTTGATAGCCCCAACGCCCTAAACTGCCTACCCGTTGCCTGCAAACAATACGTACATGTCATTATACATCCTCGCCCTCGGCGTCTACATCCTCGCCAGCTTCACCTATACCATTGGGCCCTCCTAGTGCTTCAGACGTTCCATCAGCAATGTCGCTCTGGACTACGGCCAAGTCAACTTTGGCCTGGGTAGAACCCGCTGGCTTGGTTGCAGCCTTGTCCACCATCAAGATACCAGACTCGCCAACCACGGCTGATCCGTTGGCAACTTTCTCGCGCCAGCCTGGCGGGAACCCTGGACCACTGGCAGCATTGCCGTAATCAGCTTTCTTAGTCCCTTTGGGCCAACGTCCTGGCCCACGCCCAGTCCCGCCGGATTTGCGTTTCGCTGAGGATGCTTTAGGCCGTGGCGCAGAAGGACGGCGTGCGCTACCTCCAGATCGTCTTGGCTTGGGCCGCGACAGACTGCTGATACTGCGCGGCATAGGAGGCCGGCCCGGTTGTTTCGTACGTTCTCCCCTTCGTCCTCCAACAGGGGCCGGGAAGATCTCGAAGCGGCTTGCCGGGATAGTCCTGTATGCGAGGTCCCAATGCTCCGCCACATCCATGCTTTTACCAGTGCTGTTACTTGCTCCTGGTTGACTATTCTCCTTGTTGTCCCCAGCCTCGTGAGCACCAACCTGTTCCAACTCCGACTGAGCTTCGATTTGAAGTTGGGAGGAAGGGTCATCCTGTTCAGCGACACTCTCCGTTGGCTCTGTCACTTCGTTTTGTGGAAGCACTCGAATGTCATCGACCATAGGTCGAGTGATGGCCGAAATACCGCCTGGACCCTCATCAACCTTGGCCTGGTCGTCTTCTCTAGGCGCCACAGTGCTAATGGGACCCAGATCAAAATTGGCGATGTTGTTCTTGCCCATGACGTAGGGCGTCCACGCCAGAGCCTGCGGCTTTAACTTGACATGTCCTTTGGCTTCCCATTTAGAAACATATTCTCGGCAAAAGTCCATGTCGATGCGGAACGCGTATACTTTGGTTTGAGGATCTCGTACCAGAGCTCGAAGACCTTCGAGAGCAGCTACGACGTCGTCTGGAGTCATTGCAGTGTCGTCTGAAATCTGCTTGATACTCAACCCGTCTTTCTCATGTGCGCCTTCCCGCATTACGTCGAGAAAGTATCGGCAAAGCACTAGACGCCAGTAGCTGCGGTAGGATACCAATCCAAGATCCGATAGTGGCTTTTCCGGCGATCCCGTTTTCTCCTCCGCCTTGGTGAGCAAGTAGGAGAAGTCAATCAGCAAATTCCCGTACCCCTTTCGTTGGTGGATCGGTAGCGTAAGAATGCATGACACGTTGTTTAGGCTGCTTGGCCTTTTCTCCTTGGAGAAATAGCCAACAAAATGATACCCGGTCTCGTCGTATTCGCATAAGACGTAAAAGAGGAACGGTTCCACGTCGTAGTAAAGAGTCTTTGATCCGAGGAAGAGCTTGGCCAGCAGACAGAGGTTCTGGCAATATATAGGGTTTTTTCGTCCATCTACCTCAAAGAAGGAAATGGAGCCGTACCTGTAAATCTCGTCGCCTGGAGGATGCTTTGCGGCACACTTGAGCTTGTGCCGCCAAGCAACGTAGTCCGAGTTCATGTACTTGAGGCAGAACTCGCAAATGTAAAGCACACGATGTTTGCTGTACTCGTATGGGTAGGGCGCTGCGTACCATGTGTCGATTTCCCATCCTCCGAATTCGATGCACTCGATTTTGCTGCCGTTGTCCGACTTCTTGCCTTTACGGCTAGTCATCTCTGGGCCTCCCTGCAAAGCTTTCTCCTGCCATTGGACATCGGCTTTTTTCATTGCTTCCCTGAAGCGTTCTCGGTCGTCTTCGCCCGGCAAAGTCTTGGTCGTGTCCGCTTCGGCCTCATCCAAAATTCCGCCATAAGGCTTGCCTTTGCCATCGTCACCATCCCGGTCAAGCAACGAATACCAGGGCTGGCTATAGGCATCCGCAGTGAATGGAGTTTCAATGGTAGCTCCAGTGGCTTGGGTCGCGCCGGCCGCAATGGATGTAGGCCGTGTGGATCTGGGCTGTCCAGCTGATGACTTTTTGTCCCGCTTTCTCCTCGACAACACGTCTTTGAGAGGGCCAGATCTAACGTGGAGTCTGACAACCAAAGAATTGCGAGTTCTCTTCTCGATCGAGACTGGAGGTGGCTTGTTGATTTTGAGACGCAGTGTTCGGACCGACCGTGTCGCGCCTTCAGTGGATTGCCCGTCATCGTCAGCATCGTCATCGTTTTCGTTGTCGCCTATCGAGAGACCTCGCCGCCTTTTTCTCAAAGACACCCCAGTATCCTCTGATTCCGCGGGGGAAGTCTTTTTTTTCCGCAGAGACCGCTGCCTGCCCGTAGACGTTCCATTAGGCGTGAGACTACCAGAATCCCTTTGCGCCTGGATACCGGGAAGCGCATCATCAGATAGTGCCCCGAGGTCACGGCGCTGTGAATCCGCTTCGTCATGTGAGACTCCGCCATCGCTGTTTTCCCCATGGTCGGCCTCGGGCTCTTCGAAACACTCTGGGCATCTCCAGCGAGCTACATCTGCAAGGTTTTAGTGTCGCCCAGAATCGATCAGAGGGCACAGTGCACTTACCATTGGACTCACTCAGAGCTGCTGCATCTCTGGCGCATTGTTGATGTGCTAAAATCATTAGCAAAACATGGACATGACAAGCATCACTTGAACGTACCATGCTCTCCGCACTTTTGGCACGACAAGTACGGATCAAAATCCTCGCTGGGATCATTCTCTTCGTCTTGCTTGCAGAAGACACATGCATTGCTTGCTACACCCGTGTCGGAATCATCATCTTCAATTTCTCCTTGGGCATCTTCCCACGGGAGTTCGTCATCTGAGTCTTCGTCATCGTCGACCGATTCTGCGTCCACGCTGGCTTGCTCGGCAGCATCGCTGTCCGTTTCCATGTCGGCGTCGGACATCTGCGCATGAGCTCGAGCGGCGCGCAGTTTTGAAGCAGTGTCCTCCGTATTGCCATGCTCTCCACCTTCGTATTCGTCCTCGACTTCGTCCTCTTCTAATTCGTCCAGCTCAGATAGTGATCGATCCCGCGCTGCCACGGAGAGAGCATGCGGCGGCTGCTGAAGCATTTCGTAGTCATCCTCGCCTTCAGCATCTTCCTCTCCAGATGCATCTCTTTCACCCTCGGGATCCTCTTCAACCTCCTCTCCTGAGGCATCTTGATCAGCCTCGAAATCCTCAATTCGTCCACCACTTCGTGTTCGCCGGCCATGAGCGATCGCAATGTCGGAGTTGCTGTGATGGGATGCTTCGTTGAAGTTCGCCGGGCTCTGGTCCCATTCCTGGGTTTGTGAACGTAGCACGCTCTGCTGCAGCTCCTCCTCCATAGCCTGAGCGCTACTCATGGTTGCGCGGGTCACCATAATGTCACTTTAGTCCCGTTGCTGGTTGTTCGACATGTTCCGCAGCGACGATGGCAGACGCAAGCTGATTCAGTTCCTCTTATCGTTCCACGGCAAGCATGCTGAAGGCGTGTGTAGAGCACCGGCGCTCGGTCGTATCGTTCACGCTTTCGTAATGTAATTGTGTGTAAGCGGAATCAAGGCACGTTCGGTCAATGATGTGTAGTGGATGATAAAGACAGGTTTATCGTGCTGTTGACTCTTGTCGTCGCGTCTCGCGAACCCCCGTCGCGCCTGCCTCCAACTCCTAATGACAAGCAGCAGTCGCGAAACACTGCACAGTGTGCGCCGAATGGTGCAGAGGGGCGGACCACTAACCATTACGTTGGAGGTACAGTGTGTGACATTAGTTCACACATGACTGGTCACTTCGGCAAGCCTGCCGCTACCGGAAGCGCATGCCACTTGCTGGCTGGTTCCTGCCTGAGGCACCATGTGACAGCAGCCTCGTCTCCCGTCCGCATACGTAGAGCAACAACATCAGTCGACGACCGATTGACAAACTTGCGAATACGCTGTTCGAAACAGCACAACCCCAGGCGGTACCCGAAGTGATCAACGAACGATTGTCCAATTACTCGACACCCGCTTGAGCGGCGCGCAGCAGCAATGCCTGTTCCCTTCGAGACTCTCCTGCCCTATGGCATCATGATTGCTGTAAGTTTCATGGCACAACCTGCATGGGGAAGCGGTCGGGCGCACAGGACTGACAGGATATAGATGTTCGGTATCACGGGTACCGGTATGGCCGCCTTGAAGTCGTGGCAGAACGAGGGCAAGAACCCACGATATGATTTGGACCAGTGGGATAAGGTACGTCGACCAAGTTCAGCGCCAACTGTGTCACCGAGACTGACGAATTTGTAGCAAAGTACGGAACTCTCGCTTACGCACACACGACTAAGACTACGGACTGACCAATGTGTTAGTGATGACACGCGATGCACGAATCACAGGGACATTCCGAGGCCAGTCAGGGTTAGCACAAGCGCCTCCAGGATTCGAGCTCAACAACGCATGGAAGGTTTGTTTTGAACGCTTTCGTCGAATACCAAGGCACTGACCCGCGACAGATGGAAAAGCGTATAATCTGAGGCTAGAGAAACTGGGGAACAGCCTTTGTATATCAACCCAGCTCAGGATGGTTGGATGGGTGTCCAAGCATCAATCACAAGATTTCATTTTTCGATATGCGAGCCAATCAAGAAGATTCGAACAATCCGGAAAGATCGAACCAGCGACATCCTCGTGTTATATTGCTATGTCAGCTCTGTTTTTGTTGAGGCCATCGAGGAGCATGCAAGCCTGGCATATTGACTGACTTGACATGTAGCCACACTTCGTACACTGGCCCAGCTTCTGCAATGGTGTTCCGAGACCCTCCTTCCGATGCGTGCGAAGAGGCAATTCTACAGTGTCAGGTACAGTTGCATTGCTTTTGGCGGACACGTCGGTTTCCAGGCTTGCATGATTGCTCTGCTTTTTCAGAGATGCTTCCATCTCCGCAAGTTCATTGCCAGATGACCGTCCGTTGGCTGAACCGCAACCCCCCATGGACTCGCCCTCGTCACAGGCACACGAGCTTTGATCTTTGTCTGGCGTTAACCGAGCCATGTCCTCGCCACTGCGGACAATGTCCAAGATGGCGCTGGGTCGGACTTTCTCAAGAGTTTTGATCAAACTCCGTGCTGTGCCCCGAAAAGCCTCCGGACTGTATATGCACTCGGTGCTAAAGTAATCCAGCTTTTTGTGGTGGGCGTAGAGAACAATCTCCTTCTCGTACGCATACTTCAGGGGCTTGCTTCGCTTGACTTCGCTAGCTGCATGCCCGGTTACAATGCTCGTGCTTCTGGATAGGCGTGGTAAGTCGCCACGCAGAAGATTCATAAGAACAGTTTCCGCAATGTCGTCGGCGTTGTGTCCCGTCACCACATGCTTGATCTTCAACATTTTGGCCCCTCGATCCAGGGCCTGCCGTCGAAATACTCCGCAGTATGTGCAGTTCCCCTTCTTTCCGACTGTTTCAACGACTTGATCCATGGTCCAGCCGTAGAGCTCGTCGTAGCCAACAATCTTGAGGTCCATCTCGTATTGCGATGCATTCCGTTTCACTGTTTCCAGCGAGTCGTCGCGGTACCCCTTGATACCTTCGTCCACACTCAAGAGAATCAAGTCAAGACCATAATCATGTCTTTCGTTAAGCGTCTTGAGCACTGAGGCGAGTACCGTGGAATCTTTGCCTCCAGATGCACCAATGGCAATTCTTTCTCCTCTTTGAAACAACTTTGAGGATGTAATGGTGTGGTGGACCTCATCCTCAAAAGCAGCCAGAAAGCATTCTTTGCAGACCTTGTGGTGATTTTTAGGTCGCTTCACAACAGCTCTGTTTGTCTGGCAACGAATACAGGTGGTTGGCGGCATCGTGATACTGCTGTGTGTTGTGTCTAAGTCGTCGACAAGCGCAGATCAAGAAGCACTTGACGTGGCTGGCGGAAAGGACAGGCGTAGACCACAAGCCCCGGTCTTGACGTTGCAACGGTTGCTGACGGATTTAATTCTTGTAAGTAACGACCAAGTAAAATTTCAGAATATGGAAATGTAACTATTCTATGAATCATTCTCAGATTCACTCCATGGTTGAGGCCTAGGCCTAGCGTGACTAATCGCAGGGATTTGCAGCAGCCACAGTCATCAGCCACTATTTGGCTCATCAGCCACAGAGGGGTGGGGCTGGAAGAGAGTCGTGGCGCACCAAGCCCTAATTTTTCGTCCACCGTCCGAATATCCGCTGCACGCTTTAACTTTTTGCTTTCCCTCTTCAATTCCGATCACGACAACCGCATCCTCCCCGATCTTGCTCTTCACGCCTGAGCATATCCCCAACCGACAAGATGGTGAGTACCTAGATGCCTCATCTGGGCTCTAATGGCCACAGTTCGACCGAATTCAACTTGCGCAACCCCGGTGCAATTGGTTCTGTCGGCAGTATTGCACTTGTGCGATCTGTGAATATACCGCCCGCTACATGCGTCTGCTTTTACAGCGGACGTGGGTGATGACTTGGCTGGAGGCACGATGCAGCGCAGAGATGCCTGCCTCGTGTTCTCGTTAGAGTTCAGAGAAGACTTTTTGGCTTGAATATCTTGCTGATGTCTTCTTTTCTCAATGACAGCCCCCCAAATCTGGCAAGAAGGTCGCCGCCGCCCCGTTCCCCCAGGGCAAGGCTGGTAACAAGAAGGGTCCCAAGGTAATTCCATCCTCAACCTCGCACCCGCGGCAGGTACTGACAGTATCAGAACCCCTTGATCGAGAAGCGTCCCCGCAACTTCGGTATCGGCCAGGACATCCAGCCCAAGCGCAATGTCTCCCGCATGGTGAAGTGGCCCGAGTATGTCCGCCTCCAGCGCCAGAAGAAGATCCTCCAGATGCGCCTGAAGGTTCCCCCGGCTCTTGCGCAGTTCCAGCACGTTCTCGACAAGAACACCGCTGCCCAGGCTTTCAAGCTCCTCAACAAGTACCGCCCTGAGACCAAGCCTGAGAAGAAGGAGCGTCTCCTCAAGGAGGCCACCGCCGTCAAGGAGGGCAAGAAGAAGGAGGATGTCAGCAAGAAGCCCTACACTGTCAAGTACGGCCTCAACCACGTTGTTGGCCTCATCGAGAACAAGAAGGCTTCGCTTGTCCTCATCCCCAACGATGTTGACCCCATCGAGCTTGTCGTCTTCCTGCCTTCGCTGTGCAAGAAGATGGGTGTCCCTTACGCCATTGTCAAGGGCAAGGCCCGTCTCGGCACTGTCGTCCACAAGAAGGTTCGTTTTCTATACTGTGCTGTGTATAACTTATCAACTAACTCATTCTAGACCGCCGCCGTTCTGGCCCTCACCGAGGTCCGCTCCGAGGACAAGAGCGAGCTGTCCAAGCTCGTCTCCGCCGTCAAGGATGGCTTCATGGAGAACCACGAGAACGCCCGCCGCCAATGGGGTGGTGGCATCATGGGTGCCAAGGCCCAGATGAAGATCCACAAGAAGCAGAAGGCTCTTGAGGCTGCCACCAAGATCTAAAATGTCTTATACCCGTATAGCATTGGGGTTCAGGGAAATCGGTGTTTGGTTCAGGGCATGAAAAATGATGACTTTCTGCGGCCATTTGGCCTTTTCAAAATCAAGCCATCACAATGGACCTCCTATCTTGATGTCGTCGAATGTCCCATATTTTTTGTGTGACTCGCTTCTATATTTCAAACTTGAATTCCTCTTGAACGGGGAGGGAACAGCTGCACTCGTGCGCAGGGCACCTTTTGACTTGGGTTACTCGAGAAATGCTTGCAAGGACTTATTTTTGTCATAGTCACGTTAAAACGTCAAGTTGCTTATGTGTCAAAGCTTGGATATTTCTTTATGAACCACCGACTTCTTTTCCTATGAACCCAAGTCCAACGCTTAGTAGATGAGCTTGAAGATGTCGTTGTAGACAAAGTATTGCTTGTCCGGAGTTGCTGCAAGCTGGAAGGTCTGAGTGTAGTTCATGGGGCGCTCCTCCTCGTCGACCTGTAAACGGGGTCAGCAACAGCAACCAGCTGTAGATATTCAGTTCGCGTACCTTGAGGGCACCGGTGACTAGGATGATCACGCTGCCGTCGCCCATGCCGGGCTGGGCATCGAGGGTGGCGATCTCGTGCTTGACCTTCTGGAAAGGAAGACTCTGCACGATGTTAGCGGACTCTTTTCTGTGAATAATGAGGCTGTCTCGACATACGACAAGCTTCTCAACGATGTTGCCAGCACCGAGAACGGAGGATGACTCGAATGTCAACATGGACTGCTCGCGCTGTCGTGGGTGTGAGTTGTTAATCCCGAAAAATGGAGGAACGGGGGGCTAGGTTCCTCTAGGGAAGACGAACGTATAGGTTGCCCAGCTGAGTGCGGTCGGAGTCAAAGGTCTCGTAGTAGAACTGGACGAATTGCTCTGTGCGTGCCGTTAGCAATCATCTCGTGGTGAAAAACTCGTCTTGTCGCGACATACTCGCAACTTCCTCGAAATCTTAGGCACGGTTAGCTATGCTGCCAGCTGAGCGGATGTGGGACCTGTGTAAGCTTACTAGCAGCCATTTTGACGGGTCGGTGTTATCGTTTGACGTGTGAAGACTGAACGGCGGTTTTGGGCTTTGCGCGTCTGCGTGAAGGTCTGGAGATATAATGTCGCGAAGGTGGGAGATCGCACAAGAGGAGGGGTGCTGCCCATGATCATCAGCGCAGTTCAGTTGTGCTGCTGGTGGGGTTGAGGGGCACAGTGCAGCATTGGGCACCAGCAATCCTTTGTACCTTGCCTTAGCATTTGATGACGTGCCTTGCGCATTTCGACCCGGCGACAAGGCACTTTATCCTTCAGTCTAGTCATAGTATTGGGCTCAGCATTGGGCGAAGTACTACCTGGTAGACTTGGTCTTCACCTGCTGGTTGCCTGCATGTACCTTCCACCCACAACGCTTGGAAATGTCGAAAGACAGTAAGAATAGAAATTTCGCACTGTCCTTCAGTAATTGCATATACAGCTCCCTTAACGGGTCTTTGGCAGTCTGAGCTTTTGCAGCTCAATTTTCTTTAAAACCCGCCAAACGAAAACTCGGTGCTAACTCTCCCCATGCGCAACGTCAAAACATTCAAGACCAGATCTCACGAAACTACCAAGTATTCACCTGTCTTTTGAGGCAGGTGCAGTGGCATCCTGGGTCGATGTGACCATCTCCAAAAGGTTTGTCCAATTTCCATTTACTCTCGCCATCGTTTGGTGGCCACCCGTCTACGTGATGATACATTCTTCCATTAAGAACGGCCAACAGAATACATCATGTTGATCCAAATATATCAAGCTCAACAGTCTGACTGTAGACCGATTATCATGTCTTTTATTTCGAATATCTCATGTGGATCTTCGCTAACTCGACATTCAGCAGGACTCTCTGATCAACACGGCACTCGGAACCAGCATGTGCTCACTGTTCTGGTCGATTGATCTCGGCGGTCGTTCGTCTGGCACTGGATAAACTTTCCCATGCGTGTCTTGCCCTTCTGTGAAACCCCTCTTGTGCATCATCAATGTGGACAACTCGCCGACTTCGAGCTTCCGCAGTATCCCCTGTGTGCTGCTCAACAACTCCATGTGACATGAGGCGACAGCCATCCTGCGAATGCTGTGTAAACTATACGTACGTGCCTGTATGTACGTTGCACTAGACATGGACGGAGGTAATGTTCCACGTGGTAGTCATTTTATGTATATACGTAGACTTTTACGTCCTGGCCCTATTTGCGCCGTGGGAGTTGATTGCCACATTGTTCTAGAGATGGTTTGCTACCCAACATGCTGCCTCCCCTAGACGCCTTGCTGCCCGTTCCAATATCATTTGGTGACGCAGCCAGCGTAAACCGAAGCCGCTGCGCTTCGTACTGTCGCTATCGGCCTCCCCGAGCCAGCACACAAGAACTCACTTACAACACTACGATGGTGTTGCTTGGGGTTCCTGATAATCATTTCTCAGCCAACGATTTCATCGTATATAGTCCGTCTCACAGCTCCTCCTCCTCCTCGATTTTAGTTGATGTGTCCTTTCCTGATGCAGCAGCAGGGGACGTAGCATCCGGAGCCGGGGCATTGGAGCTCCCCAAAACGGCACCTAGAGCGGCGCTCATGCTCTGCGTTGCGGTGAACTTCTCGTTGTTGCTCCCCTGATCCATGCTCAGTCGATGCCTCTTCAGTGGACTTCCGATCAAAGTGTCCGGCGGGACGTCACTCTCGATTTTCAGTCCCGAGTTGGCCGTCGTGCTGCCCTCTTGCGATGCTGACGAATCGTTCCACTCTGGTCGCTGGGATGTCTCCGGAGTCGAGTTGCTGTCAGGATCGGCGGAGTGCGCCCTCTTTAGCTGGGCCGGGTTAGCACTGGGATTCTCAAGTAGGAGTGTGGCACTTACGCGAATCCGGTTGACGCCTTCCGCCAGTTCGCCCGAAGACTGGGCATCCTCAGGACCGAGCTTCTTGTCGTCTACCTTGTCGTCGGCATCTTCCATCTTGCTCAGCATGTTATCGTCGTCGTCTTCTTCCTCGCTGTCCTCCATAGTGATTGCCCCACTGCTCTTTTTACGAGACTTGCGCGCGGTGTCGGGTTTGTTGTCTCGAAATGCTGAAAACCCCACGGTCCCTCCTGACTTGAGGGGGCCGAGGGTCGAGAAGTCAAGCTGGGCAGACCGCCTCTTGGCAGATCCCGGAGTCGCGTGCGCAGCCTTGGCCGACTGCATGACGCCGATCTTTTGCAGTTGTTCTGTTTGACCACTGATTAGCATCGTGCCGTCCAAAAGGTGGGCATGTCAGAAGACTTACTTTCACCGCGGTAGAAGAACGTGAAGACAGCGAAAGGCTTGTCCGGTGCATCAATGCCTGTCACAGTCTGTGTGCTGATGGTCTTGGGATCTAGGGTTTTGGGCTTCGCAAAGCTTGTCGTGTGCTCAACGTCTGCGCCCATGTCGTTGCCTTTGCCCCCATCTTCCTCGTCGCCCTCGTGCGCGTCGAATTGGGGCGAGTATTCTCCTTTCTTGACCTCTCCAGATGCAAGAACACGGAACATGGCCACCTTGATTTGGCCGGTAGCCTCTGGAGGCTCGTCATCGTCTGAGGAAAGGGAGTCGGATTCGTCATCCACGGCTTCGAGGGGGGTCTTGTCGTCGGCGCCATATCTAAGAGTCTCTCGACGCTTCAGTATCCCATGTCCAAGATCGACACCAGAGTTGCCCTCGAGTCTGGCAGCCTGCCTCCTCGACCGCCTCTCGAACTTCTGCCGGCGCTTCTCCACCTTCTCTGCCGTATCGTGACCTTGCAAGTCCAGACCATTCAGCCAACGCTCGAGGCCGACCTCGCGGAACAAGAATTCTCGTTCCGCCAAACCGCCGCCCTCGGAATCTGGTACTTGAACCCAGCGACTATTGACCCAGGTCTCCTCGCCTGGTCGCAGCAGTGTAGCCACTTCTTCCTTTGGTCGGCCATCAAAGTAGATGTATGCAGCGATCGTTTCGTTTTCCGAGTTTGTCATGGGTATGTAGGGGTTCACGACGCCCTGGTACTTGCCCCTCTCCCCACCAGCCTTGGGCAACATGCCACCAACAAACTGTGGTTTGGGGTTCGGGTTTTCTAGGGTCGCCTTGGGGCTCGAGTACGGAATCGCGAGGCCGGGCGTCAGGAGTGTGATCGAGATGGCGAACTTGGCCGCCTCAGGCTTCTTGTCTTCACCCGTGAGCTGGGGCTGGGGTACGGGGATGTAGGTGCTTATGCGAGACACGCGCGATTGCTTCTGCATACCATACTCGGGCAAAGGCGCCGAGTTGGCATGGATGCTCACCGCGATGCCCTTGAAGCAGGGCATTGTGGTAGGCTTGTGGGTGCACGGTTCGGCAGCTCGAGCAGCTTGGGGTGTATGGAGGTTGGCGGCGGGACCTGGAGGAGGGTGACGAGGGGTTGTTCGAAGCAGAAGGTAGCCGTAGTTGTCGATTGGGAGCGCGACTCGCCGTTGACGGTCGCGGCCTTCCGAAATCTGGCAAACGTGCAGCCAGGGATCTCGTCAGGATGTTGCGGAAAGGGCAGGGTTTTCTTGACGTGCTTCAGCTCTGTCTAGCTTGAGTTCCCAGCCATCTCAAACCAGCGGTAAGGTACGGGAGGGCCAATGTAGAACGGCGGGGCCGGCGAGTGGTCCTAGTCCAAGCTGCCGCAGGCTGACTCCAGCGGATGGTAGAGTCTTGGGGGGTGAAAACCGTAATCACACGCGTCTCCGCGCCTGTCTGTCAGGATGCAACAGATTCACAAACTTGAACAGTTTCTCAGAGGACTCGGGTGGGGAGTGTGAGTGTGCGCGTGGTGCGTACAAAGTGCTGTGCAGTGTACCAGGTAAGTCAGATTGCCATCGAGCCTTGTGGATCGACAAAAGGCGGCTGGGTCCAAACAGTCAACTGCAGTGACAGCACAGCATTCCCGTCGTGACCCCAACAAATGAATCATTCACAGGTTCTTGCTGAAATTCGCGTCAAAAGCGTGCATATTTCCTGCGGCTTCGGCAATATGTCGCTTTGCTATTCAGTGCTTGCACTGTGGATCTTGAGGCACGCTGCAAGGAACAATCGGACTCAAAGGCGACTGGCTGACAACCAGTATAACTGAGCTCCAATAACTCACATCGTCATGGTTTGCGGCAGACTATCACGATACTCGAAACATCGCTACTCAATGACAAATCGGAGCGCAGTTCAAATGATCGTCAAACAATGGTCATGCCCCTACGTATCACAATGACATGGTCGCATTCTGGTCACTCTGCACTCAGCTCCCATTCTGCTTCATCGCTGGACGCCTTCACCTTGCCGACTAGCCCGCCTTCGCATCGATGTGCTCCCTGCCTCACTGAAGCTAGTGCCAACTCCAGAGTCTACAAATCTCTTCCTATCATCATCCTCGTCATCTTCATCATCCGCTTCTGCGCCCGCAGCCGGGACTTCCGACAAAGGTTGTTCATATGGGTCTTCCGCCTTGACCTCTGGCTCGTACTTGAGGGGACGCTGACGTCCATACGTGGGAAAGGTATGCGCATGATCTGACAGACTATCTTTCCCGTCATCCTCGGTCTTTTCGAGGGCAGCTGCCTTTTCTCCTTGGCCGAGGGGCTTGTAATCCTCGTCCTTCGACCGGACTCCCAAAGCTGAAGACATGAAGCCCCATGCAATGGTCATAAAGAAGATCTCGGCCGCCCAGAATGTGACGGTCAACATGATGTACATGGGCAGGCGGTATTGATGCATGAGCCACCTGAGTCCGCGCAGCTGGGCCGTCAGCGTCAAGGAGACGCTGTAGGTCTGCAGCGTTTGACCCGCTTCAACCTCGACGTATGCCGACGATGGCAAGCCCACTCTCCTTGAGAATGCCACTCTTTCCGCCAACGGCACCACAACCTCGAGCAGAGAGGAGCTAGGCACGAGCAGGTGCCACAGGAAGAATAGCACGCGCGAGCCCATTGACACAATCGGGTCGACATATGGGACGAGTGTCGGTCGCCTCGAGCTGTGAAGAATCTTGAACGGTCCGAAGCTTTCGTGTTCGTCAGCAAATGACCTCGCCGCTTCGTGTAGCAACGGCGACACATCATTGTCGAGCAGGTGTAGCGAGACCATAAAGTTCCCTCGTTCGGTGTTCGGACTCGATCGCGGCATCGACAGCGTTATCGCAACATCGTATTCTTGGTCCGCCTTCAACGCCGGCGAGGATAGAGACGTGAGGCCGTAAGGGTTGATTCCCGACCTAGCCACCATGGTCAGTCTGGCACCGCACGGGGTCTCCCCGAGGGCTGGTCCTACCCATATTGAAGATAGATGGGCCTTGTTAGAGCCAGGTCGGGTACGAAATTCCGGAAGAATAAAGCAGAAGAAACGATTGCAAACGGCAGTAGTGTAAGTGCGCCAGAGACAAGCAGCGCGAGATTGATGACTGCTCTCTTGGCTGAGTTGGATGTCACAAGGCGCGCAGCTTCCTGCAGGGTTTCCTAGATGCCGGTTAATTACCATCATGCTAACTGCGTCTTAGAGCAAGGCTAATCACCATCTGGAGAGCAAGGTCGCTCCTGGGCACCAGGACTGATTGGCCGTTTGTTTGTCGTCTGTGATTACTTGTTGGAGGTTGGAGGGCACCGCAGACGCGACGTGATGGAACTGCGGGAAGCATGTGAGCCCAGCCCACCCGCGTGTGTACGTCATTCCACAGGGTCTTGTCAATAGGCAGGTGATGCGAGTCGTAAGACCCTCAAGTTTGTCAACTAAAGGCTTGCGGACACGAAACTACAGTGACTCCGTGGATTTTGTTTCTTCTCTCCTTACAAGCTGTTGCCCCAAGGTTAATTGCTATCTCTGAGCCCTCTGCGAAGTCGACAGGGGGAGGAGAGTCGCCTCGTTATGCCCAAGGTAGGCCAGGTACTGCGCACCCTGTACACCTCACCATGATCAATGCATCTCTCACTAGGACCCGGTGCGCCACTGTTTCAAGGAAAGGGAGCAAGTTATCGAGAAAGAAAAGTTCGAGTTAGGTACAATCTGTCATCTACATACATCGTAACGCTTACCAACGCCACAAAAGCAAATTGTGGGCATATACATCCAAGCGCTGAAATCAACCCATATGTACAAACCCTTTCCACTCCATATACCACCTCATATACCAATCATTATTTAACACGGATCGACATAGTTGCTTGGGACCAGCCCGATACGGCCATTTCCTCCATGCAATTCGGCCTCCCACCAACCGTCGTCTTGGTGGCGCAAGATAGCAAGGTAGTCGCCCTTATTAAAGCCCAATTCCTCGGGGATGGCCGCCTGGTACATGTACATCGCGCGAGCTGCAAAAATTAGCCAACCTGCTGTGAAGCGGAGAGAACATCAAATTACGTACCATAGTGGAGGATAGGACGGCCATCAGATGTGTACTGGCGTGCTGGGTCTGCCACGCTCTTGCTGCGCTGGCGCGTGTCGCCATCGTACAAGCCCATGGCGCGGGACTCCGGCCGGCCCGAGCCTCTTCCTCTCTGGGAGCCATAGGCTTGCTCACCCGCCGGGGCAAGTTGGACAGCCATATTACTGCCGCTGTAGCTGCTCTGTGGGCGTTGCTGCTGCTGCTGCTGCTGAGGCTGCTGGTAAGTATTCCTGCGAGGCGCTGGCGATTCCCCTCTCCCTGTGTCATTGGGAGATGCTTGACGGTAATAGTCTCCCGAGTTACGGCCCGATTCACCTCCATACGTCGAGCCTTGCGACTGGCGGCCCGAGTATGGCTTCGGGGATGGTGTGTGATAATCGCGGCGTCCGGGGTCATGGCGTTGCGGCTGCGGTGAGGCACTGCGTGTGGGGGCCGGCGAAGCCGCCCGAGGCATGTCGTTGCCCCGAGTAGCTGGCCGGGAACTAGGAGATGCAGAGAAGCCGCCTCTGTCACCTCTACCAGAGTCGCCGTAGACGCTGCGGGCCTGGTTTGTCGCTTTCTTTGTGGCCTCCTTCATCGCCTTGGAGGTGACAGCGGGCGCAGGAACGCCCAGCCTGGAGACAGGAGTCTGCTGAGCTGGCTGCTGATATGAAGGCGGAGGATCACTCCGAGTCGGGGTCGCGGTGCTCCTTCCACCCACATTTGGAATGGAGCGAGAAGACGCTGCCTCAGTGCCTGGCGCTGGTGTGGCGATGCCGTGATAGTGATCAGCTGACATCCGAACCGAGGACTGCTTCCCCAAAGTTACACCCTTAAGTTCAGCAAGTGCTTGGGCTATAGGATCATTTTCGTCGGCAGCAGGCTTCGACGCTGAGGCCTGCTTTCGCCCAGTTTCCACTGGCAGTACGTTCTGACCTACGCCGAGAGCCACGCTGGCATTTGCATCGATCGGCTCCGGGCTGGGGCCTCTCTCTTGACCAAAGCTTCTAGACTGCGCTGTTGAACCGTCGTTGGCGTACATCTGCGGTCGCCGCACAGGGCTTGTGGCATTTTGAGCAGGTGCCGGGTGCCACGTGTTTCGGTTGACCAGGGCAGGAGGGTGCACGTCTTTGACGCTTTTGCGGCGGAATGGACTATGGTTTTGGAAGAAGCCACTCTTCTTCTTGAATATGCGTTTTTCGGGACCGGGTTCCGGCACAGACACAGGCTCCTGTTTTGTGGGCGAAGGTGCTCCGCTGGCTGGGTCGTAGCTCGATAGAGAAGTTGGGTTACTATATTCGCTGTTCTCATCGCGGCTAGATGGTCGGTTCGAGGTCAACTGAGAGCTGCGGTCGGACGGAGGCCCGACAGGACCCGTGCGGCACAACATGGTCATACCATCCTGCGGATACGGGTCATGTGGTACTGCTGCGACGGGACCGTGCTGACTGGCGTCGTAGCCCCGCTGCGCTGGTTCAGGCTGTCGCTGTAGTTGATGGTCCAGTGGTCGTGCCGGAGGTTGAGCTTGAACTGGCGCTGGAGCTGGAGGTTGAGCTGTAGCTTGAACGGGCAATCCACGATAGGGATCTTCTAGTTGTGTTGGTACGGCCGCGGGCTGGGCAGCCTGTGGTTGCATTTGTGTTCCCGCAACGTTCTCGCGGCTGCTTGGATTGACCGGTTCTCTATGTGCCAACTTGTTCGCCAGTGGCGAGTTCGGGTCGTGGTGCGACTCAAATGTTGACGGCTGAGGCGAGGAACTTCTAAAGGCCGGGTTGATAGTTCGAGAAAATTGGGCCACCTGGTAGTTCTCATCATCTGAATAGTCCGAGACGTTGTCGTTGACGTCGCCGCGACAGAAGTTGATGTACCTGGGCGCATCCGGGATTTCCTGACCTGTGCCTGCTTCCTTGATGAAGCTGACAATGTCCTTTTCGACGTCCATCTTTTCCAATGATAACCGGACCTTCTCGCAGGATGCATCGTCACTGACACAGACAGTCGAGGCGATGTTGGCGAAAGTCCAAAGGCTACTTTTCGTAAAGTCCAGGCGCTCCTCTTCCAAGTCCTGGAATTTGTCGGCAGCGGCCTTCCACTCGCGATTCCATCTCGCCGTGGTTTCTTCAAGAATCTTGACCGCGCTTTCGTACTCGGTATTGGTACTCGCAACGCTGATTTGTGTCTTTTCGAGTTTGGCCTTGTTGCGGCGCTCTTCCTGCCCCATGACCATATGGCCCTGGGCCAGGTACCCCTTGATCTTGAGGCAGTCCTGTTCGAATCGGTCTCGTGTCTGAGGTCGTTAGTCATTGCCCATGGCCATGAATACAGCAATGGTGCCTTACCTTGTTGACTTGCTGCGTTTGTTGGATCTTTGTCTTGAGCAGCTTCTCAACTGTGCTCTGTACAATTTTGCGGCGCTCTTTCATGCCGCCTGCGAAAGCTGCCAGTGGTTCTTCCAGTTCAGTCTTCATCTGGGCAGCAATACTTTGGTGTTGCTTCCCCATTTGTTCCACCTCTCCGCGCAGCGTATCGAGGGATGTCTTCAGCGACCCTGTTTCTTGTGATCCTAGAGCCTTGCGCGTCAAACTGAGTAGTTTCCTAGCATACTCTTCTTCGATGGACGCGCGAGCTGCCCATATGTCAATCGACCTTCTTATACGCGCAAAGCAGTATACTCACATGCGTAGAATGACCTCAGTTCGTCACATGTCTGCTTTGCGCCTTGCATGCGCTCGAGAAGCGGGCCAACGCCAGCATCATCTTTGCCCCAGAAGTTGTTGGCAACTGCAAGCAACTAAATTAGCTTGCACTCGTGTAAGAGGAAACTACGCAGCAAACACTTACAAGACATTGACACGGCCGGAGCCTCAGCCGTTGCTGCAGGCATATCGCCCAAATTGTGTTTGTCGCAAGTATGTTCGATTAGAAATGGTTACACCGACTTTGACGATGAGGAATGACTCTTGAGACCAGAGGCTCAAGGCAGAATAGGTCAAAGTTAATGTTGAGGTTTGTTGTCCATGTCTCCGTTTCGTAGCGTGAGCGGATCAATTGGAGGTGCATCGAGGGGACATTGTTTGCGTTGGCCTGCCTGAGGCGTTGCCCAGCAACGGCATCCTTACTCCACCATCGTCATTCTTCACGTGACACTGAACACGGCCGCCCTGCTCCCAAATTTGCCAGTAGGGTGACTGTGCTGGAGCTGCCGCTAGCTGGGCCGAGCTTTACCCAACAGATGGCCTCTCTGCTTGGCTTCGTCTGCTCAACGTTACCACCCATGCCTGGCAATCCTACCATCACTTTATTAGCGGCGCACTCTGATACGAACCACGAGAGACACCTTCTCGACGACATCAAATCGTTCACTGCGTCGCGCAACGTATTCTTGTCGCGTTGAACAGAAGGGGCCCCCTCCCTGGACCCACGCAACTGTTGTCACGGTCCTCGCAGTACCTACGCATCTGCCCACCTACTCGATCCAGCCGATTCACGCGACACGCCGCTGACGACTTCGCCTGCTGCGAACCGCTCTTGATCACGTTCACGTTTACGAGGGTACCCTAGTTGCGCGCCTGCCCTCGATCTCGCGGAGTGTCCAAGCAGGGTCACCGAGTCAACCTAACAAAAAACCAATCCTGTGCTACGCTTGCTCCGAAGCACGAACTTCCCGCCTGCCTGATTGTGTCAGGTGGGCGACCTACTTTCGGTCATCGATTGCTCCGCCAGTCACTCCATGGTGCCATTTCCTCGCGCGGGATCCTTTTCACCAAATCCTGCCCAACCACACTTTGGTGCGAACCACTCGCCGCACCCTTCGTACGGGTCTGGCGCTGCATTCAGCGTCAGTGCCAGTGGCAGTCCAAACAATAGCAGCCCGGCCGGAAGCAATTCCTTAACCAAGATTGTGGTTGCGCAGGTGTATCTCCTGCTCAGCACACTCAAGGACAACCAGGATAAGGCCAAGTGGGAGCAACAAGTTGATCAACTAAGAAAGGTGAGCGTCCTTGGCCGTGGTTCCTCATCGCCCAAGTATTCAGACTAACAATTTCGCCCAATAGCTCATCGATGAATACGGTATGGAGGTCTTCCCCAAATACTTCACGCGGCTGGTAGCCAGCAATGCGTCGCAAATCTTCCCCACCCACAATCGTTCCACGACGAACCAGGGCAATTACCGTGTCCTCGTGGAAGAGATGCAGAAAATATCCAAAGTTCCAGATCAGGCATCGAAGATTGCGGAATCGATTGAATCGGGAACCGAGGACATATTCCGTGATTTTGACCTATCAACATTCATGGAGCATTTCAAGCTTGACGCCTTCGACAAGACCATCCTTGCACTGGGCTTCAAGCTCTGCTCACGATCAGACCTCAAGACCAAAGGTGAGAGTTGTTGACTAGTTGACTCTTGGATCCATGCTAACTCATCACCTGCAGCCGACGCGATCTTGTCAACGAACTTCAACAACTTCTTGGAAATCCTCTCACGGCCTGCACAGCAGTCGCATACCGAGATGAGCCCCGGATTCATAGCCCTTGTTGTGGACCGTTTTCTGCAATACCACCCGCCCAACTTCAACGCATCCTCGCGTCGTGATCTGACAGGAGCTGCCCTGAATCGTTACGTGGCTGCTGATACTACACCACCGCCGGAGGTGGTCGCGGCGTTCGAAATGGGTAGGGTCCTTCTCGATCGCCCTAGTACCGCGTTAGCGAGATACATTCAGAAGATTGGCCCCGAATTCACGCGGACTTCGCAAAGTGTTGTCGAGCACCTTCAGAGCAAGCCCAGCAATATCACTCTCAGTCCAGAACAGGTGTCTTTGGCTTTGACTTTCACTTCGGTCAGCCAGGCTCGCGAGTACGATCCAAGCGCTTTGCTTGCCGGTCTCCAGCGAGTTCTACCTCCCGATTTCAGCTGGACCGACGTTGTTGTCAGCTTCGACCAACCCGGCGCTCGGATTTCATCGCCACAGTTCCTGCGCCTGTATGAGGCCTTACGTCCGATTGCGCAGGACCCAACCAAGCACTTTGACATCCAGAGGCTTTGGGGTGGTGCTTGGAATGACCCCGAGGCTCAACTGTCCTTTGTTTGCGCCTTTACGTATCTCAAACCTTCTGAGTTGGATGCAACTACCATTCCAGGATTGGTGTCCAGTATCAAGCTAGAGGACTACGCATCATCCTCGTCTAGCGTACAGCAGCGGGCCGCTTTCGCTGTCAAGCACCCTCTGGTCTCCACAGCCGCTCTTGCATCCATCTTCGACGTTGCGCTCAACAGCCATGGGGCGTCGCAAAGCGTCGAGGCTAAACGCCTGTTTCAAGATGTTGTCGTACCGAATCTCGACATTTTCTTGGTTTCCGCCCTAGATGTGCCGCGGGACAACTGGGGTCCCATGGCTGTGGACACAGTCAACACAATCTTTGATACATTTCTTAATAAGGGCCACGAACACGACGATTTTGTTATGGACAGCCTGTGGAGGAAGAACAAGGACTGGGTCAAGACTCGCTTGATTGACACGCATGCCCATAAGCCGCTCGAGCTTCCAGCTACGCTTGAACAGGCTGTCCGGCACGGATGGCTCGATGACTTGGTGTATGAGATGAATGGATTTGGAATGGACCTGGCATCCTTGGCCCATGCGGAGGGTTACCTGGACCTTGCCCAATGGCAACAGGCCAACGCTGAACGGAGCGACGTTGTCGCGCAGCTGATCCTTCGTTTCCTACTGATTAAAGCGCAGCTCGAAAGCAGTTACCAGCGACCACCGGATGGACAACCGGCCGTCAAGACCACAACTACTCTGCAAGTTCGAACGGTTTCTCAGCTCCTCCAGATCGTCGGCGATTACATGCCCACCATCAATCCCATCCCAGACCTGATCGCCGTTCAACGCAGTTGCATCACCGCCTATCCTCGGCTCATCAACTATGGCGAGGGTTTCGACGATATCATCGACGCCAATGGCAGGAACGGCAATGCGCTCAACTCGGTGGCGAACGCCAAAATGGAAGAGCACTACAAGAAGATGTACGGCGACGAGCTCCAGGTCAGAGAGATTGTCGGTATCTTGGACCAGTACAAGCACTCGCGGGATCCGCTGGATCAGGACGTATTTGCGTGCATGATTCACGGGCTTTTCGACGAATATGCTCACTTCTCTGGGTACCCCTTGGAAGCCTTGGCCACGACAGCTGTGCTTTTTGGTGGCATCATCTCCCACAGACTAATCTCGGAACTTCCCCTGCAAATAGGATTGGGCATGATCCTTGAAGCCGTTCGTGACCATGCCCCTGATCAACCCATGTACAAGTTTGGGCTTCAAGCGCTTATGCAGCTTCTTGTCCGCTTCCGTGAGTGGCCCGGATTCTGCAAGCAACTGGTGCAAATCCCGGGACTGCGAGGTACGGAAGCATTCAAGAAGGCAGAGGAAACGTTGCGGGAGCACGAGGAGGAGCTGAGACGAGGACACAACGGGACAACCACGCCGCCTGGTCTGGGATTCGGCGAGGATGGCTTCACGAACGGTCACAGTGAGGACCCTGGCTTGTCCGACGGCCAACCACCGCCGTTCCGTGCGTTACACGTGGACCCCATCCCTTCAGACGCTGGGTTTGAAGACCCAAGCGAGGATGCCCAAGACCGCATCCAATTCTCACTCAACAACTTGACAGAATCCACCTTGCATTCCATGTCCGATGAACTCCGCCAAACCATGGAGCACGGTCACCAGCAGTGGTTTGCGAGTCACCTCGTGGAGGAAAGAGCTAAGATGCAGCCAAATTATCACCATGTGTATTTGGAACTTATCAACCTACTGCATACCCCTAGATTACTGGGTGAGGTGTTGCGGGAAACATACGTGAGCGTCGCTCGCATGCTCAACTCAGAAGGGACAATGCAAAACTCGACAGAGCGCACCCATCTGAAGAACCTGGGTGGTTGGCTTGGACTGCTCACGCTCGCCCGCGACAAGCCCATCAAACATCGCAACATTGCATTCAAGCAGCTACTCATTGAGGCGCACGACACCAAGAGACTCATCGTGGTCATCCCCTTTGTCTGCAAGGTTCTGTCTCAGGGTGCTTTATCTGCCGTCTTCCGACCACCGAATCCTTGGCTGATGGACATTATCTACCTGCTGATCGACCTGTACCACAATGCTGAGCTCAAGTTAAACCTCAAGTTTGAGATTGAGGTTCTATGCAAGGGCTTGAATCTCGACCACAAGAGTATCGAACCGTCGGGCGAGATCCTCAACCGACCCGCACTGGAAGAATCAGCTGGCGTCCATCCCGCCGATCAGCTCGACACGTTCGAAAGTCTCTCGCTCAATGGTCTTGGTCCCGCGGTCGCTAGTGGGCTTCAATCACAAGCCAACGCACCTACACTGCCCGAGCTTGGCCCACTCATTACCATCCCGCCTGCCAACGAAATGGTCGTCAGCACTGGTCGCTTGCACGAGATTGTGCTCACTGCTCTCACGAGAGCTCTCCAAGACATCATCCAACCAGTCGTCGATCGCTCTATCACTATTGCTGCTATCTCAACAATGCAAATGATACGCAAAGACTTTGTCACAGAACCCGATGAGGCTCGCGTACGAACATCTGCCGTCAACATGGTCAAGGCCACTGCGGGAAGCCTGGCCTTGGTCACTAGCAAAGAGCCGCTGCGTGCCAACTTTACTAATTACGTCCGTGGCCTGGCCAACGACCTGCCTTCAGGTCTGCCGGAAGGCACAATCATCATGTGTGTTAACTCGAACATTGAGTTGGCATGCAGTATCATCGAGAAGCAGGCTGAGGAGAGAGCCATCCCCGAAATCGAGCAGATGATGGCGCCAGAGCTTGAGAATCGCAGAATCCACCGCGCAACTCGACCAAACGAGCCGTATTATGACAGCAACGCGAGCCGATGGTCCATGACGATTCCGAATCCCTACAAGCTCAGTCCTAACATGGATGGCCTCAATCCCGAGCAGATGGCCATCTATGAGGACTTTGGTAGGCAGCCCCGCTCCACCACAGCATCGTCCGGCCAGGCGCATGCTCCCTCGACGTCAGATGCCACTAGGTCCCTCGCCAATGAGGTTTTGCAGGAGCAATACACTCCCCTGCCCAATCTCCCAACGCCTGCCGAGACACCGTCTGCACAGCATTTGGGGAATCCGATACAACCTTATCCCCCGGTCAACTCCAACGTAGCGGGCAACATTGCCAACGGCCGAACGCCAACGTACCATCTGGAGATGCGTGCGCTCGGAGAGCGCATCAACAAGCTACTGCAAGAGCTACAGCGGGTCGCTGGCGAAGCACGCGAAGAGCACTTTGTTGGCTTGCCACGACCTCATCCTGTGCTGGATGTTGTTGACGCCTTGATGCAGCTCATTATCAAGGCTCAGGCTTCCGAGGAATTCGTCATGTATGCCGTGGAGCAGATCAGCACGCACATTTTCCAGAGCGAAGACAGCCTGACGTTGGAAAGTCTGGTACATGTGCTTGAGCATGTCATGAAGATTTCCGGGGGCGCTGTGAACAGTCGCGTACACATCATCTTCAGCCAGCAGCCGGGTCAGAGCTACCTAAGCCTGCCCTTGCTCAACGCACTGATCCACACTGATCTTCTAGACTGGAAGGTCATTGACCTCGCTTTGTCGCGTGCCTTGGAAAGCCGCAAGGAGACTGCTCTCGAATTCCTGGACAGCGTTCTGGACCTAGCACTGCTCAACAACAGGCCTATCGCGATGTTTGCTGACTTTGTTCGCACTCTAGAGGAGGCATGGGCTTGCATCTCCGAGTCTCCCAATTCGCCCGTGGCCCAGCAGCTCAGGGAAAAATTGACGGCCCCAGCTCCCCAGATTCTGGAGGGTGAGAATCAGGACGCGTTTCGACTGGACCAGATGGAGTATTGCTTCGAGGAATGGGTACACCTCTGCAACAACTTCAATGTGCCCGAAAAGGCCACCACACTGTTCCTGCACCAGCTTCAGTCGAAGCAGGTTGTCCGCAATCGCGATGACTTTTATGTCTTCGTCCGCGTGGCAATGGACATGTCATTTGATCGTTTCGAGCGCTGTATCCGCGCAGGCAATGTCGCTGACAGCTACGTGACCATCGATGCTCTGGCCACGCTCATCAGCATTTTCATCAGCTGCCAGGCCGATGATGAAGGTGCTCGACCCAAGCTATTGGATTCCGTGTTGGCTTTGATATCTCTAATTGTCAACTTCCAACAGTCGAAGCGAGGCGAGGCGGTAACGCAGAAAGTCTCTTTCCGACTCCTGTCGATGCTGTTGCACCAGGTGCTCAACATTTCGAGCGACTTCAGTGACGAAGAACGCCAGCAGATGGTGCTCAAGTTTGCGCGGAGGTTCAGCGGATTGGGACCCTTGCACATCCCGGGCTTCGTGTTTGGCTGGCTGGAGCTTATCAAACATCGCGCATTCCTTCCCACCGTGCTCAGTCTCCCGAACAACGAGGGTTGGAAGCCATTTGCCGATCTCGTTTGCCAGCTCTTGGAATGCGTTGGAGAGCACCTCAAGGCCATCACTGTCTCTGACATTGGGAAAGAATTGTACCGTGCCGCTTGGAAGCTGCTCGTCGTCGTGCAGCACGACTATCCCGACTTTGTGTGCGCACACCAGATCCGGTTCTGCGCCAACGTGCCACCCCATTGCACGCAGCTCATCAACACAATTCTTGCCGCCCACCCACAGCAAGCTGGCCAGCCGGATGATGCGGCCGGCACTGTGGGCGATGAGGCTACCAGGATTCTCCACGACAGTGGTCTCTTGAACATTGTGGATCAAGCTATCCGGAACGGTCCTTCCGAAGATGTGGTGGCGCAAATTGGGCACACCATGTCGCAAGATGGGGGCCGTAATACTGGTTTCGGCCATGCTGCCATGTCCGTCAACGCGCTGGTTGTCGGAGCTGTTGTGGTCCACCTAGGCAACAGCGTAACCGAGAGAGCTCGACAAGTCGGTGGGCCAGTCGCTGTGGCGGGTGACGAGCCTGAGGTGGCCACCCTTTCTATGCTGATCCACGAGCTGTCTCCTGTCGTGCGGTACTACCTCTTGGCCAGCATTATCAACCAGCTGCGTGCCCACACGCCCCAGACCGAATTCTACAGCCAGGCTTTGCTGCACATATTCGGTAATGACATGGAAGATCCTGAGGAGATGGTCATTCGACAGGACATTACCCGCATTCTGTTGGAGAGACTTGGCGGATTCTGGCCGCATCCCTGGGGATTGATGGCCACAATCGTCGAGCTCCTGAAGAACGAGAAGTATTCGTTCTTTGACTTGCCTTTTATTAAGGCTGATCCCGAGGTGAGCCTGAACTGGTCCTCTCTTTTGTTTGTTTAAATGGCTGCTAACTTGATCCAGATTGCCGAGCGATTTATGACACTACTTCGTGGACAGTGACAGAACGCTTGACCACGAACGTTTCACAACGTATTTTCAGTCCACGTGTCCACGACTACGACCCATATACCCCATGAATAAGGGTTCGAACAACTCAACTACTATCTCAGCGATCCCTGAGAACTTACATAGACAATTCGATGAAAAGTCACGGCGGCGGTCAGGTCATGAGCGGGATTGTTAGACAGGGCGAAGGCGCACCGGACCGGACGAAACAAAACATGATTGTGAATTGGACTTTTGTACGATACGAGCTGCAAATTAAGGCATTTTCTTGCGGGGAAGCGGTGGGGAGGCACATTGGCGTCACGGGGGGAAACTTTGTTGTTGTTTTTAAGAAGCATTGCATTATCCGGTGTACTTGTGTATAAGAAGGTGCCGAAATACAATTCCCATTTTTAATGAACATATGTACGATTGGATCCGAGTGATCTCGCAGTATATTCAGACCGTCACATAGCCACGCATAACCTGTGTGGCCGTGCCCGCCAAGCTGACCCTGTCGACCTGGCCATCTTTCACAACAACCTCGACAATAATGTCGCTCTGTCGGCCCATCTCCACGCCCTGCGTCATCTCGTACGTGATTGTCTTGTTCGTCGCGCCACTCCTGCCGGCTAGGTAGCAAGCCAGAGCGCACGAGGCGCTGCCAGTGGCCGGGTCCTCGAAGCTCATGATCATCCTGGTCCTCAGGTGGACCGTGTCCTCATCGCCGCCTTGCTTGACGTAGTAGAATTGGCCGATGATGCCCTCCTTCCAGTCCTGGTCGAGGACGATCTCTGGCGAGAAACGCCCGGGGATCTCTACCACAGCGGCGAGGGTCTCCAAATCAGGGAGCTCGACGAGGGCAAAGGTCATGCCCTTGACGATGCTGTAGAGCGGAGCGGCGAGCTCAGCGTTGCGAATCGCCGCATGTTTATGGAGAGAGGTGGATGGGATCTGATCTTGCAGGCTGCCAAGCGTGTTGGCGTGCTGATGCGTGTTAAAGGGGATGCCAGCCTTGACGTAGCCCTGTTTGGGGGAGTCGATGGCAATGGGCCCTGCCTTTGTGACCAGCTCATTCACGCCCTGGGAGAGCAACGAGACGGCTGTGCCGACGGTGGGGTGGCCTGCGAATGGGATCTCCGTGTCGGTGATGAAGATGTCAATGTTCCGCGACGAGCCGGCCGACTCGTGAACAAAGACCGTCTCGGAGAGGTTGAATTCGCGAGCAATGAGCTGTTTCTGTTCTTGGGTGGGGGCAGGTGACTGCGACGCTGGGATGGTGACGATGGCCAGCGGATTGCCCTTGTAAGGCTCCGTCGTGAAGACATCGAGAGTGATGAAGGGGAGTTCCATCTTTCCGGTTTTTTCTTTTTCGTTGCGAGCGAGAGGGTGAAGCTGTTGGTGATGCGTGTGGTGAGGGGTTCGGTGGATGCGGGACTAGGAAACCTCAACTGTAGGCGAAGAGAGTCTCTTAGAAGGTGTCGGTTAACAAACTTGAACTCGTTAATTCTATCCATCAAACAGAATAGCTGTTTTCTTGAGGTTAGGCACTCTGTTCAGCTGAGTTTGTGGCATTTGATGCCTACCTCATATGATAATGTCTGTCAGTCCCCCGCTGCTAACCGCAATGAGTCGACACATGCAGCGTGCGATCTCGGATGCATGACTCTTGAGGTAAATTATCAAATGATAAACTCCGATTTGAAAAGGCCTGACTGTCTAGACCTAGCTTCGAGGATCTTGAGGCCTCAATTACCCGTTAGCAAGTAAAAATATGATTCCTGTCCACAGCGCCAATGTCTCCGGAAACAACCAGATAGCAACCCAATAGAAATCAAACCCCAAGCCTGAGATGCGAAGCAAATACTGCGATATAAATGCATATCATTTTAATGAACGGTGCTCTCCAAAGGGAACAACTTCGGTGCGAGCTGGAAGCGCCTGATATCAAACGCCATCAGCCATGTTATGATCGCCGTCTTCGTCTTGTCCGTCGTAGCCGTCGTCGCTGTCCAAGTCAATGCCCTGGGGGACAAACAGACTGCCTTCATCCTGAGGGCTTTGGCCAATAATGCCAGCCGTTGAATCCATGGACATTCCAATAGCACTATCGAAGCGCTTGCCGACGGCATCATCCGCGATCGATACGATGTCGTCGTCGCTTTCAATCTCGAGGGTTTCCGTGTTCTCGACGTTTCCCATGTGGACATTCTCACTCTCCTCGCCGCTGTTGTCGTCGAGCCTTTCCGCGTTCTCGACGCCCTCAACATCTTCATCTTCACTTTCCTCGTCGCTGTCGTCGTCCAAGATAACCAATGGACTCTCTATGCTTCCGAAAGCTCCTTCTGGCTCAACGCTTGATGGCTGCGTGTGGTAGCTAGGGTCGGACTGGGTCGGTGTCTTAGCTGCTGCGTCATCCTCCTCCTCAGAGCTAGATCCGGTGTCTGATTCATCGCTGACGCTCGTGATGTTGTCGTCGGTATTGCCATTTTCGTCGCTGTCATTGATGGTGATCAATCCAGTGGGCACCATACCCGGGGCAGGCGGTGGCCCTGGATGAGGCCCTTGCTCCTCTTTGATAATCCTCGCCGTGTGGTATGCACTGATATCTTCCAGTATTGCGCATTCGTAGTGTGACAGTCGATAGCTCAGCAGAGTGGGATGTATTCCACTCATCTCCGATAGTTCCTGTGCCTCGCCATCCTTGTGTCGGTAGATTTGGCTCTGCACGCACTGAACAAAGGAGAAGTCACAAACGGGGACCAGTTTGCCTCTGCAAAGCCAGTGATCAAAGTCGAAAAGCTGTATCCACTTCACGCCTCGGAGGCACTCCAAGTTATCCACGCCCTGCAAAGTCTTGAGGTTCCGCTTGCGGCGGTTGTTCGGCTGTCCTACAGTCATGTCGTTCATGTAGCGTCGAGCACCTCCTGTCTCATGCTGGCGACGTATGCACTTCTCTGAAGATTCCTGGACATGGATCCGGATGGTTTTGAGGCGGATTGCCTGAGGTAAGAGGCCCAGACCGTGGGTACGCCTCGACGCATACTTGGCAGTGGTGCCTTTCAAGCCGTTCTTGAGTGTTTCATACTGCCGCGGGAAGATGAGACATTGTGTGCCTTTCCATAAGAAAGAAATGTGCCCAATGTGCTGCAAGATGTTGCCAATTCCCATGGAGAAGCGATCCTATTCGCCAAGCGATGAGAAGGCAAACACGTTATTGCCGTAGAAAATGGCCGTGCCCAAAGCGTTCCAGCGACGATTGACACCGAAAGCTGCCAGCAAATGCCTTGGCCGGATGGCATAGGTGATTGAACATTTGCCGCTGCCAATGAAGAAGCGGCGGGGAATGGCCATCTCGTCGGCCGTCACGCGGCGACCTTGCTGGTGTGTTTGGAGGATGGGCGCATGATGTGGGTCGGGCCTTGAGATGACATGGACGTTGTCGTTGAACACGAGTATGTGGTCTAGAATCCGCGTGAGTATGACCGGTGGCAATTTGTCCAGACCTGGTACGGCCACATCACGAGTGCTCTGTTCCGCGGTCGTTGCGTTATACCGTTCAACCGCAAGTTCATGCCTTTCGATGTCTCTGTAGCTCGGGGCCGTGAAATCGATACCTGGATGGACCGATTTCAAATCTTGACAAATGTTCAGCTCTTTATAAGCGTCTTTGCACACCTCCATCCAATTGCCATCCCCTTTGTTGATAAAGTTGGCAAACTTGTGTTTCCATGTCTGTCCAAAAGTTAATGCAATACTCTCAGATAGAACAACAAAGTGTACGCACGATATTAGTACGGGCTGGTCTCCGTCGTCCCGCAAGCTGGGCCCGAAGCTGTGCTTTCTCGGCCTGAAGCTGTGAATTTCGGGTCTGAAGCTGTGCTTTCTGAGCCTCAACCTGTTGGACTCGGTGTTCCAATGCTAACTCTCTGGCACGGTGGCGTGCGTTGAGACGTCCGTTTTGTCGATTGTGCCATGCGTCGAGCTGATCATAAATCTCTCGGAAGTCTTCGAGAGAGTGCTCATTCTCCCATTTGGGCTCTTCGGGCCTGGGATCATCGGGGTCGTCGTCGTCGTCGTCTGACTCGTCTCCTCCACCTCCTCCACCACCGCCGCCTGGTCCTCCTCCTCCTCCGCCTGGTCCTCCTCCTCCTCCTCCTCCTCCTCCACGACCGCCACCGCGGCGGCCCTTGTTAGGCTGATTGCGCTTCGGTGGTCTCTTGGTGCTTCGGCGGTTGTATCTGAGCGGAGCAAGAGCCTCCGACTCAACATCGGAAGTCACAGCCTCGTCATCGGATTCTTCCAGCTCAAGCTCCTGGTCTTCAGGGACTGTGCTTGCGCTGTTCCGGAGAGCGGTGCGCAGCATGTCACCCTCGCTGGCAGAGGTATGTGCTGTGTGCGCCGAGGGGGCTGGACTGGCGCTGCTGGGCACGAACAATGGACTGTCGTTGCGGAGATCGGGTGTGGTTGCCACCTGAGGGGTTCCATCGTCGTCCACGAAGAGTGACTCCTCTTGTCCGTCCACTCCTGTCTCAGTGAAGACGACATCTTCGTAGTCATCTGGGTCGTCGGCCATTGTTGACTGATGATGATGAAGTTGTGTGCAGAAATATAGAAGTAAAGAGAGGCCTGTGCTATGTAGAATAGATGTTGAAGATGGAGAAGGTGTAGAAGAGATGTTGATGGTGTAGATGGAAGAGAGAAAGGAAAGAGAGTGGTGGGAGAAAAGGATGAAATTTATACTTCGATCTGGATCGGGCTCGAGGAGTGCGTTCCTTCCTCGCGAGAAATGGCTCTCTCTTCTTATAGCTCGCGAGATGACTCTGAGTGTTATCCGGAAAGGCTGTACTCGTTTCCATCTGATCACCAGTGGTCGGCGCGGGACCGAAAAAGGAGGCCGAACTCAGGGGCCAAAATCAACAACGAGTGGGGCCGTGCGGCACGATGCGACGATGCGACGTGCAGCATGGCGGCAGTCGGCTCCTATGGACGAAAAAGGCATGCTGCAGGTCTGCTGTGTCGTCAACGCTCAATTGTGGTCTCATCTTGCTTCACTTAGTCTGAGTAAGACGATTGGTTGTGTGGCCGAAAACGCCCAGTGTCTTGGTGTATTGAGGAGCTGTCAACCATGATCCGTCTATAAATCATCAGCGCCGTCCTCTTCTATCTCTCCTCCGCTTCTAGTGGCTCTAACTCTCTTCACAGCGTAGGGTTCTGCATCTTGCGGAACATGTCCATCACACCAGTAAAGACAACCAACAGAATACCGCCACCAGGGCCAAGACGCAACACCTTGGGCAAGAAACCCTTGTACAGAGCACTGAAACCCTCCTCGCGGGCGACGGTCAGGACAGCAGGCCAGGCCCAGTTGTACTTGGGCACCTGACCGGGGATCTTGGAAGTGTTCTGGATACGGCTCTTGACGACGTCCATGGGCGTGTTGAGCATGGTACCCACGGTTCCACCAATCGAACCCGAGATCAGGTCGTTCCTCATCTGCTGCTGTTTGTTGTTCGCCTTGGGCATGAGCTGCCTGACCTGGTGGATGCAGCCAAAATAGCCAGCGTTCCAGAGAATGTGGCGCCACATGGTGCTCTCCAGACCCTGGTACAAGCTCAGGATACCCTCGTTGCGGATGGTCTTGGTCACGCAGTCGATGGCGCCGTTGTACTTGCCGGCCGAGGACTTGTCCTGCATGCGAATCTTGACCAGCTCAAAGGGCACAACGACAAAGGCCTCGGTTGCACCAGCAGAGGCACCTGTCAAGATGGACAGGGACTGGGTCATCTTGGGCGCGCCAAAAACATTCCGCCAGACCTTGCCCCACTCGTCGTTGGCCGCGAACTTGGTGGCACGCTTGGGCGCCTCCATGAGGATAGGCGCAGAGATACCACGGTAAAGGCGGGAGAAGCTGCTCTGGGTCAGCGTCTTGTTCGTCTTTGCTGGGTACGATTGGCTGACCCCTCGTTCTTCACGATCTTGCGGAAGCAATCGACCATGCCATTGTAGTGGTCAGCTCCACCCTTTCCAGTCTGGAGTTGACTATTCGTCGTTTGTCAGCTCGGAGTGTTCGATCGCGAGAGGGATTGTTCGTGGTATTTACACTCGAGTCTTGACTACGTCAAGCGGGTACCTATGCGGGTTAGCGACGGCATCCACGATGACTGAGGGAGAGGACGTACATGACCAGAATCTACACAGGCAAACAAATGATCAGTACAACAGTCCATCAGGATCGCTAGGCCGTTCTGCGTACCTCAGACACGCCGGCGATGGCGCCTGCCCACGGTCAGCTCTGGTGTCCATCAAGTTGGGAACTGTCGAGTACATACCTGCAGCGAACTGGTAGACAAAGGGGAGAGGCTTGTCGGACGACATGGCGGGCAATTGACTCTTGTCTTGGTGTGCTGAGGGATAGGATGCTGGTTGTCCTTCAATTGCTGCCTGTCGCGCGCAAAGAATCAAATGTCAGTGACAAGGTCAAGTCGACAATTCGGTGGGTCGCGTGCTGAGGGATTCGAGACACCGACCTTGGCCGGGAGCGGGAATTTCGACTGGAGCGCTTCGGTGGGCTGGAAGTCTGGACGCGGATCAAATGGCGGAGAGGTGGGCCTGGTCTTGAGGCTTGGAGAGCCACCCACTTTCCAGTGTTTCCATCAGCATTTATCCGGACGTGGGAAGTGAGGACGTATCCCGATCGCCGAACATGCTCCGGTGACAGCAGCCCATTTCACCTACCCTGAGGCTCTACCATTTAAACGATGCGACTCCAGCAGGCTTTCGCCCTTTGCACAGTAATCCTGTCGAGATTCTTGAGCTCTGCAAGTGACGCAAAGTCTGTTGTATGCTCACACTGGCAATCTCTTGAATAATGTGTAGTTGACTTTATCATGCTTGTGATTCCGAGTGGCCACCATAGGGCGTACACCAAAATTTGTGTTGACGTTGGCTTCTAACTTTGAGGTTTTTCATGTCCTGGTGAACATGTGATTTAGTTCTACTCATTTATAGTATTATCAGCGCTTCCCTTGCGTAGTGCGTCGGTCTGTTTGTACTTTCCTAGCTGAGGTAGACTTTATGTTCACAATGTCATACTGCGACTCCAGTCCCCGGGGGCGCGCCCACTAGTTCGCAGCCTCGGTGTGTCTGGTAGTCGCTAGTGCCCATGCCAGGGCAGGGGTTTATAGGCCAATGCAGGGTGTCAACAAGTGACCACGGCGATGGATGCTCGTGATGTTGCCCACGGCGGCGCACCATCTAGCCCGTGGTTCTCCGTAAGAACAAATGAGGAGCATCGCTGCGACATGTGCTCCCATTCGGAATCTCATGCCGCCATGTGTGGCATGATCGCGAGGGGCACCCTATACACGTTGGCGGGGCTGGTGCGCCATTGGCTGTAGACAACGCGCGATCAAGACCATGGAGGCAGCATCACGACAGCGTCCAAGTATACGGATGCTGGGAGTGAAATAGAACGACTGGAAAGATACTTGTATGAGTTGCAGCTCAACATTTAAGCAGTCCTTGCTAAGTACTCTAACATTAACAGCTTGATAAGTATTGGCCAAGGTGCACGGTATGGATCCTCGCTCGGCCTGACTGACGAAATGCGATGCGACAAGTGCTGACGCGCACAAGAAGCTCCGGATCGTCCCCTCCATCGCAATTGCCCTAACACCACCACAGCGACTGCCACCACCACAACTCTACCTCCAGTGTCGCCTCACCTCCTTCTCGTATCTCTGGGTATCAACACCAGTCCTTAACAACCTCAGACTGGCCTGTCAACTTTTGGAATCCTCGTACTCCTCCAAGGCGCCTCACGTACCTCGCAGCCACGACAGCCCGTTAACCCCGAACACTCCAAACCTCCAAGACGCCATCGCAAACGCCAGACACCAAACTTGCGACATCCGTTCCTGAGCGCGCCGAATCGCAAGACACACCTCCACACTCTCTCCGACGCTTTGAATTGCACCTTTAAATACGCCGTGTTCCAAGAGAGCAACAGCGAGGTGCTTCTCCAAGCGTCCGGACGAGCGAAACCCCTGCAACACCTTGATCCATGAGTCACCTGCTCTGGAAATACTACTGGGAACAAGATGTCGACAAATTTCGACGTCTTCTGGCCCCTGGCACCCAGAACGCGCACCCGCTATCCAAGAGCCCCGGCCTGAGCTATGATGGAGGCTTCCTCGCTAAAAGCCCAGGCGCCCCTGCCGGTTCGCCACGGGCTGGAGGCAAGACTCGACGGGTTTCCGGATTTACGCCTGGGAAACACAAGGACTCTGCGAATCTCATCGGGCGACCCGAAATCAACAGTCGTGACCACAGTGGGCTAACCCTGCTCCTGCGTGCCGCGATATCGACCGACCCGACCGCGCGCGACTTCATATGTGCCCTTCTTGAGCACCCGTCTATCGATCTGTACGCGCAGGATCCCGAAAGCGGCTGGAATGCCCTCCATCGGGCCCTGTACGCTGGAAATGTATCGATTGCACGTATGCTACTGAGGAAGGAGCGAGCATACCTGACAAGCCATCACATGGGCTCGGTTGGTAGGGTTGGCCAGTTGATCAAGACCAAGGACAAGGAAGGCAACAGTCCTTTTGATGTCTACAACTCGACGGTTGCGACTCGGTCTCTGCAAGAGGTTGTGCAAGCGAATGCTTCGGACTCCGATTCAGAAAGCGGTGACGATGGTGCTCATACAACAAGCGGGTGAGTCAATGCTCCGTGAATGTCGTTGCCGAGTCGCGTACTAACTGAGTGCAGTCTGCGTGGAAATCATTCACATCTGGACTTTCATTGCGAGGGAGATGAGCTATTCGTCTTCGGGAGCAACAAGAACATGTCTCTTGGTGTCGGCGACGAAGATGATCGACAGTTCCCCGAGCGCATCCACCTTCGCCGACCTGATTCTCTACTGCACACTCTGTACGCCGAGTACTGTGATCGACATGGCTTAGAAGAGCCTGATCCATCTCTGCCCGTCACCGAGATTCCCACCATGGTCCGCGAACAGCCACTCGTGATCAAAGACATGGTCATGGCGAAGCTGCATAGCGCCATCCTCACAGATGATCCAGTCTCCAACCTCTACGTCTGTGGTGTCGGACGAGGTGGTAGACTGGGGCTCGGCGACGAAAACACGCAATTTCGTTTCGTTCCCGTGCAAGGTCCTCTCACTGATAAAAAGATTCATCAAGTTGCACTTGGCCAGAACCACACTTTGGCTGTTGCGGATAATGGAGAACTTTGGACGTGGGGCCTCAACACGGAATCGCAGCTGGGCTACACCCTCCCGCCGCCAACCAAGGTTGAGGAAGAACCAATGTGCGTGACACCACGCCAGGTGTTCGGTCCCCTGAAAAAAGAGGTCATTCTGGGCGTTGCGGCATCAGCTATCCATTCAGTCGCACACACAGGGTCTTCGTTGTTCTGCTGGGGCCGCAACAACGGTCAACTAGCTCTCATGGATTCTGACTCGAGATCCATGGATGTGCAGCAGAGTCCCCGCAAGGTCGCTGCTTCTCTTCTATCGTCTCCCATCGTCATGGTTTCGGCGATCGACAAGGCTACAACGTGCCTCCTATCGAATCACACCGTTTGGGTCTTCACCAACTACGGATACAACCTGGTCAAGTTTCCTGTACCGGACGTCTTTGCAAACTTTAACATATCGGCTTCATTCTCAAACAGATACGAGCCAGGAAGGAACAAAATTGGCTACGTCACCTCAGGCGGGGAGACAATCGCCGCCGTCACCAGGAGCGGCGACCTCTTCACAATGCAACTGAATCAGAAAGCTGAAGCTCACCAGATGGCTTCGACAACGAACCCCACCAAGATCAAAGGCGCGCTCAGTCAGCCTCAGTGCATCTGGGACTCGCGCAAGGATGGGGCCATGTCTGTCAACGTCGGTGAGCACGGCTCCGTGATCATTTGCACGGAATCTGGTGCGGTGTGGAAACGAGTCAAGCGCAACAAGGGAAAGGGCGCGGCTTTCGTGGGAAGCGAGCTGCGAAGGAACGATTTCAAATTTGAGCGTGTGCCGTACATTACAGATTGTGTTTCGGCTCGAAGCTCGACCTTTGGGGCCTTTGCGGCGATAAGAAAGGACAGTAAAGTCATGTCGGAACAGATCAAAGTTCAGGAGAAGTCTCTATGGCGCGACGTTGCTTCACTACTCGGCCTGGACGACTTCAAGGCCGGGCTGATGGAGCTTAATGCATACCGGCCATGGGACGGCTCCAGCAACTGGGAACTGCCTCCCGCTTTCCTCAAACCCGAAGCATTCGAGGACACCTTTGCTCAGTGGCTACGGGGCAACGCGCGCCGCCATGAGGATGCGGATATGTTTATCGAGAGCACTTCAGTACCAAACCTTCGAGTGCCTGCTCATAGCTTCGTCTTTGCCGGCAGAAGCTCGATCCTACGCCAAGCCTTTGCCGCATATCGGAATGACGGTGTCCAGACAGAGTCTGACTGCTTTGTTCTCGAAGAAGCTGAGGGCAAGCTTGTGCTCAGACTCGTCAACGCTGACTTCTTGACTTTGCTCAACCTGGTCACTTTTGCTTACCAAGACGCCATGGTGCCCGTATGGCGCTACACGCGCGAGGCTCCTGCGTATGCGTTCCGTTTCAGACAGGTCCGCACAGAAGTGATGAAGTTGGCCACAAAACTCGACCTTGCTCAACTGGAAGCTGCCGCAAGACTGCAGCGTTCGATGGAGCGCTCGCTCGACACCGATTTCCGAGTTGCTACGGAAGACCCGCTGTTCTACGAAGACGCAGACGTCGTACTTGAGCTAGATGGTGACGAGGTCCCTGCTCACAGTTCATTACTTTGTCAGCGATGCCCCTTCTTCGAGGGCATGTTCAATGGAAGATCCCAAGGCGGATGGCTTGCCGGGCGTCTAGATCAGCTCGGGTCTGAGCACAAGGTTCGGGTCGACCTCGCGCATGTGAGCCCAGACACGTTCTACTACGTGCTGCAGCATATATACTGCGACGCAGGTTCCGAGATGTTCGACGAAGTCGCTGCTGGTGACATTGATGACTTTTCCGAGCTCATTCTGGATGTCATGAGCGTCGCGAACGAGCTGATGCTCGATCGTTTGGCGCAGACATGCCAGTCCATCATTGGCAAATTCGTCACAACGCGCAACATTGCGAACCTGCTCAACGAAATCAGTCCCTGTGTGGTAACGGACTTCAAAGACACGGGCCTGGAGTACATCTGTCTCCAGCTTGAATCGATGCTTGAGAATCATCTGCTTGAAGACCTTGATGAGGACCTCGTTCACGAGCTCGACGAGATCGTCCGGGAGAACCAACTCGCTCGTCTCCCCATTGGTCGAAGTGGTCGCGCTGAGCTGGTTCTCCATGACAAATACCCTGAGCTGGTGGCCGAAATAGAGGAGGAGCGCCGTATCCGCATCAAGGAACTCGCGTACAGGGCAGTGCTGAAGGACGATGATAGGAAGGGATCATCATCTATCAAGAGTCCCAGCCTGCGGCCCAAGAGCTCAATGGCCGACATGATCTTCGATATGGACGAGGATAGAACACCTGGCAGGCCTGCCGCATCCCCCATGATTTCGGGGTCGTTGGACAATTTCGACCTGGACATGGAGCATGTATCCCAGCTTCCCAAGTCCTGGCAACAAGCCAGAGACAGAGCCACGCAGAGCCCTCTTGACACAACACCGCTGGGAGTTTCACCTTTATTTGCGGCCAGATCGCCTCCCAATGCCGGCGGGAAGCCTTGGGCATCAGCTGCCCAGCCGATGCCGAAGCTTGGGTTGAAGGATATTTTGTCGGAAGTCAAGCCAGCCTCAGCGCTGAGTGCAGGCTTGGCTGGTCAGGCTAAGGGCCCTCCTGTTCCGACTGACAAGCTTTCGAACAATGCGGCCGCGCCCAAGCTGTCACAGAAGGAGCGGAAAAAACAGATGCAATTACAGGCAGCAGCTGAAGCAGCCGAGAAAAACGTCAAGTCACAGCAAGTGCCCTGGGAAACAGTGCCCTCTGGCAGCAAACCTGCCACGGCTCCTTGGAAGGCAGCGGCTCCCGCTTCCAAGATGTCCATGAAGGATGCAATGTCGGCGGAATTTGCCGCCAAGGAGGCTGTTGCCGCGAGTGCGAAGCCTCTGATCGCATCGGAGGCTAGCCCAGCATCGTCTAGATCCAAAGTGCGAACCGCATCGCCAGACACTCGATTCTCGGGTCAAAGTCGCACCAATAGCTCCCCCATCGTCCCATCCGCTTCCACCCCGCAGCAAAAGGAGAAGCCGCTAGTACCTCACTCCAAGTCCTACATGACTCCAGCTCGGAAGACGGAGGACTTTTTGGGCGCCAGCATGTCCGATATCATTGGCCAGCAGGCACGTGAGCAACAGAAGGCCAAAGAAGCTGTTGCGAAGCGGTCTTTGCAAGAGATACAGCAGGAACAGGAGTTCCAAGCGTGGTGGGATCAAGAGAGCCGTCGTGCACAAGAAGAGGAGGCGAGGAGGCTTAATAAGGGCTCCGGAAAGGAGCAAAGCGACAAACCGGCTCAACGTGGCCGGAGAGGCCGGAACCACAAGCCAAGGGGCAAGACTGAGGTGGCAGAAGCCTCTGAGAACGTGGGAAATGGCACTCCAACGGGGGCCAACAGAGGCGCCAGAGGCGCAAGAGGCAGAGGGCGCAAGACCTGAGTTGGTATGCTTATTTCTTTGCTGGTCTCAGTATTCTTTCTGGTCCCCATTGCGACATCCTGTGGTCGATCGGTTGTATAAATAGAGGACAGTCATATATGGGTTAGAAAGGTATCTCGCTTCGGTGTTACCATATTATGGACATAGAGTGGGAAGGTTTACGAATCTACAATCGTACAATAGGGAAAGGCAAACGCTGTGAGAGTATACGATAATGAGATACCCATTGATTAGCATCGTTAGCTCCTCCATCTCAGCCTCTGACACAAAATGCCTGTTACGTCTACCTTAGTAACTATCTACTACAGTATTTCCCAAAGCGGAATCTGGGTTGATCACCAGGCCCAGGCACATGGTGTTGCATCAAGTTCCCCCCCCCCTCACTGTGCTGATGATAAGCCACTGTCACAAGTCGGCTTATCACGATGCAGGGAGCTAGCACGGACGGGTGTGACTCGTCGACGATGACTCTCTTGTTGGCCTGCATGTTCGTTGTGGGCAGGGAGTCAAGCCTCCTTTGTATACTTTCATTCTGCGGCACTGAATGGACCTGCATGAGGATGAACGCTTCATCTATCAAGGTGCCTGGCCACCTGGCTGGCTGCCTGCCCGCTTGCATGTGTGGGGACCATATGTCGCCTTGCCTGACTGGAGCGGTGCCTGCCTATCGGATCACGACGTGGTGGTCGCCGCGACGAAGGTGAACGTCAGAAAACATCGAAGGCCACCTTGTTAGGGATGACTCTAGCGTAGGTAGCCTGCAGGCAACAACAAGCCAGACACTCGCGGACCAACGGTGTCTGAAAGCGCCTAGTCTGATTTTGGAGACAGCGGGGTCACTAATTACCTCCCACCACTGCACCAAAGTCTGGTGTGTACCTGCTCAATTAAACTTGTCGACATTCTTTATCTTATCTGTACCCTCCATGATGTTGATGCCGATCGCAAACGAGGCAACGAGGTAGATCGACGGTTACGTCGATGCCGCTAGAACAAATGATCTTCAATCCGAAGAAGTTTGGATCTGGGGATTTCAGAACATGAGATGAATAGATGCGAAAGACATTGTCTGGCTTGTGGGCGAAGAAGTGAATGAATAATAGTACCTTAGGTCATGCCGATGACGAAAGGCGTCATTGTCTCCGGTATCGTCATGGCCATCACGGGACTGCAGGAACGAGACCGCCTTAACCCCTTGGGCGGGTGAACGATCTCTTCGACTCCTATTTCAACCAACTCCTACCTCAGGCAGCAGCTGTATAAGTCATCGCTCTCGCCAGGCACATTCCCGCAAACTGTATCGGGCTGCAAGTTGTGGTGAATGCATGGTTGAGTCAGTCAGTCAGCCCGTGTGTCAAGGTTCAGGTACCTTACCCTCTGCTGGCGCGCGCGACTGGACCCAAGTCACTTCACTTCGCCAGCAGCTGCATGTCGTCCACCACCACCAGCACCTCCGCGACGCACCTTTGACGACTGGACTCAACAGCTCCAACACACCAGACCGCCCTCTCGACTCCCGCTTCATCGAGATTCCATTCTCCTCAATCTTGCATTGGCTTCCCAGTACACACTACGAGCCTCATCCTCCCGCTGGCATCGTGGTGTAATTGTCCCTACCATCTTGCTAGGCACACCACTATCGAGACGAAGATAAGCTGCCACCAACGATGGAACAGCACGTCCGCTCCACGGACGAAAAGACGACGATAGCAACTGCTTGATCTAGAAACTGCCCTTCGAAAAAACATAACGACAGTATATACGTACAAATTATATACACCAAAAGGGGGACATGCATCAGCAGCCCCGAGCGCCTCCGAGGACGGCCTCGCCGGCCTCCTCACCCCAAACGAACCCAGCTCGGACGAACAACCCGCGGCAAGCAGATGAAGAGACCAGCTTGGTGACGAGGGCAAGGACGGGTTCGAACGCTTCCAGGGGAGGAGATTCTCTCCCATCCCCTTCGCCGACCGCCGATCACGCGCTGGCGATGCCCGGGCCGCCTGTTGAAAGCGTCAAGAAGCTGGACCAGATTGTGCAGGTTCGTTTGATCGCACATTGCATGTTCATGATCAAGGTGTGCTAATATGGGCAGAACTTCTTTAATAAGGTTGCTGTACTGGTGCTGGATTCAAGGATCAAAACAAAGCCGACAAGGACTGCGAATGGCGTCAAGAAGCCTAACAAATGGGTGAGTTCACATTGCATCGGACTGCCTGATCGATTTCTGACAGAAGCCAGTTTCAACTCGAAACAGACGAGATTGACGATTTCCGGGACGAGCTCAAGACATGGAAGCTGAGCGGGAGCATCGACAGCAGGCCACCTCCTCTCATAATCGAAGTGTACCTCGACACATCGCGGCTGGAGAGCAGCCAGAGCTTGACAATTGTGGATGAAGAGGGGAAGAGATGGGACGTCATGGAGCAGCTCAGCGAGGTGAGCGCAAACGGCACCACGACGAGGAACACACAGGTCATCCTCGAGCGGTGGAAGGTGGAGCTCAGAGCGACAGACAACCCTCCTTCGGATGACTTTGGTCCATCGCTGCCGACCATCTACAAGAAAGCGATTGTCTTCTTCCGATCCTTCTTTGCGGCTTCGAGACTACTACCAGCATGGCGCTTTGCCAGCCAGGGCGCAGCCCGGAATCCCCATCCAGCATTGATCCCGCGTTGCCGGATACGGACATCGGATCCGCGCAGTACGGGCATTGACTTGCTCAAATCGCCAATCGACGGAAAGTCTGACGCAACGACGGATTATTTGTTTGGCGACCTGGACATACCAGTGGGCCGGATGGCGGTGGCGGTCACTTACAGGAATGACTGTAGTTTTCGCATCGACGATTCCGAGGCACTGCTGAGTTCTCGATTCATGGGGGTTGATGAGAACTTCTTCAAGCCTTCGTTACAACAACATCAAGCTGATCGATCGCGGAACCACGTGGCCGAAATTGGCTCATTGCGTGATCGACGACAAGAACGAGGCATTGGCAACGTGCGGCAAACGTACGGCAGCTTGTCCACTTTCCACGGTGATGCTGCTCTTGGGACCAGCCCATTGACGGCCCTCAAATCTATTCGACCGCCTGGCTCAGACACAAGCTCACCGCCGGCGTCCTTTCCCAAACACTCTGACATCCACCCGCCGAGTTCTCTGCCAATGGCCAGCCGGGTACCATCTGCCAGACCATCTATGAGAAGCGACGACAGCACAGGTCGTCGGCCATCTGTTTCTTTCCAGCCTTTCAAGGCAGGGTCGCTGTCGGGGTCTCCTATCCCCCGAACCACAGAGTCTGATACTTCAAACTCACCAAACTCATACCAAAAGCCGCCATCATTGTCGCAGCCGCGAAGTAGAACTTCGTTGACTGCGGGCAATCCTGCTTCACTAAGGGGCGGGCCGCCGACACCTCAACCCGCCGAACCCGCTGGTGGGAGCTCGCCAAGGCCAGGCTCGACGAGTCGCTACAGCAGCAGCTTCACCCATCGACGCGGTCGGCTGTCTGTCGGCGGAGCGAGTAGGACTGGGGACGACGAGCAGAGCAGCAGCGGCAGGCAGAGTCTGGCATCCTCACTCGCCCAACCTGGCTCGGGGCTCTTGGCTGAGCCTGGCGCGAGCTCGGGCTCCTTGGGCGCCGAGGAAGATAATATCTCGGAGTTCCTCAAGGCGCTTGACAGCAAGAAGACACTCAAGAGTTTCGACTCGCCCAAACGCGGCGAATCCGCCACGAACAAGACGGTGGCTCAACTATCAAAGTTCCACATGATGAGAGAATCCAACAACGCTCTGACTGAGTCCATGACCTCGTCAGTTCAGATGCAGAGGTCTCTGAGCTCCTCGAGTCGCCACATGACGAGCAATCCTGGCATGGTCACTGGATCCATTTCTGCCTCCTCTTCCCCCAGCAAGCCGCACTCTCCGCATACGCCCCATACGCCCGCCATCCCATCGCGACTCAGCGAGAACTCGCTCATAGACGACTCGTCGACCTCGAGGAGGGTGTCGTCTCGACGACCAGCCGCACCAGAGTCAACAGTTCCCGAGTCGAGTCGGGAGAACACCATCACCGGGGAGGGCACTACTGCCATTGACATCCCGCTATCCCCGCGCTTGGGCTCTTACCAGCGACGATCCAGCTCAGTTGCCCAGCAAAGCCGTGCAGTCATGGACGACGACACATCTGATCTTCCTTTCGCAACCAACCGTAGCATTAGTCTAGGGGCCGACGACCGAGATCCGCCCACTATCAGTGGCTTGCTTGGCCGGCGGTTGGACCAAGAGGCCGAGCAACAAACTTTGCAGCCTGCTGCCGACATTCGCACGACCGAAACATCTAATGTCCTCAACCGCCAGGATTCGAACGAGGACAACAACCCGCCGGACGCTTTCCTGTCGGGACTGCCCAACTCACCGTATGGCCGCAAGAGATACATGGGCATGGGCGCGCAGAGGAATCGACAGACCCCTCCACAGTCATCCCGTGGCAGTTTCACGGGTTCTGGCAGCAGGCCCGGGCGAGAAGATGCCGAGTCCCTCAGTGGGGAGCCCCTGATGTTCGACCTGTCCGAAATGGACCCTCAGGGGCGAAGAAGTCTGGAAGCAGACAGGGGAGGCAATTCGCGGAGGATGTGGTAGAGGCTTGCATATTGATATTCACCCGTGCATATGGCGAAGATTGTAAATCATTTTGGAGGTATCTAACTTGGGCGTTTGGAGAGCCGCGCACGCACACGGGGTCCAGTCATGTCTCTGCTGGCTGATCGACGAGTCTTATTAAAGAGAAGGGCGGGCGATGGGAGTCTACTGGATTTTGCGCATCACGCCACATTCCTTTGGCAGATATCATGGTCACCACAGCTAGCGAGTGTATTACAGAAGACTACTTGAACATATATTTGTGATTTGCTCTGGAACAGGCCAATGCGTAGGATGGCATGACGACGCTTATGAGTCCTGACTGGGGGCACGTGTGGCGGTGGGGAGGATGTTCGCGGTCCCATCCCTGGCATCCCCAGTAGCGACGGCGACAATTACCTACAGATGCAACAGAATTCGAAAGACAACCCCCCAGTCTGAGACTTGTTGATCCAGTCTTCTCTTTCATCCATCGCCTTTATCAAGCATCATCCAAGTTCATGTAGCAGCTGCGCCACGATGAGAGGCTGGTGTGGCGCGTGGCGCAGTACGTCATGGCGACGAACGCCGTTGGGAGCTCAGCCCCACGCTCCGCACCTGATAGCTCAGGCTTGAGGCTCCTTCGCCCGCTGTCTGGGCCTTGTTGGCTCATGACGAACTGCGCAGCCTGTCCACGCTACCAACTTACATACTTGGCCAGCCTTCTTCTGCCTGACGACCGAAGCTGCAGGCTGCAAAGTTTCCTGAACAAACCGACCATCACCTTCTATACAGTGGCGGCTTGCGTTTCTTTCCTGCGGAATCGCCAAACGTCATCTTGTTGTAGACTGTCCAGCCTCGCCTAACTCAGATTATCATACGAACGACGACTGCGACCAGCGAGCGAGCTATTGGCATAATGTTCCGTGCGGCGGCCACCTCGCCCTACGACGATGTCGTTGGTGAGTAGCAGCTCTTGCGAACACAACAAACACCAGCTAATGCTCTCACAGCCAAGGCGACTGACGAGAAGTCGACGTCCGAGGACTGGGGCGCCATCCTCGAGGTTTGCGACAAAGTCACCACCGATACGAACGGCCCCAAGGAAGTCGTCCAGAGCATGATCAGGCGCCTTGCGCATCGCAACGCCAATGTGCAGCTCTACACACTTGAAGTTTGTCTCATCCCAAGGTCGGCTCAGTAGAGTGGTTGAGAAGCATGGCTAACAAGGTAGCTTGCTCACGCATTATGCCAAAACTGCGGCAAACCCGTCCACCGCGAGATCTCCTCCCGCGCCTTCACCGACGCCCTCCTCAAGCTCGCAAACGACCGAAACACCCATGCCCAGGTCAAGGGCAAGATCTTGGAGAAGATGAAGGACTGGAGTGACATGTTCAGCAAAGACCAGGAGCTGGGCATCATGTACGACGCCTACTACCGCCTAAAGCAGAACAACCCCACCCTGCAACCGCCCAGCGCGCCTCAGAAGCAAGGACTCACGGCCACGGATCGCCAGAAGGAGGAGGACGAGCTGCAGATGGCGCTCAAGCTCAGCTTGCAAGAGGAGGAGAGGAAGAAGGCGCCAAGTGGGAGTGCACAGGCTGGCCCTAGTGGGCAGCAGCAGCAGCAAGGACAGCAGCAGGATCCCACGCCGGCACCAGCGCCCCAAGGCACAACGGCAGCGACAGTCAGCAGGGTGCGTGCACTGTACGACTTTACACCTTCAGAGCCTGGCGAGTTGGAGTTCAAGAGGGGCGACGTCATTGCCGTGCTGGAGAGCGTCTACAAGGATTGGTGGCGTGGATCGTTGAAGGGCAAGACGGGCATTTTCCCTCTCAACTACGTCGAAAAGCTGACGGACCCGACGCCGGACGAGCTCCAACGCGAGGCGCAGATGGAGGCTGAGGTGTTTGCCGAGATCAAGAATGTGGAAAAGCTCCTGACGCTGTTGAGCACGTCAAACTCGGCGCCTCGAGAGGAGGACAACGAGGAGATCTCTGTACGTTGCCTAGCTGCTCTTGTTGATCCCTTAGGCACCTATACTGACTCGTCGCAGAAGCTGTACCACCAGACATTAGCTATCCGGCCAAAGCTGATCAAGCTGATTGAGAAATACTCACAAAAGAAGGACGACTTTACGCAGCTCAACGAGAAATTTATCAAGGCGCGTCGCGACTACGAAGCCCTCCTGGAGTCGTCCATGAGCCACCCACCTCAGCACAGCTATCAACAATATCCTGCATGGCCAGGAGCCCCGGGCCAGGGCTATCCCCAAGCTCCTGGGGGTCATCCTCAGCCGCAGGGCCATGGACCACCTCCCGGACACGGACAGCACGATCCCCAAAGATTCTACACCCCTGGACCGAGCGGACCCTCAGGGCCTCACCAAGCAGCATCGCCGCCACCGCCCAATTTCCCTCAGCAAGGCACTCCAGCCCCCTTCTACGTCGCTGGGTCTGAAGTCCCCTCGTCGCATGGCCAAAGACCCCCAGCCGGTCAGCAATACCCTCCTCACGACGACCCTAGCCACCAGCCTCCCAGCGGACACCAGCACGCTGCTTCTCACAACACCTCGTCGCCTCCACCTCCCCAGCAGTACAACGCCTACGGTCAGCCTCCTGGCCCACAGTCCCCCGGCTTCCCCCAACAGCAAGGACGACCGCAGAGTACCTATGGCGCCCAAGAACTGGCTACCTCAGTGTACGACTCTCCCATTGCCCCTCCCAACAACCTCCAGCCCACCAAATCTTGGACCAACTCCGCCTACGCGCCGGACGACGACCAGAACCAGAAACCTAGCGCGCCGCCGCCTCAACAAGGTGGCTACGCTCCCCAGTACCAGCCGTACAACGCCGCGCCCCCAGACCATCCGCCACCACCGGCTCCCGAGGGCATGGCTCCTCCGCCCCTTCAGCCCGGGGGCGCTGCGTACGACGCGAGACAGAGCTTCTCTGGCCAGCCGGCAGGGCAGGCGCCAGCACAGCAATACAAGCCGTACGTGCCACCTGGAGGAGGACCGGACATGGATGCGCCCAGTGCGCCGGCACCGAATGACTACTATCGCAGCGGTGTGTATTAGTTATTCTTTTTGACTAGTCCTCTTTGACTAGCAAGTATATGATCATGATCAATATCTTTCATGCTTATGTTCATAGCATGCTGTTGTTGTTCATGTCACTGTTCCCGTACTTTGCACTCTTCATGTATGGTCAAATATTCATATTCATGTGAATTATCAAGGCTGGAAATCATTTATTGATATGATATGTATGCACAACTCGCTCATCTTGTCTATCGTCGTGATGCAAGAATCCGCTGATACTCCAAAACACCGTGCCATACCGAGCCCAATATCCTCGAGGCCAATTCATCCGATAATCGCAGCCGTCCCAAAACACCGCACAGGAGCGCTTCCTCACCATCTACGCCCAAAGGTAGCGCTCTCTTGCCTACTTGTTGAAGGCGGGGCCCTCGCGGCTGGCGCTCGCCTCCTATCCAACAGGCCACTCGACGACGGCCGGGATGCGTGCTCCTGCTGCGTCAGGTCCACTGGTTCCGACGAGTGATGGCCAGTCTTGAACAAGTCGATAATCTCATTGAGACCCAACTTGAAGGCGTTCTTCTTCATGCCGCCCTCAATGGCCTGCTCGGCTAGCTCCCGCTTCTTGTTCTGCAGGTCGACAATCTTCTCCTCGATCGAGTCGGTGACGATGAGTTTGTAGACGGTCACGTCGACGGTCTGCGTGAGTCGGTGAACCCGATCAATGGCCTGCTCCTCAACGAACTATAGACTTCCTGTTAGCCATGGTCTCGAAAATCAAACAAGAGACGTACCGGATTCCAAAAGGGTTCCAGGATGACAACCCTCGTTGCCGCCGTGAGGTTGAGACCGAGACTACCACACTTCAGACTACACAGCAACACCCTCGTTCGCGAATCTTTTCGCAATTTTCGTAAACTCTCTTCACGCTCATCGTTCTTCATGCTTCCGTCGTACCGAGTGAACTTCATCCCCTCACTGCGGAGGAATGGCTCCACTAGGTCGAGCATGGACGTGAATTGAGAGAAGACAATGAACTTGTGCTGATCCACCTCTTTGGACAGAATGCGGATGAGCTCTCGGATCTTGGCTGAGGTAATAGCACGGGCAAATCGTTTGGTGTCGTGGTCAGTATCATCAACACCCGAGGCATCAGATTCCGAGACAACACTTGAATCATCGGATTCGCTGGCCTCGTCATCTTCTCCCTCTTCCGTCTGCGACGCCTCCGAGACAGAGTCTTCCAGTAGAGGTTTCTCATCCAGAGTCTGGGAGGCCAGCTTTTTGGTGATGGCGGAGATCGATATAAGAGAATCGTCGTCCGAGTCGCTTTCTGCATCATTCGCAGAGATATAACCCTTTTCCTTTTTCGCTATTTCGTCGTCGACCACGAAGCTGCTCAGGTTGCTTTTGCCCTCGTCATCGACCGATAGCGCCGAGTCGTCAGGCCCAATCGAGTCGCCACCACCTTCGCAGTTCTCATCTTCCTCGCCGCCAGCCTTGCCAAGTCGCAGGCTGCCACGCTCATCGTCGCCGACGAGCCAACTGCCCTCTTCTTCCTCGTCGTCGCTGTCAATGACAGCTCTACGATTCCTTGGTCGTCTGGCCGGGACAGGGGATTTGGAAACCTTATCCTTCTTCGATTTCTTGGCCTTGGGCTTTCTTCTGTGAATCTTGCGATCCTGGCCCTCTTGGGATTCAAAGTACTCCAAATCGCCATGGCACTCGGTACACATGTCCCGCCCTGCCCTGTTAGACTCCGAGTCCAACTGGTTGCCGCAGATACTGCAGTTCTTTGCAGTCTCAATGCCCATGCCGGCAAACATGTCGGCCATGGCATCGATATCGGGCTCTTGGATCTTTTGATTTGTGCCCGTGGACATGGCGTCCTTGTCCTTTGATAACTTCCCCGCGACTAGCTTGGGATGGTTGCACGCTTGTCGCATACGGAGCAGCAAGGTGAAGGCACTCGCGTAGTTCATCTTGCCGCCCATCTCCATTGCTTCTATGTTGCCATTGGCGCGCGCTTCGAGACGATTGTAGAACTTGCGCTCGGCGGCCGTGAGCTCCGCTGATACTGTCACAACATTGCGCTCGGTGACCTTGAAGCCGGTGGTGGACGGTTGACCTTCCTCGGAAGGCTTGCCACCAGGGTTCAAAGCACCTGCTTCCTTGAGGATGTCCTTGGTTCGTCGCTTCATGAAACACTGGAGCAGGCTGTGCAGGCGACGAATAGCGATATGGCCTTTTCCATTTTTCATAGGCAGATCAATGTGCGCCTTCCACTCTTTCAGATCGTCGTAGGGTTTGATCTTAAGGAACCGGATGAGCGACTGCAGTTCGTCAAGGTTGTTCTGCATGGGTGTGCCAGACAAGCACCACCGGAACTCGGACCGCAAGGCGTACGAAGCCTTGGTCATCTTTGCATTGCGGTTCTTGATGGTATGCGCCTCGTCCAGCACGACGCGCCACCAGTGAAGACCAAAGCAACCAGCCTTGACGCCGTCATCAGCAGCAGAGGAGCTGCCATGCTCAGAGACAAGAATCTGATACGTGGTGATGACCACGTCGTACATGGCCAAGTCCTTGAATCTCTTTGTTCTTTGCGGGCCATGGTGCACGCAGACCTTCAGCTGGTGGCTCTTGAGCACCCGTTCCACGATCTCCGACTCCCACTGCCTGATAAGCGCCAATGGGGCTACCACAAGTGTCGTCTTTTCGATTCCCTCGTAGTGCTTCTTCCATTTCTTGTCCTCCTTGCTCGGTTTCTGGTTCGTAAGAATGAGCGAGATGGTCTGCAATGTTTTCCCCAGACCCATGTCATCGGCCAAGATGCCACCTTTTGGCACTTTGCCGCGCTTCACCGGACCAAGCTCGCGACCACGCATCCAGCTGACACCCTCGACCTGATGAGGCAACAGCCTCACCTTAAGGCCTTCAATGTACCCGCTTTTTGGATCTGTGTCGTTCTTGGAAGCATCGTCCTTTGAGTGTTGGGCAACGTCTTGTTGTTGTTCCGGCTCATCGTCTTCGTCCTCGTCCATGACGCCCTCTAGCAGATTCTTTAGATCCTCGCTCGCTTTGTTCGGGTCCGTATAGAAAACCTCGTCACCGAGAGGCGCCCTGGCAGGCGGCGGCGGCAGCGACCCCACTCCACTGCTGTGTGTACTGAACATTGGCATTTTGGGGGGCGCCTTGCGATCCTGGTAGCGTGGTGGTTCCGGCCCGCGGACCTTGCTAGAGTTGGCCTGGTTGAGATGATGCTCCGGGCGTCCCCGATTCGGATTGAAGATGTTCGCCTTCTGCTTGAGGGACGACAGCATCTTGGTCGGGTGCCCGAACGTGGGGCGGCCAGTGAAAGGGTCGTGCGCGCCAGCTTTCGGCGGAGGGGATCCTATACCCTTGCTCTCCATCTGGCTGAATAGATCGTCCACGTCGGGGGAGACGTCGCGCTGGGGATTCGCATTGCTGGGGTTGAGTGGCACCTTTGGCGGCGCCCTTTCGTTGACCATTGTGCTGTTGAGGTGCACAATCACGGGCAGCCTGGCTTTTCGGGGGGATGTCGAGAAATCGGGAGCGTGCTGGGAACCGAGAGTGTTGCAGGGTTTTATAGCGAAAGACACGCCAGGCTTCGACCGCGGGTCAGATCGACTCATGAGGGGGCTGCGTGCTTGTTCGGTGTTGTTTGTTCACGGTCGGCAAGCCCACCATGATTCGCACAAGTACCGATTGTTTCGAAAGTAAGGGTTCTGGGGTGGGCAATGAGGTAATCGCCCCGGCAACCACTGTTGACCCCTCCAAAATCTCAACAAGATAATCACAGTGCGCACAGTACTATCTGTCAGGCGCACCGTGCTGTCTAACCAAAGGCGACAAGGCAGTGGACACATGTTAAACGCCGTCACATCAGGCTTATTATTATGGCACCAAGTTATATATATGTATGTGGTTGTGATATTCATAATCTTCGTCCAAATACTTTCCAGTCTTAAACTGAATGCATGCCTCTCTTTCTGATATATCATGCCGAAAACCAAGTAATTCCATGTACTCGCCATGAGAACAGAACGCCTTTCCAAAACAGATTCGTCAAGTGAAATCCCAAAAACCCATTAGAGGATATCTGTGAAGCGAAAATAGGAAATCTGGTACTTTTTTCCCAACCACAGACTTAGACGGTGGGTCCAGCCTTGACAACCTCCTCGGTTGCCTCGCTCTCGTACTTGGTGAAGTTCTCACGGAAGAGCTTGCCGAGCTTGATCACTTCGTTGTTGAAGCTGTCATCGCCGGCAGTCCAGGCCTTCTTGGGGTTGAGAAGCTCGTCCGGCACGTTGGGGCAGGTCTTGGGCACGTTGAGGTTGAAGACTTCGTAGGTCTCGTACTCGACGTTGGCAAGCTCCCCAGAGTGGATGGCGTCAAGAATGGCACGGGTGTACTTGAGCGGGCAGCGCTTGCCACCCTGCAGAGCACCGGCACCGACCCAGCCGGTGTTCAACAACCAGGCGTTGGCCTTGTGCTGCTCAATCTTGTCCGCAAGCATCTTGGCGTAGCGCATGGGGTGCAGAGCCAGGAAGGGCTGAGCGAAGCACGACGAGAACGTGGCTTGGGGCTCGGTCACGCCATCCTCGGTACCAGCCATCTTAGAGGTGTATCCGGAGATGAAGTGGAACATGGTCTGGGCGCGGTCGAGCTTCGAGATGGGAGGCAGAACACCGCGGGCGTCGCAGGTGAGGAGGATGATGTTCGAGGGCATGTTCTCGGACAAGCAGGGAATCTTGGCGTTGGGAATGTACTCGATAGGGTAGGCGCAGCGAGTGTTCTCCGTGAGGGTGGAGTTGTCGTAGTCAACCTCACGGGTCTCGGGGTCGAAAACCACATTCTCGAGAACGGAGCCGAACTTGATGGCGTTGTAGATATCGGGCTCCTTCTCGGCAGACAGGCCGATGGTCTTGGCGTAGCAACCACCCTCGATGTTGAAGACACCACGATCACTCCAGCAGTGCTCATCGTCACCGATCAGGGCGCGGTTGGGGTCAGCCGACAAGGTAGTCTTGCCAGTGCCCGACAGACCGAAGAAGACGGTCACATCGCCGTTCTTGCCCTCGTTGGCAGAAGAGTGAAGAGTCAAGACGTTGTGCTTGATGGGCATCTCGTAGAACAAGACTGTGAAAACACCCTTTTTCATCTCGCCTTTGAGAGGTTAGCATCGCTTTCATTAGGTTTGAATTCACTTCTTCAACTCACCGGCGTACTCAGTACCCAGGATAACCATCTCCTTGGCGGCGAAGTTGATGGCGACTGAGGTGGCAGAGGTCATGCCCTCGGTGAAACGGTTGGCGGGGAAAGAACCGGCATTGTAGATGGTGTAGTCGGGGTGGAAGTGCTCGAGCTCCTCGCGAGGAGGGCGGATGAGCATGTTGCGCATGAAGAGAGCATGGTAGGCACGAGCGCAGATGACACGGACACGAATGCGGTACTTCTCGTCCCAGCCGGCGTAGCCATCGACGACGTAGATGCGGTTGCGGGTGTTGAGGTAGTCAACAGCACGTTCGCGGTTGATTTTCCAGACCTGAGGCGATCATCGTTAGCACATGAAATTCCCTGAGCCCAATTGCGTTTGCCAAGGAAATGCAGTAGGGAAGAGAACGACGATCCGGGGAAAACTGGGGCCGGGCGCTCGACCCTCGGAAGATATCGCGACTGGTCGACGCGACTCAGTTCGAAGCCGTAGGGCCGCAGACCGCGGTTGGAGGGGCAATTGCGGGGGGAGCCCAGTGGACGAAAGCGATGGCCTAGCCACCATATGACGCCAGGGGTACATCATGCAATCGCGATAGGCTTGCACGCAGTGGGCACGCGACCATGCATTGATGTGTCAGAGTATCCGTCTAGAGCGCCTGCCAGTGTGCGACGGTAGCCGAATGCATCGCAGCATCGGGTGTCTTCGCGCGGACGTTCTCCGTGCGGTGGGCATAATCGTCATCACATGCGCGTGGAAAATTTGGGCTTTGCGGCAGTGAAATGAAGGAAAATGGAGCCAGACACATACCTCTGGGGACATGGGCTTGTTGACGGGACCCCACCAGATATCGTTCTCTGATGAAGGCTCCTTGACAACTCGCTTGTCAAGGGGTGAGCGGCCGGTCTTGGTACCCGAGTAGGCAGTCAAAGCGCCGCTTGATGTGATGGCGGTACCGGTCTCGTAGACGAGAGCATCTTCGTAGAGAGCAGCGACGGAAGGATTGGCGATCTAGGCGGCGGTGTTAGTATCACAGATCCTCATCGCCATTTCGAGGGGGAGCAGGAGTCTCTTACAATTGACACGCGGTCGTAGTCAATGTGCGCGGTCTCGTGCAGCTCCTCCTCGAGCTCGGTGTGAGGAATGTGAGGCTGGACACCACCGGGGTGCAGCGCGGTCTTGTTGACAGTGTGGTTCAGCACTGGAGGGCTCGTGTTAGTGAAGCTCGAGCGTGTAAGTGGGATGGAAGCAGGCAGTCAAGACGTACTCTTGCGCAAGTCGGTTCCGGCAGTCAAGATTCGAGACTTTGGGTTGGGTACGGAGGGATTAGAGTAGGAGAAGCGACTTTGAAGACGGGGTCCTTCATGGTTCTTATAAACTTTGGGTCGGTTAGCACCCATCGGCTCGATCTACACGCTGTCAAAGCAATGGTCAGCCAGAACCCGGGATGAGCCCCAAGCTCCCGCCAAGGCCAGAGCGTTCGGAAGTATCACCCAGGGGGTGTGAATGGGCGTGCACGGCCTTTGTTCTCTCCACACGTCTCATCCGCAGTCTCTGGAGCCGGCTAGGCCTCGATTTACCAGCCTCGATTGGACGAGGGCCGCGAGGTACATGGACGTTTCCTCCGTGACTGACCGAGAGGCAGGCTATCGAGGAACTCGGGCAAGTAGACTGTGGAGCCGGGGGCAGCTAGCACGAGGAAATGTCGGAATCACGGCGGGCGTTGGAGAAGAGATCCAGGCGCCAATGGAGGGGTAAATATTCACAGGCCGATAGCAGCCCCTGACAAAAGAAAAGGGAGGCGTTGCACTTGCCTTACGTGTCGTTATCGGTGGACGAACGAGGGTTGGTCGTGAGTGACGATGCATTTACTATGACCGTGGCAGTCCAGGATGGAAGAGAGGAGAAGATTGAAGCAGGCGGCACAATCTGAACAAGCCAGCCAGTCTGCCATTTGTCCGGTGGCAGGTGCAATTGAGTACAGCGTCATGACTGCCCATTTCGGCAAGATCTCTGAACCCCGCAATCCAGGACGCTGGTCTCAACCTCTGAATGGCATGCACTACCGGGTAGGCTGAGCGCATCGGGATCACCCGGGTTGCTCCGATACGTACGTCTGTCCTCAAGTTGAATGCACAGCCCTGGAGCCATGGTGCAAGTGCAAATTATTAGCTTTTTATTGCAGGTGCTTATTTCGGCATTGATTAATGTTTTCCAGGGCATTGGTCACTCAGCACAGGGACACGTTGCGGCCTGGTCGACTTGCTCTCCCTGCAATTACGTTATAGATTGGGCAGGAAAGTGGCACATGCCGAACACTTTGGCATCAGCCACGTTATACATCCCAATCATTGTGCGTGGATCCCTCTGAGCCGCAGTGTTTTCCTTATTTATGCTGTTGCTTTGGCTAAGTAATTAGAGACATGGACATAGGACATAGAGGCTTCGATCACGAGCACCGTATGTTGGTCACACCGCTGAAGTTAAAATTAGACCGGGAGCAGCTGATCGCCACAAAATGCGCGAGCGTTCAGTCTCGGCCTTGCAAGCAAACCCCGGCTATTGCTAACTAGCACGAGACCGGCTCAAGATGAAGAAGTTCGAATCTCGGCAAACGGGAGCAAGCCAGGGCAGCAATACTTGGTAGCATGCCGCCCACAGGGCACGGGCTGGAGCTAGTACCCCACGATTTGGCTCGCAGTCCCCATCTCCCTCCCGTCCCCATCTACATGGAATTAATCAGGACCATCATAACATTCTACATATGAGTTCACTATTCGCTGCTGAATTATGTAGAAGCGGTGCTGTGTTGAACCTTCTATCGGCAGTACCATCTTCACATGATCCGGCACAGCGTGATAGTCATCGACGTCTGTGCTATCTCGGCCGCAGTCCGAGGGCCAGTACGATATCGTGTCTCCGCCCGCCCATAATTAATACAATCGCTGGAGGAATCTCACGATAATCATGATACACAGTCTCCACGAGATCCTCGTCCCCATATGCACCGAATGAAGTTCAGTCTTCAGATACTCCGTGCTGCCCCTGGTTGCCCCAGACGTGGCCGCTCCGACATGTTCCGTCCGCCCTGGGCGCTCAGCTAGACACACGCCCCTAGCGTCGCCCGCGGCTGCGACCGACCAGAAGTGTTCGCTCGGGAACGATTTGTTGGAGATTGTGAAGAAACCCAAGCACATCCGGGTGTAAGCGCCCACATCCTGCCATTCACAAAGCAGGGCGGATGATGAGCTGTGGCGCGACAGACTGGCCGTGCATACGTCGTGAGTTTAGTACGTAAGGAGGCGCTTCCAGGCGGCCCGAAGTTCGTATTGCTGCCATGTTGCGAACCACTGCGTCGTGGACTCCGTAGCCTCTCACAGAACATGTAGAATTCTTGGTGACTCGATCACATGGCGCAAGCGTTTCCCTGCAGAAAGACCACCCGCACCGCTCCCGAGTCCTCGGCCATGATCCGAATCAATGCCCAAGCCGGCGCCGTGGACCCACCCGCAAAGGACTGGCGGCTCCGTTGGTCCACCTCCGGGCCGCCGTGGTCATGCAACTGTGCCGGTTCCGGCTCATTTTCGTCTGCCTAAGGCACTGACTGACTGGCACCTTAGTAGGTATACGTAGTTAGGATAAGTAGATATCCGTAGGGAAAAACGCAAGGAGAGGAGAGTGCACTTTCTGTGTATCGCAACATGATGTAGTGGCAGCTCGTCGAGTGTTGAATCGATCTCTTGATCGTCGTCTAATCACCCACCACGGTACGAGCAGATCTTGGTTTGCAATGGCTACCAACGGTATCTGAAATTGAGAGATCGAGGCAAGCGGCTGCGCTACATATTCATTGTATCTGACCTTTCTTTCCGACTCATCTTATCATGTTATCATCTTCTAGCCTGCGCAAAGGCCCTCGTCTCGAACTGCGTCGGAAGTACATCTCCGAGCGGCTGGTCCCCGTCGACGGCTATGCGCCCTGATCGCGGCTCCGCGTTGACGATCGCCTCATCCTAGATGCCATGTCTGCCAAATCTATGATTGCTTTTGTGTTGGGTGGTGAACGGTCTATGCTACTGACAAGATCCTCATTTAGGCGCTGTTATCGGTAATGAGCTTGGTAATCTTGCCAATGGCGATAGTTTGGCCCTGGAACTTGTTAGCCGGGTTCGGCGCAACCTCTCAACGAAACATACCTGGTCACGCAGTGTGAAGCGACCCATCTGGGGGTAGTCCTCGAACCTCTCAATACAGACCGAGCCGGCACCACCAGTAACCTGCATCCTCGCAATGATGCTGTCGCCCTTCTTTGCGTGCGTGGGCGCGCTCTTGCTCTTGCGGCCCGTGCCCTTTTGCAGCTTGTGCAGCAGTGCGGCAAATGTGACCTCCTCAATGGCAGAGTGCACGTGGAGAACACAGTTGAAGCCAGAGGTCAAGATGGACTTGAGCTCCAGAATGCGAATCTGCGCCTCAAACTCGGCAACATTGTGCACGAGACGCTTGGGCGAGCAAATGACGAAACCGGGCAGGATGTCTTCTTCCTCGATGCCCTTGAGCCTCAGACGGACCTGGTCACCGCACTGCGCGTGCGGGATCTCATCTTCTTGCTCGCCGTAGACGGCCGAGATTTCCACATTCTGCTTCCGGGGCATCATGATCAGGCTCATACCCTTCTTGCACACGCCTGCCTCGATCTTGCCGTCAATCATGGTGCCCAGATCGCGGTACTTGGCATTGACAGGCATCATGAAGGGGGCGTTCACCTTGCGCTCCAGTGCCTTCATGTTATCCAGGTACTCGAGCAGGGACGGGCCATCGTACCAAGGGCAAATTTCCTTGCCCACGCGTTCCTTGATGTTCAGTGACATCTGCGCAGCCACGGGCATGAAGAAGACATCCGTCTTCAAGTTGTAGCCAGTACCCTTCAAGAACTGGGACAGCTTTGTGGTGCACTCCTTGTATCGCTCTTCAGACCATTCGACAGTCGGGTCGTCCATTTTGTTGATGGCCACAATGAGCTTGTTGACACCCTGCGTCTTGGCCAACATGGCGTGCTCGCGAGTTTGTCCACCACGCTCAAAGCCGGTCTCGTATTCACCCTTACGGGCGGAAATGACCAGGATACCTACGTCGGCCTGCGACGCACCACCAATCATGTTGGGCACGTAGGTCTTGTGGCCAGGAGCATCCAAAATGCTGTAGCGACGTGTCTCGGTCTCGAAGAAGCCTCGACCAACCTCGACCGTCTTGCCCTTGGTGCGCTCCTCCTTGGTCAAATCCATCACCCAAGACAGGTACCAAGACTCACGTCCGAGATCCTTGGCCTCCTGCTTGTACTTTTCCATGGTTCGCTTGTCGACCATGCCAGTCGTCCACAGGATGGAGCCACCCAGGGTTGATTTTCCCGCGTCGACGTGACCGATAAAGATGATGTTGACGTGCTCCTTGCCGTAGATTTCCTTGAGAGTATCCTCATCAACATCGGCGGCCTGCTCCTTGGTGACGGCATCGACATCCCGCTGAGCCTTCTTCTCTCCGGAGACAGGGCTGGAACGTCCAGAAGAGGTTGGCGAGGTCTTGCCAGAGGTCTTACCGCTGGAAGAGGCGGCCTTGCCGGTCTTCTCGCCAGTCTTCTCGATAGCCTTGGCCGCAGTCGTCTTCTGGCCAGCCTCGGGAGCGTCAGTGGGTTCGGGCTTAACGTCGTCCTTGGTGCTCTTCGCCGGCGGTGTGGCATCGCCTCCAATCGAAAGGACCTTAGCCTTGGGCTTGGATGCTGAAGCGTCGCCTCCGATGCTGAGAACCTTTGTGCCACCCTCCTTGGTCACGACAGGCTTTGGCGCATCGGTAGCAGCGGGAGGTGCTGAGGCAGCAGGCTGGGCTGCTGGTTGCGACTGTTGCTGCTGGCCGTATTGGGGGTATCCACCACCTGGTAACTTCAGTATGACGCGCATTCCATGGGTCTCAGTATCTTACCGTATTGCTGGTTGTTGTAGCCTTGGCTAAACCCCCCACCATATTGCTGATACTGATTGTAGCCCTGCTGCTGCTGTTGTTGCTGCTGCTGGTTGCCGTATTGAGGGTAGTACCCTTGCTGGTAGTATTGCTGCTGCTGGTATTGGGGCTGGAATCCACCGTATGCCTGACCAGGTTGGAAAGACTGCACGCCGGGCTGGAAAGACGCAGCGCCGGGTTGGAACGAGTTGGCGCCCGGCTGGAAGCCTTGCGCCTGAGCGGGGTTCATGTTGAGCTGCTGCTGAGCCTGCCGGGCGAGGTTCTCATCCTGTTGCGCCGCAGGGTCATCCTCCCATGAGTTGAGGTTCGACATGTTGGCGATTTGTCGTGGGTATTCGAGTCTCGCGTTTCAGTCGATCGAGTATGTGCGATCGTTGGGTATCGAGGGGTAAGTGGAGGGGTTGAAGTGCAGCAAAGTCCCGAGGTGCTTGCAGAACAGCTGCTTTCCGATCGAAGGCAGAGGGACGCTCGAAATGTGTCCCTGGTGTATTTGGCACTGCAATGTAAAAGAGTCAAATTACCTGCCCGAGAAGGTCAAAGTCCCCTCTTCCGCGCGACGTAGTGGCGGTTGAAAATTCAAGCCCCACCAAAACGCATGACGCCTGGGGAAGGAAGGTGACGCTGTGCTTGGTACAGTGCGACCGTGCGAGCCATCCACAGCACTCACGATTGATCGCACTGCTAGGACCATTTGCTGGCGGGAAGCACTGTGCGAAAACTGACCAAACAAGCGCCTTGCTTAACAGTTATTACACGGTCACTCGGACCTTGCATAACAACAAGCTTGACAACAACGATAGCCAAACTCACTTCATCGGGCCTTCAAGTGAAGCCCAATTCCCCATCGGGTTCCATTCTCACACGCAGAGAACCCGGATCAGCTCCGTCATTATGGAGGACTTCCTTGCCACTGTTGGCGCCCAAGCCTGTAAATACGCCGTAAGGTCGGGCATCGCTCTAACTTCAAAGTATGCCATGAGGCAGTGTTCCAGACTCCTCGAGACAATGGATGATTGTGAAATGCACGCTCGCCTGCTTTCCCTCCAAAAGCAATTTGACAGTAAGATCATGGTCAGTTCCGCCGGCCACGCGTGTCAGACCCCTGCTAACCGTCGACTTTCGCAGGTCATCGCACCAACTATTGACCTCGTAGAGTTCAAGTGAGTTAATTATTCGGGCAGCGACGCGGACTGGGACTCATGCTAACACTGCCCAGATCCGGGCGAGGAAACGTCTTTCTTGACTCGGCTTTGCCACTGACCAAGGCCTTACATGGCGACATTGTGAGCTTAGGGCGACGCATCGACAAGACGGCATCCTTCCTGGAGATCAAATCTCAAAACGGCTCCTATCCACAGCGCCAATCGAATATCGCCAATTTAGACATACAAAGTGTCGTCGCCGACATTGCATCAATGTTGGATCGCATAGACCGCGAGATTCCGCTACTACAGCTAGCCATCACCGCCTCAGGGGAAAGTCTCTCCAGCTCCTTACCTCCTAGCATTTCGCCGTCAAGGCTGCTACAGGCCAGCACTCTTCTCATTGTCGGAGACATGCAGTTTCACAGCGATCAATCGCCAGTCCAAATTGGACCATCGTTCTGCTTGTCTTTGTACATGCTGTTCCTTGGACATGCCCCTGTCGCGCAAGTGCGCGCGCCTACACCTTCTCCAGGTGATCCTCACACAAAACATGACGGGAATAACTCCCAAAGACCATACGGTTTAGGTCCAGGTGATCGCAAACCGATATGGCAGGAAGTCATCCACAAGGCACGCGTGACCCTTCACAGGACCAAGGCTCTTGCGGAGTATTCGTATTACCTGGAATTCACTGAAGATCTTGACGATGGTCGCTTACGAGACGAAGGAGAGGCGTGCACCCAAATTCGCCAGCAGATACCTATCCATCAGATTTCCAAGATCTTCTATACAGACAGTGGCCGGCTACTGAACATAGGAGACGAGACAGCCGACGGCAAGAATCCCGTCCTTCTTTTCAAGCGTGATCCCAATGCCCAGCCCCCAGCCAGCGAGCACAAGCAGGTTGAGGGCTATCTTGGCCCAACGCCGAGTCATGACCCAGCTTCATTTGATACTGATGCAAATGACCAACTGGCGCTTGATCAGCAATTGAATGACGAACTGCGCAGGAGCACTCAGGCATGCCATGCACCACCACAAGACAACCAAACTCGCCAGGTCCATAGCTTCCCCAAACATGTCGATCCCGAGTGGATAGCCTTAGAGATGTACGAAGACATTGCCGAGGAGCATGGAACCCCAGAGGAATGTTCAAGCGCGGCGCAAGACGCTGTCGAGTCCTGGAGTGAAGAGACTGACGCCAGGTCGGATGTCTGCGTCAGAGAGGCTGTCGAACCACAGCAGAAGTCACAGAAGGTTTCCATTGACCATAATTCTAGCACTACGTCAACCGCGCAGCGCTCACCCTTTAGCAATGTCACTACATCATTGTCGCTTATTGAGATGTTGGTTCGATTAGCTGGCCTCCAGGAGTTTCAGCAGACATCGCATTTGTCGATACCAGATCACATTCTCACGTTCTTTCTAGAGGAATCGTCGACCACTGGATTAGGAGGTGAGGCACAATGGGCGGCGCGGCAGGCGGCCAAGGCAAGGGTTGGGTTTGATCCATATCTCGATTCTTCACCAAGAAAGCAGAACAATGTATGACTTTGCAAATTCCGAGTTTCAAAACAATGTTTGAAGTTGTGCATGTGGCAAGTTGCGACATTGCTGTTGGTTGGTTGCTTTACCCTAACGGAGTGCTAAAGTGATGATCCGCTCAATAACGGGTGACTGCCAATGACGTCGTTGGCTGGCGCCTCAATCTGCCTTGCTTGTTTACTCCGTACGGAGTACCACGGTTAGGTATTTTCTGCCACGCGTCCAACACAGCTCAAGACAGCTTCGTTTACATCTTGATCCGGATCTCCATCTCTCGCTGCAGCTTCCGTCAGCTCAGAGTTACAGGTATTCTCGTTCAGCAGGTCAAACTTGCGCCGCCAAGACATCAATATGCCACTCGTCCCGCGCATGCACCTGTTCGAGATTGACGACCAGACATGGTAACAACACCTTTCCGAAGACGTGTTTTTGCATTGGTCACTGATCGCTCTCCTTACTAGGTTTCCCCCGTTTCTTCGTCGGCTCGTTCAGACCATCTTGTTGAGAACATGGCACATGCAACTCCCCTTTATACAGCCTCTGTCGCCCGGCCGCATGATCGCCCACCTTCTGATCCGTGAGCTCGGTGACGACCTTGGAAATTTCACCTTTGTCGACTTTTGCGCTGGCGCCGGTGGCCCGACTCCCATCCTCGAGAAAGAGATCAACCACCACTTGCGCACGCGTCGCAAGCCCGAGGCGCCTGTACAGTTTGTCCTGACTGATCTGCACCCCAACTTGCCAGCGTGGGAGGGGATCTCGAAGAAGAACCCCCATATCACGTATGAGCGCGAGCCCGTGGACGCTAGCCGAGCACCGCCCCAGTTGGTGACGAGAGGCGATGGGAAGAAGCTGATGAGGCTGTTCAACCTCGCCTTTCACCATTTCGATGATCCACTGGCCAAGGATATCCTGCGCGACACCGTCCAGACGAGCCAGGGTTTTGCGATTTTCGAACTGCAGGGGCGTACGATCGAGAGCTTCATTGCCGTCAGCCTGCTTCCCCTGTTGGTCATGGTCGTGGCTCCGGTGCATGCCTGGAAGCACAAGTCCCTTGCTTCCTTGATCTTCATGTGGTTCATTCCCATCATCCCGTTCGTCCTCGTTTGGGATGGCTGGATTTCGGCGCTGAGAACCCGTGAGCCGGACGAGGTCGAGGCGCTGCTGAGGAGCTGTGGCGCAGACTCGAGCAAGTGGGAAATCAAGAGCGGAAGCCAGCAGCACCTGTGGCCCGTTGGCTACGTTGACTGGATCATCTGCCAACCCCGGGACGCATAAGTGACAAGACGACGGGATGGAGAGGCTTCTGAGAACCACTGCGCAGTACGGTTCAAAGATAGCGTATGAATGTGATCCGGAACAGCAACGGCACGGTGTTGGAGCATAGAGTACGTATCCGTACATTGTTATACATGATTTACGAGGGGTACAATTCTATCGAAACCACCAATTGACAGAGCCATTGAGACCACCTTGCTTCCCAACACTTCTCACTGAATGCCACCATCCCTTGGGTATAAACAAGCCATCGCCCTCATCCAAAGTCCCTTCGTACATCTCCCCCGCTACCTCCTCATCCTCCCAGACAGTATTATACAGCAACGTTCGCTCTGGTTCTTCCATCATCTGCGATCCGCGGATCCGACTGCTGCCTTGCCGCCCAAGCTTCCGTTGCGCCTGCACAAAAACCAAATCCCCAGCTCCAGGGGGAAGAAGCCGCACATTCTTCCGACCACACAGTTGATAGAACAGATTCGGATTTGGGTCGCGGTGCATCGGTGTGTATGTGGGTTCCGTTCCAATCCAGATGCTGGAGGCATAAATGTCGCCTTTGCCAACCTTCAGGACGAGCTCTGGTGCTTGTACATCCTGCTGCAGAGGCCCAGGCAACTCAGAGATCGCGCACTGCGCGATGTACAACTGGACAGGGTCCTTCTGAACTGAAGAGTTGAATTCCAGAGCGTGTTGCAGCAAGGATATTGGCGCATGGAGCTGATAGAAGCACGAGTCTGGGTTGTCAGGAACCACAGCCTGCATCATGAGCCCCAAGCGATGTTGATCGAAACCGTCCGCGCCATGACTCAGCAGCCACCTTTGAAAGGCTTTCGTTGAATGGTTCGATCCGATTTGCGGCACATATACTTCGAAAGGGAAGTCCAATTTGTGATGGCTTTGCTCCGTGAAGTGTGTCGTTAGAGTCCTGGGAGCCGTACTTTCCAACGCGATCGGCGTGAACCATTGGCTCGTAGCCGGGAGCATGTCCCCATCGCAGCGAAGATGCAGAGGCTTTTCCGCCAGAAAAGCCTTGTGACGAAGACTCTCAATGTCTGGTTGGCGTTGCGAGGGGATTGTATGAATGCTCCGTCGTGTGGCATGCGTGCGTGTTGCCAAAAGGGACCAACAACGCCATTGTGTTGACGTATGAATTCCTCGACTCATAGCACTTGATGGAGAACGACGTGGCGTACTTCGGTTTGATACAGCATATCGAGGATCTCCTCACACATCAGGGAGAATATCTCCCCTCGATGTGAGCAACGCGTCGTTGAGGTGACTTTGAGCGGCCCAGGGTAAGTTAAATAAGTTAGTTCCATGCTTGTTGCTGCGGAACCGGCAGAAAGTGGCCCCGATTTTCATCACCCCGAGGCTAAGCCAGGTACCCAAGTACCTAAGGCATTGGGTTCAGTTCAGATGGAGGGGGGCCGGACTAATCACAGAACCATGAAGTGAGGGTTTCCCCCACCACTGCACCTTGGGCTATCTGCATTCCGACAAGCGGTGATACAAAGCCATTATTCCATCGCACGGTGTTCCATTCTAGATCATACTTACGCGACGCATGCGTATTGGCCTCGACACGAGCAGCGAACCACGACTTCCCACCGAGACAACGCACACCACGAGCATCCCGAGCCCGCTATCTTCACGTCGATTTGCATCGACTCAGGTCGTTATTTATACCCCTCCGCCACCATCGCGACTTGCGTCAAGCATGTGTCTTGCTCTGCGCTAGGATTCTCTCGTTATCTTCAGCGCGCCTGCCTCACCTCGTGGAGCGCTCACTTTGCACAACCTTGTGACCCGAACCCATCGATCACGACATCGCGTCGCGCCTTCGAAACTAAGCCAGACCCCGCGCCTCAGCATTGAAGCCGCGTAAAGCAACCCATAGGACGCCATGTCGACGTCCTCAGCAGCGCCCGAGTCATGGATCTCCAGCTTCTGCTCCCTAATTGGACATGAATATTTCGCGGAGGTCTCAGAGGAGTTCATCGAGGATGACTTCAACCTCACGGGATTGCAGACACAGGTGGCCATGTACAAAGAGGCATTGGAGGTTTGTTGCCGTCCCTCCACCTCGTTCAGAAAGTGTTGTGCTGACCTGCCATAGATGATCCTGGACGTGGAACCCGAGGAGGACGATGAAGATGAGGAAGAGGAGGATGAAGAAGACGAGAGTTTAATCGGCGAGGGCGGCGAGGTAGCCGGACGCGAAAGAAGACATCATAGCAGGATGGCCAGTGACCTTTCGGTTATCGAGTCCTCCGCAGAGATGCTCTATGGGCTTATTCATCAACGGTTTATATGCTCCAGGGCGGGCATGCAACAGATGAGCGAAAAGTACGAGTTGGGTCACTTTGGCGCCTGTCCGCGAACAAACTGCATGCAGGCCAGGACACTACCGGTCGGGCTGTCGGACATTCCAGGCGAGGAGACGGTGAAGCTGTTTTGCCCTGCCTGTCTCGACGTGTACGTTCCGCCCAACAGTCGGTTCCAAACGGTTGACGGCGCCTTCTTTGGGAGGACGTTTGGCGCTCTCTTTCTCCTCACATTCCCCGACTACGATCTCACAAAACGAGGAGCAGACGTCATGCAGGACATCACCTCTCGGATTTCCGGACACCCGGAGATTCTGAATGGCTTCTTTGCTAAGAACATAGCTCCCGGACTTGGAGCTGGTCACGTGTACGAGCCCAAGATATACGGCTTCAGAGTCTCGGAGAGAGCGAGGTCAGGGCCGCGCATGCAGTGGTTGCGCGAGCGTCCGGGAAACATCAACGAACTGGACGAGGCTCGCTTGTTTGCTGAGCAGAACCCCGAGTCAGAGGACGATGAAGGGGCCAACACGAATGGGAGGGTGGCGGTTGTGAGACGACGAGCCCCTGGCAATGCTCGCTTACGCCAGCGCCAACAGCAGCTGCAGCAGCAAAGGCAGAATGGGAGTCCCATGGCGTTGTCGACCAATGGGGCCGAATCGGAGCTGTAGAGTAGGAAGACCAGGCGTCGTCATCGCAAGGCTACCCATAGGGTTGCCTCGAGCCGAGACCTGCTGCACGCGCCCATTGACGCATTGCCGGGGCGCAAGGACCATTGAACGGAGCTTGGGTGGTTTGAAGAGTGGTTGCATAGATGGCGTTGGCTCATTCAAATTCTTACAGAACTCGTTTCTCAAGGCCCGTGGCCATCTGTGTTCATGGCTTTGTGTGACCACTCCGTAAGGACAAGAATTAGTATTCCAACTTCAAGTGTCTACATTCGGACCAAAGGAGCACGGCGAACTGGACACGCTGACAACGGGAAATCCAGATACATCCTTAAAAACGCTGTTGGCCATTTGGCCAACCATGATCGCTTGGTCCGAAGTCGGAGAGCCGGCGTGAGGTCTCAACCACCGCTGGATTCTATATGAACACACCATGTATCTGTGGCTCTTATACCGACATAGCCGACCAACAGTCACATGGGCATTGAGCGGCGAATCGTATTAAACAAACCTCAAGTGGACATGTCGACTACCGATTCACGCACTTTATACGAACCTTTGAAGAACAAGGGTCCGACAGATACAATGTCGCAGCCATCCCTTCCTCCAGCCATGCTCCCTGATCGTCAGCGCTACCTGGCTAAGGACGTCGTCAGAGACGTATGGGCAGGACTCGGCCTACCGGTGGAGTCTCTCGAGAGCCTTTGCTTGCCAGGAGACACTGACAACCCGACACTTCCCTCTTCCTACAAAATCGGCATCTTAGCTCAGGGCAGCATTGCTCTATCGGCGCTCGCAGCCGCACAGATTCACAGCTTGCGTGCCAGGTCACCTATGCCGGCTGTCGAGGTGCCATCCAAGCACGCCACCATTGAGTTCAAATCGGAGCGACTATACGTGTTGGACAGCAAGATCACGCCATCCCCGTGGGGAGATATCGGGGGGCTTCACAAGACATCCGACGGCTATGTGCGCGTCCACGACTCGTTCTCAAACCACGTCAAGGGTACACTGGCGCTTGTGGGTCTTTGTGAGGGATCGAGCCGACAACAAATCGCTGAAAAGATTGCCGACTGGGCGAGCATTGACTTTGAAACGGCATCGACGGTCGACGGGACGATGGCTAACTATGCCCTGCGCTCGTACAAGCAGTGGGACGTGCTGCCGCAGTCAAAAGCCATTAGCAACTTCCCCATCGACTGCACGCGCATCTCAACGGGAGGGCGCAAATCCTTGCCAGAGCGCTTGGCCAAGGTTGGACCAAAATGCCTCTCTGGCGTTCGGGTTATTGAGATGTCTCGTGTGATTGCAGCACCACTTGCCGGCAGGACCCTGGCCGCGCATGGCGCAGATGTCATCTGGGTTACCTCGCCTTCGCTTCCCGATCTCCCTGTGATAGATCGGGATCTAGGTAGAGGCAAGCGCACTGTTCACATTGACATCAAGAGCCCTGACGACAAGGCAAAGCTGCTTGAGCTTCTCGCGACAGCCGATATCTTCATCCAGGGCTTCCGGCCCGAGTCGCTGGCTGGACACGGACTGGGTCCAGAAGACTTGACCAAGCTGAACCCCAACTTGGTCATTGCCAACATGTCGGCCTTTGGCCCTCGTGGATCCTGGTCCAAGCGTAGAGGCTTTGACTCTCTCGTACAGACATTGTCTGGTATGAACGTATCTGAAGCAGAGCACGCTGGCAAGGGCGAGCCAGCTCGGCCAACTCCTTGTCAGGCGCTCGATCAGGCGGGCGGTTATTTTCTGGCCACGGCAGCCATGACTGCGTTCTACAAACACTTGACTGGGGGTGGCGCGTGGAGGGCGGATGTGTCACTCGCGGGCACGATGAAGTATCTCCGCAGTTTGGGGCAATACCCTGGGGCGACGGGATTCGAGGCCCAGGATTATAAAAAGCCAGAAGACGTGCCAGAAGAGTTCTATGAGACTAGGCCTTCAGGCTTTGGGTCTTTGAAGGCGATCAAGCATTCCGCTCGCATAGATGGCCGCGATGTTGGGTGGGACATTATGCCGAAGCCTCTTGGTGCAGACAAACCCGAGTGGCACTCATGAACATCTGCAAGACTATCTGGCGTTTGATTTTTAAGTCATCATTTATGCTTGTTCGGTGGACCGAAATTGATTCGGTGGGTGATCTGCAGGATCCGGTTTGGAACGGGGGCGGCGTCCCCTGAATCCCATGAAGGCCCGCGCAGCGCTGTCGCCCAGAAACCGTTACGCTCGGCGACGTACATTATGTGGTGATGGTTTTCTGGTGTGGGATACAGTCCCGTCCCCGAACGCCAGTACGTCAGCCAATGTTGCAGATCGACCGCATTCGCCAGTTACGGGTTGACGCTGCCTGTGCTATAAGAGCATTACATGCTCTGGATGTATTGATATCCTCATTCTTCCATTCATCTTACTCACACTTTTCGGAGCTGGTCTCTTTGAATTTCTGTTCTTCATTTGTATCTTCAGCCTGCGTCTTGTCACTGTTCCACAACGTCTTTCACAAACCACTACCCAAGCAAGCACCATGTTCATCAAGACTTCTACAGCCATCGCCATTGTGGGCTTGGCATCCAAGACCCTCACCGCCGCTGTCCCCCCTCCGGAGATGGTTGCGCCCTCCAAGCCCATCTACACCCTTCCCGTGGAGCAACCTCTGCCCGTTGTGCAGAGAGACGTGCCTCAACCAGTCAACCCCGACGAACCAGTCTTCACGCTGCCTGTGGAAGAAGACCCCCCGCTGGTGCAGCGTGACGCTCAGCAAGTCTGCATCGACCACCCGGACCTGTGCATCACCAAGCTCAAGCGCAGCCCGCAGCAGTTCTGCATTGACTTTCCGGACCAGTGCATCACGAAGCGCGTTCCTCAGAAGTTCTGCGACAACTTCCCTGATCTTTGCATCACTTGAGTAGCTTCGAAACGAAGTGTTGATCTTCCGAGTTAAGGGGCGGGGCTTTGAGCAGCTTGCATTTGTTCGATAGCGGCTGTACATCATCAAGCGAATTCAAATCTTTTCCATGTCACATCCTGTCGCATGGGACAGGGCCCTGCATTATACAATCATGTCTCATAACTTGATGTTATTTGAACAATCTAATTATCATCTACCAAAACAAAGGCACATCGACCGAGGTATCCCAGTCAATGTTCTGCTGCTCACACTCCACACGTTCCTTCAAAGTGCCAAAGATCTTGTCCCAGAGACGGGTCTGCTTGCCATAGTTGCCACTCGACTTCCAGCCCTTGCGGTGGTGCATGTCGTGATCCTCGATGATGAGCTCACACCCAGCCAGACGCAGGAGCCAGGTGAAAGGGTTGGGAGGCTCCGAGTAGATTCGAATGCCACTGTGGCCCGCCAGCTCGGCAAACATGACAAACTGATGTCCGATCCACCACTCGTAGAACCCCATCGGCATGCCCATTGCCTTCATTGTAAAGTACGTGGCCAGCGGTACGCCGGCAATGTCGAAGAACTCCTGCTCTAGGTCGGCGTAGAGTGTCAGGAGCGGGTTGGGGTGCTTTGTGAGGTGGTGCGTGCGGTGGTACTGCCAGAGCGCGCCGACCTCGTGCATGAGGCGATGGTACCAGTAGAACCAGAAGTCGAGGATGATGCCGTAGAGGCCGACCTCGAGGAGCAGCCAACGCCAGTTCATGTCCATGGGGGTCTGGTTGGCGCGGTAGGCGAGGAAGACGGTGAAGACGGGTCGGAAGGTCGAGGTCGAGAGGAGCGAGCGGACGGTCTTGGCCACGCCCACGTCTGGCACGCCATCACGCTCGTGGACATCGCCGTCCAGGAACCCCACAATGTGGCCAACGCGGCGGAGCATGTGAAGCTCGTGAATGGCGTTCGCCTTGAACGCGAGGCTGTAGAAGACAAAGGCTTGCAGGGCGTTAAGGTTGTGTCCTGTGAAGTGGTAGATGCACTGGTGGATGACGAGAGGCGCAAAAGCGTGTGTGAGCACCCATCGATGCAGTTGCCATTCAGGGGTGTAGGGCACCTTGTCCTGCTTGCTGTGTATGGGGACCTCTTTGTCAAGGTCGACAGAATGGATGCCGAGGACCTCGTAGAACCAGTGGTAGGGCGTCCACTGCGAGCGATCCTTGGATCGCCAGGTGGACTTCATGGAGTCCTTGGGGTTGACTTGGGTGGTCATGTTGGGCGAGTACACGATCAGTCAGCTGTGTGGTATCAGATAGCCAACAAGGGATGGTGATGGGATAGATGCAGTGATCTTATATCCTCCATACGCCCATCCATTCAGCGCTGCGTCTGGTTTCGTCTTTCACGTGCAAGGGCATGCGCTGCGCTGGCTTCGCGTTGCCACCGCCCTACCTTTATGGTTGCTGCATCCGAGGTGCCATCAGATTGTTCGACACCTATCCAGATTAAGCCCCTAGTTGCGATGACGCTAATTGCTTGTACGTACGTACGTAGCCCCCAATGCACGTCATGGCTGGACCCTTTCAAGTGCCGTGCGGCACTGGCGACACACTGAGAGCACAGGCAAAGCGGTGCCTCTGGGACACGACTGTACTATTACCTGTCCGTCCTCTAGTACTTGATTGCACAACTTGCTGAAATACATCTGTCGATTTTAATATTTGATCAAATATCAATCGATCCATACCAGATTTCAGGCGGCTTTCGGTGTAAGTGCGTAATTGCCACATTGGGTATGGGCTTGCGACGAGGGCCGCTCTTCTAGTGTGGGGTAGGACTAATTACAGTGCTTAAGCTCCTGTTAGTTTTCACCTATAAATTGACTGGCCCTCGGGCGTCATTCCTTCAACACTGTAGCTCGCAAGCACAATCCAGAACCAGCATCGGGTGGACATATTCTCGGACTTCATCTCTTTGCCTGCTCATCGCCATTGATCCCCTCTCCGCGAGTAGAAGACAGGCAAGCAGAATCATTTGCCAGCCCTATACAACGGGATTCACCCACCTTCGTACACTCTTGACGCCAAAGTGGGAGTGCAAGTAATCAAATATCGCTATGAAATCAAAGGACGCGTATGCCTTGGACTGCCAAGTTTGATATTTGCCTGTCATCGAACGTGCCATGCCGTAGTGTGGAGTTTGACCAATCGTTTGGTGATCACACGTAGCAGCTCAGGAAAGGTAGATACCCAGAGACGTTGGTCACAGCCTCCGATCTTGATCTCGAATCGACAAAAATGCAACTTCCCGTTCGCTGTTGCTTGTGACGCCACTGTGACTTGCGTGTCGATCGTTTTCACAGCTTGCCCTTGAGAGCCTGCTTCCTCATCTCCTGCGCCGACCTTACCAAAGCATACAGCGTCTGTAACCTCGGCATCTCGACACCACTCTCCCGAGCTATCCTCACAGGATTGCCCAGAATGACCTCGACTTCCATGGGTCGTCCTGCCTCCCAATCCAGGAGCATGCTCGGCCTCGCACCGACGTTGCGCTCCGTGCTCTTCAGGATCCTTTCAGGCCGTGCCATGCTGTCTGGGAATGGCCTCCCCAGGATCTTGGGCGCTGCATCCCATATCTCGTGCATGACACCCGCAAGGTGCTGCCGTAGCTCTGGGTCGGTGACCATGGAGGCATTCCCGCGCCCACCAGACAGAACAGCAGAAGGGTTCATGGCAGCGTTGATGCACAGCTTGTGCCAGCGCACCGTCTGCAGCCCAACCTCATCGTGAGGCTCCACGTCCTTGATGCCGCCGAGGTCTGTCCACCACCTCGTCAGGTCCTCCGTTGCCTGATGCCCACGGCGCTCCAGCTCGGTATCCCCGGTTTTGCCCAACCCATCTGTAAAGGGGCCGATGCTGACTCTCGTCCAACGGTTCTGCCTTATCACGCCGGGAGATATCTGCTCTGCGCTGACAATGGTCACGGCACTCACAATAGGTGTTTGGGGAAACCTCTTCCGGAAGGGCTCCTCCACCCCAACGCCATTCTGGATCAAAACAATGCATGACTTGGAGCCTACCAGGGGCGTGATCATTTCCGAGTCATCGCTGACATCTGGCAACGCTTTGGTCGTCACAAAGATAAAGTCCCAACCGCCTTCAGCCCCGGCGGCCGCCTGGACGGATGGGTACGCCGCCTCCGGTTGAAACGTGTAGTCGCCAAACGTCCGCGTCTTTAATTGGACACCCGATTGCTCGATGGCCTTGTAGTTTGATCTGGCAACCAGCGAGACATGAAGACTATTTTCGGGCTAAGTCGGTGAGTCAGTTATCAATGGCCATGTAGTCGGGCACGATAGACTTACGTGATGTAACCTTGACGCGTAGAAGCATCCGACCGCCCCCGCACCTATGAAGACAATGTTGACTTTGCTATCATTCATCTCAGCGCTGCGCTTTGACCGGTATCGAGGAAATGACTTACCGGTCTGACGTTTGCTTAGCCATGATTACGATGTGGTCGGTGATCGGTTGCCCAGTGCACGCGATCAAGGTTGCTGATGTGGCGTCTCTATGGTGTGCTGGTTTGGCTGTGCGCGATAACAACAGTCGCTAGATTGTGAGGCGGTCAATACACAAGTGCAATTGAACTGCCTCGTTGGTACGCGTGGAATCGGGGATATGGTGAACTGGTGAGAGGTGGGCTTGAGTCCAAGAGCGCATGTCGTGGACGTGGCTCGGTTCATTTCGGGGTTGGGTCGGCATCGTTGTCCATGATCGACAGCCAGCCGACGTCGACATGGAGCTTCGTCCAGTTCACTTTCATTATAGCAAGTAAACAGCATCTCCATTTATTGACACTACTCGGCATTTTCATCTGATCGAATTGACGAAGCAAAGTAGCATATTGGGTCACGTGATTTGCTCTCACCCCCTGTTGAACTACCTCTCACTCACAACCTCCATGTCAGTTTGTCCTCACCCACTCCACAATCTTCAACCCCTATCACAAAGCTGCTGCAGTTCTCTCAATCTCTAACCATTGAGCATGGCAAATGTACTCCCGCGGGAACCGCACCCAGTCTGTTTGAATGGCGTTCGTCAAGGTTTGGAAAGATAAGTCCGACGTAGAGGCCGGCGCTAGGGAGCAACATGTCAATGGTTGCACGATGGGGTGTCTTCTACTAGACCCCTAGCTCTGCTAAGCTTGGATTCTAACCTCTGCCGCCTTTCCGGGCCCAGCACTCGTTGGCTGACGATTCTTCTACGTATATGTAGACACACATGTCCGGGCCGGGGGTTCAATTGGAACAGAACCGCTTCCCAAACACTGCCGGAAACAAACAGGCAAGCCCAGTGATGCCTACCTGAGCGCAAGTATGCTGATTCGCACCACACTGTATTTGAACGACACATGTGCGGAACGCATGACTAGGGGCTCTGACAAAGGTCTTGACCGTGTCATTCCCTTGCCGGCTCTTACATGGCTTGGCTGACTGCCATGCACAGCAAACTCACAAAGGGCCACATGGACTTCCGTCTATTCCTGTCGAGGAAAATTAATTGAGGTTGTGTGAAAAACGTCCTTCTCATCGTGGTGCAGGCTAGATCTTGCCAGCCAGTACTTGTACCGCCTGGACCCGTCAAGATTCACTGGTGTTTCCGAAGATCATGCCGTTGGGAACTAAGCGATCTCATGTCCCGGGGCCATGCGCTTCCTGTGCTCGCCTCGGCAGGTAACGAAGATGACTTCGTCTCTTCCGTCCGGCCGTTGCTTAGGGGTCACGGCATTCATGTCGTGTGGTGAGTTCGCCAGCTTTCGGTCCTGGACTGCAATGGCCGTGCTGGTGCAAAGGCACCTACTACCGCTGCATAGTATCGCTGTGTCTATTTTCATGGGCATGGAAACGTACGTTCCAAGTGCCTGTTGGATGTGACACGCAACGTTCTCCTTTAGTAGGGAGTGGATTCAGGGGCCATCCGCGATGTCTTGCTGATGAGCTTAGTTGAACGTGGATGATCGTCTGGCACTACTGGATAAGTAGGCAATCGAGTGCCTACATGTACGAACATGTACTTAGATATGACATCCGAGCGTCGAAACGACTAACCATAGCCATGGAATCTCACATCTCCTCGCACGATATGTTCAATTTTCGCGCCCATCGCGCCAATAGCACATTTGGCTTTCTTGCCAGTTCGACTTGAACATGACCTCAACAACAGGAGGCGGGGGCTGACACTGGTGACACGGATTGGTTGCACGCGCAAGCATGAGCTATCTCATACACAGTGATACAGAAATCAGCCTGATCCTGTATTCCAAGGGGCACTCGATCGTGTGCAGCTGAGCGAGTGGTAGCTATTCTGACGCGTCTGACCCTGATACTGCTCTCTGCGCACCTGGCGATACTGCTGCCACTCCTCATGAACTATTCCATGTGCAGTTATACTTATTTAATCGTTCAGCCGCCAGAGAATAAGACTCAGCACCCTCACCATTGACTCTGTTTGAACTGTTCATCCGTCGCGTGAGGCTGCTGAACTGTGATCTGGTGGCGAAGTTGGAGGCTGGTGGTATTATCTTGCCAGCCACTCAGTCAGGTCGATACGTTAGTTCTATTCTTGACACTGCAGCATGTTGGGGAGCAGTGTGCCAGGCAGAAGCTGCGCACGAGCTTAGGCGTTTAGGTGAACGATTTGTATAAAACCAATGAACAATGGGATGTCGTTTTCAGGGGGGCGCCCGAGCATCTCTTCGACTTGATTTGTGTGAGTGCTCAGTATATGCCAGACTACACACATGACCAGATACGCATATGCCTTCACTAGATGAAGTATCTGTAACAGAGCTGCGCCAACCTTGAGGCCCATGATGTGCTCACAAGACGGCGGCAGCGTGGAGATCAATTAGGATGCAGTCTGTTCAGCTCCAGTAGATTGTGACTCGTGAGAGTGCCATGGGTTGGACACAATACTTTGAGGTTCACGTTCCCCAGCAGGGCTAGGCTGTCACATTGCACCAGGAAGGATCGTGGACACATCAATTCACTTGCACAGAACGAAATGTGCCTACAGCTGATTCCCGGCTTGTCCAAGACAGTCAAGACGACATCTCAAAGCCGGGTGCCCAGCAACGAGGCAGATAATTCAATCTATGCCAGAGCGAAAACATCCAGGCCCATGGAGAAACGGCACTGAATGTCGATTTACGTTGTAAACAACGTGAGCTGGCAAAACGAGAGCTGCGAGAATCACATTAGCAGTCACTGATAGACCTGACGCGGCCAACACAGCTACGCTAGCTAGCACGGCAGCTCTAGGAGACCATCATGTCTCTGACGCGCTGCCTGTGAAGCTTGAGCAGTCACTGCCAGGCCAATAGTTCACGCCACTCGTCGACGTCCTCATGTCAGGATTTTCATGCGCGGCGGTGATATTGAATTGGCCGGCTGCAGCGGACTTGGCAGATCTGGTACGTCCGCTATCGGCAGACGAGCAGAAGATTGTGCCCATCCAGCTGAGCTGGGCAGACAGCGTGCTGACGGTAGTCGGTGAAGAAAGGAGGGCATGGCCAACAACAACAAATGCGGGCGACAGTGACCCGAGTGCGCCACTGCCGTGATCGTCCTAGTGAGTTGTCTGTGAAGGGGGGAAAGCTTCGCGTCGATTCATGATGCGTGCGTGTGACAAGCAGTGGTGTGTGGTTGGGTAGGAAAAGTTTTCTGGATAAGGATCAGCCGCAGCGTGAATGGAAGAAAGAATTTCGATTTGGAAATTCGAGCTTGTCAGCACATGTGGGGGTGTTCTTGGCCTGAGGCACCCAATAGCTACGTACCATTGGACTGGGGGCTCTCCACCACAGCGCCAGTCTGAACAGCAACATTATGTTCAATCTCAACGTAACAGAGCCGTTATCAACGGACACTGAAAAGAGAAGAGCCCGCTGCGGAGAGGGCTCAATGGAGATGGCAGAGTAGAAATTTCCTAATAATAATGCAGCTATGGTTCATGTTCTATTAGTACTTACACTAAGAACCGGCCGTTGAAGAATCGTGGTCAGCCTCGACAATCGCCAGCGCTTAATGCCTTGGGAATGTATCGATACTTCCTGGACTTGAGAAGAGTAACGATTGGCCTGACCGCCTCTGGCACATCAACAGCAATGCATTTGACATCGTGAGGCGGTGGTGCGCAATTGTTGATCAAGCGCCCACACGGCGGCGTGGGACCCGTGGGGTCCTCCAGGGTCGCCAACGGCGGTTAATTAATCATGTGTTTGCACATGAGGAGATCAATCAAGCGGCTGCCTTCACTCCGGGTTCGTGACAGCAGATGATCAACAATTGAAGGCACGAGTCTTGGTCTGCCACGAGTGTATTTGCTGCCCAATAATAACATTTTTACTCAGCGTATATGTCGTACGTTACGTAGATGGTGACTGAACCTTGGTACCCTGCATGTGGAAAAGTAGCTATCACCACCGGAGCATTGAGCCACTACGTTGTCCGAGGAGAAGGGCACTTCCAACCTCCTCACCCGCCGCTTCACTTCCGTCACCGCCTATTGAATGTTAGGTATTCATGCTTCCTGGTCCACGAGACCGAAGAAATTACGCTGGGTGGAGCTACAATTGTATCTTGCGCGGCTTGCTCATGTGGTTTAAGAGATATGCTTGGCTCAACGAACATGAACCTTTTAGCGTGCGTCTTGAGCCCAGCCAAATAGCATTGTCCATTCTGATAAAATGTCAGGCATATGCAATCCGCTGCTTTAATCAAATGCGTACGTAGTAAGAATCAATCAGTGATCGAAACCTGTCTTTTGACAGCAAAGTGATATTTCTGAAGACGGGCGTGACTTGGTGCAAGCTTCCCCGCTTCATGCTCCCACCATTGGTTCACAGTCCTCCTTCTAGAATGCTGTTGGAAGCCCTGTAACTGCACAAAGGACAGCGGGAGAATGCAGACTGTCAGACTCACGTTCACCTTGAGGCACTGTTAGACTTGGGCAAAGCTTGCGACTGATCAACTACTCGAGATTCTGGGCCAGTAGGCCTAGGATAGGTGACGATTTGCGCTCTGCGTTCACATATTTCCACCAGTGGCACTGGAGCTGCACAGGGACTGGACGCAAGCACACGTTGTCGAGACGTACGCCATCTTACCGGGTCGGCGGGAATCGGGCTGGGCCTTGCCGGATGGCAGTCTGAACTTTGAACGAAAGATGGCGTTTGCCTCCCACGCGTCTGGGTTCGCGTCTGGGCTTCTACCCGTCCCTCCCTGTCAGAAAGAATTAGCCAGCATTTTTGTCTGGCTTGCCACGTCAATCTCCCACACGTTCCGTAGAATGGACGGAATCAGAGAGGCCAGGGGACTTGGAGACAAATGCGAAGCTGGAGATTAACTTTCAAAATGATCAGCATTCTCATCATTAGTAAAATGCCTCCCCCATACATACTCCATATTCCTCCCCCGTCGCGGCGTGGAGGAATCCGGGGTCGAGCTACGTATCTGTTCCTCATCCACCCGAAGCGTCCTTTGATGGCTGTTATCACGACCACTCAGGGACGAGAATAAAGGTGAACTGCCGGGAGATTCAGGCGTCAATAGCCACTAATCAGCGATTCGTCTGGCGATGTGTCGTCGCGCATGATGCGCATTGTCACTGGTTCCAGAATGTTTATACCCAACGATGCGGCAATGCGAGGAACGAATCACACACTCTACCCCCTTTGGAATAACCGTTCTTCGCTCACCCCGAGTGAGTACGGCGCCTAGATCTTCACATCAACAAGCCATAACCATCACTGATTGATGTGCAACATGTACCAGTCGCAATAAGCATCAGCAGCCTCGACGCAGCTATAACTTATGAAAGCACTTATAGGGTAGCCATCGCTACATGTACTTTGTAGAACGCGCTTGCTTGGGCGGGCAGAGACGTGCAAGAGCCTCGCGCCAAGGCCCTAACAACCGAACGACCGTGCAGACACAGGTCTTCGAAGCGGTTTATCCGCACATATTACGCCCTTGGTCGGTAAAGGGCCTGGGCTGACCCGCCACATACATTTCCAGCACTCGTCAGCCAAGCTCAGCCCCTTGAGCGGGCTGTTGGTTGGAACATCGTGAAGGTTGCAATTCCGTGTGCCGCAATTGCCAATGCGAACGGGCCGAAGGTCAAACTCCAAAGACACACGCGATCGTTTGACAAGGCGGTACGGTACGTACGTCAGGGGTCTGTGCACGCAGCACGACCGGCCGACATGCTCTTCACAAGACGGCTTTGTCAATCCGATCCGCACGTCCCAGGCCTGACCGGACATTCAAAGCAACAACCAACCACTTGTTGAGCGCTTGCTTTGGGCGACGACCTGGCCAAGACTCGAAAAGCAGAATGGAAGGACTGAGTGCGGAATGTGATGAGCGCGTGAGCAGGGCTCCAAGCACAATGATGTCTTCGAACGTCCAAGGTGCTCGTGGCCCAAATTTAGACGAATAAAGACCCTTGACCTTGCTGCTGTCTTGCAGCGAGCTGTTGCTGCATCATGCAGACAATCCACAGGACCCCGGCATGGGACCGTGCACCCTCGAGCTCTGAATCCCTGTGTTGGTCCAGGAGCTCACAAACAGAGAGACGCCAGCCGCATACGGGCTGCTCGTGAGGCCGATGATGACGCCCAAGTGTCTGGGCGGCTATAGGGCTTTGCCGAAGTTGGGCTAGGTCGACTTCCAACTGGCGCACAAGCAATTGAAGTAAAAAGCGGTCTAGGCAGGTCAACAAGCAAGAGGTTGGAATTCTCCATGTTCCCTGAGCAAAAGCCTGGACAATTCGGGCAGACTGGAGTGGGGGCTGCCCGGCTAAGTAAGGCAAGGTTGCACGGGATCGTGCACGGTGCTGCTGCTTCAAGGGGCGCGCCCCCACTCCATCTGTGCGGTAGCGTCCTGTCCAGTCCTTGTCGTCGTGTCGACACCCAGTCCGATTGAGCTGTTGTAGCGAGGTTCCCGGACCGACCCAGCTTGATAGTGATGCTACCTGATGCAGCATACCTAATTAATTAATGTGCCATTCCTCGAGATAGAAAATTCTTCTTTTTGTCCATCTTTTCGTAGAGGGGTTGCGTCCATGCCCGTGAGCGCCGAGCCGCCGCCGCCGCCTCTGGCGTCCGCGATGTCGAGAAGAGGTCGTAGTCCAATACTCTGCCATTGTATCGTATTCGCGAAGCGATCCAATTGCATGTCAGATCGACCCAATGAATCGTATGGGGCGAGTCTCCCTAGAGCAACATGTGCGTCTCGTCAGAGGTATCTTGTCAGACTTAACAGAGAAATCATGTATTTGTACAGTTACGAACGGTGCTGATAAGCGGTCGAATAAAATCTTGATTACCGTAGTCCGTAATCAGTCCTGTCAGACCTCTGAATAATGGGTAACAACGTGGAAGAAGGGCGCCATGTCAAATCCGTACGTAATACTAGTGCTGTTACTTGTTAAAGTGCGTGCGCGCACCGGTTCCTGAAGGAAGGTGTCAAGCGGGAGGAGGATCATTACGAGGACTGTCACTGGAGGCTAGGCCAGCCGCCACTGGTTGGTCAATTGATGAACCGCTAGTATTTACCAGGTACCCACCCCTACACGGGGTTAGGTTGGCGGGGAGTGACCTTGTTCGCGAAAGATGCAGAGCCCTTTCCCAAACCCATGGTAATTAATACATATGTAGCAACAGCGAATGGGCAGGCTCTGGTCTAGGGACTGGAGGTTGAGGAGAATTCTGCGTAAGGTAAGGTAATTACAATAATCCGGCTCGGGTTGCCCAAAAGTGATGACCCGAAAGCAATGGAGTAAAACCTGGCTGGCACCTGCCGTTTCCATAAGTGTCTGTACCTGGCAATTACCTTACCAGGAAGCTTCCATTGATGAACAGCCCCAGAGCCGTGTGTCCATTTCGCATGCCTGGTAAGGCAGGCAGGACCTTGGATTGACAATCAAAGCCAGCCTGAGATCATCGCTGATCCACGATGGTCCGGTACCAGATATTCAGTTCCAACAACATCACTGCAACGATCCAGCTGCATCACGATGCCCTAATTTAGAAGACAGCCATCTTACACGGTCGAGCAGGTTCATGCCAAGATTTGTGCAAGCTGCCATACGGTCCATACCAGATGCCATGCTGCTCTTGGCTCTGCGAAATGCTGCATTGCATTCAACAATTCCATGGACCACCTTCGAGCCTCCGGGCCAAAGCCATCTCGCAGCCCGCGTCGACACCATCCACATTCCACATTCGACAGTCAGTGGACCAACGAGCGATCGCGTGCTCGCCGCCGAGCCAAGAGATACAAACCCTGCAGCGCCATCCCACTCTAGGACGATCCCACGAGCGTCATTCTGTAGTGGTGAGTTGTTGGTAGCCGGGACCAGGCGCCACTCTGTTTCGAAGCGGTGCGGCTGCTCCTGTGATTTTAAGGTGAGCGGCACGCGCTTCGCGCAAGACGTTTTGGAGACGGGCTGCAACTAGCAAGCCGAGCTCTCAAGTAATTAATTCAGTAGCCAGCAGCACGTCAATGTACCTCGACACGCTCCTGGATCTCTTTTGGTCTGTCTCCCTCCCAAGTCTCGGTCTGGCCTGCTTCATACTACGTTTACGGACATTGTAACGCATGCCATCCTGCATTGGCCGTCGACATTCTCTACTCATTTTGCATGGATGGGAGCTGTCTAATGGTATTGTACGGAGACTACGAATCACCAGTTAGGATCTGGAAGGATCGACATTACACACGGTACTGACAACAATACGGACTTGTACACGAACACATTTTCCCTTTAGCCGAGCGGTGCATGGGCATATAACTACTTACATCCACGGCCTCAACGCCCGATACCCGCTGTCTGCTTTTGTCCAGCCTCGTCACAGTCCGAAAGCAAGCGCAACGAAGATCATCGTTTTTGTTCAAATTGCCGGCCCTTTGCGATCGACTTGTCTCGATCATCTTGACTCGAATTGTTGCCAGTGGACCAGAGACCAGAGACCAGACCAGCCAGACAAAAAGGATAAAACCCCGAGTATCCGCTACGTATGTACATACACAGACCGAGAATTCTCCACCCAGCGCTAGCAATCAATCATCCACCCTGCGAGCGACCGACCGGACCTGCCACCGAGACGGGATTGCCTGCTCGGCTCTAATTAGTCGCCCTGAACACGGACAGCAGCACGGAAAACTACCTACGAAGGACACGTACAACTTGGCGGCGCTGGGCTCGAGAGCAGCATTCTCCAGACTCCCATCGTTTGACCTCGAATTCTTGACAAATCGAGAGCAAGAGGAACGACATACCTGGGCATCTTTTGGTAACAATTACCTACTGGCAGTGGGCGACTCCAGTCCCACGCAAAGCCAAGCCGCCCGCCACATTTTACTAGTGGACACCCTACGCACGTACAGTACAGTACCCTACCTCCACCACAGCTGGGACCGACCAACGTTTTCCATTGCTTCCGTCTGCTGCTAGGCTTGCCCCGATCATCGCCCTGCTACGTACCCACACGCGCTGAAGCCACTGTACCTGTACAGGCAGCGGTACGCAGTGCCGTTTTTGTGCCCCCCCGTCGCTCCCCAAAATCACGAACCCACCGACCGCTCGCTCGCTCACTCGACATCGACTCCAGTCCCGGCTGCTCGCTGAACTGTCATTCCGCGGGTCTCCCAACCATCCTGATCGCCCGACCGACCGTGTCCTCACTTTCACAACCTTCCTACTTCATAATATTACCCCTTCACGGCCAACCTTTACCTGGACGCATCGTCTGCCACCTTCGGTCGCATCCGGGATCGGGAACCCTGCCTGCGACCAGACCAGCTGCCACCCTCCATTACACGGCCGCACACACACACATATCCATACCACTTACATCAGCGCCCTCTGCTAACTGACTTGGCCATCCCGACCCAGCCTCGTGTCTCTCTCTTCCTCTCTCACAACAGCCCACCACGACCACATCATGTTGATCAACGGGGAGAAATACGCCTGCGATGCCTGCGTGCGAGGCCACCGCGTGAGCAACTGCCATCACTCCGGTAAGTTCATTACTACCAAACGTCGTGATCAGTCCTCGAGTCGTGGCGGCGCAAACCTCTGCCCCGCGGTGCTGCAGATCGTGAGAAAAAGCAATCGTGCTGCAGCCCGCCGCGCTCCAACGAGTGTCACGTCTCGCATGGCAATCACCTCTTCTGTTCTTCCCCTTTGAGCTTTGTCTGACCTCGGTGCTCCTGACAGATCGGCCTCTGCAACACATCAACAAAAAGGGTCGCCCAGTGTCCCAATGCAACCACTGCCGATCCGCGCGCAAAGCGCGGTCTTCCCACGTCAAATGCGACTGCGGCGAGAAAACCAGCAAGTGCGCACACATCCAGCCTGCGGTCGACGGCCATACATCAACTTGCTGCTGCAACCACGGCGGCCGATGCAGCTGTGTGGGCAAGAAGGAGCCTACACTCGACACCGTCCCCGAGACAGAGTCGGACACCGAGGCTTGCAACCCTCTGCAATCGCGTCCCAAGGTCGCGGCCCGGCGTCGACGGGCTGCCACTGTCCACTCGTCAGCCGACATGATGAACTTTGACCAGAATGGCAACAGGGTCTCTACGAGCAAAGCGAGCCGCCCTGCCCACAAGACCGGCCCCTTCACTCTCAACCGCGTCAACTCGGCCAACAGTGCGGGCAGCCTCGGTGCCGCCTCTGAGGGCATGGCAGAAGCCCACCGTGGCGCCGTACACCAGCGACGTGTCAAATCCGAGGCGACCTCCCCCATGCTCTCGGGCTCCGGCTTCCAGATGAATGGTTCTATTCCTCCGCTCGACCTATCTGCGATCGACTACCCATCCTACGCGCACGGCGGCAATGGCACCTTTGAGATGTTTAGCTCGGGGTACTCGCCCGACAACGACGCATCGTGCTTCAGCGCCGGTCTGCCCAGCACGGCTGCCTCGGTGGACTGGAGCCACTACGATTTCCCCAACGACGGATTCGGGCCATCCAGCTATAGCCAGGCAGGCACCAATGGCTTTGGCAACTTTCCCGACTTCGCCAGCAACGCTGACCAGATTCCCAATCTGATCAACACCACGTCCAACTCGGGCGATGTCTCTGAAGTCGAGGACTTTATGCCCGGCGCGGACAACGACTACAACGCGGCCCTCATGCGCCACGACATGATGGGCAATGCTGCCGACATCAGCACGATCGACTACACAAACTTCTACAGCAAGGACGCAGACTTGACGCAGCAGACAGCGCCTGGCACTGGCATGTCCATGGTCGAAGACGACCCGGCTTTCTACTACCCCAACTACCACGAAAGTGTCGTGGATGAGAATCCCGACCCCATGGGCACGCAGATCGCCGCCTACAACAACTGGGATGAGTTCTGAGCCAGCAGACGCTATGCCGGAGCACTTATTATACCCGGCGAGCCCCTTGCTCCGACTCGCCTTTTTGGTTGCTCATAGAATTTTCAACCGGTTCAGACGCGAAGCAAAGGGAGGGCGCAATGGCGCGGCTTGCTGGACCTGCCTCATTGGATTCATTGGATTACTTCAACATTCTTTTCGCTTACATTATTCAACAACCTATAGACATCGCATACATAGGGAGACAGGCGGCGTTTTCGACAAGGAGTTCAGGACTACACGCGAGAAAAACAAAAAGGTGCGACTTTCGACCGGCATAACAGGGCGGATGTGTTTAGGGTTGGATACGGGATGGTTACTTTGGTCATGGTTTCGACCGGCGTTCTTCGCTACTTGACGAGGTGTTTGTGTTTTTGATTTTTTTGCCATTTTGTTCCTTGCGGGACGGCGGTCACCCATTTTAACGATGATGACTACAGCGGTGGCTGCGCATCGCTGACGATAGACTACATGCTTGATTCCTCCACGCGAGGCTGCACAATAGACTTGATGATCAGACACCTTGAAAAGGCTGCTTTTCGCTGCCACTACGTATCCATACGTGCTCCGTACTCCTGTTCGACGAACTTGGCCCTCCATCCCAAGCACCTGTATCCTACCGAGCCATCCGCGTCATGCCACTACGTACAAGTACTCCGTAGGTACTCACCGCATAGTATTAGAGCTGCCGTGGGGTGGCTGCGACGACCACAATTTCCAGCCGCGAACCTGCTCCGCCGACGGCGCTGCCGTCAAGCCTTGCCGGCCGCAGGAACCCGATGAACGGAGGGTGACTCGTGAAAGTTAACGTGATCCCCAAGCACAGTGGACCCGCAGCGACGAGGCTCTGATAACTGCCATTGGCAGTGATTTGTGTGGATTAGGGCACTCCACAGAGTATGTACTGTTCCCCCCTAGAGTTCCTCACGATCGTGGCTCTCCATAATTACATGTTCATTTCCGATTCTGGTGCGGCTGGGGCAACGCATGCAGCACACTGGAGAAGGCATTTCAAGCAGATTAATATCAGGGATGGTGCATTCGAGTACGTACGTACTAGATCTTCAGTCAGTCAGTCGCTCTTTGAGGGTGAATACACGGTTATGCGGTCAGCTTGAGTAAGGGGTCCAGCGACGCAAAAGAAAACAGCCGCCACTGTTGGAAGGAGAAACGAGACAGGAAAAAAAAATTGGTGGACTTCTCCCCGACCACGCGACTTGTCAAACCCAGACGCCACGGGGGCCTGTCTCGAAGAAGAAGTGTGGTTGGGAAAATGGAGAAGGGCGGTCTGTGCGGCTGGAGCCCCCAACTATGGTCTCCTGCAACGCCGCTGAGTCTCGTCTTGACTCAATCAGGGAAGAGGCAGAAGGAGGAAGTGCGGTCGTGTCGTCGACGATCGGACGGAGACTCCCAGGTGCATTCTTCGGTCATTATTATGAGTATGAATAATCACTAAGTGATGCTGCGTTGAAAGGCCGGCCATAGCAGGCAATACCAGGTGGGACAGGTGACACGATGTCTAGAGCCTACCCTATACCCCTTCAGGCAGAGTTATATCGACTTGCAGTCGCTTAAAACACACTGGCTCTAATTAGGGGAAGAAAAGGGTTTCAGTCTTTGGAATCTCGGTTTTCTATATTCCGGACTGTACTGTTGAGTGCCTTCGTGCGTAGTTTCCGCAGAGTGCGCCCTGTCAATCACAAAGTTGGGTAACGTTGATGTGAATGCCTTTCTTGGACGCCTTCAACATCTGGCTGCTGCCACTGCCATCGAGCCAGCTCCGATACACGCACAAAGGATAGTCATGTGGACGTTCACTGAACCTGATGATAACCTTTTAAACGAGACGGACCTAGAGACCATGGCCATAGGTCTCATCGTACACATGTACTAGATATATATGGTGTCAAGCAGAAACCCGTTGCGCTATGCTGCGCGCGTTGCCGTCCGCTTTCACCCATGACAATTATTATAGATATCATACAATCCCAAGTAGTCATACAAACTCGATGTGTCCCAGAATTCCAGTGCGCCCCGTCGACTAATCAAGCGTCATTGGCACAGAAGCTTCATCTCCATTGGCAATGTCATTTGCGCCCGCTTCATCTTGGGTAGAGGCCGTTGCCAGATCAGCTAGGTGCTGAAGTGTAACATCGCCCGACGAGGACGTGGGGCGGACAAGATCCGACAGCTTGTCCCTGATGCCGTCCCAGACACCACCGGGCCTTTCCGCAAGATCCCTGATGAGCGTGGTCGCCTTCTCGCGCGAGTCCTCGTGGTTCAGCAAGCGGGAGAGAGATAGTATCACCAGACCGCCAAAATGATTGGCGAGAGGATTGCGCATGTCGGCATTGGCAGAGAGAAGCTTGATCAACTCCTCCATTGGCCACATGATGCCGGGTGTCGTTGTTTTAGGGGACAGTAGCGTGACAGCGAGCCTGCAATGCCAGTATGCGAGATGCACCAAAGGATGCGTCGACGGCACGACGTGATCTGGGAGGTCTTGTCGGTACTGCTCCACATATTTCAACAGGATACTAGCCACGGGCGCTTCGGCCACGGTGACGCCTGGTGGTAGCGACGAGCTCACTTCGGATATGGCCCCCAAGGTATTAGATAGGCCTTTGTGATGTTAGCGAAAGGCGCATTGAACGGCGGCGAGAGAATAGTAGCAACTTACGAACAAGGTGGAAGCAGGTCTCGTTGAGGACAGTGTCCAAACCCCGAGGAACGACAGCGCTGTGGTCAGGTATTAACACAGGCTTGCCAGTGGCCACTGCATGCCATCGATCCATCAAGATAAGCGACCACCACACGCGGATACACAATGCATCCTGGGAATCCGGTGGAAGATCATCGGGCAAGCTCTTGGTTGTCCACAACTTCATGTCGTTGGCTAGCACAACAGCCCGGCCCATGAGGTAGGGCATCGAAGGCGACCCGCGCCAGTCGGCGTCAATGATCAACAACAAGAGCGTCTGAACATGCACAAGATTGATGATGGGTGTTCTCGGTGACTCCTCGCTTTCCCAGCCTGCGAGTAGAGTGCTGGCAAGCCGCACGTTCCCCGAGGAAGACTGAGCAACTGCTAGCAGCGCGTGGGCAAAAGCCGTCCGGACGGCATGCGGACATTGTTGCAGGAGCTCTTGCATGCGCGGCAGGTTGCTCGGCAGGATCGGGTAGAGCGTCTGAAGGGTCGAGAGATAGCTGCAAGGGGTTAAATTCGGACTAGATGTCAAGCTAGCAAGGTACTTACTCTTGGAAAACGCCCTCTTCGACGGTAGGCCCATCCCCCCAGTCAGCTAGTGAGAGATCCATGGTTGCCTCGGCTGCGTTGTGATCGTGGGAAGGTATGGGCAAGGGCTGAGGAGCCAAGGAAGCGCTGGTGTATGGCTCTGATGCGTCCATGTCCGCCTGGTTCTGTGCAGACGGGAGCTGGCGCGGGCCCCAGGGAGTGTTCCTAGATGCCAGGGGCGAGCCCATGTCGCCGCCGGATATACTCGAGTAAGGCCGCTTCCTACCCGACTCCTCCGCCGAGTTGCTTTGGCGGAGAGGCCTATCGCCGAATAAGCCAGACAGATCCTCCGAAGTGAGGCCACCATCTGTCTCAAGCTTGCTCTCAATGCTGTTGATACGGTCTGCCAATTCCTTGATGTACCTGTAGCATTGTTAGTCTCAAGCTTGCGGCCGCAAAAATGATGCACACACCCTTTGCTGGGGCCCCTTTTCTGAGGCACCCTGCTGAATAAACAGGGGATGTTGGAGCGAGCACAGCTAGAGCAAGGTTGGTCGCCAACACCATCATTTTGAGCATCGCACTTGATCTTCTTTCTTCTGCATTCGTCACACGCTCTGGACACTTTTGACCTTTTGCGTGGAGGGACATTATCACTCGTGAGCGGATTCCACGGCTGCAGTTGGGCATTGATCGAGACTGGAAGGCCGTGCGACAACATCGATTCCGACGTTGGCGTTCCCTGCATATAAGCAGGGTTGTGGTGATGTTGTTGTTGCTGCTGCTGCTGCTGCTGCTGCTGCTGTGGGATATCATGGTGTTGCTCTGGCGGCGGCGGCGGCTGTTGTTGGTGGTGGTGTTGCTGTGGCTGTTCCTCTGATGGCTGCTCATGCTGCTGTTGCTCTGGGGCTGGCTGCTGATGTTCGGGCTGATGTTCCGGATGCGGCATGATATGGCGCAAGTTCGAATCTTCCGTATTCATGTTTGGGTCGGTGTTGGGTAGGAGTGGCGTCGAGGCGATTGTGTGACCGAGTTGCGCAGCGAGTTGGAGCTCCTCGATATTAGGGGGGCGACCGTTTTGCTGCTGTGACCCTTCCGCATCATGCTGATGCATCTCTGTCTGCATGTGCTCATGGTGCTGATGCTCCTGATGTTGACCGTCCAGGTTGTGGTCCTGGTCATGATGGTGGTGGTCTTGGGGCTGCGCTACATCGTGCTCGTCGTCGAAGGGTTGTTTACGATCCTCGGGTTCATCCATGTGCTCCTGGGAAGCTGTGTTATAGAACGGCCCAGCGTCGCCTGTCTCCGCATTCGGTGAAGGGTACGTTATCGAGCCATTCGCATCGCCATCCTGGCCTTCGTTCGCGGCGCTCATTGTGGGGATTTGGGCGCGCGTCGTCTTTTTAATTTGCGATTTTGAAGGGGGTCGCGACGCTTGTCACCGATCGCCAGGGACTGAGGATAATTCTGTCGATGCCACAATATCTTGAAACGAGATGAAGGAGAAGCCAGGCGTATTTCTTCGCGCTGGCTAATCGTCTAGAATTACAGTCGTTAGCATATTGATGTCACCAAGAAAAATGTCCTCGTCGCGCGAAAAGCGCACGATGCGCAGCGACAGCGACGGTGAGCCATGACGATTGATCATTGTCACAAAGCGTCGCTGTTGTGAAGGAGGAAAGGACTTACATGTTCACGAGCTTCGAGTCGGTCGATGGTAAATGCGACGCGCCGCGTCCGCTTAACGGATCAGGAAGAACTCGGCCCCGTGGACGGTGGGTGATTCTGGCTCGTGGGAATCTCGCAGTGCCGTGCAGCAGTTCGGAGGTGGAAGAATCTTTCGGCATCTGCGTGCTCAGTGAGCGTGGCGGATGCTTATGTAATCACATAGCAGTGTGCTTTGTGGCTTGAATCTGGAGCAATGGGCGAGGCATGGTGATCACGTTCCGTGATTGCTCATGTTGGACAAATCTATCTCTCAACAATCACATCGGCCAAACACTCTGGCAACTGATGTCGAATCGAGTACGCATGCCATCAATGTCTTTTTGCACCCATATTCTTTCGGCAGCTGCGGCACTACAAAAGTCATGCCACAAACAAGAGATGGGGGGATGACTGATGGACACTGGCTGATGAAAGCCGTGCGATGAATTCTAGGCCCAGAGCCGTAGATAATTTCCTTGGTATTCATTTCATCGACATAACCTAATACCTTCCTAACTTCATTCTTTGTCGGTGCAGAAGACGTGCTGCTGTGAGCCCTTTGTGCAGCTGGCGTTAGACTGACGAATGATATCAACTCATGACGCTCCCCAAAGGGCGTTCCGTTGTCCGCAAGACCGCAACCCTGGTCCGAAAGTCCTCCCCACAGCAGCCCGAACGGCTGAGACTGAGAGATCCAATGTTTTCGACTTCTGTGCCTGTTTAATATTTGGCGCTGAGCTACATACACGACGCTCTGAATTAGGGAGAAGCAGGCATGGCGACGACAAGCTGCCACGTCAAGGTCTCGAATTTGATGCTCTCACACACCTCCAGCTGGCTCTGAGATGGACCTGGTCCAAGCGCAGAGTTGGAGCTACATGCCAGGGATCCCTAGCGAAATTGGAGCACTGCGAGGACTGCTGCAGACGTACAGTGAGATATCGGAAGATGATATCGACAAACACCTCTTCAATATTGTGGGTCGTCTCGACAGAAATGATTGACCTCTTGCCATCTACTGACCTGTTATCAGCGCGCAAAGGCATGGAACGTTTCGCAGACGCCTTCAATAGGGCGATGGAAGTTTCTCACATTGATGAACCGCGATGATGAGCTGTATCAAGAGATTCTTTTTCGCCTGAAATTGCCACAAAGTCAGGCAGCGATTCTGGATCTTGGATGTGGTTTAGGCCAGGTCCTGCGGCAACTGCGATCGGATGGCGTGCCTGGGCTCAAACTCTTTGGGACAGACGTGAGCTCGGAGCTCATCGAAATCGGATACGAAATGTTTCGCGACAGGTACACTCTCGGGGCTACCTTTGTACTGGGCGACATGATCGACCCAGATGACAACCGCTTGTCCAAACTCCAGGGGCAGGTCACAGTGGTGATAGCTGATAGCTTCTTCCACTTATTCACCTGGACGCAGCAACTTTACATTGGCAAGCGCCTTGTGGGCTTCTTCAAACCAGGGACACATAATGCGACGATAATTGGCCGGCATGCTGGAGTGATTTCCAACAATAAGTCACCCGCAGTATTTCGAGCGAGCAACTCGCCGCGGGCAGAACCTTTCCTGCACGATCAGAGGACCTTTCAACAGTTGTGGGATGAGGTAGGAAAGCTAACGTCCACCCGGTGGCATGTGGAATCGCAGCAAGATGGCTCCTTATCCGACCAATTGCCAGGTATAGAGCCTGGTGTCGTGCCTATGAGATTCACGATCCGTCAAATACCTCACAGATAACGCGGGTGCACCATGCCGATCTTGTCGCATCCATTGGCACAGATCGTCCTCATCCAGGGACGGGCTGTCGTTGACGCGATGTCGCCCTGCTCAAGAGCATCAATAGTGGGGGAATGCTCCGAAACACCAACTATGGTAGCTAGAGCGCTAACGCCAGCGGCACATACTTCTGCTATTCTCTTGGTAAAAGACAAGAATTATGAAATCAAAATAGTGTTCAAATCAAATAAGAACTTGCGGAAGCTCATCCAAGACTTTCGAAGAATCAATTTCATCTGGCTTGGAACAAATTCGGGCCATTCTGAACACAGTTGGTGCTAGTGTACTATCGGCCTACGATGACAGCTCATGCGCGCGTACCTCCCCACCGTGACTGCCCCTCGCGTCACGTCGGGGATGCAGCAGCTGTTTGTTGCGATTGTCAATAAAACTTCCATACAAGCGCAACACACTATACTCGCCGGTGCGCGACTCTACGAATTGCCTATCGTCTCTTTGAGACTTCCTGGCTTTAGTATATATTTCTGCAGCAAACCATGAGGCTCTGGACAAGCCTCACGACGTCACCATGGACGCAGACTGGGACGAGGTCAGTGGATTTACCACAAGAAAGCGGGCGACTGCTTGGCGAGCGATGTCTCGCGAGCCGCAGCAGACCGGAAACTGTCAACACTATCTCGAACTCCGGGGATCATGTAGCTAACCAAGCAATTGGCGCGGTAGATTGCCCGGGTCCCGTTCCCTCCACCGAACCTCCATGCGATGCCGACTCCCGTGTCAACCATGACCTTCGACAACCTTCAAGAGCTTCTGTGGACAGGCAATGAATATGTATGTGGGATCAGGGCGAATATGGGATGCGAAAAGCATACTGAACCTCGCGCCTAGGGTCGCGTCACCTCTTTCTATGGGGCAGAACTTCAGCGGTACACCTCGTTCAGGTCGCATGCAGCGACGGAAGGACCAGTGCGACAAATTCTGGTCAACGACAAAGGTGTGATAGCGCTGGGAGCCAAGGACCTGCATATGGCGATACGGAGGGGACTCCCGCAATGGCATATCAGGTGAGGGTGATTGCTCTAGCCCTCGTGGAGACGCTGACACGCGGCAGACACCCTGACATGAAGGACCTGAAATGCATGAGCTTCACATCAAAGGGAACCGCTGAAGTGTTACTGGCAGGCCTGCAGGAGGTGATGCTGGTTGTGGACCTCAATAAGGGCGAGGTCACAAAGCAGGTAGGTCGACGAGACTCGGGGCCGGGAACTTCAGCTCACCAGGTTCAAGATACCAACGGAACACCGCTACACGATAATGCGCCGCGGGAGGTACATCTGTGCGGCAACAAAGACGGGATCAGTCCACCTACTTGACCCGATCAGCTTTGCAGTGGTTAGGACATGGAACGCCCACTCGGCCCTGATCAGCGACATGGACGCGCAGCACGACTTTATAGTTACGTGCGGTTACTCACTACGCCAGGGTCAGAACTATGTTCTGGACCCTTTTCTCAATGTCTTTGACATCAAGCAAATGTCTTCCATGCCACCAATTCCCTTTCCAGCCGGGGCTGCGTACGTACGCATGCACCCTCGCATGCTGACAACCAGCATAGTGGTCTCACAAGGCGGCCAGATACATATTGTTGACCTCATGAACCCCAATTCTAGCAATGTGCGTCAGGCCAATGTTCTGACATACCTTGCCATGTTCGACGTCGCACCATCCGGAGAAGCGATTGCATTGACAGATGCCGACTGTCAGATACATCTCTGGGGCTCACCCAGCAAGATGCACTTTGTTGATCTGCCGGCACCTGTGGAGTTTGCTACCCCCGAAGAGCCGTCGCCACAGATAGAATGGACTGCCGATACGTAAGTGGACTCGCCGACGTGTCGTTCTTCGCATATCTGACCATCACAAGGCCCTCGAATCTGATAGGCTTGCCGTACTATCGAGAGTTGCTCGCATCTGCCTGGCCGGAGAATGTCAGCGATGTAGGCGCACCTCCCGTCAAGTACGATCCACAGTTCCTCGCCTCGCTCAAACCAAGCGATTTTGGTCTCTACGGCCGCAACACGCGTGGGCTGCGGCGAAACCAAGTTGAGCTTACACGGGATTCTGAGAAGCAGGGCAAGACGGGCCTCAAAGCACCCAAATTCCTCAGCGAGAAGGCGAGAGAGTCAGCCCAGTCCATTGGCGGCGGGGACGATAAGGCGGAAGACCTTGCCAGTCCACTCGGGGACATGACAATAGACAGCAAGAAAGCAGAGGTGCCGGTGATGTATCGGAGTGTCGAGATCAAGTACAGCAAGTTCGGTGTGGATGATTTCGATTTTGGGTAAGTTGTTCCTTCACAGATTGCGGAGATCAAAACTGACACATAGTAGATTCTACAACAAGACGCGGCACTCCGGTCTTGAGACGCACATCTCGAATTCCTATGCTAACGCGTTGCTACAAATCCTGCACTTCACGCCTCTTGTACGCAATTTGGCTCTCCAACATGCTGCGACTGCATGTGTCGGAGAACTGTGCCTACTCTGCGAACTTGGGTTCCTGTTCGACATGTTAGAGAAAGCCGAGGGCTCGATTTGTCAGGCCACGAACTTGCTCAAGACGTTGAGCAACTATCCGCAAGGTATGATGAGCCCTTACGTTGATTGTAGGTCGTTTCAGGCGCTAACGTTCCCAGCTGGTGCCTTGGGATTGCTGGAGGAGGACCCGCACAACACATCGGTCAATATCATGCTCCAGGGCTTGACTCGCTTCTTGCTTGATCGGTTCGCGCAAGACTATAAACCATTGTCACCGAACCCAGCGGCAATGGAGCAGGTAAGGGGACCTGCCGGCAAGGTTGAAGATTCCGGTTGGATGCTGATATGTAGCAGATGCTAACGACACACGCCACGAGCTCGATCAAATGTATGAACTGTAGGAGCGAATACACTCGGCCCGCGGCGACGTTTGTCAACGACTTGATGTACCCCTCTTTGGTAAGTCTCGCTTTTGTATCACTCGCTGAGTCGGCTGACGAGGGAGCAGAAAGCGCCTGGCCGCAATGCCAAATCCCCACGGATCACCTTTTCGCAGGTGCTGAAACACAGCATAGAGCGCGAGACCACGTCCAAGGGCTGGTGTAGTCGGTGCCAGAGATACCAAACGATAGCAACTAGGAAGACTGTGCACAACATACCAGCAGTTTTGATGTTGAATACCACCATCACGAGCCAAGAGCACAAGATGCTCTGGGCGACTCCGGGCTGGCTCCCGGAAGAAATTGGCATCATAGTGGAGCAAGGCCAATTCTTCTGTTACGAGGGCGAAGACCTCAAACTGCACCTGCAGAGGGGGATACATAACATAACTGTCTACTCTCTTGTAGGCGCTGCCGTCAACATTGAGAACGGCCAGGCACAGAAGCCTCATCTTGTGTCTGTAATCAATGGTACGGCAACCCTATGGATGCTCTAGCGAGCGATCGAAGCTTACGTGTTACAGTTGCCCACGCTGAACCCACTGACCCCGGCAAAAGCAAGTGGCATCTATTCAACGACTTTCTCGTACGCTCGGTGACTGCCGAGGAGGCTCTGACATTCAACACCGCGTGGAAGTTGCCATCGGTGCTGGCGTTCCAAGTCAAGGAAGCCAATAACCAGATGGACACCTCATGGAAAACAGCGCTCGACACCTCGTTGCTGTACCAAGATTTCAAGTATGAACAGTACCATGCGTGTGTGAACCGTTCACTGACTATTGCTAGTCCTAACGCGGATCCAGCTACCAAGACGTACCAGGTGCTGAACCCAGACACGGAGGCTCCAGGCCCCGGCACGATTATTGCTCTTGACACCGAATTCGTTGCTGTACGACAGCCAGAGATCGAAATGAACTCGGATGGCGAGCGAGAGACGATCCGCCCAATAGTATACGCCCTGGCTCGTGTATCTGTCGTTCGCGGGCAGGGTCAAGACGAGGGAAAGCCGTTTATCGACGATTACATTGCTATCAGAGAGCCGATCGTCGACTACCTCACTTCCTACTCCGGTATCACACAGCAGGATCTCGATCCGCGCGTGGCCAACCACTGCATTTTGTCCTTGAAAAAGGCATACAAGAAGCTCTGGATCTTGCTCAACCTTGGCTGCAAGTTTCTCGGCCACGGCCTCAAGCAGGACTTTCGCGTCATCAACATTCATGTACCCAAGGTGCAGGTCATTGACACCATCGACTTGTTCTTCCTCAAGGCGCGCCTTCGCAGGCTCTCCCTCGCATTCTTGGCTTGGTATCTGCTCAAGGAGGACATTCAGCTGGAGACACACGACTCGATTGAGGATTCACGGACGGCACTAAAGTTGTACCGGAAATTCCTCGAGTTTGAGGACGCAGGGATTCTAGACCAGATGCTACTGGACATATACCGAGTCGGTCGGGATGTTAACTTCAAGCCGCCGAGGAAGGAGGGTCAAGGGATCCAAAGAACGGACACACCGCCGCTGCCAGCAGAGGGCTCAACTGGCCCGCCGACGACTCCTAAGAGGGACTCGGGCTCTTTGACGGCCAGCGTCCCTGGTTCGGCATTTGGAGGGACTTTGAGCTGGACGCCTGGCAAAGGGTCGCCAATGAGATAAGGTAGTCAGCGAACACGGGTGAGTTTGATGAACAGACGAATAGTCAATGTAGTGCTTTAGCAATGGCATACATATTCAGAACGGCATGGTTTGTATTGAAGTGAAGTGCTCACACGCTCGTGTGCTTGGCTGGCTGCCACATTGAGATCAATACTAGAGCAACGCGCATCCTCCCCGTCCATGGTCTGGCTTTCCAACTAACCCCCGGGGTTGGTCTGCAAGCTACCGCTGGGGTTCCACGGGAACTTGGGAATCTGCAACTCTCCCACAAAGGTGTCCAGATCAGGCGCAGCCTTCTTCAAGTCGTACATGCACATTGGCTGCTGGGTGCCAAAGATGTTCTTCTCGGTGATGGTGGATGTCTCGTCGAACGACAGCCGAACGCCGTGAATGGTGCGGCGTGAGACGTCGCCGGCAAAGTAATTCTGTGGCGCAATGGCGATGGATGACATGGCCGTGGTGGTGACCGTGTTGGGCAGATCTGCCGTGTTCGGGAGATGGTGCGTGCCTAGGTTGAAGTATCTTATCAAAAACGTTCTAATCAGTGTCCTGCCCTGCCTGACTTGTAGGGGGAGGGGGGAAGAGGGGGATGCGTACAGTACAATGTCCTCCTGTTCGAGGCTTTCTCCGTTGAAGAACTCGTTAAAGTCCACGGTTGGGTTGTGCGGGTCATGACTGTTGAATGCGTACGCGCTCTTGGGCTCCGTGTCGTGATGCTGGAGAGCGTACAGGTTGTGGGTGGCCCAGTTGATGGAGTTCCCCAGAGCGGAGGATGACTGCACGGTCAAGTAAGCAGTGCTGCCACTGTCTAGAGTCTATGTCAGCAGAGTCTCCCCGGGGGACTATGGTTAGGAGGTGGGCATACTTGGGAAGATGCGGTAGCCAGGTGCCTCTCCGTACTTGTTGAGCGCATCCTTGTTGACGACGGCATACGAGGCAGCTCCGTTCTTGGACCAGGTGATCTTGGCGTCGTCTTCGTTTGTAATGTACGTATGCTCTACCTGCATGGTGTTGATGCTACGCCCCTCGGACCATGGGTAGCTGATTCTTGTCAGTGCCTGGCTCGGGGGGAGCTTGAAGCGTCAATCCTTACACTTGCGTCTTTGGGACAAATTCGGACTTGAGCAGGCTGTTGTTCCTCCCCTTGATGTCCAGGTCCAGCTTGAAGTTGATGACATGGTCATGCATCGAGCCTGACAAGTTGTCGTATATGTGGAAGCCGTATCCATCGTCCCCTGACCAGAAGGCTCCCTGGATGTACCCAGAGGCTCGAACAGTGGCGGTGATTGACCCATCGTAATGAAAGCCATATTCGAAGAGATAGTCGTAGTTGCCCACTGTCGACACGGCGCGGACGATAAAGGCAATGTTCTTTGTAGCTGAGACGTACGTCCCTGTCAAATGGCGCTGGATGGGGTATCCCGTATCGTACTCAAAGAGACACAGGCTGTTGGGGTGCACATATGTGGTTTCGCTAATGTAGAACGTCGTGTTGAGGTACGTGGCGTGGGACGGACAGTCGAAGCCGTCTACCAGGTTCCATTGACTCGTGCCTATACCATACCCTGTGTCCAGATACGCCGAGTTGGCATGGAGAGGGTCTAGGGAGGCATAGTGGGCCATGGCTTCCTGCAAGCCCAGCTCGTAGACGAGGCGCTCGCCCTTGTATCGGATGTCGTGGAGCTGCATGCCAACATCCTTGTGGTTGGAGATGTAGAAGGTGAAATCCACTGTACATGATCAGCCAGGAAGGGGGACTCGGACATTTCATCAAGACGGACTCCACTCAACATAGTTCTCCTTCATGTCGACGCCAAAGCGAGGCCCGTCTGGCTGCACTGAGACGGGGGGATATAGATTGTCGCGGGGAAGGCTTTCCCCAGCATGGTCGGTCGAGGTCCACGGCCCATCGACAACCGGACCTGGCGTTCGTTTAAGACTCTCGACCCCTTTCTTGAACTCGGCGGTGGAAGGCCAGTAGTGGCCATCGTAGTACCAGCCGACGACGGACCACTTGGAGGGATCACGACCGGTGAGATCCACCTTAAACTGCAGGCTCGTGGGCAACACGGTTTCCGAGAAGAACTCGCCAGTGTGCGCAGAGTAGAATTCGTTCCATTGGTAGACCCTGTCGCCAATGTGCATGAGGGGGTCGCTGCCGGCGATCAGTAGATTGTCATCTTCTGCTCCCGTAGCGGTCTTTGAGAATGGTCAGCCGAGAGATCCTCCTGAGCGTGAGAGCAATCATTCTTACGCCGTTGAGAAGCCTTTGTGTGATATCCTTGATATCCTTTCCCACCTCGAGGTTGAACAAAGCGATGGCTTCGCCGTCAGCATTATACACGTTCGTCCGGCCTCGACCAGATGTAAACATGTAGTTGAGCTCCTCATAGTGCGCCGTCGAATCGCTCAGAGGCAAGGGTCCAACCATGTATTCCTGAAGGTATGGCTGCTCCTGTGAATTGAACTGCAGTGTTGCTCGGGCGAATCTAGGGGGAGGGGGCCCATCTTGGTCGAGATAGACCAGTGCATCCGTCTTGTTGGGCTGCAACACGTCCATGGTCACAATGACATTGTCCCATCTGCCCATAGTCAGCCATTTTGTGGTCTAGCCTGGTCAATCGTGAACTGGACAGGACTCACGAGGTTGAGTTGACTATTGCCGTGAGGTTGAGCTCTTTCTGCTCGTGGAGGTACGCGGTAACATCGGCATATTCCTGCTCCGTGAGGGTCTGGAAGATGTTCCTCTTTGGCGCGCTGATGGCAACATTCTCCGGGGGTTCGCAAGCATGCTTCGAGGCGCCGTTACCATCGTGTCGCTGAGCAGGATGACGGAGAGAGTGTACACGCGCAGCCGGTCCTGGAAGACCAGGTCGTGCGGCTACATAAGGCGATATTGCCAGAAGACATAGCTCCCAGCAGATGATGAACCGCATATTCGCTCCTGGTAAGACTGAAATGCTGGTGCTGATGAGTCCTGGGAAACAGCCATTTGCAGAGAAGTGGCACAGCAGTTCTTTTAAGAAAGCACCGAGGACGTTGATCGAGGCAGGAAATCAAGTTGCAGCCGTGGTTTCGCCTCGATCATCGCGGCACGTCAATCATTACCGCATGAATCCTGCAAATATTGGCAAAGGCACTAGCTGCATAACGGCCCGGCTCGAGATAGTATGTACGTAAATAAAAGTTGAATAGTACTATGCGCAAGGGGCCCGGGGCTGAGCGGCTGAGATGCATGAGGCATGCCCGCATCCCCAAAGTGAGCAGTCGTCTTTTCCCCGCGGACCAATAACGAGACCAGTCTACACGCTGCCTTGCTTTTATGAATCGGGGCGAAAGCCAGATGCTGGGGTTCGAGCAGCTTTGTGCACCAGGTAACCTGGACATGGCCGCATGGCTGGGCAATAGTTCCATGCGCACCGGCAAAAATTTCCGCGTGGAGTCCAGTAATGCTCCGGAAGGACAAGCCTCCGGTACATTTGTCTATCTTCTACTTAGTGAGTTGAGTGCTACTGCTGAGGTGTAGACTGCCGCTTTTTGGTCCATGCTACCTCACGGCGTCCGTGGCTGTCCATGGCGAGGACCGGCACATCGCTGGCCAGGACCGATGCTCGGCGAACTCCTGCATGGACATGGACACATGCATCTATGACGAAATCTTGGTTGCATTCCGTCTCCCCCAATGAGACCCAGCAACGTGAATTAAACAACTCACAGTGGTAACGTGTACCAGGCGCATGTGGCAGCAGTCAGCCGTTGTTTGCCTTGCTGATGCGTATAGGATCTCCCTGGGCTAGAAGAGCCGGCTTCCCGATGCTTTATGAAGTATCGAGTGGCTGCGAGATGCAGCAAAATCCCCGGGGCTGTGAGACGTGCATGCCGGTCTTGCGCACAAGGCCTGGCCCAGAGGAACCTAAAGAAGCAAGGCTCCCGAGCTGCCAGGGCGGCGTTGGTTATAGATCATGTCTGGGCTTTCATCGCCGCAAAGATCGGACCATCGTCTCCAAGGCCAATAGCAATGGGTTTGTAGCGCCGGCAGTTGAAGGCCAGCAAACATGGAATGCGCCTTGATGGATCTGCCCTGCCCGGTTTCCTGTGACAGGGTTCGCGCAGCCTATGACGGATTCACAAGCTTCTTCAGCTCAGCAAAGCGCACAGGCTTCGGCATGAAGACGTCGACGCCGGCTGACTCGGCATCGCGCTGCGCATCTGCGCTCGCCAGACCGGTCAGCGCAATGATGTTGGTCTGCGGCAGACTGTTCTCGCGCTCAAACTCGCGGATCCGCTTGGTCGCTTCCAGGCCGTCCATGACCGGCATGCTAATGTCCATGAGGACATAGTCGAACCGTCGCCGGCCGGGCCCCGTCGTCTGCGACGCGGGGATGCACGCCTCGGTGAACCTGTCGAGGGCTTCCTGCCCGTTCTCGGCTTCTGCGTAGGAGAAGCCGCACTTTTTCATGAACATGACCAGCAGCTGGAGGTTGATCTTGTTGTCGTCGACAATGAGCACATGACGTGGTGGTGCTTTGTCGGTCGGTCCGGGTTCATTGGTCTTGGGGATCGGGTACGAGGAGGCTGTTCCATCGCCAAGGGCTGGCGTTCCTGGGTTCAAGGGCGGAGGGGAGGCTAGGCCAAAAAGTCCTGATGATGGAGGCTGATCTGCCCGCGGATCCGATCCGTCGACGGCTTGTGCAGGCTGTGCTTCGGGAACAGGTGCGTCGTCTTTGGGCGTCTCGGTAGGCGGTTGCTCGATCACGGGTTGTGGATGGGCGTCCTTTTCTTGCTCCATGTCCACACTTGACTTGGCATCGGCCATCAGGAGACATTGGGCAAAGACTTTAGCCAGCTTCCGCGGTCCACAACTATACTCATGTTAGCTATTTCAAGTCATCGGGCGAGAGGGCTTTCTTACGGCTGTGGGATCACCTCCACAATCTCGGACATGCTCGTCAGCAACTTTGTCTGGTTCTGTGAGATTTGGATGGCCTCTTTTGCGTTCTGACAGACGAGAATAAAGGGCACTTTCTTGTCCACCTTGGGCTCCAGCCCGGACTTTTGCAAACGCTGCTCAAGCAGTTCCAGTGACGGTGGTTCAGAGTACAGGTAGAAGTCGGCCTCTGACGCACCCGCCTCCCCATCTTTCACGACCTTCATGCCAAACCAGCTGGAGCAGGTCTTGGCCAGAACCTGATCGGCTTGTTCAAGTTGCTGCTGCGTCCGTGGAGAGTCGGGTCGGCCGGTCAGCAGTGTCAGTTGGCGTCCACGGACGCGCTTCAGAACGGACTGGATGACATCGTCCTGGGCCACCGAGGGATCTTCGGCCACCGGCAACAGACGAAGACGAACGGTGATCTCTGTGCCCTTGTGCTGCTCAGAGTGCACTTCGAGAGTTCCGCCCAATGAGTCGACAATCTGCTTCACAATGCTCAGACCGAGTCCCGTGCCCGGTTGAAATGAATCCTCCTGGCTGAATGGGAGGAAGAGTCGGTTTCGCTGAAACTCGTCGGACATGCCCTTCCCCGTGTCCACCACTTTCAGCAGGACATCCACCTTGGACCCGTCGGGACTTTGTTTCCCTCGGAGCGACACATGCACCGATCCCTGCGTGGTGTACTTGAGTGCATTGCCAAACAAGTTCATGATGATTCGGCGGATGGCGCCCGGTTGCGTCCTCACCATCCACGACGTTCGGGGACAAATGTCCAGCAGCACGACCGCCGAACTCCCCGCAGGCTCCGTGCCTGGGCTGCCATCCCCGTGCAGCAGGCTCTGGTGGCCGACGAGCCCCGGCACGGGTCCTGCGTCCGGCGCCCTGTTGAATGTGTGACCCGCCGACGTGGCGTCTACGACCTCCTCCACCAGGACGGCGAGGTCCACGGCAGCCGTGATGTTCAAGCTGTCGAGCGAGTCGGTGGACAGCTTGAGTAGTTTGTTTTGCTTCGCATTTCGCCTTAGCTGCATGCGACCTAGCCGGTTGATCTTGCTGTAGTCAAGCACATGGTTCAATGTGTCGAGCAGAGTCTTGCCACAAGTGGTGATGGAGCCGATGAGACCAGACTGGTAGGAGCTGAGCTGCGTATCGCGAAAGAATTCCGCGGCACCGAGGATGCCGTGCAGGGGGCTGCGCAGCTCGTGGCTCATGCTGGCGATAAAGGTCGTCTTGGCCGCCTCGTTCTTCTGCGTGTTGATGCGCGCCACTTGACTCATAATGCTGTTGGCGAACGCACGGAGATAGGACAGGTCGTCGTCGAGATTCATGAGGCGCCCACTGACCGAGGTCCACAGGAAGCAGCCACCTGCGAGTCGATCTTCCGTATAGTCATAAAGAGGCACGAAGATGACCGCCTTGGCCCCTGGTATCTTCTTGAGGAGCTCCTTGTGGTCCATCCGGACCTTGCGACGCATGTTGTGAATCTGGGGCTCCCTGTCGCTCGCGCTGTCGTCTTCCGACGACACGCCTGCGCCTTCGGCTGTAAAGGAGAACGCCTTGCCCTTGGGGAAGAGGGTAAAGTATTTTTCGAGTGTGCCGACGGACAGGGCTGATCCTTGGTCGATGGCCGCGCGAGCACGCTCATCCGCCAGGGAGTATGCGAGCAGCTTGCATGGCCTTGATGTGGGCAGCGTGTCCGAGTCGGAGCTGTCAAAGCCAACACCTTCCGACCCCGACGTGACCGGGAGCGAGAGGTCGTCATCGTCGCCGCCTGTCGACTGGAGGGCTCCCGAGCGGAGGGCACGGCTCAACTGCTTGGCGTTGGTGGCTGTCGCGCCAAAGAGGACCACGCCGTCGGCCAGGGTCGATGTGCGCAGCAGCTCGGATGCGCGATGCAGCATGTGTGACATGTCATCTGACTTCTGCTGCGGCGTTTTCTGCGTGCCCGAGGATGGCGGCAAGGAGGCAGCAGCAGCAGCAGCAGGCGCTTGTCGTTGCTGCTGCTGAGATGGCGGCACGGTTCCGTTGACGAGTTCATCGGCACGCTGATAGGAGCTTGCCCTCGACATGGGGCGTCTCCTCCCACCCTGCGACATTTCAGGCGGCCGGGATGGCTGTCCCTCTCTGCCATTCTCCGAGTCGCCGCCTTGTATGTACGAGGTCTCGATGAACGCCGCCAGTCCGCGCACAATGCGCTCGCCCTTGAAGCGGTCCACGCGATCCCGCGCCCACTCCAGATGATCCATGATGGCCTGCGCGATACCCTGCATGAACTGAACCTCGTCCACCGTCAACCCATCGCGCGGCTTGTCGTCGGACACGGCATAGGCGCCAATCTTGTGTCCGTGGCGCGAGATGATGGGTACGCCAGCGTAGAAGCGGACGCCAGGCTCGGCCACGACGTAGGGGCGCGTGTGGAAGCGACCGTCGAGGCGGCAGTCCGTCACGACGAGGCCGGGCGCTGTGTATGAGCGACCGTTGGGGTCGCGGCCTGTGCATGTGTTGGTCAAGCAGTGCTCGCAAATGGCGTCGGGGCGTGAGAGGACAGCGGTGCCGACTAGAGAATTGCACAGGTTAGCCAGTCAGTCAGTCGACGCAGCCATCGCCCCTCGTCTGCCTGCCTGTCTGTCGGGACGGGTACCTGTACGTACGCCACAGTTCATTGTCCTTGTCGGGGCCGGCAGGGTCGTGGGTGCCGAGGCGGAGGTTGCGCGTGGCCTCAGCGAGGATGGTCTGTGAGGTCTGGTCGATGAGGCTCACCATGGCTCGCTTGACGTTGAGGCGCAGGACGGCCAGCTGGGCAAAGGCCGTGAGCGCCTTGTCCGAGCTCGCCTTGGGGGTGAAGTCGGCATGGTCCGTCGGTGCGCCGATGCTGCTGATGTTCTGGGCGACGGTGAGCGAGGAGCCCTGGGCGACCTGCCAGCTCTGCAGGTAGCGCTGGACCTCGCGCTCTCGCTGGGAATCCAACGCGCTGGACATGGTGCGTGGACGTGGACCTGGGACGCGGTGATAGATGCGAACATGAACGTGGGAGGACGATCGGAATCAGCCGCGAGGACTGGACTGTGAGGGCCTTGGCTTGCTTGTCTCGAAGCGGCGGTGCGTCATGGTGACTGGACTGGACTGGACCGGACTGGACTGCTGTCGCATCTGTGTATATCTGCTGGCTGATATGTGCTCGTTTTTTTCGCGCGGCATCCCGATTCAAGGCCCGCGCACTTGTTAGCGCCCTGTCACCAATGCAAGAATAGCGCCGCCAGTGTGCTAGTGGTGCACCAGAAAGAAGCGAGGCTCAAAACCAGGCACGCAAGCTTTGCTGTGCAGCGCTGACCAGACAGAAGTCCCAGATCATCCCACCCGCTGCAGCGTTGCATCGAGATCGTGATGATCTAGTGAGTGACCAGGGCTCCAGGACTCCACGAAGGAATTCCTTTGCCGACCAACTCTTTCTTGGCAAGCTATTGCCAACAAGACCAAGCTCGCATCTGGCATTCCAATTTCCAGCAGCATTTCAAAGTTCCATACAACATGAAGAGAGTGCTGACTTGCTTGTCCGGCACGTGCCCTCCCGCGACACCCTCTCCAAGCAATGGCCTACCCGATACAGCCAGTGTATGCATGGACGCAAGCATGCAACATCGCAATCAGACCAATTTCAACATATCTTGCAACGCCCAAATGGACGTGAGAGGGGTCTCTGAGAGGTAGCAGCTATTGGAGCATTGTTGTAGCATATCTGTGGACTATTTGCACACAAACGATCAAACACCTGCGTGCTCACAGACGACGCCTCCAAGTGTCACATGCTGGCAAGGCGCTTCTGCAAAACACAGCGACATTGTCTCGGGAGGCCTTGACCCTTTTCGGGTTGTATCCGCTAGCAAGCCACGCCGCCGGTACAGTAGCGTGAAGGTCTATCTCATTGGAGAACCCCATCCAAAGAACCGGCGAGGCGCAAAGATCGACGGCCCAACACTGACTACTTACATACCAGATACGGGCGAGCCTGTGCCAAATGATGACCTCGTGATCTTTGTGGCCCAGGTAGTAAACGCCTCCTCGGCTCAGCAAGTAGCCATTCCTCCAATATTGCTTTTAAGTATGGAGCAGCTGACGCGCAGAGTTCCCCCCCTGAGCCCCCAATCCATTGGCGGGCTGGAAAAGGCGAAAAGTCCGGGTTACACATATCCAAAATATTGTTCTCGTGTTACCTTTCGATAAGAAAGGATTGAATGTCTCGAGGGTTGTTAATTTGCCTTGCGGGCGAGGCGACAACTGTCGTCCAATGGGTCCCCATCATCTACCGAATCGCCTCACTTTTGGCCGCTGTCCAGTGCTCCATACCCGCACCGGGGGCCCATGTCCAAGATGAGTACTAGCCAAACCGCAAAAACAAACCTTCTCCAGCACTCAGATTCAACTCTCGCCATTGGGACGCCTCGTCTTGAACGGGCCGGGGACCATTAGCCTATTGAGGAAGATCCCCATGAGACCAACAAGAGGCCGCACACGGGCAGGGGGTCTCGAACCCCTTTGGAGAATCGTACATCTATAAGTCTGCAGGCGTACTTCTTGATATGGAAATATCGTGTGGTCGTTGTATGTGCGCGTCGCGTTGCCGTGTCAATGTCTTCTTCTTCATCCACCTCCATGAACCGGTACTGGATACCCAGCTGGGGCATCCACAAAAAGGTCATAACCCAAGAACTGCCATATTATCTCGGCCCTCAAGCGACGGTTCGCCTGTATACGTACGAGGTCTGCTCGTCGCGTCCTCTTGGTGATGCCCCCATTGCTAATCAACTCGCAGGGAGAAGACGGATATCTCATCACGACCCTCGGAAACTGCCTTTCAGATGTATGTCGCATCCGTGGAAACGTTGCCATCCAGACTGCGGGACTGACTAGCATGTTCAGGAGCAAATAGACGACCTCTGTCGCAAATCAGTCGACTACTGGGACCGGAAGGAGGCTGCGCGGAGCCAGCAGGACCCAGAAAGAGGCCTCAAGAGACCGGCTCATCAGCCAGTGCCTATATCGGGCACATCGGGAACCCCAAGGAAGAAACGGCCCTTGGAAAGATAGCGATGGCGTCGGCTGACCGACCGCGGGGTGTAGCACAGGCAGAGCAAGGTCAATCCAGTCCCTCGTCGACTGTGCGCTCGTACTTGGCCACTTCCATCGCCGGTCCAGCCGACCACAGCGTCAGCGCCTGCACGTGCACTTTGACGCCCCCCTTGCCCGTCGCGCGCTGCCGCCTCGTCACGTAGCCCACGACGTTGACCCATTCGCCCTGCTGCAAGGTCTCATGCGTGAGTGTCTCGAGGACGAGGTTCACGTCGGCGACTGCTGTGACGTTGGTGTTGGCGGGATAGTCGTGGGTGAGGCTCACACTGCCCGTCGCGGTGGAGTATGCGCCTACACTTTGTGAAAGCATCAGTGTTCATGCTCGAGCAAGAGATACGGGGAGGGTGAGGCAGTACCAGCCGAGGAAGCGGACCTTGTCACCGACGGAGCGGTATGGCAGCGATGAGAGTAGGCACAGCGTCGATGGGAGTGGTCCGCGCGACATTTTGAACAGAGACCATTTCGCCCATGGAGCTCCCCGGACTGCAATGGTTGCGCGGGGATTGAATAGTAGGCGGCTCAAATAGACATGTTGCAAGTTGAGTCTACTCAAGGTGTGAGCGGAAACGCGAACCTGGACGCAGGAGGGTTTGATGCACAGTGCAAAATAGCCATACGCACAGTTGAGAGACGGCACCCAAGATGCCCTCGGTAAGTCTGTTTTTTTTTTTTTTTTCACACAAACTCCCGTACATCTACTTTTCCGCTATAGATTGAAACTCCAGACTGAATTGCAACACCACAGCCATCATGTCGGCCGAGAACCCCCCTCAATTCGTCTACAAGATCGTGCCCGAGGCCGTCGAGGAGCCCTTCCCCGCCGAGCTGCCCCTCTCCGAGCTCGACAGAAAGGATGGCTTCATCCATCTCAGCACAGCAGAGCTTGTAGGTCTTGTCTCGTCTTTGAGTCCATTTACGCATTTTTGACGACTTCAGGTGCTCGGCACGTGTGATCGCTACTTTAGTCACACGACCAAAATCTACCTCTTGAAGCTGGACTTTGCCAAGACTGTGTCGAGGACAAAGTGGGAGAATGGGTTCCCGCATCTGTATGGAAACTTTGGCAGGGAGGAGATTGTGGACAGCAAGGCATTCGAGAGATCCGCGTCAGAGACGTGGAGTGAGAGCTTGAAGCGCTCAGAGTGGTTGGTTTGATCTTGTCTTGTCCATTTCTATCTAGACGAGTACAACTACACCTTGATCCCAAGGTCCTTGGCCACCATGCCCTTGCAGATGGGGTGGTAGAACTCCCTGTTCTTCTCGAATGTGTCCAGAGCCAGCTGGCGGTCTACCTTGTTCAGGCCACGGAACAGCGGGCGGACGTACTTCATGCGACCGACCTGGCCGAGAAGCTCGGCAGCACCGGCGTAGCTGGTGTCGTCCCCGGCCTTGATGGCGATCTGGTAGAAGGCGGACTTGAGTTCCACATTCTGCGAGGCGCTCAGCTCGTAGACCTTGCCCAGCTGCCGGGCACGGGGTGCGCTCAGGGGCTTGCCCTGTGTCAAGGCATCGAGGAACACAATCTTCTGGTTGGCATTAAAGTCCTTGACATCGTCCGGGCTGGGGTCAAACGACTCCGTCTCCCACTTCTTCGCCAGGCTGTAGCACTGGTCGGCCAGGCTGGTGTCAAACTGGGGCTTGGGGGGCAGGCCTTGGGAGAGCAGACGGTCCTCCCAGTTGATCTCGGCAATCTTCTTCTTGATACCCTCGTCGCCAAAGTTGTTGAAAAAGTCCATGTAGGTATCGCGGAATTCCCACGAGTCGAGGGACTTGCCGGACCATTTGGTAAAGTAGTGGGGGATGAACTTGTCAAAGGCCTCGCGGCCGACGACGGTCTCAAGGTAGTAGACCATGTGGAACCCCTTCTCGTAGGCCACCTGGCTGTAGATATCCTCAGGGTCGACATTGTCGTGCTTGATGATCAGCTGCGTGTACTCGGGGATGTCCTTGAACTGCTCGATGGCATCCTCTGCGGCACAGTTAGTCACTGAATCAATGCAAGACTATTGTTGACTAACCGAGGGCTTTCCAGCCAATGATGGCGGAAAAATCGAACTCGGCATCGCCGTGAATGGCGGCCTGGATGCGGCGCTCGAGGTACATTGTCCAGCCTTCGTTCAGCCAGCTATTCAAGTGTCAGCGAGTATCTCATTTGACGTTCATGCAAAACCTACAAGTGTTCCCAGCTAGAGTTGGACACCAAGTTCCCACTCCAGCTGTGCGCCAGCTCGTGGGCAATGACATCGACGTTCTGACGATCTCCGCTGATGATGGTGGGGGTAGCAAAGGTGTAGATGGGGTTCTCCATGCCTCCGTAGGGGAAGCTGGGCGGCAGGACCAGGACATTGTACTCGCCCCATTTGTAGGGGAAGACCAGCTTGTCCGCAATCTCCATAAACTTCTCCATGTCCCGCTCCAGCTCCCACTTGCAAGCCTCGAGCTCATTGGGCCCTGTGGCGACCACGGACCGAGGCCCGATCTTGGCGGTTGCAATGTCGCCCGAGGCCACGGCAAACAGATACGACGGGATGGGCACCTTTTGCTCAAACGTGTACACCTTGCTCTTGCCGGGGGTGGCCTCGTGATCACCAACGGGCACACCACTGGCCACAACCGGGAGCTCAGAGGTGATGTTGAAGGTAAAAGTCGACTTGATGTCGGGCGTGTCCTGGCATGGGAAGATGGAACGGGCATTGATGGCCTGGCACTGCGAGAACATGTAGGGGTGCTTCTTGTTGGAGGTCTGCGCGGGCGTCAGCCACTGCAGCGCAGTGCACTTGCTCGTCGTCTCGAGGTCAATGACCATGTCAATGGTCTCGCCCTTGGCCACGCCCTCGGGCACGGACACGTGCAGCGGCGCGCCGAGCGGCTCCGTAAAGGGCTTGAGGTCCCATTGCAAGGGCTTGTCGCCGATCTTGACAGCATCCACGTGCACGAACCTGGAGTCGAGGACGACTTCCTTGCTCTCGCGCTCCGTTTGCGACTGCAGCGAGAGAATGACGGAGCCTACGAGCTTCTTGTTCTGAAAGTCCAGGGTAAAGCTGGTCGTTGTGTGCGTGGTGCGCCAGGCGCCATAGTTGGAAAGCGTGCTGGGGTCTCGGGTGCCGGCAGTCATGTTGACGGTTGCAAATGTCCGGCGGAGGAGGTTGTGATGAGTGAGGGGGGTTGCGTTCTGTCGTGAAGTGATGCTCACCCGCTTGAAGAAGGTGAGCCACGACATGCTTGAGCCTTGGGTGCTTGTGCGTTAGTTACCCACTCGGATGGCCGTCTGAGCCGTGCCCAACCGTCCACAGGCGTCCCTTTGTCTATCGGTTCCAGTTGCCTCCATTGCGCCTTGCAAAAGGTCCAGTCCTTTTCCCTATTCGGGCTCGGGTCACGTGTCGGGTGCATGTGAGGTCGACTGCTTACGTAAGGCCATTGTTGTTCCATTATGCATACCCTATACCCGCATTCCAGGCTTCAGGGGCTGATGTGATGTTGATCCATAATTCCCATGTCATCTTCTAAACTCAGCGCTACAGCTCTCCAAACCCCGAGGAAATGCTCGCGTAGGCGCTGGTCACCGCAAGACTGCTTACCTGTCAGCCCAACTGCATGCGTTTTTCGTGTCTTCAGCCTATCGCACGGGGATTGCCAACACCCATGTACGAGATATGCATCTTTGCTTTTGTCCCGTACCAGTCCACTCATATATGCACGCCCCCAGATGTACGTGCCGATGGCATCGAAATTGCATACAGCTGGCTAATGCAGCGCGGCAAATCGACAGCCCTGGGAGCGGGAGAAGACTCTTATCTGTTCTACGTACGACGAGCAGTCCCCGAGGCTGCAGTCGCTCATCCGTAAACATCATGTCTCAGCTGAAGCGGACAACCGCTATACGGGTCGATGTGGATCGGTCAACAAAGCAGTCTACTGTTTCTCAAGTATTTATATGCAGGACATGAAGGCCAGAGAGCGCAAGTGCCCTTGGTATCGAACAAAGTCTGCTCCGGACCGCCGCTGAGCATGGCGAAAGAATTCACAGAAGTCCCTGTCGTGGACTTTGCACTTTCCCAGTCCCCCGCTACGAAACTAGAGTTCCTCTCGCAACTTCGAAATGCCCTAGTACATGTGGGATTCTTCTACCTAAGCAACCACTCCATCCCCGACCAAGTGCAGCAAGCCGCTCTTGCGCAGTCGGAGGCCTTCTTCAGTCTCCCGCTGCAGAAGAAGCTTGACTTGGAGACGGCCAAGAGCAAACACTTCCTTGGATACAATGGAATGAACTCCGAGAAGACTGTGGCGGTGACGGGCAACAACGAGTCGGTCTTTGTAAGTCTCATATGCTGCAATTGAACGTGTCTAATCAGTCATTGAATTAAGTTCGGCCCCGACTATCCCCCTCCAAGCCCAGAGGAACCCGTATATCTCAACTTGCACGGCCCCAGTCAGGTAAGAGACAGGCTTGCCTTTGCAGATCATTGAATTGAGACTCGATAGCTAACCTTGCTATTTAGTGGCCAGATGAAGATGTGCTGCCCGAGTTTCGGTCCGCTGTCGAGAACTACCGTTCGGCCGTCCAAGGCCTCGCGGCATCTTTCGTCTCTTTGGTCCCCGAAGCTCTCGGTCTGGGAAGCGACTCCTTCAAGTGGTTGTTCGACGACCACCCATTCAGCCGCCTGAACTTCCGGAGATATCCAGTGCCGCCGGAAGAATCGGAGGGAGGAGATGCCAGCCACGGTATCGCCCCACACAAGGACAGTTCGTTCATGACATACCTGCTGCAAGATGGCGACCACAACTGCCTAGAGGTCCAAAACAAGTCGGGCCGATGGATCTCCGTCCCTCCCATCCCAGGGACGCTGGTAGTCAACATTGGCCGTCTGCTGGAGATCCTCACTCGCGGTGTGTGCACCGCGACGACCCATCGCGTGATACTCGGCTCTGAAGGGTTCCGCGATAGGCATGGCAACCGTCTGGGTCCACGGCTGTCGGTTCCATTCTTCCAGAACGTCAACCTGCGACTCCTACCGGAAAGCTTGTCCGTCGATGTTCCGTCGCATATTGTGGAATTATCCGAGGGAAAAGAGGCTATTTCGGACTCTGGCACCTTCTTTTCTGGAATATGCGATAACTCTGTGGGCGATACAGTGTTTGTTAGCATGCTGACGAGCTTTGTGGACGCTGCGCAGAAGTGGTATCCCGACTCGCTGCAGGTAGCTCTGGAGAAGCAATCGGAGACGAAGCGCTTAGACCAGGCGAGGGGCATCAAGATTCAATAGTCTTGCGGTAGAATTCAGATCTGTGGGTGGAAGTAGTAACTATCATGCTAAAACCGGTGTCAGTGAGGTTCTTACGAGGGAATATTTAAGACGGAACGGCAATGCTCTGGTCCTTCCGTATTCAGACGGAAAGACGACACCATCTCCCCTGGAACAGCCTAACTATAGTTCTGCTACTCTTGCGACCCAACGATCTGCTTCCATGGTGGTGACTGACGGGCATGGAGCACTGAGACCAACTAGCGCCTGGTCATTGAAGGACGAGTTGACTACCAACAGCCGCCGATTTTGAAGTCTACACTAATCTGATGAGTGCCGTATCTCCCCCAGACTCAAGCATCACCAAATGCAGAGACAACGTATTTCCAGGGATTCTCGTGCCTCCTCGCCTTCCGTCCCAGGCAGCTCCACGCTCGAGTGCAAGACACCACCAGCAGAGACGCCGTGAGGCTCTTCCGAGTCACTGTCAAAGAACTTCAAGACCAAAGCCTCCTCGGGCTTCTGCTCATCTATCCAGTACCACTTGTGCCGCTGGGAGTGTCTTGCCAGGTAGCACTCTGCGGAGTGGGTTTCGCTGGTCCCTGGCCTTCCCAAGCACGGCGTGTTCACGCCCACTGGGACGTAATCCTCATTGCTGTACGTTCGGTAGTCGGCCACAGCCAGAGGGTCCCTCTTGACAGTCTTCAGAGGTCTCCAGATAGAGTACAGCGCCCAGCGTGGACCCTCGCCGTGCTTGTAGTCTTCACTGAGGACCTTTCCGGCCGCGACCAGGTCGTCTTCGTGACGAATAATGTCCATAGAAGCCTCGGTGGTATTGGGATGGAATTTTCGGATATGGGTTCTCGCGCCCTCTGGCGTGTAGTCCAGATGGACCTTGGACGCGGGACTGGCACCGCCGTTTATCGGATTGAACCCGATGAACTGGGGGAAGCTCGTCTCCAGGTCGGCTGTCTCGCCCTGGACGCTGCCATGAGCAGCCAAGGAGTCGGTTGCGGACCAGAGAGCAGAGCGCAACAGAAGAGCTTCTGTGATGACAGTCTTGCAGCCCGTCATCTGCTTGAGCATGTCGGCCGTGTTAGGGATGACATGCTCCTTGAGGAGCTCGGGATTCTTGAAAGAATGGGAGCCAAACGGTGAGGCGTGCAGAGGCGTAGGGTGAAGAATCGCCGTGAAGCCTTGGGTGTCCAGTTGGACATGGTGGGAGCAAGTTGGCAGCTCTTGAAGTGTAGGGATAGGCCGAAGGGAACGAAGTGTCAGGAAACGCTCGTCCCCAAACTCGGACATGTCAGGGAGATGGAAGTTGTGCGGACTTGCTCTGGGAAGATGCCCCTGGGCAATGTAGCGCAGCTTGCCCTTGGCTTCAGCTGGGGCTGGGCCTAGGTTTGTTTTCACGGTCTCGACCTGTGTTGATGACATGACTGTTTGAGCTGAGTCGAGATGAAGTACGTGTTGTTCAGGGAAAAGGAGGACAATGGGGTAGTAAGTCAAAAGGGGCAAACGACGTCCTTTAGCCTTTGGATCAAGAGACCTTACATTGGCGATGAACTTGAGGGAAGTGTCAGCAGGGTCATAGGATTCATCAATGATGTCTGAGCTCCTAGCAGCACGCGTGGAATCATGTTCCTTACCGCATCCCATCTCAACATGAAGTCATCTCCTCAAAGATCAAATGTCTTTGACTGAAGTCATCTCCCGTGTCCTGCGATCCTGCATTCATGTTTACAAGCGGCTCATGAAAAGCAAGCTGGGATCAACCTAGTGTAATTCGCCCGTCTGGGCTCACCGACATTGGCTAGCCAGATGCTTTGGTGTATCTCCAAGTATCGACGAGTCGCATGCAGCTGCCGATCTAGACGCACAGATCTGAGCCGCCCCTTGAGGAATCTCCAGCTGGTGCAAAGAGGTGATCTTTGCCTGGCATGTCCCGATTTTGACAATGTCGGTGTGCAGGACCTGCAGGGCTGGCCACGGACATTTCTCATTCGGTAGAGGCAGAGCCACTGCCGAGTGCATGCAGGACATAATTGCTTTTTCGAGTGATCCCGGCGGCCGGGTCGAAAGGGGCGAGGGCGGTGTGTTTATGCGTATGTGCATACTACATGCACGCGTATGCTGTCTCAACATCAACTGCATGTACGTGATGTCCACTAGCTGCAGACGGGACGAGCCTTCAGCCCGCTGCAAGAACGGAGCTTATTCTGATTCGGACAATAAAGACACTGGGAACTGCCGGCAGATCAGGCGGTGGATAGATGTGGCCGGGACGGGACGCTGTAGTCATTTGAATGCTGGTGAATTTCCCGGACCATTGATACTCAGACTCCCTGTGTATGCAAACCTTCAACACACAACAATGAAGAGGCTCGGAGGTTGAGTTCAAAAGAGAAGAAAAGAGGTCAGCAGCCAGCCTCGAGTCCAGTCCGGAAACACCTGCATCAAGTCACCTTTTAATTTGCAGAAGCTTTGACAAAAGTATTCCACCCCGAATGGCCTCTTCGAACTCTACAGGCGCTACGGCACTGGCCGCATCCTCTCTCTTCAATGTCAAGGGGCTTGTTGCTGTTGTCACGGGCGGCGGTACCGGTACGGCTCACGACCTCGCGGTGAAGTAAACCTCCACCTTGACATCCGCGCTAACTTCGCTGCCACAGGAATCGGGCTGCTGATGACAAAAGCTCTGGTTGCCAATGGGGCGACCGTGTACATTCTGGGACGACGACTCGAGGTCTTGGAGCAAGCCGCCAGAAGCATCCAGGAAGAAGTCGGTCCCAACCACGGCGTCGTGCGGCCTCTGGTGTGCGATGTGACCTCCAAGCCCAGCCTGAAGGAGGCCGCAGAAGCTGTTTCCAAAGATCTTGGGTACATCAATCTTCTCATCTGCAATGCAGGCATTGGCGGGCCGCAAAAGCCGCGACCCTTGTCCGAGTCCCAGATGTCACTCAAAGAGTTCACAGCTGACAACTGGGACGTGCCGATGGAAGACTACACCCGCACTTTTGAGACCAATACGATAGCGGTGTGGTTCACAGCAATGGCGTTTTTGGAATTGCTAGACGCTGGAAACGTCAAGGGCAACGTCTGGCAGAAATCGCAAGTCGTAGCCACTACGTCCATTGCAGGTTTCAACAAGGTGAGCAACTCTCAAGTCGCCCGCGAGCGAAGGTACAGTACACGGATGCCACTGACAGACAATGCAAGGTCAACACGGCTGGATTTGCCTACAGCCAGTCCAAGGCAGCATGTACGCACTTGATGAAAAATCTTGCTGTATCTTTGCCCAGGTGGAACATCAGAGCCAACATGATTTGCCCAGGGCGTAAGTAGTGACCGCCCTTTCGAGTGTATTTGCCGAAAACATGGAGCTGACCACATGTACACCGCAGTGTATCCTAGCGACATATCTGGACCTATAATCGACCGAGGAGGAATCGGCCGTGACATGGTGCCGTTGGAAAGGGCGGGCGATGAGCAGGACATGGGCGGTGCGGTGTTGTACCTCGCCTCGAGAGCCGGCGCCTACTGCAACGGATCTGTGATCATGACGGACGGAGGGCGGCTTGGGAACTTTGCATCCACTTTCTAACGCTTGGACCTCGTCCTTGAATATCCATGAGATTCTTTATTGGATAAGTCACAAGCCTACGTGTTCCAGCTGCATCATATTCAGAGTTTTAGCCTACTCTCCGCTCAATTAAGACTAGAAAAGTTCCCTAGCTCTAGCTGAACTCAATAACTGAGCATACGCGTCCTACATCGAGCTCATTGGTGCCACAATAGGGATAAATGCCGGGGGGTGTATGAAGGGAGTTGCCAGGCTCACCGCCGCTTGCTCATACTCTGCACGCACTAGATTAGTCTAGACGATCATATACTAAGTGGCTGTCAACGGCCCTTGAAGTTGATTCGATTGGCTCTACGGATAGTAGTTGTGTGAGGAGTACATGTATGCCATCGAGGAACATGCAGAGCGAGCTGCTACTCTGCAACACGATCCACAGTCCAGCTGGCCAGTCGAACAAGGTTCAAGGAACTTGTGAGTGCTCGATCTAGCGCGGAAGCTTCGTCATGCAGGATCTGGTTGCGCCATGCTGGTATTTGATGCTAATGCGGTGCGGCTTGAGTGACACGGAGTACACGCGGCCGGGCATGCAACAGGTGACGCACAGGTTGCAGCCCATTGCACAAGGCACGCATCACGTATTGTGAATAATAGATTTATGTGGCATAAAACTCAAAGTAACTACCTTCAGTGGAAGTCGTATCTTGATGCTGCTGCCATCAATGGTACGGAAGTGATTCCTGCCTTGGGGCCAGAAGCTGGCTAGATATCTCGACCCGAGAAGCAGCAGCGCAATTCAGCCAGACTGCGAAGGGAAGAGATCAAAGACTAGCTTGGATGTAGTTGATCTCTCTCTGTTACCATCGTATATGCATAGATGCTCTACATGTTTACTACAGAGGACATTTCATGTAACCCCCTCCCTGTACATGCAATCTTGCCTGGGGCAAAGGCAACAACAGAGAGTAGACAATTCCATGATTGTACTTTTGAGACATACATGAATTATCTGCAGTGTCATTAAATGGGCAGTGAGGTACCGAGAGCTGGCGTAAGTTGTCTTGGTCTACTGGTGGCGATGCACCTGCGCCGCCCCTGAGCGTCTATTTTCTTGCTTGCCCCTGAGGCGGTAAGACAACGTAGATATAAAACAGCCTGCTACTAGATGAACTGTTGCCTGGACGTCACAAGTCTCACTTTCTTACCAGTCTCACCTGCCTCATCTGCCACATTCCCCCTTTCCATCTTGAAAACCTTCCCCATTTTCCCGCCATCCATCATGTACTACCAAGACATGCTCAAGACCTGGCTGAAGGACCATGAGCTCCAGACGCCACAGATGAAGGATGCGCCGGCCTTCTACCGCAACATTGAGAAGCACCTGGACACTCTACGTGCCGACTTCAAGCTCTCCACCGCCAAGCCACGCTGGGATGACAGCGTGGTCGACTGGGCCTCCAGCGACTTCCTCTCCCTTAACCGCACGGGACGCATCCGCGAGGCCTATGTCGAGGAGATGTCCAAGCATGGCGACAACTGGGACCTGAGCGCCGCAGGCTCGCGTCTTCAGTATGGCAACTATGACTACCTGATTGAGGCGGAAAAGGAGATTGCCGACTTCTTCGGGTCCGAGACAGCCTTCATCGGCCACTCGGGCTTCCTGTGCAACGTTGGCATCATCGGCTCTGTCGCCCTGCCGGGCGATTGCTACCTCTACGATGAGCTGGTGCACGCGAGTACGCACGAGGGCATGAAGCTCAGCCGCGCGTCTCACAAAGTGTCCTTTGCGCACAACAGTGTGAGCTCTCTCCGCGAAGCCCTCATCAACTTGCGGGACACCGTCCCCGAGTTTGAGGCCGGGACCAAGTCGATCCTGATCCTTGTTGAGTCCATCTACAGCATGAACGGTGACGTATGCCCACTCAAGGAGTTTGTTGCCACGGCCAAGGACATCTTCCCCCTCGGCAACGCGCAGTTTGTCATTGACGAGGCTCACTGTATTGGAGTTCTGGGACCCGAAGGTAGAGGCCTGGTCTCCATGCTTGGTCTGGAGAAGGAGATTGCCATCCGCGTCCACATGTGCAGCAAAGGCATGGCATCGACGGGAGGTAAGTCATCAGCTTCCGCGCAATGGCTCGGGCATTAATGCTAACTCACTCTGCGCAGGCATAATCTTGTGCAACAAGACAATCCGCGCCGTCATCATGAATCAGATGCGCTTCGCCGTCTACAGTGGCGCTCCGTCTTTCCCCATGGTCGCTTCGATCAAGGCTGGCATCCATCTGCTCAGAAGCGGAGCAACACAAAAGGTACAACTCCTTGTGCCTCCCATCAACTTGAATCTTGTCAGCTGACAAACTTTTTTGCCTCACAGGAACAACAAGCCATCCAAGACGTTGTCGGCTATTTCTTCAAGACGCTGACCAACAACCCCGACTGGAAGCGTGCTGTCGATGCTGGTCTCCTGTCGTGTCCCTTGGCTGAGGGTTGGGATCAGCGCGAGTATTACACGCACATTGTGCCCATCTGGACCAAGCCGCGCCACGAGCAGTACCTGTTCTTCCACATGATGGCCGACAACATGAACGCCTACAGCTTCGCGTTCCCGGTCGTTCCCAAGGGGAAGAGCAGGGTCAGGATGGTGTTCCACGCGCACAACACCAAGGCCGATGTGGACAAGGTTGTCAACAACATTGGCGACTGGGTCCGTGAGATGCTGGACATTGAGAAGGCTGATGAGAAGGAAGCATACGTGCCCCGCGTAGCCAGCCAGGTCTATGCCATGCAAGCTGCGGTGAAGGCTTAGTTCAGAACTCCAGATACTAGACAGATAGAAAAGGGGTCTATGATGGTCCACTGCGGATAGATAAAATAGGAGAAAAGTATGGTGGTTTTGTCAGTCCTATAGGAAATGACTGTAGTTGCGAGAAGTCTACATTTTTCTTGAATTTGAATTCCAAGTATCCAGGACTATCTCACTAATATCTCTGCAAAACCCACTCTCTGCGTTCCTCTGCGCTCATGGGATCGAGAATGCTCAACTCGCCCCTTTTCACATCCATGTATCTCTGCACAAGCTCGTGCCCAAGGACCTCGCCCAGTGCCTTATCCGCTTCCAGAGCCCGCAGAGCGTCCTTGAGGTCGCGGGGGAACATGACCGTCACGCCCAGCTGCTCTCTCTCCTCCGCCGTGAGTTTGGCTGGATCCTTGGCGCAGTCCCCCCAAACAAGGATCTCTCGGCTCGTCACACCGCTTGTTCCGGCTGAAAGAATCGCTGCCATGGCGAGATAAGGGTTCGCCAGTCCGTCCAAGGTCTTCATCTCCCAGTGACTGTCCTGACACTTGCGCAGAGGTGCCTCCTTGTTCTGCGTGCCCCAGGCTACCCAACGGCCGCCGGCCCAGAAGCTGTCTACCATGCGTTCGTAGCTCGTGGGGTTGGCATAGGTGAAGGCCAGCAGAGCTGGATAGTGCTTGAGGATTCCTGCGTAGAACGGCTCGTAGACTTGGCGGTCGTTGCCGCCCGGGGAGGATATGGACACGTGCACGTGCGAGGCCGAGCCGCTGCTCGTTGCGAATGGCTTTGGGTGCAAGGTCATGAGGAAGTTGTGCCGTGCGGCAACAGCTTCGACAATGTCGCGTGTGCGAAGCAGTGCATCGCAAGCCTCCAGTGGTGGCAGTGGCGGCAGGACAACTTCGTACTGTCCAGGGGCTGTCTCTGGATGGAATTGCTCAATTTCGATGGATGCATCGCTCAAAGTGTCCAGCAGTTCATCGATAATGCTGATGAAGCTCCCATCGCGGCCAATCTCTGCGATGGCTCTGGTCTTGGACCAGCCGTGGGCGTCGTTGTGCATGGCGCGATGCCTGGGTGTCTGCTGGTTCCCAGCTTCGGGGTTTGGCTCAAGGATAATAAACTCGAGTTCGAACCCTAAGAGAAACGAGAGACCATGGCTGGATGCCCTTTCCACGGACTTTCGGAGCACGGTTCGCGGACAAAAAACCACGTCGGAACCATCACTTTCCTTGAAGTCGAGAGACACGGTGGCATGCCCTTGAGCAGGACCCCGTCTCAAGGAGGACCAGTCCGGGTGGGCGGCATACATGCCGGTTCCAGTGACTTCAGGAATCATGGTGTCGGACTGTAGCAAACCCATGCTAGCCATGGTGATGGAGAGGTCGAGACCTTGCCCATGCTCCAACATGGCGAGCACCCTCTTCATGGGCATCAGACGGCATCTTGCGGTCGAAGTGTAGTCGTGCCAGCAAAATCTCAGCCACTTGCAGTGGAAGCTCTGGAGCTCCTCGATGACGGAAGCATTTGAGTCCGAGCCTGCAGCTTCGCCTTGCTTGGCTGGAAGGGGGTTGTTGGAGTTTATCAACGCGACCATTGTGCTGGAAAATGGTATTGAGAGGAAAAATTCGACAAACACCGATGGGCAAGACTATAGGACCGTGTTTCGTCTGTTTAAGCTGGGAACTCGTGCTGCTATGTATCCGTACTCTGAGTACAGAATCATGCCTTTTATTCGGCGCACATACAGACTGGGATTCTGGCAAGCACACCGGAACTAAAGACTCTGAATATTCAAGTGAATCTTCCGGCACTTGCTCACACTTTCCATTCTTTTTGACCTACTTGTCGGAAGTATCTCAATGTATCGTTAGTTTCCAGGGGTACGTTGCGTCCCGGCCGTTGCATGATGCAGGTCTCAGCTCATCATTATGCTTCGAGGACCAGAGCGTTATAGACTACTGCGCGTTTCTGTAAGCTACTGCCACGTACGCCTGCATACTCTTGGGAGATCCAAATCGCTATTGCTGTTCAGCAACACGATGTTGTTCACCGCCAAGGACATGACGGTGAGAGGATACGTACATGCGCTTCGCAGTTGATGATGAAAATAACGCGAAGTCGATTTGTGCGTCTTGATATAAATTTACCAGGGCGTCCTACATAAATAGGGTAGTTTGGCATTGTTTGGTTCACATCACAGGTTGATAAAGTGCGCACTCTTCTCCAACTACTGCGACCATCGTCACCATCTTGAAACTTGAACAAACTTCCCTACTACATGTACATGTAGGCAGCACTCCTACAGAATTACACCCTGGCAGCGATAAATCCGTGTCCAAACAAGTGAGCGGCATGCATACAAAATATCCCACAGACCTCAAGTTCGATGAGCTCCCTGACCCTAAAAGGGTGTGGGCGGGTGCGCCGGGAAGCCGGGAGGAGGGCCTCGGTCGGCTTCTCCTACTGACAGACGAGCGCATCCGACGGGCGGCTCAACAGATCCAGACTGGACAGCGCGTGGGACTCAACTGGGACCTGACGAAGCTGGAGCATCCCGGATACGGCAGAATCTCATGCGATCACCAAGTTGTGCCCATCTTGGACGGTGACGCTTTCGACGACGTCTACACAATGAACCCCCGTGAGTGAAGCCGTTCAATGCAAAGCAGGCAGTCATGTACTGATAGTGTCATCAGAGCAAAGCAGTCAGTGGGATGGCCTCCGCCACTGGGGCATGCTGTCGCATCCAGATGCCAAGCAGCGAGAGTTCTATGGCGGAACGACCAAGACGGAGATCATGGATCGATCCAGCGACCGCATTGGCATACACCACTGGGCGCGAGAGGGCATCACCGGTCGTGCGGTGCTCATAGACTACGCCTCGTGGGCGGAGAAGAAGGGCATTGAGTACTCTGCCTTCTCCCTCCACACCATCAAGCTACAGGACATTATTACGATTGCCGAGGAGTCCCAGATTTTATTTGAGAAGGGCGACATCCTGCTCGTCCGAAGCGGCATGACCAAGGAGTGGGAGCAGAAGATGGACGTCGAGGCCAAGAAGAGGTACGCGGCCGCGGAATCTCCCCATCACGCTGGCCTCGAGGCGACCACCGACATGCTGAGGTGGATCTGGGACACGGGGTTTGCCGCCGTCGCTGGCGATGCCATCTCGTTCGAAGTGTTCCCTCCCGTTGGGGACATTACCCTTCACGACTACTTCCTTGCCGGATGGGGCATGCCGATTGGTGAGTTGAATGATCTGTCCTTGACTTGACTCCTTCCCGCGTGAACCGTCGATCAGTACATGGACAAGTTAATTACCAGAAGACCAGGGCTGACTGACTGACTCTTGTGGCAGGCGAGATGTTTGACCTGGAAAGGCTGGCGCAGGTCTGCCAGCAGCTGAACCGGTGGACTTTCTTTTTCGCATCCATGCCGATCAACATGCCCGGTGGCGTGTCGTCGCCGCCCAACGCTCAGGCCATCTTTTGAGTGTAGCATTAGCTGGTGCGAGACGACTGCAGAAGCAATGAATGGAATGCCCTTCTCAGGTGCATTTGGCTGTGAAACTAGGCAGGAATAGCTTAAGAAGTATACGAATCAGACGTCGTATTGATGACATTCAGCTCAATGGTTACAACGTGCTAGTACACTTCGAGTCCACGGTATCGAATTCTTCTCATGCCTCCCTGCCGATCTGACGTTTGGCTGCAGATGCGATAGCCGTGTCTCGGACGCGTAAACATCCCCTGCCGGCATCGAGGGTCGATGTGAATCAGCACTGCGTCTTGGCAACCCAGAAAACCACACGGACCAACCATCTTGCTCCCCGAATGATGTAAATTCTGTTGTCGGGCTTGGTCGAACCAGCGCTCTTAGACTTGGGAGGCTCTTCTTCTCGTGCGATCAGGCTCGCTTGCCCCTTGTGGACGTGAGATGAGAAACTGAGACTTGCATGGTGACGATGTCGCATCGGCACTGAACTAATCAGAGCCTGGGCGCATACGAACCCTTCGAAGGGTCCAATGTTGGCCTAACTGCACATTGATCGTACTGTTGTGGAAGGAAAGTTATCCAAGCTTCTCAACAGTCACTTAGGGAAGCTTCAACTGTGTCGGCCAGAAAATGCAGGGAGAGGAAAGAGGATTATCGTGGCCTACATGTACGCGAGAGAAGAAAGACGCCAGTCGTGAACGACAAGTCTACGTACCAGTACCGCGGCCAAGGGGCTGAGTATTCTCTGCACAGACCAGAGACTGATCGTCCCGCAGCGATGTACAAGACATACTGACCCTCGGCCAAATTTAATGGCAGTCAATGCCAGGGCCCGAGAGCGAGGCCACTTCAGCTGGCTCTAGCACTTGGTGCTTTTCCTCACCGGGGCCTCTGAGATAATTCTGACTCTTGGTGATGCTTAATGGCAGTCAAATACAACTTGATGAGCAGTGGAAAGGCAGACAGTACAATTGGCCATATGATATCATGATTCAAATCTCTTCACCTGGATCACAATGTCTGGGATGACTGGCCGCAGCAGAGTCTTGTCACGACAATGATCATCCCTGGGAATGTCTCGGGACGCTTGATGGTATAAGTATCTACTTAGCATCTTGCCATCTACAAGCAGCTGCCTGTTGCCTGTTTGTGCCACGCTCGCCCATGCATTCCAATGACCCCTTGACGGCTTGAGTCTGGAAATGTCGCCTTGTCCTGACCCATTAACTTGTCTGTAACCTTCTTTTAACGCACAGAAGCCGAGGACGTCGACATCACACTGGTCCAACAGCTCGGTTCGCCAGGCTCGCCTTGTCTTCGTCGCGCTATCCCCATCGACGGTTCCCTACGGCTACGGGCCACGAGAAGAGCAGGTCCATCATCGACAAGCATCGACTGTCCAGCATGGCTCCGTCCTCCATCGAAAGTCGGTCCACCACCGAGGCCTCGGAGAGATCGCCCCTGCTAGGCAGCGGCCTCTTCCCGCGACGCGACGACAACAGCTTCAAGGATCCCAAGTCAGACCCGCCGACGGCCAGGCTGCAGGTGCTGCTGCTATGCTTTGCACGGTTGATGGAACCGCTCGCCTTCTTCTCCATCTTCCCTTATGTCGCCGAGATGGTGCAGCGGAACGGCAACCTGCCTGACTCGGACGTTGGCTTCTATACGGGCCTCGTCGAGTCGCTCTTCTCGGCCACCCAAGCCGTCGTGCTCGTGTTCTGGGGGAGCTGGGCGGATCGCGTCGGCCGCAAGACGATGCTGCTGTACAGCCTCGTCGGCATGACAATCGGGACGGCCCTGTTCGGCATGGCCTCTGAGATCTGGCAGATGGTGCTCTTCAGGAGTGTCACGGGCCTGTTCTCCGGTGCCAATCTGATCATCCGCACCATGATCGGGGAGCATTGCACACCGGAGACGCAGGCGACGTTCTTCAGCTGGTATGCTGTCGCTGGAAACATGGGTCTGTTCCTGGGCCCTATTATCGGCGGCGCTCTGGTCAACCCAGCCAGTCAATATCCCTCCATCTTTGGGGGAATTCAGTTCCTCGAGGACTATCCGTACGCACTGCCAGGTCTTGTCGTGGCGGCCATCAACGCAACGGCTGCCTTGAGCTCCTTGCTGTTGCTCGAGGAGACACTGCACGTCAACACAAAGACGGACCAGCCCGGTATGAGCGATCATCCAGTACCAGAGGTGCGATCGCCGCAGCTGTCGATGCGGCAACTTCTTCAGATTCCCAAGGTGGCGTCTGTCCTGTATGTGTACGGCTATGTCATGTTCCTCGCCATCGCCTTTACGGCCATGCATCCCGTCGTGCTCTACACGTCGGTGGGCCACGGTGGATTCGGCTTCTCGACAGCCCGCATCACAATGTACATTACGGCGGTGGGCGCCACGGAGACTGCGTGGCTGATGTTTGCCTTCCCCTTTCTACAGCGGCGAGCGGGGACCAAGTCGGTTCTGCTCACCTGTGCCTGGGCCTGGCCATTGTTCTTTGGCGGATACGTGGTGGTGAATGCTCTGCTGCGCGCGGGTGGTGATGAGACGACGAGTCTCGCCATTGTCGTGGGCGCTGTCAACGTGGTACTCGGACCTGCCGCATTCATGTCATTCACGGCGGTTCAGCTCGCCGTCAACGAAGCCAGTCCAAGCCCCGATGTCCTTGGCAAGCTGAACTCGGTCGCCGAGATTGGGTTCAGTGTCATCAGGAGTATCGTGCCGGGCGTAGCCACGGCCGTGTTCGCGGCTGGCGTGCGCGGCAACATCCTCTCTGGGTACTTGGCTTGGGTTGTCCTGATTGCGTTTGCCTTGGGTGTGCCTCTGGTGCTGAGGAGATTCCCCGATGATATGGACCAGCCAGGACCGGTGGAGGAACGGTGTTGGCCCGATGAGACGTGCTGGACTACATGTCCACGCAGCGAGTTTGGTTCCGTTCGCACGGCCGGCTCCATCCGCACGAGGAGTTCCGTTTGCACGATGAACACGGTTAGCACGGCTTGAAGGCACGGTGAGCAGACGGGGTGGTCCTCGACTGGACATGAGGCAGCGGGTCGGTCACGGACTCACGGGAGGAGATGCGGAGGAGATAATTCGACACGGAGCTGGGAAGAATACCAAGTAAATTTAGGGCCTACCCTACACTTCCGCCTTGACTGATGCACAGCCCATGTATAAGGCACACATACACTCAACTGAACGCGTGAATGAGGCAGAATGCGTAGTTCTCATAGGATTGCTTTAAGAGTAACCCGAGTGAAAGTTGTAGCTCGCTTGCGTTCGACTTGTTGGACAACCGTGAGGTAGCTTCTGATAGTCCCTTGAACTCCGGCTGTGTGAGCCACAAGCACTACGTGACTCAAGTCATCCAACTATACTCCGTACTACGTACGTACAGTCCACATACAAATGGCTTCAAACTCCCACGCCTATCTATTACGCTCAATGCCGTGCTCATTTTGGGTCTCCACGCTGTCCACAGACTTGATGCACGGCGCGAACCCACCGCACCAAGTTGCATGAAGCGTTCATGAACTCCGCTTTTGGAACCCTTGTCCACGACCAACTTGGGCGCCATGCATACTTGATTGAATGCCGCGTTTCACTTCTTTTTTCGGACCACTGCTTTGCGTCGTCTCCTCTTGCATACAGGCCGTGGCACCTGCTGCTTCGCTCGGTTGCCATCTTGTGGCTGGTACTGGCTGGAACGGCCATCCAACCGGGGAGCGCCACTCGAACTTCCCCGTCTTCTTGGCAAGTCACCTATTACTGGGAGGTAGTACTGTATATACTAGGGCCGCCGAGGAGCGAAGTACTAGTGCATTCGTGTTCATGTATGCACCACCAGATCGGGCTCTGTGGCCGTGAGCTGGCTTCTCGGCCCCTGTGGCGCGGAAAGCAATGCTTGTGCTGACAAACTTCCCTCCGGTGAAGAAGCAAAGTCATTTTTTCAATTCTACAGATCATTATTCTGACTATATTGCATTTCCGTGGCCAAATTGCACTCTCCCGACTTGGAAGCCAGTGCCGCCGGCGAAGCGGTACGCTATATGTTCCCTGGTCAATAAGAGACGTGAGGTGAGGGTTACAGAGTGACCCGCGGGCCGGTTCACACCGGTGCTGCACCACGGCCCAGTAATGAGTAGCCGAGTGCTGGACTCAATATTATTGATTCAGCGTGGCTTGTTGCAAGCGGACGAACTTCCGCGCGTGGGATGAAGGGGTGTGATAGGGACCACCCGATTCTAGAATCCATGGTCACGTCGGTTGCTTTTACGGCGGACTCGTATTGGACATGCAATCACACAACACGGCCTTGGCTTTGATCTTTGATGGACATGTGAACGCCCCGTCTGCGAGTCTGTGACTCGAGGGCCCAGGCCGATGGCCAGCATCGACGCCTCACACGGGTTCAACCTCATGAGTCGCCTTGCAGAAAATGACGTGGGTACATGAGGAAAATGTGATTTCGACATGCGAGGTGATGCCAAAGCGGATGTCCTTTCGTTACGGATTATTATCTATTACTGAGTGGTCAGGAGAAGCTCCACCAGTCTGATACCTGAAAGATGCACGATGTTGAATCGGGACAGAGGTGGTGGATCAAGATATGCTCAATGTGCGACAGAAAGAGAAACAGGCGCTACTTGGTGCTCAAGGTAGCAATCTAGCTTATCGCCGAGTCACACAGAGAGTCCAGTCTGATTCATGCACTTGGATTGTGAGGTTGAAGAAGAAGCTGGCGTCGTGAGTTGTGGCAGTGTAGTTTCCAGCGACTCTGCGAAACCCAACAGGACCACGCTTATAGTTATAGAATTCGCGGATGACTTCATTTCCGGTCAGAGCGTCAGAGTCTCGAGACACACTAGGTCTGCTAGTCTAGGGGATTACTCAATTCTTTCCGCCGACTAGTATCCCGCCTTCTTGCTGAAATATGCGATGCTCTGGAGGATGTCAACCGTACGGATACTTCAACAAGGATCACTTCTCGGCACTTGGTTTTGTAGTTTCCATTCCACTTGCATCATGTTTCGCCACCACATATTATTCTCATCTGTTGATATCTGACCCCTTGGAGTCATCGGCACTTGACGTACGGAGTACTGCGTGCCATTGTGTGGTCGAGGGTCCATTGTCATCGGCACTTGTTGTTCTTGGAGTCGCATACACAGAGCAGACATGCACCACGTCTTGGCTGGCTGGCAGCAGGGAAACATCAGACGACTAGAGATGCATGACCGCTCACGCATGAGGACAAGAGGGGAATGTGATTTCCTCCTGGATGATCACACCGCTCCAGAACAAGTGTCTTTTCGGGGAGGCTGCAGACTGCAGTAGCCCCAATGTGACCCTGGTGTGGGGTCATGATGGAAGATCCGAAGCCCACGAGGCAGCGCGTTTCCGGTCGACGCAATAACTGGAGCTGCGATTGAGAGTTTGAGATACGTAGTGTTGCGTGGGTCATGCTCCTCGCGATGGAAGCGAAATCGCAAGGCGGGAATGGAATGAAGATGGATTGTCGCTCCCACTGAACAACAGGTCGTGGACTCGTGACGCGAGCACGCCCGGCTTCGTCGCGAGACTGATGACGTCCTTGCTTGACGCGATGAAGGCTCAACGCTATCAGCAGAGAGAAATAAGTACTCGGCATCATCTTGCGCATTGGATGGATGCGGCTCTCGCGGTGAGATACCGCCCAAAACGTGGCAGGCTGGACAAGAGCGAATCGGAGATATGAGCGGGCAAGCGTCGAGAAAGCACCGACCTACATTAGCAGTAAAGTAAGCACGTACCTTAGCTACTTACCAGCCCCTGCCAAGTGTCTCACAAGTCACAACTTCATGTCAAGTACCGTACAAGTAGCGTGTCCGGAGCACGGAGTAGGAATCCCTGGCCTGGCACCTAAGGTACTGTGTGTGACGATGGGGCAGAGACTCAGAACTGTCAGATCGATGCCTGCCTGGATCTCGGCGGTTCTGGGGCTGCGGCCGATTGCCGACCGAATGAACTGCACGGAGTGCCTAATACGTCGAGAAGTTGGTGCACGCAAGCATCATTCCGCCCTCTCAATCAACCAAGGTACCTGTAATTATGTGATTGCTGATTTGGTCACCTGTTCACCACCTGTAAAGTATTTACCTACCTGACCTTGATGACTGGAGCCCCTTGTCCTGCCCCAATTCCTCGCGTCAGCCACCAGTTAACCCGAGACGCAGCTGGAGTTCGAGGGTCCCGTTTGGGAAGTACCTGCCTTAATATGCACTTTTCGCATGGTCTAATTAGGCATCCACTATCCGCACGTGCCTTCCCGCCCGGCCTATACGTATCTTCCTTCCCTCTTACCTTCCTTCTTGGCTGCCATGTTTGCCTGGAAATGTCAGGTGCCTTAGACAGACTCTACCGTAACCTTCATGTCGACGACCACGCCACCTCAAAATAAATCTCCGTCAACTCCATGTCTAGGTAGTCCATGCCTGCATACAGCAGTTGAGTGCAGCACCTCAATCAAGTATCACACGGCCGCGCATCGCCGCATGTACCTATACAGCCCCTCCATCATGTCCTTTCTTCTTTCGCAAATGTCCCATCGCCAGGACTATCACCAAGGGAGACTCATACGTGCTGGACCATCCCGGAACTGGCAATGGCTCACCAACTTTTCTGGATCGTGGAAGCTCAAGCCCCTGCTCCCTAGGCAGCCAAGCCTTAGTGGCAGGCCGATATAGCGCACGGGTCCCTTCCGGTATCTCGACCTCGTCTTTCACCGGAGACATGGGCCTCTTCCACCGATCTCGCCTGCTTCCCCTCGTCATCGCAGCCAAGCCGTCCATTGCTACGGTGGGGTACCCTCAACTGTACGTACCTGGCTACCTGCAGCCTCCAGAATCACAAAACAAGGGTCGTGGCGGTTTCATCGTCTGCAGGCCCGATCCCTGTTACCGCAGTGACAGGGGCAAGCAATCGCTGCAGCTCGTCCGACAGGTGATTGATAGCCCGACGGGTATGATTCCTCCGCCACGGGCGCCCTTTTTTTTTTCCCTCTCTTTGGATCAAAGTTCAAACTGCCAATGCTATGGTTTGTCCGGAGAGCGGAGAACAGGCAACTGGGGTGTCCCATCTGCAGACTGCAGTGCCTGCGAGTTCTCCTCCCCCGATGTGGCTGACAAGAGCATGCAGTGCCTACTACTATAGCCTCTAGACTAGCCTCCGGTACTTTGGTATCAGACCTGCTTACAAGTTCCGCCTTGGAGCAGCGAGGATGATCATACCCGCCAACGAGCTCGACTTAGTATTAAGCTATGTAGCATCGGGTAGGGCAGGGCCGGCCCCCCTTGAGGCCCCTTCTGACCCGGCCGCCCTGGAACCTCAAAGTTCTCGACAACTGACAGAACGAGATCAAATGGACTGGGACAAGCATCCGGCGGCCACCCTGGGCAATGCATCGTGCCCACTAATCCCGCGCATCTTGGCAGTTCCCTATATCTGGTGATGTGCAGCCCGCTAATATGACAGAGACTCTCTTTGACGTCTGCACCAAGCCACCACTTGGGATTGCTTTCACATCGCCCGCGTCATCTGTCAGCGTGTCTCGTCTCGTTTCACTGTGTCGCCTCGTTGCCTGACACCCTGACCCCTGACGTCCGTTCTTACTTATGGCCGTTCCATCTGCTCGATATATTAACTGACCTCCACCACCACGTTAGGTGGCGTCCGCTCCTCTGTCATGGCACATATCGTCAATTGCATTGCTGCCAGTGGGAGCACCGCACTTGAGAGATCGACACCCTCCGAACCTTATTACTATCCGGGAACAGTAAGTAATATCGCTGCGCTGTCAGCCAAGTGCCTGCTCACGCAGCATAGCCTTTGCCATCCACAGCTCCCTTTGGGAAGCCCAAGATCTCGAACATGGAACAAGGCCAGTCGCAACCACCTCCGCCAGCACCGGCACAAGCGCGATACCAGCTGTTTCCTCGGGAAAGGCAGCTGCCAGTGCTCAACAGCGCCAAAGGCGCCGAGGCAGAGAGGTCATGCTCGCCGTCCTTGTTTTCCTACCTGGACGACAGCTTCGACGAGGTCCCAGCGCCATCAGCGTTGAGAACAAAAATCACACAACATAGCATGACACGACGGCGCAAGGTCAGCGTCCCTGAGATCGGTCCCATGACAACGGTTCAGGAGGTGCCAATGGATTCTCGTACGTACGCCTGAGCGACACCTTGGCCGTGTTTGGCTGACTGTCTCTAGCAACGATCCCCGGACGTCCGCCACTACATGAACGCTCAATCAGTGCTCCAGCGCAGGATTGGAAACCTTCGTCTCCGGAGTCGCTGCCTTCCCCCGTCCCACTAGCGGAGGACGCTGCTCAGGCCGAACCCCAGGAGAAGGAGAAGGCCTTCCTGGCACAAACCCTCGAGGAGAAGATCAAGACTTGCACCTCTATGCTCAGCCGAGCGGCTTCGACCCGAAAGTTGGCGCCCCTTGTGATACCTCACTCTGGCTCTCGCTCGCCCACTCCTCACCAGCAGACACTTGCCCACAACCGTTCCGGGAGCATGCCGAACGAGGCCTGCAAGCCGCGCAAGACAACTGTTTCGCCGTATTTGCGTACGCCATTCACACCCTCTATTTCAATGACAGATCTCACCTCGCCATACTCCACCAGCACTCACGCCACGTCCACAATGACACTGCCGACGCCCGTGTCCGCGCCCGTCTCAGACCCCTATCGAGCGTCGCCCAAGCCATGGGAAGGCCGCTCACAAACACCTACCCTGACAGGCCGCGCGAGAACCCCACAACCTGTGGCAACGCAGCAAGCCGTGATACCGCATGGCCATCGAAGAGGTGCATCAGAATCGGCAACAAGTATAATGGACCGAGGTCGGCCCCGCAAGCGCTTGGATCAAATCAACCGACCCGCCCTCGGCCAGAGTGAGGACAGTGCTGGTCAGAGCATTGAGCGCAAGGCATTTGAGGAATTACCCACAGGTGCCTTGCCCAAGGACGCGAGTGCCAACATGAAGGCCGAAGACATGATGGCCATACACAAGCATGCATGCCGCCAGGCCGAGCGTTTCGAGGTGCTGGATATGAGCGATGTAGAGGCCCTCTCCAAGGAGCTTAGACGCCTCGACGAGCGCACAGAGTATCTGCGTCGAACCTACACTTCACTACGCGCCGGTCGACGCAACCTCCAGTCCCGCCTCTGCCAGTTCCTCCGCTCCCCTCGCGCCGAGCGCTTGAGCTTTGAATCAATGCTCAGGCAGGAGGAGGCGCTGGCGGAACTTGACACGTCCATTGATGAATGGGTTCAGAAGCTGGAAATGGCTGAAAATCGCCGGACACGAATCCGCCAAAAGCTTCTTGAGCATGTGGCGGCTGCAGGCATCTTGGGGGTGCCTGGGATTGCTGCTACCCCATCACCGCGCGAGCAACCTCCTCCAGCCGCTGTCATGCAGACGTCGGCCGGTTTCTGCGACATCTCGACACCACCGCGATCGCCAACAAAGCAGGCGCCGGTCCGCAGGGTTAGCATTTCGCCTTCGCCCCAGAGGGTCGTGGTGCAAGTTCCGAGCATGATCCTGGAAGACCCGCCCCTGGAGGATGCCGATACTGAGCAGAAAGACCAGCCCGACGCAGACGCCCAGTCGATCAGGAGGACCGACGTCGAGAGCATTCGGATCTATGCAGGGGACGACATCGCCTCGCTGTTGGCCGACGTCGAGAGCGAAATAACACGCCTGAGTCAGTCCCTCGGCGATCCTGCCCCCAAGCATCAGCAACAGCATGGAAATTGGGTCGCGGCGCAGGCCCAGGTGTCGGAGCTAAAATCAAAGCAGCTGCATCTGCAGCGAAGCCACGAGCTGCTCAGCGGCATCTCGTGCAGCTCGACCGCAACGACTATGCCTCATAAGGGACCCAGGAGCGCGACACCCGAGTCTCCGCCTGCTCCACCACCCCCGATGAAAGACTATCCGCGGAGCAATTCCCCTTCTTCAACAAGCTCGATGAGACCATGACGCCTCCTCAGCCTTGGTCCGTCTCAACGTTGGTCACGCTCAACGCAAACAGACGCCCAAATCCCAAACGCGTACATACGTACATAATCCCGTACACGCATGCCCAGCCCATTACCCCATGGTCCCCTAATCGCACTTCCCTTTCTTCTCACATCCCCCCATGACGACTTCGACTCACGATTACGACGCTGCGGATTCAGCCTGCTTCTATCAGCATATTTCATGGCAATCCATCATCTTCGCGACGATACCCGATTTGTATCCCACCACTCGGACGGTGCCATATAGGCCCAGATAGCGACAGTAGAGCAAGAGCATAATGATCAAATGGTAATCACCATCCATCCACCTTGTCCCGCTGGTGAGCAGTGAACTCGGATGCTAGTCTAGGTTCCATGCAGTAGTGAAAAGATTCGTCTTGTTTCACCACGAAAACTTCAAGCCAAAGGCAGACCTCAGCTCCAGCCTCTATTCTTGGCAGTGTCCAGGGAGTGCCTTGCCAAGTGTCAACACGAACCCAAGTCTTCTCGAACGACGCATAGACAGAAACGATCGACCGTGTTTGGCAGGGTACGTACCACATACATGGACAAGGTAGCATGACCATGCATCATGTCACGCGACCCCTTGTCACTTTTTGGGCCCCTTCTCTCGCTCCGACTGATTCTGAAACAACATTATTTGACATTCTGGCGCGCGAACCCATGTCGCGCGTGCGTTACATGCCGCCTTTCAAGTCCCAAACTCCCAGTTCCAGCCACCCAACCAACGCCCGTCTGTTCCTTTTTTAACATGAACGATCCTTCTTTTATTTTTTCCTCCCCCCCGGTCTGATCGTGATCTATACGTGTATTCCCCGTCGGCCGAGAGATCATGTCCGCCAGCACGCAAGGCCGGGACAGAACTGCCATCCATCCATCCCAATGCGCCACGGCTGTAGATACATGTCTGCGTACATGAGTATTGAGTCGTACGTAGTACATATGCACCTGATCGAACAAAGGGGCCCGACCGCGTTCACGACTGCAGACTCGCTGATGCCCGCGGACGCAAACTGTTGTTACTTGCCTGATCGAGCCGGAATTGTTCACACCTGCATCCGCGCTTGCGTCCCATGCGGGAGATATCGCTGGCCTACGTGACTGGTCTTTCAAGCCCTATCACACATGCCGTCATGGGCTGTCTCGTTTCGCAACTGTCTGTTCAAATACAGAAACCCGGCACGCCATGTGGCATCGTCGATTTCGTGATGTGTTGCGAAACAAAAATGTACGGCGACGGCCGTACCAGATTGAGTATTAGTATGATAATTACAAATGCTGCTTGCTGCCCACCAATGTTGTTGCTGTATCGAAAATGCTCCGGGCTGCCATCCCATCAAGACAAAGCGGGACAGAAAAAGAAAAGGTACACACGCTCTGCATATATGCCGTTCACACCATGCTTCATGATTGCATCCCGTTCCGTCCTTGACCCCTGGTCGTGGTCCCAATCCGTATCCCGTACAAGACACACAAGACGCACTCGGTAGTGGTATCGTACACTGAGCCATGCGCGCTCTAATCTCATCCCGTGACAACGCCCACGAGCTGTAAAAGTATGCCGAACACGAGACCGCGGGCCACCTCCTCGATCTGCAGGCAGTCAAAGACACGGCCCAGAGCCTCGCTGGTGGCTGCTTGGCCCATGACCCCCATCAAGGCCGCCGGCACGCCGCTGCGGATGAGCAACTGCCGCGCGCGCACCCGCAGCTTCTCGCTCTCCTCGGGCGTCAGGGGCGCAGGCCAGTGGGCGCGCTCCTCCTCCGTGGGCATGGTGTTCTCGCGCAGCTTGCGCAGCTGCTCCGCGATCCCCGCGTCGGAGGATACCGTGTCGAGGACGGTGGTCTGGATGAGATTCTGGACAGTCAGGAGCGAGGGGTTGCCGGGGCGGAGCAGAAAGGACTTGGCGGCCGCAAGGAGGGTGCGCCGAATGTTCCACGCCGACGACAAAGTGTACATCTCGTTGATGACGGCGAACAGGAGCTCGACCGCCACGCGCGTCTCGCCTTCGGACAGTTGAGAGAACTGCCGCGCGGGCTTGTTCGCTGCCACCTTCTTGCCGCTGGGCGGCACCCCAGGCGACGTGGCCGTGTTGGGCGACTGCACTGACGATCGAGACTCGGGGTACAACTGCGTGCTGCCGGTGCGCGTGTGCGCGTGCTCGCTGGCGTACGGGGAACCGGTGTAGTCGTCTGGGATCTCGTCTGGGTGTGGGGGAAGCCTCAAGTCGCCGAGGCTCATGGTCGACGGAGAGCGCAGCGGCGCCAGGCTCGAGGCTCTACTATGCTCTCTGCTGGCGCGAGCGCTCCCCGGACCGGAGAGCGAGTCCATGCGGGACTGTCTGAAATAGTCGCCCTCGTCACCGACCTGCGACTGGTAACTGGGACGGCGCTCCATGGGGGCGACCTTGCCAGGTTGGGTCGAGACAATGGAGGAGCGCTGGCTCTCCATGCTGGCCCGGTCGGACCGAGCGGGAGACTTGGTCTCCATCCTGGGCGGCGTGGAGATGGACAATCGGTTCGAGCTGGCGCTGGACGTCAGGTCGACACTCTGGCTGGTCACCTTTCTGCTCAAACCGGGAAAGTTGCCAAAGACACCTTGGACGCCGCCGACGAGTGTCTTGCCGCCTTCCATGGCGCCTTTGGGCGCCGTCGTGAGCACGTCGAGCATGTTCTTCCCCACAATGTCCCACCCAAAGGACTTGGACTCGCCATGCGTGTGGCCTTGGGACTTTTCGAGGAAGCGCTTCATGCCCTCGCTCTCGGCCAGTGAAGGATACCAGCAGGCGTCGCGCAGATATCGTTCGAGCTCGCCGCGCAGTGACTCGCGGGTGTGGACCTTCCACGCGGGGAGTTCCTTGTGCAGTTCGGCGAAGGCTGTCGCTCCGGAGATCATGGCGATTCGCCGCATGATCTCGTGGAGTGTTTCGAAATCAGAGTACCGCCTGACAATCATCCAGCCAGGGTAGTGGGCGGAGCTTGGCTCGACCTGAATGAGATAGTCCCAGTGAGGTTTGTTGCGCATCTTGGCTTGCTCGCCGTTGGTGTCGTCGTGTACTGTGAACGCAGCGTTGTGCAGCGTCAGAGGTTCCTTCTTGGCCGGCACCTTTTGTGGCTCGTCCGCCTCTTCCTTGATCTGGCTTTGTGGTTGGATCTGGTCGAAGCTGGTGAATCGCCCTGCGTCTTGTTTGGGTGATGACTTGTCGCTGTTGCTGCCAGCAGGTGATCGTGGCGTGATGGGTGTTGGGATCGCTTCACTCTTCGTGGAGAGGCCATCTGTCGAGTCGTCCAGCGGTGTCTCTCTGCTTCCAGACTGTGTAGTCGTGGGGGACAATTCGCCAAGTCCAGCCGATCGCTTGATATGCTCGTTGTCTATGCTCTTGGTCCCAATATCAGCTGATGTACGGATAGTGTCCGCACGTCCACGTCGCTCGGTCTCCTCCTTGATAATCAGTTTGTTGAGCTTCTTCATCTCTTCCACGGCGACCTCCATCTCCTCGTCGGCTTTGCTGAGCTTCTTCTTATGCATCTGAGCGGCGCCCTTGGGACGCGCACCGCCATCCGTGCTGCTTCGCGCAGGCTTGGCGATGGCCATGTTGCCCATGTTTCCATCCATGTCCGCAAAGAGGTTCGGGGTCGGATCCCGGCCTGTCTGCATGCCGACGTCAATGGCCTGGTTCAGGTCCGGTTCGCCAGCTTCGAGCAGGTGTACAATCCAGCCATTCAACCAGTCAGCCTTGCTGCAAGTTTGCAATGCAGACTCGAGAACCGAATTGGCTAGAATCTCGCGCAAAAAGACCCGAGCCGGGTCGCAGTCCCGCGACTTGCGGTCCAGAAAAGCCAAGAGATCCCCAGCCACGGCCTTGAACTTGGTAGCCTGGTGGTGCTGATTCAGGAGGTTGTTCAGATTGCAATCCGGATTCGAAGCTCGGTAGTTGTACAAGGCGTCCACCGCAGACATGTTCGAGTCGGGGCCAAGGTCCGCAAAGGCCGAGGCCAGCTCTGACATGAAGACGATAACCATGGACGATGCGTTGGTCAGTAGATCGAGAAAGGCGTCGGCCGGTCGTTTGCGATACAGGTGATTGGAAATCGACAGCAGGTAGGATGTCAAAGTCTTGCGGCACGCAAGCGGGAACGCATGATCGGACGGGACGATGGGGTTGTACCACCATTTGACATAATCTCGAATGACGGCGTCTATAAGCCCCCCAATGGCCTCGCGGGTCTCGGGGCGAAACTCGTCGAGGGCTTTGATAGCATACTGCTCGTCGTCTTCGGGTAATGACGCATCCTCCGACTTGGCGTGGTTCGTCGATAGTTGTAATCTCTCCAGCACATCGAGCCCCTTTTCGCCTCGCACAGCTTTGGCAACTTCGGGGTGGCGCGCCTCGAGCGTGACGAATCCCAGCACTCCAGCAAAGGCGCCTATCAGCAGCAGTCCCACGCGGCCCATGGCCACGTATAGCACAGCCGAGACGCCTAGAGAGACGGCCCCCAGTGTCCCTGGAGTTGCGTTTGCCGCGAAATGGAGTGCTTTTGTAAGGAGAGGAGGGGGCCCGTTGGCAGAGGAGGTCGTGGGAGCTCTGGAGTCTTTTGATTTGAGAGGTGCTGTGGTTCGTTTCGTATCATCGGTCGTTGCGGTCATCATGTCGTTGGTCGTTTCGTCATTAGGCGCTTCAGCCGAAGCTCTGCTCTCCGCGTGCGCGTGCACATCGTCTGGGTTGGTGGTGGCGCTCATTGAGGCCGCTCGTGCCAAAAGGCCGTTGCTTCAATAATAAATTCGTGATATGTACGTTCAGTGCGCCCGGGCGGGTAGTGGGACCATGTCAATAGCGTCGTCGCGACTCGTCAGCCAAGCCAAGGCTCGCAGTCGAGCGGCAGGTCCGGGAGCTGGTTCTTTGAAGTAGCTCACGTCGGCAGGGGACGACGAAGACGCAATGTCATGAGGATGAGGAGAGAGGAATGCTGGCTGACAACGCGTAATGGTCCAGTTCACTTGGATGGAGGATCAGATTCGTTCCAGAGCTTGATTCAGGGGCTTCCCATTGATGCGCACATCGCAATGACTGCGGGACCCTCTTGGTGCTAATTTTGGCCCCCGGATGCCGCAGCTGCAGTGCATTAGGTTAACGGCATTGCAATGATCGACTTTGCAAAAGAAGCATCATGGCGATCTATGTCGTTTGCAGACAGGAGAAAGACCAGAATGTTGAGTGTACGTGAGTGGCTTTGTTACATTTGTTCATTGTTCATTGTTCGTCACTTCGTAATTATCAGTTTGCCTCGACAATGATAAAACGCTGCATCACGTGAACTGGCGTTGGATGCATGTGCTGAAATGAGCTCCACCCGCAAGACAACGCGTCACACGAGACGCGAAGCAGCATAACTGGCCCTCAGAGTCCAGACCAACCGACTGTTCATACACTCGTGTCGTTCACAGCACATCTCACGATGGCGCCCTCACGGAAACGAGGCGCTGACTCGATTGAGGACCCTGAAGTGTCGGTAAACTCGCCTCCTGCTGGCAAGAAGTCCAAAAGCGCAGCGGCAGCAGCGCAGCCCGCAGGTAAAGACGACGATGGCCATCCGTATTGGGATGTGAGTTGCGCCTGTGCGCTTCAACCTCTTGGCGGTCCTCATTCTGACAACATCTAGCTTTCGGGCAAACGCCGCGCGGGTGTCTCTGAATTCAAGAACACCAATTTTGTCAATATCCGCGAGTACTACGAGAAAGATGGCAAGCATCTGCCCGGCAAGAAGGTGAGAGTCATTGTCCCATCGCTGCAAATGCAAAGTCTCACAGTTCCAGGGCATCTCTCTGTCCGTCGAGCAGTACACGGCGCTTCTGAAAGCGATTCCTGGCATCAATGCGGCTCTGCGCGAGCGCGGGCACACGATCAAGGAGGACGCTGAGATGGACGACGCGCCGGTCGTAGCGGCTCCCGCCAAGTCAAAGTCCGCTAAAGACAAGGCGAATATTGATGCCACGAGTGATGAGGATAGTAGCTGAGGCGCCTCCATAAGCCCATGTCAGTGGCTTGGTTGTACAAACCGTGAGACCAAGTGGCTCATCTCAGCTCTGGCCAACGCGGCGTCCGGCGCTTTATACGTGGGTTATCCATTTCGAACTCGCAGGGCGCTTCCGCTCCAAGATATCTTATTATAGTTTTGAGGTTGCAGTTGTATGCGGTGCTTCGGATAGGTTAAGCGCTGGATCGCGCGGCTATCTCGAGCACGAAGGGACGAGGGGCAGGAGGAGTGAGCACACGGTCGCATTGTGCAGTGCGCTCTTAGTGGGAGGCCCAAGTGCCAAACGATAGCAGACTCGTGTCCTGTCTCGGAAGCTGCTGTCTTCAAAATTCAATGTATATACATACGTATGTGTCTCTTGCAATACATTTATGCAACGATCAACTGGAATCTTCATGGAAGTCTATCTGTCCTCGATGCGCGTGGCCCCACTAACTAATGGCACGCTGCCAGCGAGCGGCCCAGCGCACTGCAGTGCCCTGACTGGAGTTCAGTCCCTGAAGGCTGACTGGACGCGCCGCTGCCAGGCTGCCGGCTGCCCTTGAAGTTGGTCCCTCAGCCGCCCCACGGGACCGGGTCACCCCTTAGACGGCGCAGCTGATAGGGAAGGATGGCCATTCGCCGGTTTCATAGCAAGATTTCCAGGATCCAGTCGCTTTTCAATGTCCTCGCTTCGCTTCCTCATCTCTTTGATGGTTACCGTATTCTGCATTTGATATTATTGCCATTCGTCACTCTTCTATTCCCACACTCATTGCTACGCGCTACAATCTCTCGTCTTCATTCATTTCCCGCTGCGGCTTGCTTGCTTCGCGATAGAGCGTGCGGGTACTGCGGCAGTCTACTACTCCTTTAATGAACGGGGCCATTTGGGAACACATTATATCATTGAGGACCACCGCGCGACTCTAGTATCCGTATTTTGGGCGCATATACTAGTCAGGCACAAGACTCACCTCTCCTCAACGCCAATTCACTACCCGTCTTCACAATGGCCTGGGGCTTCCGTCGGAAAGAGACGGTGGATGACTACATTGGCATCCTCATACCGCTCGACAAAGCACATCTCTACAGTCACTCTGCCAAGCATGGCAAGTTGAACTACGAACATGTCAACGATGCAGACATGGAGGAGCTTCTGGACGATGTGGAGATGCAAGAACGGCAGGGCGAGGATGAGCATGAGACGGAGAACGAGACGAGGGGGATGCTGCAGACGAGAGCTTTCGAATACAGTATCAAAGGCTTGAGGGCAGAGACGCGTCGAGGGCAGGGCTCCGGACGCAATGGGTCGTGGACGCCTTACGAGAGTGAGTTGTCCTCGAGATGGCCATGTGAGCGAAGCCCTGGGATTAACGTAAGCAGTCAAGTCAAAATTGATCAACAAGGCGATACAGGACATTGGGATGGGACGATACAACTGGCAGCTTTTCTTTGTCTGTGGCTTCGGCTGGTTTGCCGACAAGTAAGTTGACGTATATCCATACCGTTGACAAGACACACCTGCTGACTGTTGTAGCCTCTGGTTGCAGGGCGCGTCTCTAACACTGCCCTCGCTGTCGGCTAGGTTCGACATTGGCGAGAAAGAGGTGCGATATACCACGAGCGCCTTGTTCTTAGGTCTTTCCCTGGGCAGTTCCGTCTGGGGGATCGGCTCGGACTACACGGGGCGGCGCATCCCCTTCAACACCACGCTGCTCATCGCCGCCATCTTTGGCATGGCCTCGGCATTCACCCAGAGCTGGGCTGGCGTCTGCTTCACCTACGCCGCGCTCGGGTCCGGCGTGGGTGGCAGCCTACCGGTGGACGGCTCATTATTCCTCGAGTTTCTGCCAGACGCGAATAGCTCGCTTCTGACCATGCTCTCGGTGTGGTGGCCTGTCGGGCAGCTCGTCTCGTCTCTCATTGCCTGGTACACCATGGCCAACTGGCCAGTCGACGAGGGCTGGCGTCTCTTCATGGCTACAATTGGCATCATGACCTTTGCCATGTTCGCCGTCCGCTTCTTCATCTTCCGCCTGCTCGAGTCACCCAAATTCCTGCTGAACCAAGGTCTTCAAGATGAGGCCGTGGCGGTCGTTCATGCCATCGCCTACCGCAACGGCACCAAGACGTGGCTTACGTCCGAGATCCTCGACGAGGTTGCTGGTACAGACGACGCGAGTGCGGACCGGCTTCGACCGCAGCCGACAGGAGGGCTCAAGGAGAAGCTGTCCAAGTTCTCGGGAGACAAAATGAACCAGCTCTTCAAGGAACCAAAGCTGCGTCTGGCGACAATCCTCATATGGACTGCCTGGGCTGCCATTGGCATGGGCTACCCACTCTTCGCTGCCTTCCTCCCCCAGTACTTCTCCAAGTACAGCAACGCAGACGTCCAGTCCGAGACCTCCAGTATCTCGGGGGAGACCTACCGCAACTACGCCATCACGTCCATCTGCGGAGTCCCTGGCAGCGTCCTCGCCACGTGGCTCGTCGACCAGAACTCGCGCTTCCTCGGGCGCAAGGGCACGCTGGCCTGCTCGACCCTTCTCTCGGCTGTCTTCCAGCTCGCGTTCGTGGTCTGGGGCACGTCGTCGACACGCCAGCTCATCTTCTCGTGCGTGGGTGCCTTTACGCAGAACATCATGTACGGTGTGCTGTACGCCTACACGCCCGAAATCTTCCCCGCCCCCGTCCGCGGCGCCGGCACGGGCGTGGCGAGCTTCCTGAACAGAATCACCGGCCTGTTTGCCCCTGTCCTCGCGGCGAACCTGCCTGGCGATGCGGCCGAGGGGCCCATTTACGCGTCTGCTCTCCTGATCGCGGTAGCTTTCGTGAGCATGTGCTTTATCCCGATTGAGACGCGCGGGGCGCAGAGGCTCTGATATTGGTTGCGCTGGAAAGAATACTTGTAAAGGGGTGTACTATATATAGGACTGGGCATTGGGCATAGAGGGTGGCGTCGCAATTTTCTGGGTATATCACAGGACATGGAGTCCAGGTATGAATTATTGTCAAAGCAGGCAATTTCTCTTGTACGGCACTGGTACTGTCTATGCTTTCTTATAATATCATCTCAGCGGTTGCCCTTTGCACCCGCTGGCGCATCTATCCTCCTGCGCCTGAAAGACGTGCCCACCGCGTCCCTCACCATGGGATCGGCCCGGATCGTGTTCTGGACCAGCCACTCCCGCATCTTGCCCTTTAGATTTGATGTCGCCTCGTCATTGCCGTGGAAAGGCGCCGTCTCCATCTCCATCAGCCTCAAGGTGTCCTTATCAATGCTCTTTGCCAATGCGTCTAGTCTGTCTAGGCCCTGGTCCAGGGCCTTCTCGTCATCCAAGGCAGACGTGTCCGGCCGGCCGTCGTTGATGTGCAGGGCGAGTAGAGGGCCGATTTGCGAGAGCGCAATGTATACCGTGATCGTGAGCTTGCGCGCGAGGATGATGGCCTGGAACGGCAGCAGAGGAGGATGCGATGACACGGTCGTCAGGATGCTGTTGATCGCGTCAAGCACAGGCGGGAAATGAGGCCGCGTCACGGCGGCGATCTCAAATGTGCAGAGCGCAATGAGGATCAACCACCGGTAGAACTTTCCAAAGTCCATGTAGCCAAAGAGCCCGACGACGTAGATGGTCGCGGCCGCGACACCGTAGTGAGGCAAGATACCCTGCAGAACGCCTCGCGTGATGTAATCCCGTATGGACTTGCACTTGGACCAGTTCATAACCTCCATGCCGAAGCGCTCGTAGGCGAAGCGCTTAGCAGCATCTTGCAGGGTCTCGCTCGCGAGCTTGAGGTGGATGAAGTAGTCGGCCCCGTCGACGGCGCCAGACTTGTCGGGGTGATGCTGCGCGGCGACACGTCGGAAGCGAGACTTGATCTCGCGCTCGGGCACATCGGGGCCTACGCCCAGGTCCGCGTAGAAGTGCGAGGTGCGGCGGATGTCGTAGTCGGCTTCGTAGATGGTGTAGAGGAGGTATGCGGTGACGACGAGGATATGGATGACGCGGCGGTGCGAGGCGTAGCGGGCGCTCCCCGGGGCAGGTTTCGGATCGCCGGCGCGGATGGTGAGGCCGTAGTAGATGGTCTGGACCCAGCCTGTGACAATCTGACGCGCATGTTAGTTAGCTTGGATGGATGGTGCGCAGCTGTGGACGGGGACGGACGTTGGGGAGGAAGCTCCAGCCTATGAAGGACAGGAACTGAGACATGGTGGTCGAGCACTCGCAAATGCCATGCGCAATACGAGTCACTCTTCTTCAGAGATTGAGAAAACGAGTGGAAGTGGCCTCTCTGAAGGCGCGTTCGAGGGTGAAGTTGACAGTTTGACGTCGTTGTCATGTGCGTGCCTTGGCCCTTGGGGTAACTGGCCAGCTTGGCTGTCAAAAGGACCCACATCAAAGTCATCATTGCCTGAACCTTGAACTACAATACAAGCATTATCCGCCAGAAGCATTTACGTGTCGACACCGAAACATATTCTGTGTATGATAACTTGTTGAGCATGGAGCTCAGGGCTTATGTTGGTATAGAGGCCTAGTCCTTTTATTCGCAGTTTACCTCATTTAACACGTTTGAGAGGCGTGTACTCGCTTGTGAGTGGCTGTTCTGGAATAGAGAGCGCTTCTCATCCTACACTTTACAATCGGGCAACGCGTCCCTGGTTCCTTCGAATGCAGGAGGAAGCGGATGTCGGTGTTATCTGTTGGTTCACCAAATCAACTTCGCTCCACTTCGCTTGAACACCTGAGTCAAGGTCAAAACAAGCTTCGTGCCGCAACCCGTTTGTTGGTGACATGGACTCGAGGCTCTCGGTGGAGGCCCTCCGCACTCGGCCGTCGCAAAAAAAGAGGCCTCACGAGAGCCACCCAGCCGATAGGCTACTGGTACGTTGGAGGCCTGCCGGCAGATCCATCGTGAAAGCCAATTTCGTACAACCAGTTACCAGACAGCGGCATTTAAAGCTTCATTTTGCCTAAACACCTCGTCTCAGGGATCACGATCGTTCCCACCGAGAGTACGAAGGCATGAGAAGACAACCCATTCGTCAGGGCTTGATTGCCTGAGCCGACAAAGGAAAAGGCGTTCCTAGCAATGCCCCGCAAAGAGATAGCGGTAGACTAGGCAGTCTAGGGTCCAGCTCAGCAAGCATGGGATTACGCGGAATATACTCCGTACATGTAGGTATTCGACAAGAAGAAGCTCCTCGCTCATTTTGACGAGCTCAAATTGCACAAGAGCACAAGGGCTTAGTATTGTGAGCATGTACATGCATTACACATATCATCCCACGCCTCCAAGCAAAGATGAAGGTACCGTGACAGGAGGTGTGTAACCTAATTATGCGTCGTCGTGAGATTCACATTCAATGGTCAATGGTCAATTGGTTGCCTCCCAAAGCATACCTTGTCTTGGCTTCTAATAGGCGCTGGAGTCAAATGTCCGGGCGGGTCCAGGCGGGAAGATGGCACTCATCCATGGCAATGCCTAGCCGTGATACCCACTGGAAAAACGTGGGAAACGCCAAGCCGACTTCCATAGACAGTACATAGCAGCTCCTCGCCAAGCCCATTCCCGTCGCCTGGACCTCTTCATACACATGTTCACGCATCATCGCCATTCTTGGTACCCCAATCGTTCGCTTCTTCCTTCTCTTCGATAGCGACAACTCGCTTTGCACAGCCGCCGCCTGTCTCTCTGCGTGTGCAGTGCTCGACAACGCTCGTTCATCCACGTCCATGGCTTCGTAATAATCGCACAGCACCAGCAACACACCTCTGGGCCGGAGGCATGCTGTGCAGGCACTGGGCATTCGCGCCGCTCGTGGCGCTCGGTGGTAAGGCATATTCGCATCGATCTACTTCATCGGAGAGCTCTCGCTAACCGCGCAAGCCCTCTTTTCCTCTGTCTTCGCTCAAGAGCCTGATGCCGGGCCGCATTCGAATCACTCGACCTTTGTCAACTCCGATGGCGCGATAGGTTTCGCCTTTGCTATTCCCCACGACAACCCCGACCAGTTCTGGTTCACGTTGCGCGTTCATCGAAGCCATGCCTGGGGTGCTGTCGGGCTCGGGTCGGACGACATGCCGGGCGCCTTGTACCTCATGGTCTACGACAACCGGGACCAGTCGAACACGACCTTCTCTCCGCGCGTTGCCTATGGCTACTACGAGCCCGAGTACTACCGCGATTTCGAATACGAGCTCCTAGAGGGCACAGGCATATACGACGACCACATGGTGGTGATGGGCAAGTGCTTGCGGAACTGCTTCACATGGCCCGCCAAAGGAACAGAAGGCGGGCGCATCGACGTCAACTCAGGTCGCGAAAAGGGCATCTATGGATTGGGTCCATTGGAAGGCTTCACGAGCAACCAGCTGGACGAGAGCCTCAAGTTCCACGTGCAGTATGGGTCATTCTACATGAATATATCGAGAGCACATGGCGCAACGAGGGCGCCGGTGCTGACGGACGATTCAAGGAGTCAGGGTGCAATCCTGCACGAAAAGTTCGTCCGCAAGGCGGATATCATGTCCACCATGCACGCTGTGGCTATGATCTTGGCTTTAGTGCTGCTGATGCCCTTGGGTATGGTCATGCTACGGCTGGGGAGCATGGTCAAGTTGCACGCCATCAATCAGACCATTGCCTTGGTGTTCGTGCTCATTGGCTTTGGCGTCGGCATCGCCACAAGTTATAGATACCAGCGAGTATGTTCAAGCTCTATTGTCCCTCTTTGGCGCATGGACCCGAGTGCTAACCTCGCCGACAGTCTCAGGAGTTCACAAGCTACCACCAAGTCATTGGGTTCTTCGTCGTTTTCATGCTGATAGGTCAGTTCATCATGGGTGTTCTGAACCACCGTCATTATCGGCGGACGCACTTGCTATCCGTCTACGGCAAGATCCATCCTTGGCTCGGACGGATCGTTATCTTGCTGGGCATCATGAACGGGTTCTTGTAAGTGCCGCTGACCCTGCCAGCCGTGCGCTTCCCAGGACTGACATGCACAGTGGCTTCACTTTCGCGCTGAACCGTCGGTACGGTATCATACTCGGCGCTTTAATCATCGCCATGTGTCTTGCGACACTCGTCACATTGATTGGTCGTCATTGCCTCGAAGCCCGTCGACATCGAAACAACGGGCGCCTCCGCAGCGGACGGGTATCACCGCAACATCGCCCGCCTGTCGGATCACCAGGCGAGCAACATGGTGCATGGCCACAGGCCCCGTACGGCCCCCCGGCATACAGTCCCCCGGCATACAACAATGGTTACGGCTTTCCCAACGATGGCTCGCAACCAGCCCCGCCCAGGGGCGTCATTTTTCCACAGCGCTTTGACGCACCGAGCCAGAGTATCGGCCTACAAGATGTAGCAGCGAATGCGAGACGAGATCAACCCCCTCAGAGTCCGCCACAGGAGCCAGACCAAGATCGGCCGCAGATGACACGACGGGGCAGCTCGCAGCAGGCGCCGGAAGCTCCTCGCGAGCTCTTATGATGCATATGATTGGCGTTTAGCGATGGTCAAATGAGGTCTATCTCACTCTCTGTTCATCTATCCCCGCCTTGATGTGAGAAGAATGACTATGAACGTATTGTTCTCCTCGCACATTCAGCTACGCTAGTCTAATCCTCTGCATCCCCCTCGAGCCATATTTCATGGCCATCGCCCTCTCGAACGAACCAGCTCGCCACAACTCCAAGGACGGCTATGACGCTGAGACACCACCACACCAGGCCTACGTAACCAGCATTGAGGCCCAGACCGTACACAAAGCCTCCGACCATGGGGCCAATAGTTCTTGCGCCGCTACTCACGCTTTGCCCCATGCCATGTACGGTGCCCAAGACGCTTGGGTGTGGCGAACAATTGTTGATGAGAATGGCCTGAGCTGGAAGGGCAAAGGTTCGTCCCAGCACTTGTATCATCAGGATGCCTACAAACGCCATCCACATGGCGAGGCCTGTCTTGGCATGGGGCGGCGGCGACGAGCTTGGGACAATGCTCAAGTACGGCACCAGGAAGTACGCCACCGGGAAGGTATACAGGAAATACCGCCAGCTTCTGATGGTGCCCAGGCGTGCGTTGATCCGGGGATACAGGACCAGCTGCATGAAGATACCAATGGTCCCCAAGATTGCCATGGCGAGACCTACACTCTGCGGTTTCAGTCCGAGGCCACCCGTGAAACGAAACGGCAGCTGAGGCGTAATGTCTGATTCCCCAGGGTCGTACACCGGCGTGCTGAGGAAGACAAACCAGAGCGAGTTGAAGGTGCCGACGTGGAACGCCATGAGGAAATGGGCGACAAACGTCAGTACCACGTTGGGCGTGAACACGCGCTTGAAGGGCAATCGTTGGGTGAAGCGTTTTTGTGGCTGAGGCTTCGCGCCAGCTTCGGGTAGGTCCAGGCTGGCATCATTGTCATCGTGGGTGGATGAGGTCGGGATAGACGAATAACCATGTCGTCGTCTCCGAAACAAGGCCACCATGCTCTTGCGCACACGTATGCCCAAGTCCACATGACCAGTGTCACGGATGGAGTCCAGTGTCTCCTCCAGCCCCAACCATACCGCTGCTGCCGCGCACATGAGGAATACGGAACTGACAATGTTGGGCGTGGCATATGGGTATTTCTCGAAAAACGGTATCCCCTTGAACAAGGAAGGATAGGATCCGGCAGGGTCAGACAGCACACCACCGAGGATGGGCCCGACAATGACGCCGATATTGAAGGTCATGGGGAGAAGCAGAAAGGCCCTAGATTGGTACTTCTTCTCCCTGATGATCTCGCTGATCCTGGTTCCTGTCAATCGGTGTGGTCAAGGGCAACAGCACGTTTACAGCGGTGCACTTACATTGTCCTCATGACGCCAATGTTGCCGTTCGTGGCACCCCCCATCGTTCTAAAGACCAGAGCCTGCCAGAAACTCGTGGCGAACCCAAACCCCAAGCATGACAGGCCCGTTCCCGTCAGACCAACCAGGAGGACAACCTTTCGGCCAGCGTAGCGCGAGTCGGCCACCCGGCCCCAAAGCATGCCCGTCAGGAATTGGGCGAACATGAACGAGGCGTGCATGATGCCCGCCTGCGATGAGATCTTGGACGAGGGAAGGCTGGGGTCGAAGGATCTGAGCTGGTAGAACAGGTACGCCTGTAGGGAGGTTTGGACGAGGGGCTCGCTCAGGCGAGCGAGGGTGATGATGATCAGTTGGTCCTTTCGCGGTAGCTCACGCCATGCTATCGGTCGCTTGGGGTCATCCCTCTGTTCCTCTGGGTCGTCAGGTGAAACAGGTGGTGAGGAATACGATGCTGTTGAAAGCGGCTGTCGCTGGTCGTCGATCCTCCGTGAGGGCTCCCCAAAGTCGTCAATATGAGAGTCTTGACCCTCATCACGCTGCCGTCCCATTGTGACGGGGCTGGTTGTCAAGCGTAGTCTCGCGTCCCTCAGTGTGGGATGACTTGCTACTTATTCTACTTAAAGACCGTACTTGGTAGTTACTTGCATGTGTTTCTGGTTGTGGTTGCATCATCAAGGTTCACTCGTGGATTGACCTGTCGTCGGTAACCAGCCTGGAGACAGACCGGGAGTGAAAGAGAGTAAAGAGAAACAAGGTCTGTAGGAAAGATTGTTCAGGCCTCTAGGGTTTCATTGTCCACCCACGCAAGTTCAAGTGTGCTGGCGACTCGTCATGACCTTGACTGTCACTGACCCCAGATTCGCCCATGATGCGGGTTTAACGGCACAGTGCGGGGCTGTTTGGCCCGTCTGGCGCACCGAAATCCGGAGCTGTCCGCCCCGACATCGTCACAGATCCCAACAGGTCCATGTCCGACTGGATTCGCAACCTCTCAAGAACATGTCAATACGCACAGAAATGCGCGTGATACGGCGGAGACTCATAGCGCATTAGTTGCACAAATTTCCCCAGACTTGAAGACTGCGGGGATCGCTCGTCGGAGGTATTCCTCCACATTGAGGATCTTATCCGTGGGAAGCGTGCCGCATACTCCAACAGATTCCCGCCGTGTCTGTCTGTTTAATCGCGTGCTCAGCTTATCGATGCTTCGAGGAAGTCTCAGATAAGCCTCTCATATGTTCCTTTTGCTCCATGTCAAGCTACCTATGTATCGCCCACATTCATTTGATCGAACTCTGGGCAAGCCCTCACCGCGAACTTGGCTAGCACCCAAAACTTGGATAAACAGAGCGAGGATCATGCGGACGTTCCCGCGGGACTCGCTCATACCGTACAAAACAACTTGACACTGTGCGCCGATATCGACGAGGACGACAGTCGCCCGAACCAGCACGCCGAATCACACCCATGGCGACTGCTACACTGATAGCCAACACGAAATCATGAGTGTCAGTATCAAGGTCGACAAACGCTCAACCAGCATCACAGCTCAGCCCTTGAGCCAAGAGGCTTTTGCTCCCTTTGGCGACGTCATCTCCAACCCGCGACCAGATGTCCATCCTTCAGCCTGTGCCCAGCACAAACTTCCCTCCAACGCCAGCTCGGCAAACCAGGGCTCGGCAATCCGCTATGGAGATGTGAGTCGTCTAGGCAATTACTACGCGCAGGCCCCTAGTGGGACTGGCGAGCCCAAGATGTCCATGTTCGTCTGCGCCGCCCGACCGCTGGAGACTCTGTCCGACGGACTCGGAAGGTTCACCGTCAAACTCTTGGAACGGCATCCTTTCACCACACAGACCTTTACACCTTTACCGTCCAGCGCATCACAATACCTCGTCGTCGTGGCGCCTAGCCTTGCACCCAGTCCGCAGGACGAGGGTCTTCCTGTACCAGAGGGACAGGGCCTACCCGGGAGAGGGCTACCAGACCTGAGCAAACTGCGGGCTTTTGTGGCCAACAAGGACCAGGCTGTCACCTATGGTGCTGGAACATGGCATGCTCCCATGGTCGTACTAGGAAAGGAGGGAACCGCCATTGATTTTGTGGTTTTCCAGCATGCTAGTGGTCAGGGGATTGAAGATTGTCAACTGGCTGAGTTTAGTGTAGAGGGCTCAGCAGAACCGGACATGAACGTCTTAGTGCCCCAAGTAAAGGAGAAGGCAAAACTCTAAAAATACTTTTCAGTTCGCAAATACGAGTCTCTCAGCGTCTAGACCAGAACATCTGGCAATGGTTTAATGAATTGCGTTGAAACTGAAACAACACTGTTCAAGTAGCAGTGTTCGCAATCTCCAGCAACTTCAGCCCTGCTCAGCCACTTCAGCTGCTCCGCACCCAGTCGAGTCACTCGCCGTCATGCAAGTAGGAAAAGGAGATAGAAAACAACGCAACAGCCGCCTTGCCAAGCTTGGGATTCTTCGGCATATCGCCGTTGTTGCCGCTCCATCTTGAAGGACAACGCTCGCCATACACAATGGCCGCCGAAATCACCACTGACGTGCTGAACAAGCTGGAGGACACATCTGGCATCGTCTGCAAGCCAGGAGAGAACCCCTACGCAGCGTTCATCAACGCCTGCAACAATGACCATGTCAGAGCATATACACGCACCTTGCTCGCCCGTGACATCTAACTGACAGCGCGTGTAGCGAGAGATCGAGGCACTGTACACAGCTCACCGCACCAAGCGCAACGCCCAGCAGAAGGACAAGTTCCTCACATCGGATTTCAAGGAGCTCTTCATCGATCAGACCTTGCTCCGTCTAGAGAAGCCAGAGATTCAGCCCGGATTCAAAGATGAGAGACATTGCATGGCCCTGTGGTCACGGCCGCCTAGCCACATCATTCGCCTTGCCACGCACATTCAACACCTCCTCCTAGAGACATGCCCAGGTGTGTTCAACGCCCCGAAGCCCCAGAGTGCATGTGTCTGATAGCAGTCAATGAACAGAAATGTGGCTCATGTCCCCATGGAACATGCACATGACCACCTTGGAGGTGGCCTTTTCGAAGACGCCTGCAGAGATTGCAGATCTCGCGGCTTCTATGCGCTCCTCGCTGCCGTCCATCGTCAACCACACTCACAATCACCGTGCTCGCCTGGTCAAGCCGATGATCTCCTATGATCTTTCCGCCTTTGCCTTGTCTTTTGTCCCTGCGACCGGCGAGCCTGCCCTGTCGCCATCGCCCGCGGCGCCCGACACGGCAGAGAACGTCATGCAGGGCGACGAGTACACATATCACCATGTCCGCAGGGATATCTTTGACAAAGTCCAGAAGGCAGGCGTCGAGGTCGGCTCCAGGTATCAGGTCCCGAGCGCACACATTACACTGGGGCGTTACATCACGCAGGCCGAGCACGATACGCCCGAGAAGAGGAAGGCCTGGGTGGACCGCATCGACGAGATCAACGCGTGGCTGGAGAAGGAGGTCTGGGACAAACAGGACAGCGACTTCATTGGCGAGTGGATGGTGGGACAGGAACGCAGCATTGAAGCCAGGATCGGAACGATCTGGTACGGTGGGGGCAGGACACTGGTGGTGGGCGAGGGCTTTTAGACGGTGACGTATCCAGGACAAACCCCACGAGCACATTAGACGTTAGACACGGACAAAGTAGAGTGTATTCGAGCTTTGATTCATATCAGCTGATCATAAACGCGTGTCCTTCGTGCATGGAGGGCTGTGTCGCCGCAGCCGCAGGATACGCCAGACAGAAGCGTGCGCCGACATGGTGGTAAGAGGGATATCGTGCTTTATTCATCCCTATGAACCGATCCTCAACCGAGGATTGTGCCCCCCCTTCGCCAATAGATCCATGATGCCCATATGCCTTGCAAGGAGAAAGCACGCAAAAGCGCAGAGAGACCCCCAAACTTTCTTTGATTTCCGCCGATACGTTTCGTTTAGAACACCAGAGCCGCACCCTTTGTCTTCTTGTCACCACTGCTGCAGTCAGTACGCGGTCCAGGCACGCGAGGGGGAGGAGGGAGAATGGGACGCACCCGAGCTCAAAGTGCTTGCAGCGCTTCAGCGCAAGCTGGCACTTGGTCTTGCACTTGACGCACTCAAGACGCAGCACAACCTTCTTGGTGGTCTTGGCCTTCTTGTGGAAGACGGGCTTGGTCTGACCACCGTAACCGCTCTGCTTGCGGTCGTAACGGCGCTTACCCTGGGCGAAGAGGGAAGCCTTGCCGGCCTTGTACTGGGTGACCTTGTGCTGGGTGTGCTTGCGGCACTCCTTGCCCTTGCAGTAGGTGTTGCGGGTCTTGGGAATGTTGACCTGGTAATCATCCGTGTCAGTTCTGCATGTTCCTTTTCCTTGGTCGCGCAGTGATGGTGGGGTTGCTCAAGCTTCTTCGAGGTGGTCGCAAATTTCGGAATCGATGGTCTTGTCGCGGCAGCGCAGTACACGTAGAACGGTCCAACGGTCAGTCGCACAGATGGAAAAGAGTTGCTTCGGTGAGAAGAGATAACGTCTCCAGCCTCAGTAGTTTGTCGGCCTGCTCGCGCCCCCGAACCAAGCCAAAGTCGTCGAGCTCGTACGTCGCCGTCATCGTCGAATATTCATCGCTTGCTGCGTCGCCACCGGACAAGGACCATCAATGGTCGAAAAGGAAGACTCGCTCGTTGAAGCATCTGAACAATCATCAGAGGCGTGGAGGCATATTCACTCACCATTTTGGCGACTGTGTGCGGTGGCCGTTTCCTTGGGTGTGTGGTGATGCGAGGTTCCGGAGTTGGAGTGAAATTTGGGTGTTTTGTGATTTCTCTGCTTTGTGGGCACTAGGGTCGGCCACCAACCCAATCGATGCTGTGGCTGGCGGGGCTGCTCACCAGCCACACATTGCGCCCTGCACCGCCACACCTGCTCATGTCATCGAACGCTCGGACCACTCAGGGGAGAGAGACCCCACCATCAATCAACGACACGCATTGGCAACGGCAGCAGAGCTCCAGCATCGCAAGGTGTTCTTTGGAGACACGAGTAAACATCAAAGCTCCGAACTACAGTCGCAACCATGGATCCTTACTCGGCCGAAGGCGAATTGATCAACATCCACAACCACTTCCACCAAGGGCAATTTCAAGAAGTTGTCGACTTTGATACCTCGTCATTTTCGTCCGAGAACGCCCTACCCGCCAAGGTCCTCCAGCTCAGGGCCCGCATCGCCCTCGGTCAGGCTGAGGATGTTCTCGCTGAAGTGAAGGGCAAGTCGGAGCCCGAGCTGGAGATTGTTGGGGCGTTGGCCGAGCTCACACTGGGCAAAACCGATTCGGCGGTCAAGACGGCAGAGAAGCTGGCTTCTTCAGCCCCCGAGAATGTGACGGTGCAGGTCGTTGGTGGAATAGTCCTCCAGGCTTCTGGGAAGCCCGACGAGGCGTTGGCGCTATTGTCTCAGCACCAAGGCAGCCGTAAGCTTGTCCCGAGCACCAATGTTAGCTAGGAGAGAGAAGCTAACGGGAGCAGTCGATGCCGTCGCATTGATCGTCCAGATCCAGATTTCCCAGAACCGCACAGATCTCGCACTGAAAGAAGTCACTGGCGCGCGGAGGTGGGCACAGGATAGCCTGCTCGTTAACCTGGCAGAGTCTTGGGTCGGTCTCAGGGTGGTGAGTGATACGGTCCAGAAGGTAATCGATGGCGCTGACATAAAGTAGGGCGGTGAAAAGTACCAGCAGGCATTCTACGTCTTCGAGGAACTGGCACAGGCACCCGCGACATCATCGGCGTGGAGCTTGGTCTCACAAGCAGTCTGTGAGCTGCACCTCGGCCGGACAGAGGAGGCCCAGGCTGCGCTTGAGCAGGCGCTACAGAAGGACCCCGAGAACTCGGCGGCTATCGCAAACCTACTCGTCCTGGCTGTCGTATCTGGACAAGACCCCAAGGAGTGGACTGAGTGCGTGCAATCCCCTGCGTCGACCAGAGTAGCACTGACAATATCTAGGAAATTACAAAAGGTGGAGCCTCAGCATCAGCTGCTGGCCGACCTCGAGGAGAAGAGCGAATTGTTTGACAAAGCGGCGACCAAGTACAAGGCCAAGGTTTCGGCGTAGACAAAAGCTGCGGAGCGTACTTGATTATCATGACTGGCGTATGATGTATGAGAAGGGCAACCATGGCGTTATCCACACTTTTGAACTCGCCGTTATCTAATGTCATACAAGTGAAGTGTTTTTCATCCCGATGGTATGGATTCTCAGCATGGGTCGGCCTTAAGATCTGATCAAAGCTATTATTTGATGTTTGATTCCCGTTCTGGATATCATAACCACAAGCAGCTTGTACTTATTATTGAGCAATCGAAGCAATGCCGACTTGCAAAGCGTACGCATCTCGTGTTTCGCAGCGTAAGTATTTCAGAATGTGAGGGACGCTTCTTGAGGCCCCTCAATATGGACCCTATTGAGATGTCGCGAGAGCTCAGGGGTATCATTGACCGGAACGTTGAGCGCTCTGAACGCTGCCCTAAAGGGGTCCTTTCTCAAAAGAAGTTGTATTCTTCGTCTTCGGCCGTCATCACTGGCGGCACCTTAATGCCATGCCGCATTGGCCTCAACCTGTTCTTGGGTCGAGGGGGCGCTTCGGGCAACTCGAGCCTCAACGCCCAAGATTTCTTCTTGGCGCCAGGTCGCTGTGTCTCTCTCCTCCTTGGAGAAACGCGTGTATTCGTTCTAGGAAAGTACTCGTCGCTACTCTTGAAGATCCTGCCCACTGGCGTCGTCAGAGTGGGCGAAGAGGCCAGTCTGGCGGGATCTTCTTCGCGGAGGAAGGCATCAATCTCAAAGAGCTTCTCTTCCGTCGAAGGCAGGCGCTTCTTCTTTGGAGGCTTTTGCTTATCGCTCGTGACCGTTACTGACGACAGACACCGTAGAGGCGACGGCGCAGCGGAGCTTGCTGTTAGTGGAGGCGTGTAGAATCCGGTTTGCTTATCCAAGACTGCACAGCCATTGTATGATTCATGCTCGGAGAGAGTGCGCTCGTATGGGGCAGGACTTCCGCATACACCTTCGAGTTCCTCGTCTGAGATGTGTAGGTATCGTCGTATGCTGTTCCAGAAAGCGTCGACTTGCGCAGGATTGCGTTCGTATTTCGGCTGCACATGCGATTGTGTTGTAACCTTTTTCGTTTGAGGACAGCCGTTCGCATTCATAGCGTTTCTTGAGGCACCGTCTCCTGAAAAAGCGCCTTCTACCACTGCTTTGTCTTCCCCGGGAGAATCAGGAATCACATCCAAGCACCTGCCCAGTGGTGTAACAGTATAGTAGTGTCGATATTTGAGTAAAGTCAGTGAATAGTCTTCGACATCTGGCGCTATAGCTAGCCAAGGCTTTGTGGCCTTGGCGGTGGTTGCTGCGCTGCTGCCGTCGACGCTCTTATCCGAGCCTTTCCCTGTTGTTGTTGTCGTCGTCGTCTGTGACGAGCTCTCCATACTCGATGCCCTATTGGGGGCGTCATGGCAGGTGGGCGACGAAGGTGAATTCCGAGTTCCCTCTCCCGCCTCGATCCGGGCAACGATAGATTTCACAGATTTCTTCTCGCCTTTTTCTTTTCGAGGAGGTGAGGATCGTGGTCGACCAATGCTATAAGAGAAGCTAGCCGGTAGTCCTCGATGCTCGCGTTTGCGACTCATGATGCTACCCTCAACGGGCCGAGTTTCCGTTGCCTTCATGACTTCAGGGGGGTTACGTGCCGCCATTGTTGCGTCGAAGATGGCACAAAGATCCCATGGATCGACGAAAGGAGGTAGTGCTGAAGACGTTGAAAAATGGTTTGCAAAAGTGTGACCAGGCAGATCTTAGTCGAGTGAGGTGGCTTTGATATCTGAGTTCTGCAGGCTTCATTCATCTCGAGACCAGGTGAGAAGATGCTGAAGTCGAGGCAGCTGTCTTTGCTAGACGTGCATTAGCCACCATTCCACCCGTCCACCCATCCAACATGATTGAACAACAAAGTCTAAATAAGTGAATTTGCCAATGCGCTGCGGCGCCTTGATGTATAATGTATGAGTTGTTCAAAGCGCGGATGGCATGTGCGCCACCGAGCGCTCGAGCCGTCTTCGAGACAAAGAGGCCAGTCGCACAGAACAATTTTAAGAAACCATTTTGTTTGACCATATGCTGAATTCGAGCCGATTTGATTCCGAGTACGCGTTCAATGAACTCTATATTAGCATGCTATTCCCAGATCGTACCATGCGCTCATGTCCATGCATCATCAGCTTCATCGCCGCATCGCTCATTTACCAGCCGTCTCCCCATGCATCGTCTTCTTCAGATTCTTTCGGTTTCAAGTCCAGTTTCTTTGCCATCGTTGGTTTTGCGGTTGGTTTCGTCGAGGTTGTTATCTTCTTGATGGAACTCGATGACTTTGACAAGCCCTTGGGCAACGGTTTCGCGCCAGGCTTCTTGCCAGACCGCTCCGCCAACCAGGCGGCAAAGTCCGGCTCTCCATCTTCAAATGGTGTCGCCGACGCTGCTGTCTGCGTCGTTGGCTTCGTGGAGGTGTTCGAGGTGGACACGGTGCCGTCGTCGTCCATGTCTCCCATATCACCCCACGCTGCGCCCGCATCATCGCCATCGTCCTCCGGCAGAAATGCCTGAGCCACTGCATTGGGATTCGGCGAACCCCCTCGTGATGACTCTGGGGGTGGCGATGCAACGGCTTGCCTGTGCAGATTGGACGCTGAAGCGGTGGCAGGCTTTCTGGTCTCGGGGTTTGGCGATGCTACACGAGCAGGCGTGCTCATACCAGAGCCATTGGTCTGCATGTCACCAGCCGCAGATGACAATTTGTTCGTGAAAGACGAGATGGCCCAGCCGGTCCATCCAGATGACTCGCCGGTCTTGGGGGTCGCCATCCGTGGCGCTGCTGCGCCCGCGCCAGCTGCCTGTGGCGGCGGCAGCGCTGTATCAGGTAGATCCGAGGCTGCTTTTCTTATTTTCTGTAGGTAGACGTCGATAGTCCGGTTGGCCGAGTCTCGCACCAGCTTCTCCTTATCGAGAAGACAAGGGCAGACCACGGGAAGTATCCTCGACGCGCAGTCTTCATCGGAGAAGTGCTCCACTGTAGCTCCGAGCGACATGAGAGCTGCGTTACGAGCATGCACAAAGGGATCCCTCAACGACCGAGTGAACGCAGCTGTGAGGACCTTTGATCTGGATGATGCGCCCAAGTTCTTTGCAATCTTGCCCAAGCATATGGTTGTGTTTGTGCGAATGCCGGGTTGCTCGTCGTTTGCGGTTTTCGCGAGTTGCTTGAGGAGATCTCCGTTGATTGTTCGATCCGAAAGCTTGGTGATGATGACCAACACAGATTTCAGAGTCTGCTCTCGCACGACTGGTGCCAAATCCGTGAACCCAGTGACCATTTGCGGGAAAATCTTGTCGTTAACAATCTTCTGGGGCAGACGGTCGATCATCAGAGGTAGGTTGTCTAGTAAGCACACGCGGATGGCGCGATCAGGGTTACCAAAGAGTCGCACAATGACGGGTATCATCTTGGACTCAAAGTCGTCATTCGACAGCTGGGCGGAAATCTTCATGACGACGCCCAGTGCTTTGGGACCGCCGCCTCCAAACTCGACCGATTTGAGCATTTCGGGCAGCACTTTCATCTTGAAGAATTCCTCAGGGAAGTCGTCCGTAAGTGCGTCCAGGTCGCTAGTAGTGTTAGGCAGGATCATGGGCCCGATGGATGCTCCGACTCACTCTAGAAACTGCTCCCTCTCTTCCGGTGACTTGACGCCCAAGTTGTCAATGCCCTCGGTCATCTTGATCAGTGGAGTGTCGAAAAAGGAGTTGGTCCGGCTGCCCTGATCGAGGAAGGCACTGACGCTCAGACGGGCCTTTGGATTCGCATTGCATAAACGCTTGTAGCTCGCGTGCATTGTCGGCGGTACGCTCTTGGTAGTCCCAGCTTGGCTCTGGCTGGTGTAGTCGCCATTGAACACCTCGTATATCAGCACACCGAAATCAAATGCATCGACAGCTGTCTGTGGATTTTTCTTGACAACCTCCCAGCCATTCTGAGCCACTTCAGGTGGGCAGTATCGACCCGAATCTGGCACCAGACCACCATATGTCTGGAAATCGTCAGCCTCAGTTTGGAGGGTCGAGCGTCATTACCAACATAAATAATAGACTCGTCGTCTTTGACGCTGCTCAGGACATCAAAGCCACCGAGCTTCCACTCGCCGCTTTCTGACGTATAGACCGAGCCAACTTTCAGACTGCCGTGTATCGACGCGGCGTCACTGTTGATAAACTTCACTGTCCGCTGTCGACTGGTCAGCATTTCCGCCATAGAGCAGGAGTCGGTCGTTCTCTCGTACAGCAACACCGTTGAGTCCCCATTTTATAGTTTCTGGAGTCAAGCTTTTCCTCTTGACGTGCCATCGCAACGGCGTCACGCGCTCAGTCGCAATGTAAATGTATGTTTCGGTCTGTCGTCGATTAGTGACGGATCGCTCGCTGTTCGACTGTAATTTCGGCGCACTTCGACTGTGTCAAGGACTTTGATCACACCGGGATGTCTCATGGTCTTCATCTTCTTGAGCGCATTCTTGGCCAACGGTAATCGAGCCCTGTTGTTTGGAATATCGAACGCAAAGATGCTGCAGTTCGAACCGTCTTCCTGTTCGCGAATCCAAGGTTAGAACACAGAATCTCTCCCTTGAATAGAATAGCAACTAACCCTCCTCGTGCCATTGTGCAGTGTCCAGATAGATTCGTCGACATCGACACGATCGCCAAAGCTGTATGGGAAAGGGGGCCCGCTGGCAATGGCCGACGCCACCGCGGACTTGAGGAAGTCCATCTCAAGTCGCGCGTCTCAGTCGTAGTATTTGTAGTATCTCCAAGGGCAAGAGATATCCCAGCGCGTCTCCCAGGTTCAAAAAGTCGCGTTCGTCAATGTCGGGACCTTCCCCAAGTTTACGAAGGCTGCTGATAGATCCCCCGCGATAACATGTGTCAACTCCCAAAAGCTCTTATCGATAAGCCCGCCTAGTCTACTACGTAGTCCCCAGCACCTTGACTGCAGCTCGCGCCGACTTCTGCACCTTGATACGGATACACTTTTGATCTCTTTGCTCCGTGTTTTCATCAAACATGTGGTCTAGCAGGCGACGCGCGCTTATACACGTCTCTGTTGCCTTGCCACAGCCATCGTCGCTTTAACACGCGGATAGACCGCAACTGAACACGAGATGCATCATCTTGACGCGCCTACGACGACACGGCATCTCAGATTCCTCAGACCAGCGCGCACGAAGCAGTTGGACGAGACAGAGATAACCAATTCTGCACTCAATCTGTAAGCCTCATCTCTTTTCTTTTCCACAAACCACCTACACGCCCAATGATGAATATGGTAAAAGGTCTGACGCATCGGAACCTTCTGGGTACCATCTTCTTCTCTCCTCATCCGCGCAAAGCGAGACAGTCCTCTTCTTCATGATTGTCCTCGCTTTCCGGCATCTAGCGAGCCCAGACCTCCATGCACCCCCATGAGGTCTGGGCGAATGATCACCGATCATATCAGCACGATCGCACAATGGAGTTTGCTTCTACGGTTGCCTCCACGGATCCAGACCAAAGGCCGCGATCTACAGCCTGCACATTTTGTGTTTAGGCTTTGGCGGAGCCAGGGCGAGAGAGAGCATGGTAACCGCTGTTTGTTCCGCGAGTGAAGTCGATTCTCAAGAAACTGAAAAGATCTGAACAATGGGCACCACATGGCATATTTCACTTGTACATGCTTTGGTGGCACAAGGCTAACTTTGACTCTGTTAGAATGCATTCACTCTGCCCAAGTGTCCGAATGGATCTGTACGTACATATCAATTAATGATCGCGGCAGATGGCACCCAGTTGCTGGCCTTTAATGCAACGAGCATCGAGTGTGCAATCCGTAATATAACATGCGCTCTTGGTAGTGGGTATTATCTCATTGAAATCTAAACTCTAGCTACATGTAACAGATAATGCTTTTTGCCACCAAATGACCTATCCAAAAACGCCACTTCGCGCAGTTCCCATGTAACATGACCTAAATACCCTTGGACAACAAGTTCAACGCGCTGCCAGCGAGAATGAAGCCAGCCTGGTCCTCGGTGATGGCATGCTTGGTGGGGATGAGCTTCTCCTCGCCATTCCCCCTCTTGACCTTGATCTGCACGCTGCCCTTTCCGCCGTTCTGGAGCATTTCGTAGAGGCCAACGGTGGACACCTCGTCGCCAGCCGAGATGAGGTCGTAGTCGGCCTCATTCTCAAAGGTCAGTGGCACGACGCCCTGCTTCTTGAGGTTCGTCTCGTGGATACGGGCGAAGCTCTTGACGAGCACGATGCGGGCACCGAGGTAGCGCGGCTGCAGAGCAGCGTGCTCACGGGCAGAGCCCTCGCCATAGTTGTGCTCTGCGACCACGAGCCACTCCCTACCGGCATCCTTCCATCGCTGTCCGAGTTCGGGGATGGTGTGCTTGCTGCCATCGAGGTCGTAGGCGACATTGACCTCACCCGTCTCGGCGTTGATGGCGGTGTTGAGGGTGTTTGTGCTGATGTTGGGCAGATGACCCTTGTACTTGAGCCAGGGGCCGGCTGCCGAGATTGTGTCGGTGGTGCACTTGCCCGTGATCTTGACGAGCACGCGAAGGCCGGAAAGATCAGACTGAGGGAAAGGAGGAAAGGGTTCGAGGAAGGCGAGGCGGTCGGAGGTGGGTGAGATGGCAATCTCAGCGGAGGGATCGGCAGGCTGGGACAAGACGCCTAGAGATGGGTTGCCGGACTCGAAAGGTGTCTGAGGACCCTCGAGACCGTGAGGCGGGCTGAACTTGAAGTCCTTGCCGTCGGGCGTCTTGAGAGCATCAGTCATAGGGTTGAAGGTTGTCGAACCAGCAAAGGCCATGGCGGTGACGATCTCGGGCGAGGCGAGGAAGTTCATGGTCTCGGGGTTGCCGTCGTTACGGCCGCGGAAATTGCGGTTGTAGGAAGTGAGAATGGCGTTGGAGGTGCCCTTCTCGACACCGTCATGGCGCTGCCACTGTCCGATGCAAGGACCGCATGCGTTGGATAGGAGGATGCCGCCAGCACCCTCAATGGTCTGCAGGGTACCGTCGCGCTCGAGAGTTGCACGGATCTGTTCGCTACCAGGGGTCACGTAGAAGTCAGAGGCAGGCTTGAGGCCAGCGTTAGCAGCCTGCTTCAAGAGACTCTCGACACGGGTCATGTCTTCGTAGGAGCTGTTGGTGCAGCTGCCAATGAGGCCAGCAGAAAGAGACTCGGGCCACTTCTGCTCCTTGACGGTGGCTTTGAACTTGGACAGAGGAGTGGCCAGATCCGGGGTGAAAGGGCCATTGATGTGGGGCTCCAGCTGGGAGAGGTCGATCTTGATGACACGGTCGTACTCGGCACCCTCGTCAGCCTTGAATTGGAAGTAGGCGTCCTTGTCGGCGCCGGCGCCCGGGAAGTTCTGAAGGGTCTCGACGTTTTGCGCAGCCTGTCCCCGGCTCGTGGCGCGCAGGTAGCGTGCAGAGGCCTCGGTGTAGGGGAAGATGGACGTTGTGGCACCGACCTCGGCGCCCATGTTGCACGCAGTAGCCATTCCTGTGAGGCTGAGCGTGTCGACACCAGGACCAAAGTACTCGATGATGGAGCCAGTACCACCACGGACGGTTAGCTCGCCAGCAAGACGCAGGATCACGTCCTTGGGGGCGACCCAGGGGTCGAGCTTGCCAATTAGCTCCACGCCGAGGACCTTGGGTGCCTTCAGCTCCCAAGGGGCGCCAACGAGGGCCTCAACCGCATCAGCACCGCCAACACCAATCGTAATTGTGGTCAACCCTCCAGCGTTCGGGCTGTGACTATCGGTACCAAGCATCATCAGACCAGGCAAGGCGTAGTTTTCCAAGACGGTCTGGTGAATGATGCCAGCGCCAGGAGGCCAGAAGTCCATGCCATATTTGCGCGCTGCCGATTCGAGGAAGTCGAAGACCTCCTTGTTCGTCTGAATGCCAGCCTCGAGATCGTCCTCGGCGCCCTTGGATCCGACAATCAAGTGGTCGCAGTGGATGCTGGCAGGGATAGCCGGTCGTTCGAGGTTACAGGACATGAACTGTAGAAGAGCCATCTGCGCCGAGGCGTCTTGCATGTTGACGCGGTCGGGGTTGAGACGCAGATTAGCCTTGCCACGGATGTCGCGCCCATTGTTCGTGTTGTTCAGGAGTGACTCCTCTACATTGTGCAGGTGGCTGTAGAGGATCTTCTCGGCCAGCGTTAAGCGCTGCTTGCCCAAGACACGTCGGACTTCCGTATACTTGTTGAAGAGCTTCTCGTATGTCGGCGGTAGGGAGTGGGCGGAGGACAGGTGTCGTCGGCTCGAGTTGGACGTTGTGAGAGCAGATTGACGCGCTGCTCCGAGGCCGGCGCGGTTGCGCAAGGCTTGCTAGGGCAGTCAGTCCCGACTTTTGAAGAGATTTTTGAGCACACATACTGCCATGGCACCGCCAGCGCGGCCGGTAAGATGAATGGACGCCATTTTGCCGTCTCAACGATCGCAAACACTCGTGGAGTTTCTGGGGAAGATTGGACTTGGTGGGATTTTTTGGCTTTTGGTGGTCGGGATCAGCCTCGTAATCCTGGCGTCGCGATTGGTCGGGTGGTCGGGATATATGGGGCGTCTTTCCGATGCTCGGCTGTATCACTATGACCGAGGTCAATGGAAAAGGTGCGCGGAATAACAAGCTCATAAGTAGTTCGCAAGTACTCTCGAAATTAATTAAAGTCCTAATTCATATCTGAAGACCCTACAATTGAAGATTAAGATTAGATAGTGTGTGGTTGCCGACTGGACAGCGGAGACAATCTGTCTGGACTCTGTCCAGAGCCTCTGGCGACTCGCATGTTTTGATTCGGAGCCCCTGAATTGCCACACCGTCACGACTCACTGCTGGGAATGAATTGGCCCAGTTTACTCCTCGCACAAATTCAATGCTCAACAAGTCCCATCAGAGCACATCCCTCTACTTGACACTTTACTTCACGTCAAATGTCTCTTCTGTCCACCCATAGCGTCTGCGCAAATCCTTTGCGATATGCAGGGTCTTGCGTCCCTCCATGTGTGCCTTGTGTGGCCTGTGGGCGATGAGTGCTCGAACAGGGCCCATGCTCTCGGGCGGGATGAAAGCCAAGATCGAGCCGCCGTTCGGTATGACGGAGAACCCTAGTTCCGTCATAGCAGCTTCAAATGCTGACCAGCTCACCGAAGGCCGATGCACAGCCTTGCAGAAGATGTCTGTGAACGTTTTAGCGGTTGTTGCGCTGACGCTGATCTTGATACAAGGCGTTGACTCTGGTTTGGTGCCGCTCGCATCATCGAGTTCACGCTTCGAAGGCCTGGTCTCAGCGCTGTTGGGGGTGGACAAAGTCGACTGCGCAGGTCGAGTCTTCGTCTTCTCTCGTCGCGGTGAAGTATCAAACGCTCGTGTCGGCTCATCTATACCAGGCCATGGAATGAACGGTCCCTTTTGCAATTCGGGCCCGGTAGGTGGGATAGGCTGCGCGGCTGTCTTGCTGGGCATGCGTGTGGGCTGTTCGCTTTGAAGAGGGTTGTTCATGTGTTTGGCTGGGCATTCGGACTCTGCTTCGTGGTGCAGCTCCTGCGGACAGTGCTCATCTTCTGGTGGCGCTTTCTGGCTGAGTATCTCTCCCTCGCCCTGGACTTGGATGTCCGTTTTCTTGGGAGCAGCCGGCTTGCTACCCTCCACAGCCTCCCAATGCACTGTAGCCAGCGCGGACAAGCAATCCTCGACCAGATCAAAGTACACATCGTCCAAAGACGTCCCGTACTTGTCCGCGTACAGGCCCTCAATCGTATTGATGGCTTGCTTCGCAACTTCTGGCTTATTGAGTCGGTATGAGGGCTTCGCAAACGCCATCTTGCTGGCCTTGGCCTCGAGAGCCACAAACTCGGTTTCCAGCTCATAAAATCGCGAAAGGAACAGAAGTCCCTTTTTGCGGGAAGGCGAGGGCATAGGGATGTAGGCGCGCAGTGATACCTCAAGCCTGGCGCTGACGTAGAGATGCTGAACCAGTGCGCGCAGCGGTGATGGCAGGTCGCTCAGCGTTGAATTCTTTGTTGGCATGCCATCTACAGATGGTGCGACGAATTTTCGCATCCAGTACGCGACGTGGTATGCGTCTGCTCCCGTTTCGCAGGCGTTCAGAAGCCATAGTCTCGGGTCATTGGGACTAAGCTCTGCCCTGGGGTCCCCGACCATTCGGTGTCGGTAGTTGCCCAATTTGTCGGGTACATCGGAGACGCGCTCGAACCAGGCCCTGCCGAGGCCTGTCTGGAAGAGGCGGGTGACCAGCGCCTTGTCTGCTCGGAAAGTAAGGTCGCACATATTTGCCAGCTCCTGAAGCAGCTGGGTCCGATACGTTGTCGGCATGTCTCTGCGCAGATCGCTGAGGAGGTTCACAATGTATGTCCAAGCGGCATCGACCTTAGCAGCACGCTGCAGAGCTTCCAAGACGCCAACACTGCAGTCGTTGTGCAGATTACTCCCATGGGAAGAGACTTCCTTTCCGGATACAACGCCGGCTTTGCTTTTCGTATAGAAGCCTGCAATCGCGCACAAAGCCTTGGGGTTGCACCGCAAGAAATAGCAATGTTGCCTGTTATAGCTCGCCTGTTCAGCCGCCATGTCAACGAGACTTTTCAGTTGAGTCGAGTCCCGTTTCACGCTTTTCAAGGATGCTTTGAAATCCTCAAAAGACTCGTTCAGATCCACGAGGAGCCCTTCCGAGGGGTCTTCTACGATTGGACGAAGCACAAGGGGCAGATCCGGTGGCTCAGACGGCTGGAGCTCGCGGTCAGGAAGGACTCGCCTCCAAATGACATACAGCCATGTAAACAAGACCGCTTGCCTCATATAGACCACGGTTTTGGCCACGATTGTGGATTTGGGGTTGGCGTTTGCGAACATGCCGTGGCACGCCGTGCGGATATTGCCAGGGCATAGACCAGGCGCAGCTTCGAGAGGATCGCTGACTATCCCTGACACGACTTGAATGCTAGATTCTATGCCTTCAATTTCAGGGAGCTCCTGGACCAGCTCGAGATCACTATTGGCGCCAGTGGCAGAGCGTTCTAGGAGCTGCTGCTCCGGCGTCGTCGAGGCTCGATGCCTGAATATGTTGATGAGGGTTTCCGGAGTGCCTCGCACAATTGCTTCCAGACCAATATCCGGCCATAGAGGTGCATGTCTCCAAAGAAATTTGTATGGTCCAGGCAATTCGTTTTCGCAGGCCTCGATACTCATCTCGTAGATTTGCAGTCGCTCATCCGCATTGAAGGCTCTCCAGGCCTGATCAAACTCGCCCCCCTGTTGCTTGTAGCTCAGTGTTAGCCAGTCCGCCATGGGCTGCAGGTCCTCCACAAGCTTGGCGGCGAGGCAGTCCATGCTGGCGATTTGATGTCGTAACAATCAGCGGTAACTGGCGCCAAAGTAGAGGACGACGACGACGACGACGACGACAGAAAAGTGCTGATGAAGAAAAGTTTTGTCCGGAAAGAGTGCGAAGATTGGAGTTTTTATCAGTCGACATGTTTACAGGCCAGAAAACGCCCACTTGGCTGCCTCTGAACAAAGCAGTCTCATGTGACACAAGTCCATCATTCAGACGGGAGCTCACCTAAAGGTTGAATGCGCTGCCTCATACTTCAGGTGAAGGACAAGTCACTCAAAGGTCAGGCTTTGACTGTTCATTGAGGCCTGGCTGAGATCCAAGAGTTGAGTTGAAACTTGCGGACATTGCGATCGCTCAATGTTTGGACATGATAGTGATGAACCCATCACCTGAGAATAAGTAGCCCTTTATTTCGCGACATCGTTACTCTACAATGCTATCCACAAATGATCCCATGAACCTCCTGATATCTAGCCTAGAAAGCCCTTGTTACGCCGTCCGCATCGTCGAGCCAGAGTGTCGCCAAATCTTTGGCCAAGCCCAACCTCAAACCACGAAGCACATCTTCCGCCTTGGTCGTCGCGCTAAAGCTCTTTCTCCAATCCCAGCCCCTTTGGATCTTGCCGCCCGACGAGGAGACAGACTTGTGCATATGATTTGCGAGCACGGAGCTACCGGTCATGACATAGCTGCCGCCGCTGAGCGAGCTCGTAGACTTGAGTAGATCAGCGGGCGTGGACCCCTTGAGGCCTTGCGCTGATGAAAGCACGAGGTTGAAGAATTCGTCGCAAGTATCGTAGATCCTCGACCCGACGGTCTGAATATCCTCAATAGCCTTGAGTAAAATGTCCATCTGCTCCAGAGTGATGATTGTTGGTCGCTGATTGACAAACACGGTTGCCTCGCCTAGCAGCGCCAGCAGAAAGTCCTCGCTGACGACCGCGTCCCTCGATTCATCGTACAGACCGCCTCGGATGTTGTCGTCCGCGCTAGAAACGACAGCCACCAAGGCCGATGCAGCTTGCCGCTTGATCGAGACAAGTTTGTTCGTTGGCAAATTGCCGGACTTTTGCTGGTCCCGCAACTCGTAGAATTTGCGCAGCGTGGCATACCCACTGAGCATGCGTCCGAGGAGCTGAGCGGCCTCCAGGTCCTGTTTGGCACGCTGCTCCAGGGTTTGTGTACGATTTTCTAGTAGATTCCGGAGTTCCTTGTCGAGATCTTTGGTCGCGGGGTATGCCGTCGATTGAACCAGTGAATAAGACATGAGAAGGTTAAGCACTTCCCGTACTTTGTCGGTTCGGTGGGAAAGCGCGTAGTACCACAGAGCTTCGCCGTAACGGTGTGACTGGGTAGACAGTGTGTCCGCAAAGGTCTACACATGTCAGCATTGTCTCGTCTCGTCAGCCAGCGGGCTGCTTACCTCTGCCGTCTCCTCGGCGTAATTGATCATGCCAAGGTCATTCAAAATCCCCCACATTTTGTCCACCGTGGGCCCAGAGTGCTCGTCCAGTGTCTCCAGAATGTCTTTCAGTAGCTCCCCGACGATTTGCTCCGACTTCTCAGGGACGTCCATCCGGCCAAGGACTTGAATAGCCATCTCCCATCCCTCTCGGCGCGGCGAGAGCTGCTCAATGCCTGCCAGATCTCGTGCGTACTTCTCCAGCGTATCATCCTTCATCCCCAGCATCTCCTCAGGACCTGGTTGGGAGATGTTGAGCAGCGCCAAGTCCTCCATATCCAGCGCATCAAAGGCCAACGGCCTCGTAGACTCGACAGGTGGTAGCCAGCCGCCCAGGGCGGCAACCTCGGCAACAGCGCACGCCAGGGGTAGTGACCATGTGCGCAGAATTCCAATGGCCGCGTTGATATTGTTCTCAAAGACCGATGCGACGGCAACCTCCACTGGGTTCATCGCGTTGGGAATCAGATCCGACTGCAGTACGGTATGGAATGAATCTGCCAGACGCTCAAAGTACTCATCGCTGTTGCCCAGCTTGGATGTGGTCTGCAGGCTCTGGGACTGCGTGAGGCGCAAACTCCTAGGGCGCTGATTTCCTTGATCCCACCAGCAGACCATGCCGACAGTCGCTTCGCACCAATCCTCGGCTGTTCCCAGAATCGCCTCAGCATCGCCAAGCAGGATGCTGTGGATAATCTGTAGATTCTCGTAAATGTCCCAAGGCAGCTTGCTCGTTGCCTTCCGCGCCATCGTGGATAGACTTTCTCGGTTGTAGCCTTCATGATCTGCGAAAGTCTGGTCTTGTCCCTCAGCAAAGAGAGTCATCTTGTCGAGTGCGCCCCGGGTCTGGATCCTGAAAAGAGTCCATCGGCTGTTGAAAATGTCCCAGTCGTTGTTTTCCGAGGGGCACTGCTCCAAGAGCTCGCAGGTCTTCTGTGTAAAAGCCTTCACGTGCTCTAGCGCTTGCCCCGTGTAGACGCGCTCCCTCCTGATGTTGCGGACTTGCTCCCAGCCAGCGTTTCTCAACAGCCCAAGGGCAGCCTGTACGTCACCGCGCAACAGGCTGTTCTGTACCGTTTGCCAATATACGCTATGGCTAGCCGGGCTGGGCTTGTGACGCATCACTACGTCCACTTGCTGCTGGTGCGGGTCGTAGCTGCAGTCGTGTAGCCAGTGGAGTAGCACGCCAGGAAGTGGCTGGATCTTCTCTTCGTCCGAATCATCCATGAACCTCGTGTGGTGCAGTCGAAGCAGCAGTTGTGCCACGTACTGTGCTTTCTCAAACGGCTGAGCGCCAGATCCTGGGCCCACACCAGCCAACTCCTCCTGAGGCTTCTCGAGTGTATTGACATGGTCGCTCCAAAGCTTGACCAGGCGATAGCTGATGTTGGCAAGCGAGTTGTCCAGCTTCTCAGCGTCGTCATCCGCACCAATGCCCTCGTCGTAGAGTCGGCAGACAAGATCCTCGGTCTTCAGAATCAGCTCATTGGGTTCGCTAAGCGGCGCAACCTCTGCGTGCGCATAAAAGTCCTTGGCTATGGAGCCATACTCGAATGCACGACCCGCGCCGCTGCCACGGCGCATGGACGAACGGCGCAGGAGATCCTGTGCTTCCTTTCGCATCGTCTTGGTCGCTGCGGGCGTATTGAGCATCATGAGGTCCTCGTCGGCTTCGCCTATGGCAGCCTGTCCATATTTCCTGTCGTCGTGTCGCAAGTTCATGAAGATGTCGTCCTCGCTGCCTTCCGCATCCTCCTCCATGTCGAATTCGGCAGTACGGGGGACCTCGTCGTGGTCTGAGTCGCCATCGTCCTCTTCTTCTTCTTCATGATCAAACCCCAAGTCCTGCTCGATAAGCTGGTCGAGTTCGTCATCGACTGAATGTCCAAACGCGCCGCCCTTGCTCTGCCCAAGCGTTGATCTGAACAGGCCACGCGGCTCATCATCGTAGTCAATATCCTCCTCGCCCTCTGCATCCTCCTCCACAGCTTCCTCGTTGTCGTCTTGTGGTTCGACGTCGCCAAGGCTGAACTGCCTACTCAACCCGGATGGCTGCCTCTGCGGATTTCGTATCGATCGACCCAGCGGCGCGTTGGATCTATTATTCTGTGTGCCAAAGAGCTTCCTTCCTGGAGCGGGACCAGGCTGGGACATTGCGCTGTCGCCAAAGTTGACCGGCTTCGAGCTCGTCACCCCGCGCATAATGGAACTACCAAGATACGAATCTGAGGGCGCGCCGGCGGGCGTGAATGAGCCTGCGGAGGATGGCGGTGGTGGGCCAGCAGGCGTTGTGGATGGGTGACCAAAGACGGAGCCACCACGGATCTTTGGGGTCTTTGCAGGCGTTGAAGGCGCCGGGCTGCTCGGCGGGCTCGAGTCGGGGACAATGAACCGGGACGCCATGATGGGATGTGACAATGTGGTGGTGCTGTGGTGTAGAGTCGGTTGCCGCCGGCTGCACTGCAGCCGCCTCTACGTCTGTCGCAATTGATGAATGGGATGCGCAAGGTCGTCAAATTCAATCTCGTTATTCAGGCGCGTACGTTTTGATTGATGCTTTGTGATGGATGCGGTGGTCGTAACGGCGTGCTCGCATTGATTGTCACCTCAAACAAAGATCGAGCTGAACGCGCTCTGGAAATTCTGAAGCTGGGCAGCCGCCGTCGCGACGCAACACCTAGCCTCACCCGAGGATCAGCCGGCTGTGATAGGAACATCCGTCGCGCTCATCTCTTCGTCCCGACAATTGGAGAAATGTAGAGAAATGTGATAAACAATCGTCAAGTTCGAACGAGCTCAAGGACTATTAGCCAGTCATTGCCAATTTCCTGACAGCACGATATATCTAACTGTCCAAAGGACAAGGGGTGGCTACGCCCGTCACTGTGCTCCAACTTGCGATCAAATGGTCGTAGACGGCCATTGGAGAAGATGGGAATTCTGTCCATCTGCAAGGCATACTCATAGTATCCGTTGGTAAGCTATATTTGGAGGCCGTTGTGAAACCTCAACGGCAACCAGGAAGCGTAGTACTTCAGCTCTCATTTTGACGTTGTGCCTCCCAAGCGTATTCCTCTCGTGGCACTGGAAACATGACTTCGCCCATAATTCGGCATCCGCAGTATCATTTGAGTCACTGGCCGTGAACAGCTCCAGGCCGTATCGTAACAACCCAAGCTAATTGACCAATGACTTATGGTCATCCGCGGATAAGAGTCCCTAGGACGGACAACGGGCGCCGACACCGACGGTCACAAACTAAGATTTGGAGACGATGCATGCTGTGATTGGCCCTCGCGGCTCTCATGACTTTTTCCGGAAAGAATAAAAGTTACAGATCATAGCTAGCCTGCAGCTGTGGGGACGGCGCAACGGTATTCGTCTCCTTGCCTGTTAATTGTTACACCGTGGCGCGCCTTGGACGTCGAGCTTGCTGCCCCTCCCGCGGCGGGGTAGCTTCCAAAACTCCTCTCGGAGTCGTTCGGGGATCGGGGTCAAGTCAGTCTAGCGGAGACAGTGTCGTCACGCCAAAGTCATTACGATCGTTCTCTCTGCAGCTATCAGCCGCTGATTCCAGCTCCGTGCTCTGACCAGAACTTTGTTCAAACTTCTCACTCTCACACATTCACACGAGCATCATGTCTGAAACTGCTGGAAAGGTCAGTCGCTCGCAATCAGTCAATGGTGCACGTCACTGCTGTGCTGCGCTGCCATCGACGCTGCCCCTCACGCGGTTGGAAACCCGATCATGACATGAGCTGACGCTGAGAACCAGACTATCACCTGCAAGGCCGCCGTGGCCTGGGAGGCTGGCAAGGACCTCACCATCGAGGACATTGAGGTCGCGCCCCCCAAGGCGCACGAGGTGCGAATCCAGATTCACTACACTGGCGTCTGCCACACGGGTACGGTCCGCGTCCGAAGATCGATCGAGACTCTTGAATACTGAGACGTGACAGATGCCTACACACTGTCCGGCAAGGATCCCGAGGGTGCCTTCCCCATCGTGCTCGGTCACGAGGGTGCCGGTATCGTCGAGTCGGTCGGCGAGGGTGTCACCAACGTCAAGCCCGGCGACCATGTTGTTGCGCTCTAGTATGAACCCCATTGTAGCCATATTGATGCGAGTTTAGTTCGCTGACCAGGGATGGATATAGCACCCCCGAGTGCATGGAGTGCAAGTTCTGCAAGTCTGGCAAGACCAACCTTTGCGGCAAGATCCGCGCCACCCAGGGCAAGGGAGTGATGCCTGACGGGACGTCGCGCTTCAAGTGCAAGGGCAAGGACCTGCTGCACTTTATGGGCACATCCACCTTTTCCCAGTACACCGTCGTCGCCGACATCTCGGTTGTTGCCGTGCAAGAGGATGCCCCCATGGACCGCACATGCCTGCTGGGCTGTGGCATCACCACCGGATACGGTGCGGCCCGTGTGACGGCCAACGTCGAGGAGGGCTCCAACATTGCCATCTTCGGTGCTGGCTGCGTCGGTCTGTCGGTCATCCAGGGCGCGCTGATCAACAAGGCCGGGCGCATCATTGTGGTGGACGTGAACCCGTCCAAGGAGGAGTGGTCCAAGAAGTTTGGCGCCACCGACTTTGTCAACCCCAACGACCTCAAGGGGCAGTCCATTCAGGAGAAGCTCATCGAGATGACCGACGGTGGCTGCGACTACACCTTCGACTGCACGGGCAACGTTAACGTCATGCGCGCCGCCCTCGAGGCGTGCCACAAGGGCTGGGGCCAGAGCATCATCATCGGCGTCGCGGCGGCCGGCCAGGAGATCTCGACGAGGCCATTCCAGCTCGTCACGGGCCGCGTCTGGAAGGGCTGCGCCTTTGGCGGCATCAAGGGTCGCTCGCAGATGCGCGACCTAGTCGCCGACTACCAAAAGGGCGCGCTCAAGGTGGACGAGTTCATCACCCACCGCAAGACGCTCGGTGGCATGAACAATGCGTTCGAGACGATGAAGGACGGCGACTGCATCCGCGCCGTGGTGGACATGCGCACCCTGTAGAATGTAGTAGACAGTCGTGGATGGTTGGTTTGAGGAGTTTGGGGGACAGTAAAAGGTTCCTTACGCAGATTGAGGTTTAGGGATGTACATCGAACTATATGCATGACACGAAGTACCTTGATGGCCTGTTACGCTTGCGATCCACCACTTGTAAGTGCAGTGATGTAAACGTGATGTATTGATCGGCCTCGTGACTCCAAGTTCCAAATGTACGCGGGGATGTCATTGATGTACTGGTCTTTTGTGGTGGGTGGCCACGCGACGTGTTGGTTAAGATGGAAGACTGTGTTGTACAGGAAGACCTCTTTTGAAGAACACTACCATCTCCTGCCCAACACAGAGTTTGCAAGCCAAGACTATTGAAGCTTTAGTGTAGGAAAGCGTTTGCATTTGTCCTACACAGCTGACAAGATCTTCAACTCGATCTTTCCAGAGCAATTCCACCTCGACGCAGTGGTGTAGGGTATGCCTGTCAAAGCTAGATTCAAGAGTCAAGACCTGGTCACCAGCCAATGGGGACAACGCCGACACCGGTTCACCAGAGGATTCGAGCTCATGCAGGGACCCTGTATGCCCCCAGGCTTGGCATCATCGGGCCTTGATTGTCAGACTCCTTCATCTGCAAAGGGCATTCGACGCTTGCTACCTCAGGCGCTTTATCAACAGATTTCGCCCGGACGATGCGCACTTCCAGAGCGTCCAGGGACGCTAGCAAGCTCTTTGGCAGAGCAACCGGATCCTTTTCACCGCCGCGGCGTACGACGCGCTCTTCCCTAGCCCGATTCGCGTACGCAACACCCTCGACCACGACGGACGACAATGCGACGCCCGATATTGAAGATGCGGTTGCCACGCCCGCGCGTAAACGACGTCGGGTGACAGAGACGAGCACCGTCAAGACATCACCAAGCTCCACGAGTGTCAAGGCGAACATTGAAGACGTGAAGGAGGAAGAAGAGACCAAGTCGCCAGTCAAGCGGGCCCGGAAGCCTGCGAGGAAGACCACAGCTCCCAATGGCGAGACGACGGTGTCTCCGCCGTCAGACTGGGAGGAGATGTTCGAGACAGTGCGTGCGATGCGCGCGCCGGGCGGTGCAGCTGCCAATGCCGCCGTCGACACAATGGGCTGCGAACGACTGACCGACACCAGTGCCTCGCCGCGCGACCAGAGATTTCACACGCTCATTGCGCTCATGCTGTCGAGCCAGACAAAGGACACGGTCAATGCCGTGGCGATGGCGCGACTCAAGACGGAACTGCCGCCCTGGAAGGAGGGAGAGCCCTTTGGACTCAACTTGGAGAATGTACTGGCCGTGGAACCGGATGTGCTGAACAAAATGATATGGGCGGTGGGGTTTCATAACAACAAGACAAAGTAAGATTCTGAGTGCTAGTATCACCCGCAACAGCCTAACACGGTGGCAGGTACATCAAGCAGACGGCCGAGATTCTACGCGACAGATTCAATGGCGATATCCCCGACACGATCGAAGGCTTGGTCTCTCTGCCCGGCGTGGGTCCGAAAATGGGCTATCTCTGTCTCTCCGCGGCGTGGGATCGCACCGAGGGCATTGGCGTCGATGTCCACGTCCATCGCATCACAAATCTGTGGGGGTGGAACAAGACGAACAACCCAGAGGCGACGCGCGCCAGCCTGGAGTCGTGGTTGCCCAAGGACAAATGGCGCGACATCAATCACATGCTCGTGGGCCTGGGCCAGACAATCTGTCTCCCGCAAGGTCGTAAATGCGGCGAATGCGATCTCGGGCTTCGAGGTCTGTGCAAGGCCGCCGAGCGCAAGAAGGTGATGGAGGGCCGGAGGGTCAAGGAGGAGCGATTGAAGTGGGAGGGAGACACCGTCAAGGTGGAAACCCGATTGAAGGAGGAAATCGCCGTCAAGGAAGAGGTCGTCAATGAGGATGTCAAGATCAAACTGGAGGAGGCGCCGGAGGCGAGTTGACGATCCCTGCGGGAGGGGGATTGTCGCTATCGCGACTCGAGCAACGTCTGCTCACGAGACCAACAACGACAAGGCAGCGTCAATCAAGGGTCCGGAGAGAGCTCCACTATCATGCGCACTGCATGCAGTGCGTCGCTCCACAACACACCGCCGGGGGAGTCTGTCCATGAAGAGTAAAGTGAGGACAATGCGCATTCACGAGACAACCATGGTCGACCAAAGGGGCCACGTCGTGCATGCAGCATAATAGTTTGCTGGCATGTGGAATGCAGCCGTACCTAACGAACTGTCGAGACAGATGGCTGCACGCACCGCCAATCCGTGATGGTGACGGTGGTCGGTATCTCGATGATCCGACGACGGCATCCACGGATTGGGGGGACGGGATGCTTGCTGGCAGCAAGCGCCATTGGCAGTCGGTAGCGAACGTGGCTAGCTGAGGGTCGAGTCTGGAGTTCCTTGGACAATCCACTAATCAATAATTAGGCCAAGGCATCGGTCTTTTGGACTGCAGTCGAGATTCCGCGCTCACCACGACGACAGGAGGGTGGGCCCGCGACTCACGTCATGCGCAAAGTCCAGTCTGGTCGCTGCCACCAGACGCTGCCTGCCAGGCCCTTGTGGCGAGGCGCCTCGAACCCATGCATCCGCCCGCCGTCACCGCTTCTCCCGCCCTCGCACAATCAATCCCCAACATTGACGGGGGCGGCGCCAATGGGAACTCAACAAGCATTGTGTAACGATGAGATGGTCATGTAAATGCGATATAGAACAATAGATATGCTACCAACCGCGCGCCTCCGAAACGCCCGGTATCCGTAGAGAAATAAGCAACCGAACGATCCTATGATACAACGTCCTGCTCACGCCGCCGATTGCGCCGTTCCGGCTCCATATGCCTTGTGATGATAATGATGATGAATGTCCGTGGCCTGCCGAAATAGAAAGGCCTTCTGATTAACTCGCTTGTCGCGCCGAAATTGAATAGGACCGTGAACAGTCTAGAATGATCGACCTGGGCCGGACCACTTGCGTCTGTAGTAGCACAGCCGTGCTTGCATGTGTGTGGTGGTGATGCAAGACTGCCTCTTCACACGCCGCGGATGACCTGGGTGCGCTCGGACTCGAGTTGGGCGGCGTTTCGCTCGTGGGACTGCTTCTTGCACTGCGGATTGTTAGTGTCATGACGCTTATCAGGAGGCAGAGAGAACAAAGGGTACGTACGTCTTCGAGGCCGCTGCACTTGTGGTCTTCCAAGAGGCGGTGCTTGCCACAGAAATGCCCGTTGCAGAAGCCGCAGTCGCCGACAATCCGCTGGGCAGGCTCACGGCACTCCTTTGCGTTGCACCTGAGACGCTTGCCGGCCATGGTGGTGGAGCGGTTGGTTGAAGGAGGTGGCGGTAGGTGTCGGTAGTAGGAGCCGTGGGGGGACCGATAGGCGCAGTGTGATGTGGTGATGAGACCGTCAAGGCGTCAAGAGGCGAGAGCAAGCAAGTTGAGGTCGGGATATCCAGGAGGAAGAATAGAGGATCAAGTTCAGGAGAGACAGTCGAGGATGGTTGAGGGAGTCAGGATCAAGGCTGCAAGCAACATGCGTCAGCTATCCCAGTGACCGACCGGGGGTGGGCGCCTTTATGAATGCGTGAAGCGAGCCGCCGGATGGGGGACGGATGACTGATGCGTCGACGCTTGCTGATTCAGGCACCATACATCCACCCCCCAACCAGCTCCGCGGCCGGCTCCAAGCCTTCCACAAGGTGGTGATTAGTCGCCAGCAGGCCGGCCGGCTCCAGATGGCCAAGCACGAACGTGACGATGGCGGCTGGGGCCTTGGTGGGCCTGGCCGGCACCTTGCCTCCAGGAAGCGTGTGGAACCACGAAGAGACACAGACGGACACTTGATGATTCCAACATGTGCATATGCATTCTTTGTCGATCTTGATTGGGAATCCACGGCAGCCGCGCACAGTTTTCACATCTCCTTCCCTCGACTTTGATTGCTGCTTGCTGTTTGCTGTCCAGAGTCACTACGTGTATACCGAGACGAGGCGTCATCAGCCGAGGTGCTCCGAAAGCGGTGGCGCGGGTGGATCTGGGACCTGGGTCATGGACTCGCCGCGAATCTGCAGATGAGGTTGGACCCTGAACTGCTGGCCCTTATCGTTCAACACGATGTGTTATCGTACGATCTGTTGACTGTTGTCCACCTTATCATTCGGAGCCATTTGCTGTCTGCAGCTGCACGGACAGCTGGGCGCCAGACGCAGGCGCACTGTTGGCGCAGCGCAGCGCTTGACTTGGCGACGAACTGCGAAGCGTGGAAGCGCTCAGCCTAATCTGCAATGGGCATGAGCACATCCAAGAGTCTGACAAAGCTGCTCAGATACTATTATGAGGTACCTGTACGGTCTTTTCTAATGTAGTATAATCGACCGCAAAGTTCCTCGACAATAGCATGTGTGAACTCCTCCTCGCTTGCTTGTCTGAGGCTGTAGTACGTACCGTAGCGTGCATGGCTGCATCTGCAACAAGGCCTTGGGTCGATGACGTTGGGCAGTCGTCGCAGCATCAACTGCATCGTATTTTCACAACAGGATCCTTGCTACCAATCCAACACATCAGGCGCTCACTTCCCACAATGGCGCTGACCAACGTCCCTCCGGCATACGCAGCCATTGGGCTCGTCCTATTGTTCCTCATTACTACCCTGACATCCTCTCGTGGGCCTCAGATCACGCGCAATGGCAAAGCATTACCGTATTTACCCTCACGAATTCCACTAGTCAACACGACAACAACTAAGACACCTGCAGAAAACCACCTAATACGCTACCTCTTGTCGGCAATGGCATCCTCTTTCTGAGGCCTCGCCAGGTCTTGTTCTCCTGGTTTACCAAGTGTATTCATCAACATGGGCACACCACCCTACAGATCAGCGTGCCATCCCTGCCGCCCGGCGTGATCATCTCTTCACCAGCTTGTCTAGACTACGTCTTCAAGCACGAGGGACTCTTTGAAAAGGGCAGCTTCTTCAAAGACAGGAGCTGGGACCTGTTTGGCAATGGCATCATCAACACCGACGGCGAGGCATGGCGAGTTCAGCGGAAAGCAGGGCTGGGATTCTTGAGCAAGAACAACCTCAGGATCCTCACCGACGTCGCGCTGCCCCGATTCCTGGAGGAGGCCTGCGAGACGCTGGACGTGGAGAAGGAGGTGGACCTCCAGGAGGTGATTCACGAGGTCACCACCCAGATCATGGGCCGGATGGCGTACGGACGGGAGATGCACGCGGGCGACGACTTTACGCAGGCCTTTGAGTACGCCTCGGGCAAGACGGCGGAGCGGTTCCAGAACCCGCTCTGGTGGTGCACCGAGATGGTCACGGGCCAGAAGCTGCGGCGATCCATCCGGTTGATCAAGCAGTACGGGGAGGACCTGGTGCGGAGCGCCATGACGGCGCGCGACAAGGGCGTGGCGGCGGACCAGGACGGCGTGGATGGCATCGCGGGCAGCCTGATCAACTCCCTGCTCGATGCGATTCAGGATGAGAAACTCGTGGCAGATTCGGCCTTGAATTATCTCAGCGCGGGGCGGGACACGGTGGCGCAAGCCTTGACGTGGACCTTTTACCTACTCATGCGGCACCCCTCCGTCACAGAAAAGCTTCGCGAAAGCCTGGAGGAGGACACTGCGGAATCACCGTACATCATAGCCGTCTTCTATGAGGTGCTGCGGCTGTATCCGCCCATACCCTTTGAGATCAAGCAGGCGCAACAGGAGACCACCCTGCCAGACGGGACGTATCTGCCCGCGACATCAGTGGTAGTGTGGTGCCCGTGGGCGATGAATCGGTCCGAGATCACCTGGGGTCCGGATGCGCCCGCCTTCAGACCGGAGAGATGGCTCAATGAGCATGGACATTTGATCAACCGGAACGCAGCCGAGTTCCCCGTCTTCAACGGCGGTGCGCGACTCTGTCTGGGTAAGAAGATGGCCGAGGTCATAGCCGTGCAGGTCATCACCTGCCTCGTGCCGCGATACGACTTTACCCCGGCATACACGGGGGAGAGGGTGAGCCGCAGTAGTCTGACGCTGCCGATGGAAGGGGGCCTCCCCGTGTTCCCAAAGCGAAGAAGAAGCAAAGAAGAAGAAGGGGTCAAGGGGGTATATTGAATAAAGTAGATTACGAATACCTAGTCGAACGTGATCTTGGACCCAGAAAAGGCCAGTTGCTTCTTCGCCTCCTTTGCCTTCTTGGCAGCCTCCCAACTCGGATGCAAAACTCCCGTGTCATCGCGCGTCTTTGGTTTCGGCGGCGGCTTCACTGGACGATCGGTGGTCGTGCTCCTGTCTCGCGGGGGGCCCCTGGCACCCTTCTTCCACGGCGTCCGTCGACCGCCGTCACCATCGACGGCACCCCGTTGCAGATCCCAGCCCGCGTCGCGGCCGCCCTTTTGTGCCTTTTGCTTGGCGAGGTGCTTCGCCTGGGCGCCGTACTTCTTCTCCGCAATGGCCTGGCGCTGCTTCTGGCCGAGTCGTTTCTTCGGCGGGGCAATGTCAATGTCCGACGCCGACTCGGAGCCGGACACGTAGCCGCCCATCAGGGAGGGCAGGAAGGCGGAGGATGTGGTAGGTTTTGGTGCCGGCGCAGCTTCCTTCTTGGCCTTTTTGGCTTTGGGTGGTGGAGGGGACGGGGATCTGGAGGCTTCGGGTGCCGTCACGTCGTCGACGTCGGATTCGGAGCCGGACGAGATGTCGTCGAGGTTGACTTTCTCGGTGCCCTTGAACCGCGCGATTGTGTCCGCGTCTAGTTCTGATTCGGAGTCTGATGAGCCACCCAGCAGGTGGTCGTACTTTGAGAGCTCATCCTCCTCCTCTCCGAGGTCGAGGTCATCCTCGTCGCTGCTCGCCTCTTCATCCATGTCTTTCTTCTTCGGCTTGGCATCAATCGCCGGCCCAGGTTCATCGAAATCGCTCTGGAACCCTTCAAAGTCTGTCACCTCCTCTTCATCTTCCTCCTCATCTGGTATATCAACCTCCTCCTCCACCTTGACCGTCTGCTTCTGGCCCTTTTTCGGCGGCGGCGGGACCTCTAACATGGCACACACGACCCGTATCGCCTCGTCCACGCTCGCCTTGACATCCTTCCTGTTGAAGAGGCCACTCGTCACGTTGTGCAGCGCCGTCTTCTCCTCGCCCTCGAGCTCCACCTTGGGCACGCCCCGTCGCAGCTCCTCCGGCAGGTCCCCCCGCGCGCTGATCGCCTTGACCTTGAGGAGGGACGAGGCCAGGTGGGCCTTGGCGGTGGTGTGGAGGTCAATGGTCTTGAGGACGGCGACTTCGCGCTCGAGACGGGTCTTTTTCTCGGGCGTGACGTCGGCGTCGCGAAGGCGCTTGGAGAGACGCTGGCGTTCGAAGCCCTTGGCGGTCTTGAGGGCGCGGGCGATGAGGGTCTCGTGTTTCTCGAGGACGTCTGGGAGGGTGAGCTCCGAAGCGCGCTTGCGTTTGGGCATGATGGGTGCGTGGGAGGGGCGGTGACTTGGTCTGAAAGTTGATGATGGTGATGCTGCGCGCTGGAAGAAATTTGGAGTCTGTAATTCTCGGGTGCGAATTGAGAAGCCACACTGTGACGATAGACGTCTTTGCACGGTGCACAAGACAGGCCTCGGTGTTGGTGGGGTGTATCCATCAGAGCGCGGGGCACGACCAAGAACATCATCATCAACTTCATTTCACAGGTCCATCCTCTTTCCATGTACATATTTTGTAAGATATAATATTAGCGGACCGAATCCTCTCATACAGTCAAGATGAGCTCCTCCAACGTCAGCAATGTCTCGGCATATGCGCTCTTCAACGTCAATGGCCTCGTCGCCCTCGTCACAGGTGGAGGCTCAGGTCAGTCCACGTGGACTCCAGCCGTGAGCCTGTTGCTCGTCTATTGAGCCCAGCACTGACAAATCCAAGGCATCGGGTACATGATTGCCAAAGCTCTCGCACACAACGGCGCCGCCAAGGTGTATATTGCCGGCCGTCGCCTGCCCCTGCTGGAGAAGGCCGCCGGGGAACTCGGCCCCAACGTGTCCCCGTTGCAATGCGACGTGACCTCCAAGGAAGAGCTCCAGCGCGCGGCCAAAACCATCGCAGATGACGCTGGCTACCTCAACCTCCTCGTGTGCAACTCTGGCATCGGTGGTCCGCAGGTGTCGCCTCTCACGCCCGAGACCAAGCTCGAGGACTGGGCGGACCAGAACTTTGCGCTCGACTTCGACGACTATGTCAACACATTCAAGGTCAATTCTGCGGCTGTCTGGTACACCACCATGGCGTTCCTCAAGCTCTTGGATCTGGGCAACCAAAAGGGCAACGTGACGCAGAGTTCGCAGGTCATCGTGACGAGCTCCATCGCCGCGTACAACAAGAAAGCCCCCGGCGGATGGGCGTACGGCCAGAGCAAGGCAGCGGCGACACTGGCCGTCAAGCAGCTCTCGGTGGCTCTGCCGCAATGGAACATTCGGTGAGCGCCTACCGTGAATGACACATTCTGCACGCTGATGACTGACACTGCACCAGGGCCAACTGCATAGCGCCAGGACGTACGTCGCAACTTCCCCGGACCTAACAGTGAGCGCGATAGCTGACGTGAACAGTCTTCCCAAGCGAAATGTCGGAGCCCATTGTGAAGCGCTACGCCGGTTCTTCAGGGACACCCGGCGCTGTCCCGACGTCCATGATCCCAATGGGGCGCATGGGCAGCGAGGAGGACATGGCCGGCACGCTGCTCTACTACGCCTCGCGCGCGGGCGCCTACACAAACGGCGATGTCATTGTGGTCGATGGCGGGCGCCTCAACACATTTCCCTGTGTCAACTAAGCGCGGCTGACCATGTCGTGTGCACGTCTGGTGGGACAAGATACATGTACACAGGGGCTGCTGCAGAGGAGTACCTCCCTCGCTAGGACGAGGCAGTCCCATACAAAATGGCGATGGCTTTGGGACACCGTCGTACATCAAGCAAAAGGTCTGCTGTCGGGTTGTTCGGCCTCTCTTGTTGATTCGCAGTTGGCGAAAGTCAGCTTCAGATGGACATAATAGTGCTCAAGCGTCATGCAGATTTCTAAACATGAGTGTTCGTCGGTTCGGGACACTTGCGAATGCCAGCGGTGTGTCCAGCTCCCAGTGAAGAGACGCCAACCCGGGAATTATCGGTTGTCGACGGTCGTTGTCGAGGCAGTAGTTCAGGGTCCAAGCTGAGCCCTCAGTATCATATTCGGCATCAGCGTCAGTCTATTTCATGTTCCTCAAATCTACTCATTTACGAAAGAAAAACACATAACTTCAAAAAAGTATATCTCAAATACATCACAGCGACCAAGGCTTGCTTGTTCTTGACGAGATGTCGAATCCGTCGTTCCGGCCGGACCCGTCTCCACCATAGCCGGCGTCCCGGAGCAGCTGCACTTGGACCGACCGGCATGCGTGTTAGTGGGTGCCAGGGTATCCTCGGCTTGGCTCGCTCGGCGTCTTGCAATTGTTGCCGCTCGGGGTCATGATCGAATCTCCGAACCTCTTTGAAACAATTCATCACTATTGAAAAGATGCATGTCGGATACGTGGCCGAGGACTTGCTGATGGATGAATGGTGGCCTTTGTGGACGCATGGGATGTGGAGGCAGGCGGACGGACGGACGGACGCACCAGATATGCATTGTAAGTTACGAGAGGAAAGGCACCAACCACAGCGGACTCGGATATTGTAGCACGGGTCAATTACCTGCCGTGCACACTGGCCTGCAGTGAACACATGCACCTCCATCGATCGAGCTTCCCAGTGTTACTGCTGTTGACTCCAGTTGTTCCGTCGACTCGGGGCTTCCCACAGGGACGTTGAAGGTGCACAAAGTGACCTTGCCATTTCGTCTTCCCCAACACTAGCACGCGTCCATCCATCAACATTCCCCGGGATCCGCCGTCTTTCATGGGGCGGTGATCCCCAATTTGAGGCGAGGACGATGGCCAGAACTCAAAATGGCCTGGCCCTCCTCGACCGCAACCCCGCACACAGTCACAGAGCCATCCAGGACATACGCAAGGCACGGCATCACTGAGCAACCCTCCTCTGCTCCGGGTGGTGTGCGAGGGCGCATCACGACTGGATGGCGTACCAAGGCCAGAGCGAATGCTACCTGCCACCGCGGTACTCCCACGGCCAATGCTCGGAATGGCTGAGAGGAGAGAGAGGAGAAGGGCGCGTGAAGCTCAGCTTTCCCCTCATGAATTACCTAGATAAATGAGATCATGCGTGGCCTCCTCTTCGTCTTCTTCATTTTCTAAAGCTTGCCTTTCTCCGACGTGACTGACTGACTGCTGCATCGTTCGAATCTTCTTGTCCTGCATCCGTCCGGCCTCGTTCCTAGGTATCCGACAGATATCCGATAGCCACTCACTTGTCCAAGCGACTCGCCTCTGCTTCCTAGCATTGCCAGCCCGGCGTCGAAAGTGGATACTTGTTGCTGTACATCCGGGCGCTCCCTGCTCTTTCGCTGCAGCCTTGTCCAGTCTGAGCGTGCCATCTCTCTGCTCCTCTCGTCAGCGCTGGAGTTCTGGTTGATCGACACCGCAAATCACATATCGTACCCTACAAACGCTATTGCTTTCGAGATTCAAAAAAAGAGCACGCGACTCGATATTCTCTCCTCAGGAAAAAGCCAAAGTCTTCTTGCAAGATATCCATCGGCATCCGTGAGTTTGACCATCTCCCACGTCGTCATTGGCCTCATGTTAGCCGGGTCGGGTCCCTTACTCATGCAGCAGATCAGATCCACTTCTTGTTCCGCCCGTCGGTCCAAGTTGACTGTCAGTTGCCTCTACCCCATCCAATACACGTTTCCTAGACCTCCCGATGCGCTCGCGCTCCTCCCGCCTGGGCGACGACGGGCAATGCCAAGCGGTCCTTGCTCGCTCGCACGTTCCGAGCCAATCTACTCGGATCTCGTCGGCACTTACAGTCTCACCCCAAGCATACAGCCAAACCCACCGCCTCGCGCGGCTAGCTAGGGGAGCCGTTGTTTATCGGCTACTGTACGTAGCCAGGCTACCAAGCTAGCTGCAACCCCGGGATCGGCTCATTTGCCCGGCAGTCCTCATTGTTGACATGGACGTGCCCTGGCCACGGGTGCGAGGAATTCTCGCAGCCGGTGTATGGCCCGTGGGGATGGCAGTGGCTGAAGCGATATATAACATAGCCATGGCGTCCGGATAGTAGCTCTGGAACTCGTTTGCTGACCAAACGCGCAAGACTCAGGATTCCAACATAGGCTTTCACCCAAGACCCGACCAGCGGTACAATAGTACCAGAGGCCTTTGCACACCCGACCGACACCCACGAGAACCTCGCTTCTCAGCATTCACAGCATGACCACTGGGAGTTTGAAGCAGGCGGCCGAATCAGCTCGATCCAAAAGCTCCGAAGTCATGGGCGCCGCCAAACGCGAGCCGGCCTCTGTGGCTACAGACCTCCTCCACACGCCCTTTATGCGCGCCGCCCTGCCCTTCATCAACGGCGGCGCCGCCGGCATGGTCGCCACGACGGTCATCCAGCCGGTCGACATGATCAAGGTCCGCATCCAGCTGGCCGGCGAGGGCACCTCGGGCGGTCCCAAGCCTACCGCCCTCTCCGTCACCAGACAGATTGTCGGCAGCGGCAAGGTCCTGGACCTGTACACGGGCCTGTCTGCTGGTCTCCTCCGGCAAGCCGTGTACACGACGGCCAGGCTGGGTTGCTTCGACACCTTTATGGGACGACTGACACAGCGCGCCAAGGACCAGGGCCGTCAGATTGGCTTTGCCGACCGCGCAGGCGCTGGTCTGGCGGCCGGTGGCCTGGCCGCCATGGTGGGCAACCCAGCCGACCTGGCGCTCATCCGCATGCAAAGCGACGGCCTCAAGCCCCTCGCCGAGCGAAAGAACTACAAGTCCGTCATTGACGCGCTCTCCTCCATCGCCAAGAACGAGGGCGTCGCCGCGCTCTGGGCCGGCGCGGCGCCCACCGTCGTCCGCGCCATGGCCCTCAACTTTGGCCAGCTGGCCTTCTTCAGCGAGGCCAAGGCCCAGCTCAAGGTCCACACGGACCTCTCGACCCGGACCCAGACCCTCAGTGCCAGCGCCATTGCCGGCTTCTTCGCCAGCTTCTTCAGCCTGCCTTTTGACTTTGTCAAGACGAGGCTGCAGAAGCAGCAAAAGGGACCCGACGGCAAGCTTCCCTACAAGGGCATGGCCGACTGCTTCCGCAAGGTGGCCAAGCAGGAGGGCGTGCTGCGCTTCTACCGCGGGTTCGGAACGTACTACGTCCGCATCGCGCCACATGCGTGAGTCTTTTCCGTCTCTTCATTGCTCTTGTCGACGCAGCTAACAGATTCGTGTGTAGGATGGTGACGCTGATCGTGGCAGACTATCTCGGTTTCCTGACGAAATGATGGCGCTTTTATTATTAACTGGGAGGGAATGTATCGTGATGACCATGGCGTTCTGGAGTGCTTGCATGTTAGGCTTGTCGTTAGTATACCAGGATTGGATTCTCATGACAGTGTGTCTGTCTTTTACCAAGCTTATTGAATATGATTCTCTGTTTTTCATTTTGACGTATCAATGGCTAGGGGAGGGGAGATGTCAAAGCCACGTCTTGGTGAATTAGCGACCGTGGTCGTTATGACCAATACACACATGGGAACATTTCGGACACTTTGAAAGGGAGAAGATTAAAAATGAGAGCAAAAAGCAATGCACGGAGCAAAACAATGTGCCCAAACCCAGACTCGAACTGGGGTTTCCACGGTTCTGAAATGATCCACAACGTGGTGCCCTAACCACCTAGACTATTTGAGCTTTGTGATCAGGAGATGTTAGCCTGGGTCAGTTCAAATGTTATATACCCTACACCAATGGACCCTAGCAGAAATTGGTGTTAGCCTTCATCCTCATGCCGGTCAGGTGACTTTGTGATTGGGCGTGTCAGTGTGGATCCCCAGCGCCATCTTCAGATGACGCCGGATGCACCGTGAAGCGACGTCATAGGCAACCTGCACGCGCACTTTGCAATCCCATCCATGCCTCTTTGTTTGCGCGCCCGCAAGCTCAGTCGCAATGGCCCGACCGAAGCGCGGCGCAAGTAAGAAGGGGGAGCCAGACATATACGGGGATATGCTGGCGGAGGCCGGAGTGTCCGCTCACGCAAGCACAAGTGAGCGCCCCTTGAAGCGCCGGCGTGCAGGGCCCAAGACGGACGATGATGATGGGGAGATCAAGGACGTTACATCGTCGCCAGCTCAGCCAGCGGAGCAGAAAAGTCCCGGTGTGAAGCAGGACGATGCGCCAGCACCTATGGTGCAGACAATGGAGCGGGAATCGGATGATGATGAGGACGAGGACATGGAATTTGAAGACGTGGAATTCGAGGCCTGGCTGCAAGGCGATGCGAAACCGTTGCTGGAGCCACAAGCGCCACAAGATCTGGAATTGAATCTCACTGCAGCCATGACGCCCGTGAAAAGGCAGATTGAACGTCGCAAACCATTAACGAGAGAAGAAAAGGAGCGACGAGCGCATGTTCACCAGATGCATCTGCTTTGCCTGCTCTCTCACGTCGCGCGACGGAATCACTGGTGCAACGATCCCAAGGTACAGCAGTCCTTGCGAGCGCATCTTCCGGAGAAGCTTGTCACGTTGCTCAATCCGAGCCCGAACTTGTCGCAATTCGGTCGGACGGAGAGCCTGAAAAGAGGGCTGGGCGAGTTGGACAAGCTGTGGAAGGCCAAATTTGAGATTACGGAACGAGGCATGCGGAGGGCGCTCTGGGCCGAGGACGTGAACCAATTACAGGATGTACGTATATCTGCAGACCCCGAACCTACGTTTCCCTTGCTGATGGTAGTGGGCAGTATGAACTGCCAGAAGACATGGAAGTCTGCCATGATCGGGAGGATTTTCGCGCGGCGGCGAGGACGCTGCAAGGCTCGAGAGACGTTGGAGCTCAACTCTACTGTGCGCTCCTCCGAAGTGCCGGCGTCAGGGCGCGACTTGTCTGCTCGCTGCAGCCATTGGCATGCATTTCGGGAGCCCCAGCCTTGCCCAAGCCCAAAAAGGGCCCCGCGACGACAAGTCTGTCAAAGGAAGACAGGGTGCGAGCTTCAATGGCGAACCACGAGAAGATGTCAAAAGCTGCGCGAGACGAGATCACCGCTGCGGCAGGGAGTCCCACGGCTCGACGAAGACTGGGTCATCCAGGGGCTGCGTCCTTCAACTTTGAGAGTCGAGCTGGGCGGTCGCAAGAAAAGTCGAAGAGCTCCAAGGTCAAGACTCCCAGGATCATACGCGAATCACCGTATCCGATCTACTGGGTGGAGATTCTGGATGTTGGGCACCAGAAGTGGCAGCCTGTGGATGCGGTGGTCACACACACGTTTTGGAAACCAAAGGCCATGGAACCACCCATCACGGACAAGGAGAATGTGCTGTCGTACGTCGTTGCCTTTGAAGGCGATGGCACGGCACGGGACGTCACGCGACGCTATGCCAAGGCGTACACGGCGAAGACGCGGAGACTACGGGTGGAAACCAATGTGCAAGGCGGTGACCGCTGGTGGCGCAAAGCCATGAGGTCGTTTCGTCGCAAGAGACCCGAGAATCTTGATCAGATCGAGGACCAGGAGCTGGCGGGCGCAGAAGCGCGTGAGCCTATGCCACGCAACGTGCAGGACTTTAAGGACCACCCTGTCTACGCGCTGGAGCGCCATCTACGGAGGCATGAAGTCCTCCTGCCGGACGCTACACCGTCAGGTACGGTGGCTGCAGGGACAAAAGGTCCGCTGGAGAAGGTCTACAGGAGGAAGGACGTGCGCGTAGGCAAGACGGCCGACAAGTGGTACCGCAGTCAGGGGCGCGAGGTGAGACCACTGGAAATCCCTGTCAAATGGCTACCCAAACGCGCACGACCGCGGGGTCGCTTTGGCGGCATGGACGATGATGAGAACGATAACGACGACAATGATGATGGAGGAGAGAATGGCGTGCCGATATTCACGCTTGATCAGACAGAGCCCTACGTACCGCCAGCCGTGAGGAACGGAAAAGTCCCCAAGAACAAGTTTGGGAACATTGACGTCTACGTCCCAAGCATGGTCCCCAAGGGCGCCGTGCACTTGCGGATGGAAGAGGCCGCAAGAGCGGCGCACATTATTGGGGTGGACTACGCGCCCGCCCTCACCGGATTCTCCTTCAAGGGTCGGACCGGTACGGCTGTGCTCACGGGCATTGTGGTCGCAGTAGAATACGAGGAAGCCATCCTTGCTGTGATAGAGGGACTCCGTGACCTCGCAGATGAGGCAGTGCAAGAGCGCAAGCGTCTGGTTACGATGCGCTGGTGGCGCCGCTTCATCATGGGGCTGCGGATACGGGAGAGGGTGTGGGCGGGTGTAAGCGAGGAGGAAAGGCGGGAGGCGGAGAGGGATGCTGTGATGAATGCTGAGATGGACGAAGAGATGGCGGACGAGGAGAGCGATGTGACGGAGGAGTTTGACATGGAGGTGGATGGCGATGGCGGTGGGGGGTTCCTGGTGGGCGATGATGAGGGGGGAGGGTTTATCCCGTGATGCGACCTTGTTGACAATCTCAGGGGTACGTACGCTCCGCTCAGCACATGCATCGAAGAAAAGCGAGTTCGCGACACACCTCGAAATCCCTACGTGACGTGTTGTTACCACAAGAACGCACTACTTTATGAAGACCCGAGGTGAGATTGCTTGCTGAACTAATTATGACCTTGCGTGCCTTGCACTGAGGGTACTTGATCCGCATCGTCCATACGAGGACACTTGTTGCTCACAGTGGTGGTATGCTTTTAGTCGAGTCAGATTAAGTACGTATTGGGTGAACAGCACTGCCTGAGAACTCGAGGGCTGAAACAGCTAATTACCTGCACGACAGACAGCACAGCCTCTTGAACTGAAGATGTCAATGTGGCACGGAGGCCGGAGCAACTCGAATACTCGACTCGGATGTTGGGAAAAGGACCTTGGACGGGGTTCGCACAGTTGTTGACCCCGAACCCCGACCACCAGGGGAAGGGATTGACGCACGGTGCATGCTAGGGGCAGAAGCTTATTTCCCTAGTGCTGTGCCGCGTCTTCTAGCGGTCATATATATTTTGAACTAGAATTCTGGGAATGGCTGCGTTATCAAAGGTGACGCTATATGGCATCGGGAAGCAAGAGTGGAATCTAGAAATGCTAGCACTGAGATTTCTGGTAGTTTGTATGAACACCCAGCAGCTTGTTCACATATGTACTTACTTACCTGTAAGCACCATGCACACGGGTGCTTACAGCAGCCACGCGGCGCGGAATGCCACGCAGTACGTGTGGCCGCACGAATCGCCCAATCTCACCAGTCGCTCAATGCGCAGCAAAGAGGAGGCCTCACTCATCGAATGATCAATCTGACATTATCCGCGTAATTGCAGACAAGCGCTGCTCTTGGCTTGCAAGAGTCGCAAATCCCGTCTCGCAGGCGGACGTGAATGGCGGAGCGAAAAGTCCATTGCGTAACGCCCAGGACCCCCCAAGTCCGCCAAGCTCGAACGCGCCCCACATCGTCGCGGGCATCACCCAACACTGCCTCACGCTTCAAAGTAATCCTTCCATCTTCATGTTTCTCGTTTGTGTTACCACCTTTTAACTACTACCTACTAGCGGCCGTCTGTCGCCCTCACTGGCCCTCGCCGTACCATGTTCTCTCCTTTCTTCACGCACTAGCTCCTCACTATATCCATCTCTACGACGAAATAGAGGTCCATCAAGTGCATACAATACCGACTGTCATTTCTCACTCCATACGATCTGGCCTCGCGCGCCCGCGCGCAGATCCGCCGCCATGTCGATCGTCAAGCAGATATGGACGCTCATGAAGAAGAACTGGCGATGCAACGTCCTGCGCCACCCCGTCGTCACCATCTTCATGGCCTTCCTTGTGCCCATTGTCCTGTCCGCCTTCTTCAGTTTCGCCCGGAACCTCTTCGTGCCGCCTGCAACCTACGGCATTGGTGAAGCCCGCCCCATACGAACACTCTCCGATGCCCTCTCGACAGGTGTGAACAGCGGCCGCGACAAAATTGTGCTGGTGAACAACGGCTTGACGGGAGGTGACATTGATCGTGTGCTCGACAGACTCGAGACGCAGATTGCCAACGCGCATGATGGCATTCAGACGGTTCGCCTCGAGAACGAAAAGGATATCGCGGGCGAGTGTCGCAGCACCCTTCGCGGCGTCACCACTTGTTTCGACGCGGTGGTCATGCGCGCCTCCCCCGACGAAGGAGAAGGTGGCTTCTGGAACTATACTATCCGCTCGGACGCTGCCTTTGCACGGAGCGCCCTTGAAATCGAGGCCGATTCTGGTGGCAACCCGCAGCAAATCTACCTGCTCCCCATGCAGCGCGCCGTCGACACGCTTATTGCCCAGCTTGACAACTCTGATGCCGAGCCATTGGCGGACACTCGTGAGCTGCCCTTCACAAGTCTGACATCGGAGGAGCGCGACGATGAGATCCGCCGGTTATACGCGCGCGCCGTCATCAACTTTATGGGAGTTGTTTTCATCGCGGCTACCATCTGGGTCACGTACCATCTGACGGGCTTCGTCGCTACCGAGCGCGAAAGCGGCATGTCACAGCTCATCGACGCCATGATGCCCGTCCGCAAGCAATGGATGGCCCTGGCGGCGCGCATCGTCGCGCATCATCTTTCCTTTGCGATTGTGTACGCGCCAGCGTGGATCATTGTCGCGCCCATCGTCCGCTCGGGCGTCTTTGCCCACACCAGTGTCGGCGTGGTCATCATCTTCGTCCTTCTGTCTGGTCTGGCCATGACGTCCATGTCCATCCTCTACGCATCCTTCTTCAAGCGCGCCCAGCTCAGTGGCATCACCGCCATCCTGGCCAGTCTGCTTCTGGGCATCCTCGCGCAGTCCATCACTCAACCTAGCACGGTCATCGTCGCGGTCTTGTCGGTGCTCTTCACCCCTTGCGCCTTTGTGTACTTTGTGACACTGATGGCTCGCTTCGAGAGAGAGCAGACGGCCACCAGTCTCACTGCAATTCCCGACCAGACACCATGGGAACTCCCAGGCATCTTCTTCTGGGTCATGCTCATCATCCAGATCTTTGCGTATCCCGCCATTGGCGCTATCATTGAACGCTCGCTTTACGGAACGACGACAAAGGGCCGCCAGTTCCAGTACCCAAACTCCGGCACCGACACTCTGGGTGATAACGCCGTTCGTCTTGAAGGATTTTCCAAAGTGTACAAGCCCGGCTTCTTCTCCAAGCTATTTGCGTCCAAGTCCAAGCCTGCCAACCCCGTCGTTGCTGTCAACGATCTCACTTTCAACGCTGGAAGGGGCCAGATTGTTGCCCTTCTAGGTGCCAATGGTAGCGGGAAGAGCACCACGCTCGATGCCATTGCTGGCTTGAACAAGTTGACTGAAGGCGCTATTACCATTGATGGCACAGGTGGCCTGGGCATTGCACCGCAGAAGAACGTGCTATGGGACGATCTCACTGTGGAAGAGCATATCCGCATCTTCAACCGTCTCAAGAGCCCTAACGCGGTAGCCAGTCGGGATGAAAACCTCGAACTTATTGAAGCCGTTGACCTGACAAAGAAGAAGAAGGCCTACTCCAAGACTCTCTCTGGCGGACAAAAACGCAAGCTGCAACTAGGCATGATGTTGACGGGCGGCAGCGCTGTTTGTTGTGTTGACGAAGTCAGCAGTGGTATTGACCCCCTGTCGCGGCGTAAGCTGTGGGATATCCTCTTGGCTGAGCGCGGCCGACGCACCATGATCTTGACCACCCATTTCCTTGACGAAGCGGATCTCTTGGCGGACCACATCGCCATCCTTTCCAAGGGGAGCTTGAAGGCCGAGGGATCATCCGTCGAACTCAAAGACCGGCTAGGCGGAGGGTACCGCGTCATGGTCCAGAGGTCTCCCGAGCTGAAGGATACGCCTGATGTCGAAGGCGTCCGCAAGAAGATATCGCTCGACCTCATCACCTACATCTCTCCTTCATCAGCCTTGTCCGCCAAGGTGATCAAGGAGCTCGAGGCGGCCGGCATTCCTGATTACCGCTTTTCAGGCCCCACCATCGAAGACGTCTTCTTGCAGCTTGCCGAGGAAATCCGCGATGAGGAAGCCTTCCGGTCTACGGACCGTGGCATCGAGTTCAATGAGAAGAACTCGGATGACGACCTCGCAACAGATTCGCCAACAGGTCTCAAGCTCACGGATGGCCAACGTGTGGGCTACGTCAAGCAGACCATGATTCTCTTCATGAAGCGCTTCACCATCCTCAAGCGAAACTACTTGCCCTACATCATCGCCTTCCTGCTGCCTATCATCGCCGCCGGCCTGACATCTCTGTTCATCAAGAACCAGAACCCCCCTGGCTGCTCGCCGGCGGACCAGGCGTCTGACGAGGGCACGCAGGATGCCTTTAGTCAAAGTCGGGAGGAAGACGAAGCAGGGCCGTCGTTCCTCATCGGCCCCACTGCCCAGCTCTCTCTCGATACGATTCAGCGCCTGATCTCTCCTCTGTTCAACAGCTCTGGCAACAGCGGTACTAGTAGTATGGGGAACAGCGCCTTGAGCAACGTGCAGACAGCCGATACCTACGATGATTTTATGAACTACATCGAGGCCAATCGCAAGACTACCAGCACTGGTCTGTGGCTGGGCGACGACAACACGGCTCCTACAATCGCTTGGGTGGCCAACCTCTACGTCACGAGCCCGATCCTCGCGCAGCAGTTCCTGGATATCATCTTGACCAACACCACTATCCAGACGACATGGTCCCCCTTTGACGTACCGTTCAGCCCGCAGACAGGCGACTCGCTCAATCTTGTCGTCTACATGGGCCTCGCTCTATCATGCTACCCTGCCTTCTTCGCCCTCTACCCCAGCAACGAGCGTCGTCGCTTCGTCCGCGGTCTCGAATACTCGAACGGCGTCAGGCCTCTCCCTCTCTGGATCGCCTATCTCCTCTTTGACTTCATGTTCGCCCTAGTCAGCGCTGCCGTGGTCACCGCTATCTGGGCTGGCGTCTCCAATGTCTGGTATCACGTCGAGTATGTCTTTGTCGTCTTCTTCCTCTACGGACTGGCTTCGATCCTCCTGGCGTACAACGTCTCCCTTTTCACAAAGACACAGCTCGGTACCTATGCGTGGTCCGCCTGCATCCAGCTCATCGGCTTCCTCGCCTATCTCGTCTCCTACATGTGCATCACGACATATGTGCCCGTGCAGAACATTGACAAGAGCATCCTCATCGCCCACTTTGTCATTTCAGCCGTGGTGCCCGTCGGCTCAGCCACGCGTGCACTCTTCTTGGCTGTCAATCTGTTTTCCACAGCGTGTGACGGAAACAACATCTCCTCGGACCCTGGTGGTATCTTGTACTATGGCTCGCCTATCCTCTACCTTATTGTACAGTGCTTCCTACTCTTTGGTCTTCTCCTGTGGCTCGATTCAGGATCCTCGGGGTCCTCCATCCGTCGTCTCTTCCACAAGGACAGTGTCGTCGCTTCATCAGAGGGCTCGGACGAGGAAGTCAACAATGAGCTCACGCGCGTCACATCCTCTGGTGTCGATGAGAACGGTCTTCGTGTCATGCACCTCACAAAGGCCTTTAAGAAGAATATCGCCGTCGACAATGTCACCTTTGGTATCAAGCGCGGTGAAGTCTTCGCTCTGCTCGGTCCCAACGGCGCTGGCAAGTCGACTACGATCTCGTTGATCCGTGGTGACATCAAGCCCTCCCGCAACGGCGGCGACGTCTTTGTCGAGAACGAGTCTGTTGCTAATGCCCTGCCTGCGGCTCGTCGCAATCTCGGCGTGTGTCCCCAGATCGATGCCATGGACCACATGACCGTACGAGAGCACCTGCAATTCTACGCCAAGGTCAGGGGCATCCCCAACGTCGACGCCCAGGTCGCCGCTGTCCTCCAAGCAGTCGGTCTCGAGGCTTTCAGCACTCGCATGGCCCATGCGCTATCCGGCGGCAACAAGCGCAAGCTGTCCCTTGGTATTGCTCTCATGGGCAACCCCACCGTCGTCCTTCTCGACGAGCCCTCGTCCGGTCTCGACGCCGCGTCCAAGCGTATCATGTGGAAGACGCTCGCTGCCACCGTGCCTGGGCGGTCCATCCTTCTGACCACACATTCCATGGAGGAGGCCGACGCGCTCGCGGGCCGTGCCGGCATCATGGCCCGCAGGATGCTCGCCATGGGCACACCAGACGATCTGCGCCATCGCTTCGGCGACGCCCTGCATATCCACCTCGTGCACCAGTCGGCTCCGCGCACGACGTCTGCGGAGATGGACAAGGTCATTGCGTGGATCAGGGAGACCTTTCCCCAGGCGGATGTCGAGGAGAAGACGTACCACGGGCAACTCCGCTTTTCAATTCGTGCCAACGACGTCCTCGCTTCGACCTCGGGACGCACGGCCGCCGAGATTGCCAAGCACGACCACATTGATCTCAGCAACAGTGCCATCGGGCATCTCGTTGTGCTGTTGGAGGAGAACAAGGCCATGCTGGGTATCGGTCATTACAGCGTCAGCCCCACGACCTTGGACCAGGTCTTCTTGTCGATTGTTGGACAGCACAATGTCAAGGAGGAGGGCTATCATGACGAGCCCAAGAAGTCATTCTGGAAGAAAACCATGCGGAGAAAGTAAATGTTTGGACTGTCTTTGAATCATATTCCCCCTCTGTCGCTGATCTTCTTGTAACACAGCTTAGCTAGCTGGTGGCTGTTTTCTTCTATTTATATTCACATACATAGACGGCGCACACGACACTGCCGAAACAATGAATACAGAATCGTACAGTTGAAAACGAAAGCAATGTGTCCAAGAAAAGGCATTCGATATGTAGCGTTTGTATTGCCCGTGCCGAGCGCTACGTGTACAAGCGCCGTTGCGGCTACAGCATCTGTCTGCTTCCTCATATATGTTCCCACCCGCTGACTATGCATTCGCCTCCAGCGCACACTCGCAAAAAAAAAAAGAATAAGCAGGAAAAGATCCAATCCATGTAAACACCCCCCTTCCGTATCCTCGCCATAACCCCATGCTAATCGTATGCGTGACATGGTTCGTACCGTAAGTCTAAAAGGGAAAAAGAAAAGGAAAGAAGCAGGTTCCGTATAATAACCAGAGGCAAAAACAAAAAACCAAACAGAATTTCAAAAAAAAAAAAAAAAAAAAAAGGCCGTACAGCTCTCATGATTCGTTTTTCTGATGCCGATAAACGCCGTGCGGAGCCTCGCTTTGCTGTGTTCGTCGATGTTGGACTGCGAATGCAGATAGATGGCGGCCCTCCGCCTGCGCATGCCGTATAGCGGTCAAGTCGTCGTCTCGGGACCTTCACCAGCGCCATTCGATGCCTCTTCAACAGCCGGCTTGTCCGTGGCCTCAGCCTCTGCCTCAGCCTCTGCCTCAGCCTCTGCCTCAGCCTGCTCATGCCCTGCAATGGCGAGACCATCCTTGTTCTCCGTCTTGCCGGTTGGTGTGGTCTCTTCCGCCGACGAAGCATCCACGCCTCGTTCGCAAAACCATCCACCACGCTCCCACTCGCCGGGCTCGTACAGACACGACTTGCGAACCTCGTCGTTGCATATCCCTGTCAGCAGCGTGTTGAGTCGCTTGAAATCGATAGGCTTCAAGATCCAGCCATCGAACCCGGCATTGATATACGTCTGCTTGTCGGCCTCGATCAAAGACGCAGACACTGCAAAGATAGGTATACGCCCATTGTATGATGCAAGCTGAGAATGGCCGGGGTGTTCGGGCGACTTCTCACAAGCGCGGATCATCTGGGTGCTCGTCAGCCCATCCACGATAGGCATCTGCATGTCCATCAACACAGCATCGAAATCGCTGGAGCGCTCCTTGTATACTGCAGCGCAATCTTGCCCATTGACTGCATGGAAGACGTCGTGACCTGTTCTCTCCAAGCGCTTGCGCATAATCTTCATATTGATCGGATCGTCTTCGGCGATGAGTACTCGCAATTCTTGCTGTCCATCGACAGTTGTAACACTGGTGACGCTCTCGGTGTTGGTATTGGAAGGCGCCGTTTGTTCGCTGGGGATCTCGAACAGGACACCAGAGTTGTCTCCCGCCTGTGGACGAGGTGGCACATCTTGGTAGTCGTCAGGAATCTTCACGGGGCGGACCGGCATCTTGCTGTCGCGCACTTGTGCTGTGCCTGGCTCGGAGCGGGGTTGTGTCGGCGAAGATAGCCTCCGTTTCTGTGCCTGTGGACTTCCGGACCCGCCTGCCATCGCGGCGTTGAGCGAATTTCTTGATCGAGATTCCCTGGAACTACCACGGGACTTGGTGCGCGACACGGGATACGTGGGCTCTCGGTCCTCGAGGGATAGTGGTGTTTGGAGGGCATCGATCAAACGGTCGGCATCGCTCTTGTTGCTACCCTGGGTGTGCCCACTCTCAAAGCTATGTTGGCTATTAAGACTGGCACTCTTCCTCTTGCTCATGGAACTGATGTCCCGAGCGGAATCGGCGCCGATGTGCATGGAACTAGCATTGTCCACCAGTGTGATCTCGCCTTCTGGAGCCGCAGTGACCGATGCAGGCGCGGTTGACGCCAGAGTTGGTTTGAGCGATGGTTCATTTGTGTTTGTACCGTCGTCCTCCTGAACGCCCTCGCTACCCACCGCGGGTGTTTCGTCGGGAAGCTGAAAGGGTAGTTGTACGACGAAGCGCGAGCCCTGGCCCTCATCTGACTTGAGCCGGAGCTGTCCGTCCATGTTGCGCACCATGCGTGCAACGACGGCAAGGCCGAGACCCAATGTACGGCCCTGACTTGCTTTGCTGCCTTCAGTCAAGACCTGAGAGTCTGGCTCCTCTGTGCTGACTTGCTCTAAATCGCGGAACAAGGCGTCCAATTGTGTGGTGGACATGCCCTCGCCAGAGTCGGAGACGGCAAAGTCGACAACAGCGACCTTGTCGTCACGCATCTCGGAAACAAACACATCAACCCGGACGTGTCCTTCACTGGTGTGCGCAACAGCATTGGCACAGATGTTAGAGAGGGCTTGGCGCACCCGGCGTCCATCTCCGTGAACAAAACGCGGAAGCCCAGGATGCTCTACCACGTCGTACTCGAGGTTCTTTCGTCGCGTGTCGCTTTGAAACGGTTCGGTCGCTTCCTTGATGCAGTTTGACAGGTCGAAGACCTCATCTTTCACGAGACTTTGCCCCTCCTCGGTCTTGGTAAGATCCAAAAGATCGTTGATTACGTAGATCAGGGACTTAGACGCAGAGTGTGATCTGGCCAAGTTATCCCGCGTTTCGCTGTCGAGAGAGCCTTCCAGCGCAATCTCAAGATAGTTGATGATCGCGTTCAACGGTGTGCGCACCTCGTGGGCCGAATTCGCGAGCAGCAGGCGGGTGAGCTTACTGTTTTGTAAGGCAGCCTCCTTCTGACGCCAGACCTCGATAAACTTGCCGTAGACCAAGCAGAGCACGGCTGCTGTCTCCACCTGTTCTTCATTCCACTCTCGGCATTTGCCCACGACCGTCTCCGACCATGTCTTAAAACTCGATCGAGGCTCCAGGTAGCCCGCCGTGCCGCCGCGGATGACCTTCTCGTACGGGTTTCCAGCCCATTTGACCTCCTTGATCTGGCCTCTCCGGAAAAACACAATGAAGTCATGGCCACCAACACTCAATGGCACGTAAAGAAGGCCTGCAACAACCTGAAATCCTGGGGGGTACCGCAGGTCGGGGAAGTCTTGCCGGATATCCTGGGAGGCAAGCACGGAAGTAAGCTGACGCATGCGGAGATATTCCAACAAGGCCAGTGCTTCTTGGCTTTGCTCAATTTCGCCCATAATCTTCGTCTCCCCCCTAATGGATAGCAAGCCAAAGTCGGCGTCAAAGAGTCGCAGAAGGTCGTCGGACGACGCTATAATGTAGCCTGATGGATTTTTGTCGGTAGGAGCTGTGTTGATGAGCTTCCGTGCCTGGAGTCTTGAAGCGTACGACAACCGCTCAATGTTGCGAGACGCCGTATCGCCCACGAGACGACACATTTTCCGGATAGGAAATGACACGCGCATACCGCTGTCGCCATATGAATGGCATGCAATCAGTCCCCACAATTCATTAAAAGCATTGATCGATATCGACATGGAGGATCGGACACCCATGTTACCAAGATACTTCAGGTGTATGGGCGACATAGCGCGAAGATACGCGTGGCTCATGTCCAAGGGCGTCTCGAGATCCTCCTGAGTTCGACATACTATGCGAGCTGTTTCCTGAGCTCGATCATATAGGAGTCGGACCTTGTTGATTTTGTATAGGTCTCGAGCTTGCCGCGGGATGTCGGATGCGGGAAAGTTGAGCCCATAGTAGAGGTCCTTGGTCGCGGCTGGATCCACCAGCTCAGTGACCACTTTTCCATTCTGGGCCGAGTCAAACTGGTAGATCATGACGCGATGAAACCCAGTGAGTTCTTTGACAATTCCAACTAGAATTTTGAGGAATGTCTCCAAACTATGGGCAGAAGAAAGTTGCTCCTGCACTTGTGACATGATGTCAAAAACCTGCATGGCACCCTGTTCTCCTCGCCTCTTACGAGCACTGCGCAGGATCCTCAACGGCTTGCTGAGGATCTCTGTGCTCTGCTCCATCTCCTCCGTGCTCGGATTAGCCCGTAATGAGTCGTGGGGCTCATCGGGCGTCGCTTCGTCGGGCGGCCGCAAAGGGTTGATATGGTCATCGTCGAGCTCGAACTCACAAATGACGAGGTCGGGATGTGCAGGATTGATGTGAATAGCACACCATAGTTTGGTGCTTCGCTTCTTTGGAGGACGGATAGAAAGGCTGAAAACTTCGGGCCCGTTGACCGACGGATCGGCGTCCTCGTCGCGGATAAAGTCGATGTGGTCGAGCAGGTTGTCTTGTTGCTCCTCGGTTAAGATATCCATGAAATTCTTTAGCCGAAACAACTGCCTCGGCGAATAGCCTAACATCCTCTCCGAATTTTCAGACGCATAACGAACGACCAAGCACCCATCGCTCTCTTCGCGCAGGGCTACGAGAGCGCCGAACCCCTGAACAGCGCCGGGCGTATGGATTGGTTCGTCCTCGCATCTCTGCAGCGTTCCATCACGGCCTGTAATCACCGAATGCCCATCCTCGGTTTCCAAGTGGGTGAATCGGATGTGCACATGAGGGTTATCGGCCATGGAAGCGGAATGAGACGTTTCCGAAGCGCCAGTGCCTTTTTCGGCTGCAGCGACCTCGGCTGGAACCGCTCCTAACGCGCCCGATTCTTCGCTGTCCTTGTCGGAGGCTTCTATGTCAAGCTGAATCGGAGCGGTGTAGCCGCCACCGCCAGTCTGTCGGCCGCTTGTTTTGTGAGGCTCTGTTCCTTGCGAAGGCTCTGTCACGGTAGCTCTCCTGCTAAAAGGGCGGTTTTTGCTTGAGGATGTCGACCTGGGCGACCTGGGCGACCAAGGGCCAGTGTCAGCTCTCCCCAGCCCTTGGCTGGTCTCACCTCGAGTGTGGCCCGGTCGGTGCACGGGAATTCCCCTATTTTCGAAGTCGGACGTCGACCCGGCAAAGTCATCACCAGATGTTCGGCTAGTAGCTGGATCGACGCTAATGACAGAGCGAATGGGGAACACGCGGTCTCCAGACCTGTCAGAGCCCGCAGACATGTGGCCGAGTTGCCTATCGGAGCCTGCACTCCATGAGGAGAACGGGCCAGGCGTCGGGTTGGCGCTACCACGTTGGTTGCTGCTGAATGCGGATGGCTGGTTGGGAGCGCTTTGGCCGGTCATGTACGGTGCTATTTGGATCTTCCCGGGAGGCAGCGCATGCCTTTCGTGGGGCTGCTCGGTCGATACACCCTGGGTCGGTGTAATTTCTTCCTCCTGCTGCTGCTGCTCTGCTGATTCTTGAGCGCCAGTGTCGGTGGGCGTTATTTCGGACTCGGGCTCAAACTGGTGGGCCTCGATGGTCTTATCGGCTGCGGGAGGTTGTGCCGAAGTCTCGATCGTGATCGTATCATCGTTCGGCGGAGATGCAGTTGGCGAAGGTGAAGGCTCCTGGGAACCTGCCATGGCGAAATTTGGCGGAACCCAGCAGCTTCGAGGGTAGCAATGGCCTTGACCAGCCCCGATCGAGTGATTAAGATTGCGTTAGGTGGTCGAAAGGCCAATGGTACAGCCAGAGGTGCGCAATGAAGAGGGGAGGGGGAAGTCCGGCTCGTCTTGACTAACTGCGCATTGTTGCAGAAGCAGGGTGTGCCCCGTGGATGCAAAACGAATCGACCGACTTGAGACTGCGTCGTAATGAGAGGAAAGGCGAAACTAGACTCGTTCGCGTGGCAAAAGCCTGACGAGGCTGCCAATGATAATGGTTACTCCGAAGTCGAACACAGGAAAGGTCGAGTTTGAGTAGACAGGAACTCGGCTTTACGCAAGAAGGGAGAGTTGCGACGACGGCTGACTGTGCCTTGGCTAGTAACTCGGTCTTGGTTCGCAAATTCGTCGATGCAGCGGCAGGACATCCACAACGGCTTGAGTTGGGCGGGGTGCTCGTCTGGATGACTCCAGTATTCGGAAGGACGAGTGACCGACCTGGCTTCGCGGTGGCCGGGCAGGAGCACCCAGGGACAAGAGAATGCTTACTCATCACTTTTCGGAACGTAGTGCCAGATACAGTGCTTACGCATGGTGCATTCCTTCCACATGCAGCAAATCGAGGGCTCATACATCGCAAAGATGAATGCCACTAGACAAGCACGTGCAGAATACCGTGCTCCAGTCTGCTATGCGTGGAACTTTGGAGATGGTTACAGCCTCTGACTGTGGCTGTCAACGCACTGGTACTTGGTGCGGTGCTGGGACAAGCGTCATTTCGCGCACGCTCAAATATCCAATGTTAAAAATGTCCGCTCATCACCATCATGCTTCTGAGTAATTAGGTGGCATTTCAAAAGGCCCGTACCAGCCCCCCGAAAGATCACAAACAAGACCGGAGAGTTCATGTTGGCATGACTCCGCTACAACTGAAGATCATTGCCTGGACGGGGCCATTAGCGTGTATGCATGAGGCCGCACTGTGCCGCCAGTGGATTCCTCGATAATCTTCGGGTCTCGATCTTCTGGTCACCAAGAATCCTTGAGCTTGAATCACTCTGATACGACACTTATTTCATAATTACCACTATGTTGCGACGGCGCAAAGAGCATCAACTCAAGGCAACTTAGATGGGGTCTGGTTACTACCGTATTAGCACTTACTATAAGAACCGCGCCGACAAAGTCAATGGCACGCGACTGCAGCCACTACCACAGGGCTCGTCAGGTACATTGTATGTAGACGAAATTTCCTCAAGCCTCAAGGTTTAAATAACGCCACACTTGCATTGATGCAAGTCCGGAGCCGGGAGCTATGAGGCACTGTCCGCTTTTTCAACATGGTCAGCTCAGCAACATGAAGAGAATAGGCTTGGGTTTCTCTACGTAGTTAGGTACATAGTATCAAACAATTTGAAGATAATACTCGCTGAGCAATAGGTTGCACAGAGCCGACCCACACCTTTCTGACTCTTGTTGAGCGCCATGTCGTAGTGCACTATCCGTACATCATGATCGAATGTGTTCACGCGACTGTCGGCACATTTAAATGCAGGGACTTTCTCGGCAAGCCGAAGCATCGCCTGTGAATCCCTAGCCCTAACAATAGACGCATGTGTTTCGAATAATAAACATGTATTCATGTGATAACAGCCAAGCCAGTGTCAGCTTCGCAAGCCTTTCATTAGCCTATGAGGTTGGGAGGACTGCTTTCGGAGCATTTACTCCGCCTTGTGATCACATCTTCCGGCTGACATGGGCGGACGACGGCGGGGATTTTGTTGTGCTTTTCCGGCCAACTAAGACCGAGGCGATGGTTTCTTCAACAAACCAATTTGTCAATGACAGCTAGCAAGTACAATATGCACACTTGACTAAAAGCTTATGGAGATAGGAAACTTACCTTGGGTGATTACACTTGTGGTCGGCTTCAGGGTAGGCCATTTGGCAATGCTCGAAGGGGCCAAAATCCGCGGAAGCACTCCGATCGTTCATCCTCTCGCAATCTGTCATCACTTCCTCACTCAGACCGAAAGACGTCGCCTATTATCCCCGAAGCTGACGCTCCATGAAACTCGTAAGCGCCAAGCATCGCATGGTAACTTTGGAATGGGCTGGAAGCTGCTACCGTCATCCAAGACGTGTACCTGGTGGGTAGCTATTGTCCCAGCGCTTGCAGTGTCGACTTGCTAGTTGCTACCTCGGCTTCCATGGACCAAGAGACGGCAGGACAGACGGCCATGAATGGTTACAGGGGGATGACATTGTACCATGTATACAAGGCTACATGTAGTATGCGCTCCGCAACGGTCAGTAATGCCTTGTTCGGGGCCAACGACGTGGACAAGCATCACAAGTAGGAGCTCTGCTACATCGAGTCCTATGTTGCTTCATACCACTCAGGTCGTCCAGCGGAGGCTTATCCGTGACACTCAAACTCCGAGCAAGCCATGGATTCACACATCTCATCAGCTCTAGATTGAGTATTGGGATGGCAGGGGAGGGGATCCCGGAGCACGACGGTATGTAACTACCACCCGGTGCTAAGATTCGCAAGCTCGACCTAGATGTTTGGTTATAGGGGGAAAAGAAGGCAGCCCCGCTGTCGATAGTCATTCTAACTTGGGGTGTGGAGCGCCAGCAATATATTGCCAGTCGTGGTCAGCCCTCTTCATGACTGTCGCGCTGTCGACAGCTGTGGCCGGATGCTGCTGAACGGGGCTACATTGAACTAGACAATCTAGTTGCAAAGGGCATGCGTTGAAGAAGTGATCGGCCATCCATGACTGTCATGTCACACTCAAGGATCCGCACGTGCTGGGTGGTCCCTTATATGGGTTCATTACTAGACATGTCGCCTCCCGCTTTTCCATGCTCATGAATCGCATGGGCCTGAGCTGTAGGAAGCATTGCTGGCGAGAGGCCGACCCTTCCATGACCGTTTCCACTCACCGTGCTCGCATGGCCAAAGCCGCAGCCACGCGTCTTCCACCAGCGGATCGATCTCATCCAAGTACGCAAACAGCCAGTCTTCGTACTGCGTCTTGCGCTGCGCGCCTTTGTCACGAGCCGTCACTATCGTGCGCGCCTGGCCCCCTGGGTTAAAGATACAGTCGGGATCCCCAAGACCGACCGATGATTCGCAGACCCAATGGCCACGGAGCCATTGTAGCAGAGTCGAGAATTCCGAGTGCGAGTCAAATAGGTTAGAGTCCGGACATTCCACGACAACGCGCCGTAGCATAAACTGACGCAACCCTATTTCATCGGCCCGGCGCTTCTGGGTCCGGGCGATAGCGAGGAAGATTGAGCGAGCTAGATCCTCGTCTATAGCGACGTTGACGAGGGCGTCTTGCACGAGTCGTATGCTAGTCTCGCGATCGTACTTATCGGTCGAGAACTCCCCGGACTTAATCAGACCAGTGATATCACTATCAGGTCGGGTGCAGTCTAAGGTAATAGAGACTGATTCGAGTCGGCTTAGGTGGCCTAGGGCCTTATAGAATGCGACTTCGCTCTCGTCGCCGCCTGATCGTCGTATCGTCACGTTAAGCTCGCGAAGGCGACTACATACCTTAGCGAGGCGGTGCGCGTTCTGCGAGGTGAGCACTATTGGCTCATCAAGGCTGAGCTCGCGCAGGTGCGGTCCATGTGCCCCAAGCAGGGCGTCAAAGATAGCGCGTGAGTTGGTGCGTCCAAGGTGCAGACTGCGCAGCGGGCGGAGAGCCTTAATGACAGAGCATAGGTCCTTAGTGGTTCCACGCGGGTCGTCGTTCTCAAAGAGGTCCAGCGTGAGCTTCAAGGTCTGAAGAGAAGCAAGCGCTCCTATCCCGGCCATATTACGCAAGGTTGGTACCAGTTCGGGTCTGACGAGCCCGAGGTCTAAGTGTAGTAGAGCGGACAAGTCGACGACCTCGTCCCACCGCTCGAGAATCTGCAACGTCATTCCGCGGTTGTTATCAAGTGACAGGGTTTTCAGCGGTCTCTTAGACGCCGGGAAAGACCTATCGCCGTGAGACCTCGAGTCCGAGCTCGACAATAGGAATAAGCCAGGCCAGCTAGCTCGACTAGCTTGGAGGGCGTCTCGTGTCCCTAGCGCGTCACCTGGTTCCCTGTACTCGACTAGGATATGTTCCACTCGGGACCTAGCCTGAGGAGATACCAGTGCTTGCGCAATGGCCTCCTCGTTATAGTTCCAGTTGCCGTAGATATCGAATTCCCATAGGTCAGGACATCCGATCCGATGCAGACGCGGAGCCGTGAGAAGTGCATAGTCTTCCGCGTCCATGTCCTCGTCCCGAGGCTGCTGCCCTATCGGGACGTGTAGGCTGCGAAGATCAAACATTTCAACCTGGAGCCGAAAGCGGCCTTGGGGTGGCGATATACGGACCAAAGCCGGGGGCACTCGCATGGGTAAACACCATGCTAGATCTAATAAGGCTGGCAGTCTACAAACCAAGTCGACCAGGGGATCGAAAGCCGCAGGGTCGCCGGCGGTCAAATGGATCGATCCGGAGGTCGTCGCACATGCGGTCCAGGACGACAGACGGGAGGGCGTCCAGGGTAGGCATCGCTGCAAAAGGGCAGATAGGGGTTGGCAAAGGGCGGTTCTATCGTTCTCTCGCCTGACGTACCGCAGGGACGAGTTGCTGACGGAGAGAAGTTTATACAAGTACATGCATTAGGAAAAGTACCCTGTACTCCGTATATATCCAACACCTGTTGGGCGCGGTTCCATCAACTCAACAGATTCGTTGAATTCATTGCGCCAGTTTCACACTTTCCACGGGTTTGGTTCACCCCAAGGCCGGGATTAAGAATTATGTGTAATTTCACCTACATTTCTTTTCGTGCCAACTTGAATCCATCATCGTGCCATGTCGTCATTGCTCCAAGACGCAAGTCCACGCCAGCTCGATCTTTCGATCACGACCTACAACAGGCAAGGATCACTGCAGATCGACATGGATGAGCAGAGCCTCAAAGAGCCCCAATCCAGGGATTCCAGGCACCCCAGTCACTAGGCTCTGACCAATGCCGAGCACAGAGAAACAAGGTATCGAACAACATTTTGTGGGAATAATGACAGCATACCACGCGTCAGCTCCTTCACGGTCCACCACGCAGTCAAGCGTCAGATAGCCCGGTGCGGCGCGTGCCATTATAATAGGTACCATGGCCCAAATTGATGTTGCCTGGGCTTCACAAGCTCCAGTCCTCTCTCCAACAGAGTCGCTAACACACAATGGCTGCGCAGACGTTCCTCAAGATGCTGGCCCTTGCGGGTTCCGTGTCCGCCTCTACGTTGTACTCGACCTACAACTTCAACCCTCTGGAGCATCTCGCAGGCATCGCACCCTACTTTGAGCCACAAGATCCCTCGATTTCACCAGATGCGCCCCAGGGCTGTGTCGCTGAGCGTGCTGCCTATCTTGTGCGCCACTCCGCCATCTACGCCAACGACTTTGACTTTAAGACCTACATTGAACCCTTCCTCGAGAAGCTGGACAACAAGACCGGCATCAAGTGGAACCGGGTCCCGGACCTCAGCTTCTTGGACGACTGGGAGGCACCTGTTTCTGATGATGAGGTCTCCATCCTGACACGGGTAGGCCGTCTCGAGGCCACTCGTCTGGGCGTGGACATCAACTTCCGCTACCCTTATCTGCGGGATCCCAAGCGCATTTGGACGTCGTCTGCTGAACGAACCGTCAAGGCTGCCAAGTCTCTGGTCCGCGGCTTGCAATCAGATGAGGAGACCATCAACGTCGTCGAGATCCCCGAAGGGTCAGAGTCTGGCGCCGATAGTCTTACCCCCTACAAGGCTTGCCCAGGCTACTCTGGATCCACAGGCAGTGATGAATCCAGCAAGTTTCAGGAGAGGTATGCAAAGCCCCTGGTCGCTCGCTTCAATGACCTTGCTCCCGACTTCAACTTTACGATCAACGACGTCTTTGGCATGCAGCAACTGTGCGGTTACGAGACCGTTATCCGAGGCAAGTCGCCCTTCTGCGACCTCGACCTTTTCAAGTCTGATGACTGGCTGGGCTGGGAGTATGCGGAAGACGTTCGCTATCACTACAATGTCGGGTATGGCAACAAAATCTCAGGGCCCGTCGGACTGCCGTGGTTGAACGCCACTGCGGAGCTTCTGCTCGACAATAATGCCGGGAAAGACGCAGAGGATCTGTACGTCAGCTTCACGCACCGTGAACTGCCCCCAATGGTCGTTGTAGCCATGGGGCTTTTCAACAACTCAGAGTTCAGCGGCGCCAACAACATCAACGAGACCATGCCATTGGATCGCATCAACTACCGTCGAGCCTGGAAGTCGTCCAACATCCTCCCCTTCTTGGGCAACATTGCCATTGAGCGCTTCAACTGCACCGACGCCCCTGGCTACGACGACGATGAATACTACAGAGTTCTGGTGAACAGCGCTCCCCAGCCTCTTCCAGGCTGCTCCGATGGACCGGGCACTATGTGCTCCCGCGACGGCTTCAATGAGTATCTCGAGGAGAGAATGTCCGCTTTCGACGAGGGTTTCTCGGATGCTTGTGGTGTTGAGTACGATAACAGCACGGATTCCCTTTCCATCTACACAGACAAGTCAGTGGGAAACGGAACTGCGGTTGATAAGCGTTACAACGCTTTCCAGTTGGAGTAAATTGACGCCTTTCGTTGCGGTTGATTTCTCGACTATTTCTACGAATCTCTTCACGGCCGAACATAAATATACCCAGCGACACTAGACAGAGTCATCATGAGTAGACTTATCTTAATCTAATTTACTGTGCTCCGTATTGATCCTACCATTAACACCAGCTCATAAAATTCGCGTGCAGCCTAGACAAACGGCCTGTTTCATTTTTTCAATATCTCAATGTAAGGTACCTATTGTAAACGTCTCTGCCATTGTGGCTCATCCCGCGGCCAATGATGCATGAGTCCGCGAAGCGCGATGAGACGGCATGTGAAGAGGGGTTAGACGGGTGACCGAGACATCATGCGGAGTTGAGATGAGTGTGCGAGTATGGCGACAGCACGTTGTGAGGGCCCAGCTAATTGCTGCGGATGATCATACGTACCAAATCAGCAAACTCATCGCGAGGTCACTTTTGGCTCGGTGGGTTCCATTAGAAGTCTGCCCCCGATTCTCCTGATGACAGATGATGGTATCCGTAGATTGAGCTTGAAGGCCGTTAAGGTTAACAGGCAGTAAGTTAGTCTCGGTTAAGCCCCGGTATCTGTTAGCCATAGGGAAGATGTCAGTGGCTTGACCACCCAATCAGCCACTACGGGTGCCTGCAGCACCAGCCCCAGCGAGCAATGCAGTGACTGGAACGACTGGAGCTGTCGCGAACCGCGCACATTAATCTTCGAACTTTGACTCGGATGTGCCGCTGCTGAAGCTGCTCCTCTCGCGGATCATCCCTCACGAGCCGACGGCTGAATCACTACGTCTTCCTCAGCGAATTCACTCTGCGCCTGCCTTGCTGTTTGGCTCCGGCGCGTCCTTCACCGACTTACCTGGCCTTAACCAAGTCGAGATCGTTAAAGAAACCGAAAGCGACACCAGCAACTGAACCCGGATCAGCTTGCGCCCTAGCACACGCCAATACAGAAAATGCGACACAGAGGCCACCGGGATTCCGTTCGAAGATCGCGTGCTTGAGCACTTCTTACACCCGACATTGCCCACTCCTATCTAGCCAGGGGCCCGGCACCCGCCCTTCTTGCGCAACTTACAACCACCGCCGCCGGGCCACTAGGGGACCAGTTCAGGTCCCCGCGACACATTAGACAAGATGCCGCCAGGCGGTGGAGGCAACATCAAGGTGGTGGTGAGAGTGCGGCCCTTTAATGGGCGAGGTAGGCTGCTGAGCTATCAAGACGAGGGGAACCCATGCTGACCAGCACAGAAATCGATAGAGGGGCAAAGCGGATTGTGGAAATGAAAAATGCGCAGACCGTGCTCACAGTACCAGACGGACACCAGGCAAAGAAGCAGGGCGATAGCGGCGCGAAGACATTCGCCTTTGACAGATCGTATTGGTCCTTTGACAAGAACGACTCCAACTACGCCGGCCAAAGCAACCTGTTTGATGACCTAGGCTCCCCGCTCCTCGACAATGCCTTTGACGGCTACAACAACTGTATCTTCGCCTACGGGCAGACGGGCTCGGGAAAATCGTACTCTATGATGGGATATGGCAAGGAAATCGGCATCATTCCCATGATCTGTCAGCAAATGTTCGAACGAATCAACCAGATGCAGGCCGACGGAGCTACCAAATGCACAGTCGAAGTCTCGTACTTGGAGATCTACAACGAGAGAGTACGCGATCTGCTGAACCCCGCGAACAAAGGCAACCTGCGCGTGCGTGAGCATCCCTCCACGGGACCCTATGTCGAAGACCTCGCCAAACTTGTCGTCAGTGGTTTCCAGGAAATTGAACACTTGATGGACGAGGGTAACAAGGCGCGAACCGTCGCCGCTACCAACATGAACGAAACATCGAGTCGAAGTCACGCTGTGTTCACCCTGATGCTCACGCAAAAGAAGATGGACACCGAGACGAAAATGGAAGCCGAAAAGGTGGCCAAGATCAGTCTGGTTGATTTGGCCGGATCCGAGCGAGCCAACTCGACGGGTGCGACTGGCGCGCGCCTCAAAGAGGGTGCGGAGATCAACAGGTCGCTTTCCACGCTTGGTCGTGTCATTGCGGCTTTGGCAGACATGTCGACCGGCGCCAAGAAGAAGAAGGGCGCCAACCAGGTTCCTTACCGTGACAGTATTCTCACATGGCTTCTCAAGGATTCGCTTGGTGGAAACAGTATGACGGCCATGATTGCTGCCATCAGTCCGGCAGACATCAATTACGACGAGACGCTCAGTACGCTACGATATGCCGACTCGGCCAAACGCATCAAGAACCATGCCGTTATTAACGAGGATGCGAATGCCCGAATGATCAGAGAACTTAAAGAGGAGCTGATGTTGTTACGAAGCAAACTGGGCGGAGGGGTACCTGGTGGTGTTGCTGGGGCCGCTCCGAACCCCGATGAGATCTATGATGAAAATACGCCACTTGAGAAGCAGCTGGTCAGCATCACAGGGCCTGATGGGACTGTTACGAAGGTGTCAAAGGCAGATATTGCTGAACAACTGAGCCAGAGCGAGAAGCTGCTCACCGACTTGAATCAGACATGGGAGCAGAAGCTGCAAAAGACAGAGGAAATCCACAAAGAGCGCGAGTCTGCACTGGAAGAGCTCGGCATCAGCATCGAGAAAGGATTCATTGGATTGTCCACCCCCAAGAAGATGCCTCATTTGGTCAACTTGTCCGATGACCCTTTGTTGGCGGAATGTCTTGTCTACAACCTCAAACCAGGCATCACAACGGTTGGCAATGTTGACACCAACGGTGAGCACCAAGCAAATGTTCGACTCAACGGCACAAGGATCTTGCACGACCACTGCAAGTTTGACAATGCTTCAGACGGCACTGTCACGCTTTTGCCTTCGGAGGGTGCATCTGTCATGGTGAATGGCAAGCGGGTCGATGGGCCGACGCAGCTGCACTCAGGATACCGTGTCATCCTTGGTGACTTCCACATCTTTCGATTCAACCATCCGATGGAGGCCAAAGCCGAGAGAGCAGAGACAGGGGCTGGTACGAGCTTGCTAAGGCACTCCATCACAGCAAGCCAGCTACAGGCCATCGATAGAGGATCACCGAGTCCGCGTCCGGGCCATGAGCGGATGTCTAGTAAAGCGTCCGACTTTTTTGACTCGAGACCAGACTCGCCGGCCCCCTTTGGCCGCAATGGGCGTGATTCAGATTGGTCCTTGGCAAGGAGGGAAGCGGCCGGTGCCATCTTGGGAACAGATCAAAATCTCAAGGGGCTGACGGACGAGGAGCTCAACGCCCTCTTTGAGGATGTGCAAAAGGTCCGCGCTGAGCGCGTCAATGCTCGCGAAGACGGCGATGATTCCGAGTCGTCGTATCCGACGCGGGACAAGTACATGTCCACCGGGACGATTGACAACTTTTCCCTTGACACAGCTTTGACCATGCCTTCGACACCTAAGCAGGGAGAGTATGACGACAAGCTCAAGGAGGTCCGCGAGGAGCTTCAAGTACAGCTCGAGAAACAGAAGGAGGAATTCACCGAGCAGCTCAAGAACGCCGAGGCAGCAAATGTCGAGGTCGAGGAGATCAAGAAGGAGAAGGTTCGCATGGAGACAGCGCTGCAAGATCTAAAAGACGACATGCAAAAACAACTAGTGTTGCAGAAGAAGAAGTATGAGGAGAAGCTGGAGAAGATGGACCCGCTGAAGCGACCCAAGGCCAACCCCAAATTGTCTGACGAAGAGCAAGCCAGAGCGAAGAGCGTCCTGAAGCACTGGCGCAGCCGCCACTACGTCAAAATGGCCGAGTCGGTGCTTCAAAACGCAGCCATCTTGAAGGAAGCTCAGATCATGAGCAACGCGCTCGAGGAGAATGTCGTCTTCCAGTTCACAGTCGTTGACGTGGGTCACGCTGTCTGCTCATCATACGACATGATGCTGAACGGATTGACCTTTGAGGGCGACGATGTTGGGCTGGAGGAAGCGCAAAAGCCGTGCATCGGCATCCGCGTTGTTGACTACAGGAGCAACGTGGTGCATCTTTGGAGTCTACAAAAGCTCCACGACCGGGTGCGACAGATGCGACAGATGCATCAATATCTCGACCAGCCGGACTATGCGCAGCACCTGAGTCTCGACAACCCTTTCCAGGAATCTTGCATGCCTTCTTACACACTCGTTGGCGAGGCCGACGTGCCCCTGCGCGCGGTCTTTGAGAGTCGGGTGCAAGACTTCTCGCTCGACGTGCTGTCCCCTTACACTTCCGATGTTTTGGGCATAGTTAAGCTGTCCCTCGAACCATCACACGCCCGAGCCCCGTCAAACACCCTCAAGTTCAACGTGGTCATGCATGAATTGGTTGGTTTTGCCGAGCGCGAAGGCACGGAAATCCACGCGCAACTATTCATCCCCGGCGTTTCAGAAGAGGATGGAATCACGACCACGCAGATGATCAGCAACTTTGATGAAGGGCCCATCCGCTTCGAGAGCGTTCATAGCATGAGCGTGCCTCTGTTCGCACCGCAAGATGTGACCTTGCGCGTAGCCATCTTTGCAAACGTATCTGCCATGCATCTGGACAAGCTGCTGAGCTGGGACGATATGCGGGACGAAGCCCCCCGGAGCAATGGAAATGGCCAGCGCATCAACGAGTCGCAGTTTTTCACACAGGAGAAGCATGACCTGCTGTCGAGGATCCAGATCAAGGAGCTGGACGAGGCTGGCGAGTATGCTCCGGTCGAGGTGGCACAGGCCAGTGAACTTGACACAGGCACTTTCCAGCTCCACCAAGGTCTACAGCGCCGTGTCAGCATCGACATCTCGCACAGTTCCGGCGACGCTCTGCCATGGGGCGACATCACTTCCGTGAGAATTGGTCGTATTCAGCTGATCGATTCTGCGGGCAAGACGCCCAACATGTCTGCTCCTGAGCCCGACATTACGCTCAAGATGGCGTCGAGCCCTGTCTACCGCGAGAACGCCAACGGGACGCGCAGCATCACTGTTAATGCGCAGTGGGATTCGTCGTTGCACGGCTCGTTGCTGCTGGACAAGGTCACAGCTGAAAAGTACCGCGTACAACTTACAGTGTCGTGGGAGATCAGCTCGGAGAAGCTGTCGGAGCCCATGAAGTTCTCACAGAAGATCTGCGTGCAGGTGATGCCTCGATCATTCATTCGCCAAGCATCCATATTCTCGTCCATGTTTCAGAACGTGCGCTTCGTCAAGACGTCTACGGGTATTTTCACCCTGACGATGCGACCCGCACCTATCAAGCGGGTGGGCGACCTTTGGCGCATGAACAGCCAGCATGATTACGTCAAGGGCGAGGAAAACCTGCAGAGCTGGACGCCCCGCGGCGTGTCTTTGGTCAGCGACTTTATCAGATCGCACAAGAAGAGAAGGCGGGTTGCTGAGATCGGCACCATCCAGAACATGCTCAACAAGCTGGGGGTCTCGGCAGACGGCAGCAAAGCAAACCCCTCAGAGCCCGATGTCCCTCCATCGCCTGAACTGAGACCTATCATACCAAATGATGATGATCTACTCAACGACACGCCCGAGGCGTCACCCGAGCCATCTGTCAATGGTGATGCAGAGGCTGCAGACGAGGACGGGTCGGCGGCCGACGGGACAAAGGTGGCAGAGGGTGAAGCTGAAGCTGAAGCTGCCACGACGGGCGAGGGCCTTCCATCCAAGTCAGAGTACTCTGAGCGCCACACTGAGCTGCTCGAGAGATGTCTCAAACTATGGGTCAAGTACCCGGACCCATTGTCCAACATACTGAGCCCAGCCAACACGGCCCCACCCACTGATGTGGCAGCAGAGGCGGCACTTGCGCCCAGCCTGGTCACAACCATCATCCGGGTTGCCAAGAATCCCAAGGCGCTCAAGGGTGGCTATCTCTTGGTGCCCAATGAGGACTCTACACGATGGCAAAAGAGGTTTGTGGAATTGCGACGGCCATATCTGCACATCCACTCGGCTACCGACGGTGATGAGGTGGGACTTGTCAGCCTGAGGAACTCACGTGTGGACAGCCAGCCCGGCATCTTGGGTCTGCTGCATGGCCCAGACGACTACGACGCACCACCCGGGCAGAATGGTAGCGGGCCAACGTTCACCCCGGGGCATCGGCGCACCGCTTCGGGCCGTGTGATCAACACCATCTGGACGGGCGCCAGCCACGGGTCAGCCAATGGTGGCGGTCAATCGCAGCAGGGGATCACACGGCTCAGCGAGCGCATGCAGGCCGCTGTTTTTGCTATTTACGGCACCGACAACACCTGGCTGTTTGCGGCGCGGAGTGAGAAGGACAAGATGGACTGGATATTGCGTATCGACCAGACGTACATGGCCAACGACGAGAGCGCGACCAACAGCGGCATGATGAGCCCCTGGCAGGGCAGCGAGTACTGACATGAGGAGGCGGAAGCACGCGTAGGCGGTGCAGCAAGATGAGGGTGACGAAGCATTTTATGGGCCCACGACATTGACATCTCTTCCTTCAGCTTTTGCGCCAGCGGCATCCAGCAGCGCCGTGTTCTCTGGCCAATTTTATTCGATCTACTATTCCCCTTCTTTGCGTTGCACATGTTGGTCCTGGCGAGCACCAATTTATATATACCCACGCGAGACCAGAGGAGCTGGCGAGCCAGCTCGAGATGAATGGAGAGCAAGTGATCTATAGACAGACTGGGCATATTGAGAGACCATGAGCGTACGGATCACCAAGATGTCCATGACGTGCCCGTGCTTGCTTACTGAGTAAGATGTGATGAGACCTGCAGACGCAGGCATGATGCGTCTCCCACAGATCGCGAGACGCTCCGCGGGTCTGGGACCGGCAGCCGCCATCTATTATTCAGGAGCTGCCCCGAGGTGCGGAACGAAGTCGAGGCCGTGCTGGCATCTGGCGCAAACCCAACAAGATTGATATGAAAATGCTCCGCAATGGGTGCCAGGCGCGGCCGAGAGGGTTGCAATGCAGCATTTGTCCCCCCTCAATGACTGGGCTCTGCACTCCTTCATGCTACCGTGCGCTGCAACTTTGTTCCACCTGTTGGTCGTGTCGGTCCAGGCGCCTTTTATGGGACAGTGCCATGCAGGGCGGGCGACTTGAAAGCAGCAAAGCGGAGCGCGGAGCAGAACCAGCGCTCAGGAAGGGCGGTTGTCGGGCCCGACTCTGTCCGTCTGCTTGGTGCGGAAGAAGCGAGATCTCGAATGGTCGATCGAGACATGTGCACTGGAGAAGAGGCATGGACACACTCACCACGGGGCAAACAACAAAGATCAGAAGGCTAATAAAGCCCTGCCTTGGTCGCCTGCACATCGCATCGACCCAATCCCACATGCAGCACCAGCCAATGAATCACCCCTTTGAGCTGGCCGGGCATGGCTTCCGGCCCGTTGGACAAAGCTTGATCCCTGCTCTTTATCCGAATAATCGGGAAATCGTTTCGCGCTGTCTGTCTGACTCTGTCTGTGCAGTGCAGCTGAGCTCTGCCCAACAACTGCCCCCCCCGCCAGATCGTCACGCTCGTTGGCTGCGTGTCGCACCGCCGCTCTGGGCTCTCGATGCGCTGAACTCTCGCTAGGTAGTCTAGCGTTTTCGAGGGGCATTTTGCTTTTGTGGTACGTACTACGTAGTAGGTAATGAATGTAATGCAAGGCGTACTGGGGGTCGTGGACGCTGGGACGGAATGCTGGGACGTGGGACCTGGTTCTTGGGTCCTTTTGACAGAACCATCTTTCAGGTTGCGTTTCGCCCTCACTCGTGTCTTTATCGTCTCCAGTTTCCCTTTCCCCAAATTCTGTCGTTACCATTCTTTCTTGCTAGAGCGGGCAGAGAACAAATCCATCCGTCAATCATCCCTCATACTCGTCGTTTGATTTGGGGTTGCTGCCACTCGACGCGCGACCAACATCTCAAAGACCAGATATACCCCAAGGGCTGTAAAGTCGGCGTCCCCTCACCAACCCAAGCCGTCGGGTCGATCTTGTCACATTATTAGCCTTTCCCGACACAGTGTCACCGAGACTGCTGCGTGTGCCCGCATGGCGGCCAACAGCGACGAGGCACAGTCTGGGGACGGGAATGGAGACCGTCAATTCACATTCCGGTATCCCTCCACCGGGTCGACAATCGGCAATTCGATTGAGGCTGATGTAAGTCTACTTTGCGCTGGATTGAGAATGCATTGAACTGTGGCTGATGAACGTAGCCTGTGCTCTCGGGGATGTAAGTTATGAGTCAATCGAGAGCAGCAACGGAGTGCAGTTCGCCGACCAATGTCACAGCACTAATCGACATACACGCAGATACGATGATACCTCAGCTTCCTTATCGGAGAGTGTCCAGAACTATCCGAAACAATTTGGTCGGACGTATCATGCGTATCGCGCAGGCTGTATGTGCCTTTCGACTCAACTGACTGCTGGTCCCGGGACCAAGGCTGATGAGACTCATGTAGCTTACCCCTTCCCGAATGACCTCCCGGAGTGCGAACGACTCCAGCTCCAGTATGACATTGTAGACGCATCTTTGAACGGGCATCTCTTCTTCGCGCCACTCGACAAGCCTCGCTACATCCTCGACGTGGCCACCGGCACCGGGGATTGGGCCGTTCAGATGGGGGATCTGTTCCCCCAAGCCAACGTCGTGGCCACGGACCTCTCGCCCATTCAGCCCGTAGAGGTGCCGCCCAATGTGGAATTCTACGTCGAGGACAGCTCGGAAGAGTGGGAGTACTCGCACAAGTTTGACTTCATCCACACGAGATTGACAGGAGGCTCCTGGTCGAGCTACGAACGACAGGTTCTACGACAGGCCTTCGACAATCTGAATCCTGGGGGATGGATGGAAAGCCAAGAGGGCGACGCCTCATTCTCGTGTGACGACGGCTCGCTGAAGCCGGGACATGCCCTCTATCGCTGGGGCGAGGACCTGGCCCTCTCCTCGCGCCTCATCGATCGGCCCATGGTTTTTGTGAGCGGCATCAAGGACATGTACGCTTCGGTGGGCTTTGTGGACATTCATGAGAAGATATTCAAGATACCGTGCGGCACGTGGCCCAAGGATGAAAGGCTCAAGGAGCTAGGCAGGGGGTGGCAGCTCAACGTGCAAAGTGGTCTCAGCGGGTTCACGTTTGCCAACTTTTACCGAGCATTCGGCGTAAAGGAGGATGCGATCGAGGTGTATCTCGTGGATGTGAGGAAGGATGTGGCTAACAGTAAAATACACGCGTATACGGCGGTGCATGTCGTTTGGGGGAGGAAACCGTTTCCGGGCGAGGTCAGTGAATCATGACAATCAAGAGATTCGAAGCTGGATGTTCCTGCACAGAAAGTGCCCTGATGTGATTTATGGGAGCTCCTCCACAGGTGTTCTATTGACCCAATGTCCAGACGTCTATGTTTGTTATATACCCAGAATCGTGACAACATTGACCTTTTCGAACAGATGGCTAGGCAGAAGGGCTATAGTCCTGCTTGATGAGCCAGCGCAGCTGCTTCCTGTCCTCTTCGCTATCCACCGTCTCTTCAAATAACTTTTGGCTCATGAACTCGTGATCGGAGTAGTCAAACCCCGGAACAACCGTTTCTGTGATCAAAAGTCCAGAGTTGTCCTCGGCACTGCCATCATCAAGCAGAAAACTTGCTTTCCAACTCCCTCCTTTTACAACCCACTGTAATTTCTCGCCCTTCTCAATATTGTTCCCGACGACAAAGGTCTCGATGGACTTGTCCTCGTGGATCACCACGTACCGCCCACGACCTCTGTGCAAGGTATGGATGATCCTCGATCTGTTCCGGTGGAAGCTGCCTTTGGGGGAGTTGGGCGTCAGGTAGTAGAAGATGGATGTGCTCATGAGACGCGTATCCCCTCGGGGCTTGGCATCGACGTATTTGAGAGTGTCCTCGCTGAGCGGCGTAGCCGGGTAGGGAGAAGGAATAGACCGTGGGGACGAGTCACTGAGCTGGAAGTAACCGCCTTCGATGTGAGGGATCAAGTTTAGGGTTTTGATAGTCGACTGAACACGCGCATTCTCCTCGGCGGGCTGTGTTGGGACATTTGGCTTCTCCAGAGGCGGCAGGGACGAATCTGAGGTGGTGGTAGCATCGCCCATGGTGACAGCTGTGTGCTCCGGAAGCAACAGCCAGATGTTACGATATCAAGGCACGGGCAGGTGAGGACGAAGAGGTGATATGTCGGGAGCTGTGAGGTTTTTTATTCATCTAGTCTAGATACTGATAAACAGAGATTAGTGACGACACGGTGGAGTAGATATGTTTGTAGCAAGTGCACTAAATCACCTTAGTCTAAGACATCGCTAGGAGTAGATGGACTTGGATGGAGTGGTTCATCATTAGACCCAAGTACCGAGACCCGCACTTACTTGCTTATTCTGAACGTATTCCAAGCCGTAGGCGATGTTGATAGTCTCGATGCTGGGGGCATGGTGCAAAGATAAGATAATCATACATAGTAGTATGGAATACTCCGTAGTAGAAGTGTAGAAAAAGAAGTCAGCCCGATAAGGAGCTTCGGTTCATCTGTGGCTCTAAATCGAGGGGCTGGTAAGTTGAAAATGCCTACCCGGTGGTGGTGTCCTGGGCACCGACATGCCGACCGAGACCGACCCCACGAGACATTGGGCGCACCTGGGCAATGATCGCATCGACGTCAATGGTCGCGTAACGTACGTTCACTTTCGCGCACATGTAGTAACATGTTTCGCCCACGACTCATGCACAGAGGTGCTGCCCCTCGTTCGATATCCAACTTGCCTCTTCTGCGATCCACTGCCGTCCCCAAGCGTCCGATTGCCCTTGTTCAGAGATCACGACCGTCGACCTGCCGGTACTACAGACAAATCCCCGAGGAAGAGTATCGCCGCCGCCTCGCCGAAGCGCGACCACTCCTCTCGAATCGACGTGCAAAGACACTCGAGACGATTGGCACAACGAAGCAGCATCGAATATTCATCCTCGTCTGCGTCGCGGCCGCGGTCGTCTTCTACTTTGCCAACTCGCAAAAGGTCCCCGTCACCGGGAGGAGGCGATTCAATTTCCTCAGCGAGGACTGGTTGAAGATCTTTGGCGTATCGGGCGACGCGTACGTGCAAGAGCTCCGGAGAGAAGGTGTTCAGTTTGCTCCCAAATATGACTGGCGATATGCACGGGTCATGAGTGTGATGCAGAGGCTGGTCCCCGTCAGCGGGCAAGCAGACAAGGACTGGAAAGTCCACGTCATACTTGATGATGGTAGGTCCATGCATCGCCGAGAAATTTGAGCAGACTTCTAACAAAGGGCGGGTCTGCAGGGGCAGCGAACGCCTTTGTTACACCGGACGGGCATGTCTTCGTCTTCAGCGGCATCATCAACCTCTGCGGCAACATCGATTCCCTCGCGACGGTCCTCGGACACGAGATTGCCCACAATGTCGCAACGCATTCAGCGGAGCGACTGTCGGCAGCCATCATTGCCAACCTCACCAGCGGAAGTCTGTTCCTCCTCTTCGGGCTCCTTCCAGGTCTGACACTGGCCGGACTCTGGACACTTACTGGTGGGCGGTATGTGCAAAGCCTCATCTACGACCTGCCCATGAACAGGAAACAAGAGACAGAGGCGGACTATATCGGGCTTATGATGATGGCCGAGGCCTGCTACGATCCCCGCCACTCGATTGGGTTCTGGGAGCGGATGAAAGTCGTCCAGTCGCAAAGCCGAGGATATGAGGTGCCAGAGATGCTGAGTACACATCCTTCTGTGAGTACCCTGTGTCTGTGATTCATCATTGTCGTATGCTGACGAGTCCAGGACGGCTCCCGCATCGAGAAGCTGACCCAGTGGCTGCCCGAGGCGATGGAGAAGTGGCAGGCCAGCGACTGTCATGGCGGTCAGGGCGCAATAGCCCGGCAGTTTAGAGAAGCGCTCTCGCATAGGAGATTCATGGGCGTGGCATGGTAGAGGGATCAACGTAGATACAGGCACCTGTGCTGGGCCACCCGTCCCTCCTCGCGGATCATTACCTGTATAGAATTTTTGCAAGCAGACCCCAGGATGCGACGTTCAGGCCATCACTTGTGAGCTTCGTATAGCTTTTGACGCGTCCACACAATTACACTTCAGTGCCCGGCGAGGCTGAGCATACCGTAGGATCACGAGGCCTCGGTTGGTGACGAATTGCGCCGTCGCTACTGGCTGACGCGGGGCATGACGTTGGGTCCACAGGCGACAGACCCCTGTCCCGTACAAGTGTTTAGCGGTGCCCGTCCCCAGATTCCCCAAGGTGCCGAGGTAAACTTGGACCTTTATCACGCTCGCGCTCGCACCCGTACTCGACAATACTTGTAGCGAATACTTAACCGACAGCTCCAAGAGCGACATCATACACTTTGCTTCAATATAAAACTGACGCTTTAAATCATGTCCAAGACGTACACTACCGCCGACGTAGCGCAGCACAAGGACGAGTCCAATGGCTACTGGCTCATCGTTGAGAACGATGTCTACGACGTCTCAAGTAAGTCCGTCCTGAACCCTTCTTTCCCGGGCCTGTGCTTCCTCATGGCGCTGGACATGACAGCTGGCGAGACGAACAGACATTAACAGTTGGCTTGCAGAATTCCTCGATGATCACCCTGGAGGCGCCAAGATCCTCAAGCGCTTCGCAGGAAAGAACGCAACCAAATCCTTCTGGAAGTACCACAATGAGAGCGTCTTGAAGAAGTATGGCGCCAAGTTGAAGATTGGCGAGGTGGGCGAGAGCGCCAAGTTGTGAGAGGCTTTTGAGCAGTGGCGGTGCATCACGGACGACTTCGTTTCTCGTCCACACAGGGCGTGTCTGCACCGGCGGTTGACGGATTCGTTTCAAGCGACGTGCGTCGCGCTGCAAGACCAGCAAAGCACGCGGCAACATGGGGGAAAGACGGGCAGTCAAACACATACGCCATCATCTGGCACTACATCAGCAATGTTAGCTCGGATACTATCCGCAATTCTCCATATAATGCTGACGGCCGTTCCTGACTCAAGATGCCGTGTTCCGCGTGCTTGGACGTAGTACCTATTCTCGCCAACTCATGCCTCGCTTCGTCAGCAAACCACTTCATGCCAGGAAGTGGGGCCTCTCAGGGTATAAGAACTAAGAAGTGAGATACTAACTCAGCTCACACCCTCACTGCAGCAAGTGGCAGCTTCATAAACTCGCCATGGACGACATCTTCAACCCCAAGGCGGAGGAAGCCATCCTTGTCTCCCTCGAGAAGCTGCACGCACAATCAACCACATACCCAACCCTCCCCTCACCCGAGCTATTGGCAACAGGGTCATCCTCACTCGTCCCGTCCATCGCCAGCACCAAGTCAGAGCAGGACGTGATCAGGCACATCACAGGAGATATTGTCCCTGCTCTCACAGGACAGGCTTTGAGCCCGCGGTACTATGGCTTCGTGACTGGGTCCTCCCTCCCTATCGCCGCCTGGGCCGACACACTCGTCACACGCATCGACCAGAATGTCCAGGTCCATCTACCTCATCAGACGATTGCCACGGAGGTAGAAGACAGAGCATTGCGTATGTTAGGCGAGCTGCTGAAGCTAGGCGATAGCTTCGAGGGCAGAACGCTCACGACGGGGGCGACGGGCAGCAATGTCCTTGGGCTCGCTTGTGGACGCGAGGCAATCATCGAGAAAAGGGGTGGAAATGTCGGTGAAGATGGGCTCCTGGGAGCGTGTATGGCTGCTGGTGTCAGCAACATACAGGTCCTCACCAGCGGAGGGCATAGCTCCCTCTCCAAGGCTGCCAGTATCGTGGGACTGGGGAGACAGTCGGTGAAGGAGCTGGGTGTGAGCGCTGACGAGCCATGGAAGTTGGATATCGACGTCGTGGAAAAGCATCTACAAAAAGAGGGGACCGCGACTATCATTGGTATCAGCGCAGGAGAAGTCAACACGGGCCGTTTCGCCGTGGACGGCCTAGCTGGTATGAAGAGGCTCAGAGCATTGGCCGACAAATACAGCGCTTGGATACACGTGGATGGCGGTAAGTCACTTTTTTGCACCGGAAAGAAACGAGCACGGAGGCTGACGAGTGTAGCATTTGGTATCTTCGCCCGTTGTCTCGACAACATGGCTGACTTTGAGGATCTCAAGCGCCAGGTAGAGGGCATCCAGCTGGCGGACAGTATCACTGTGGACGGGCACAAGATTCTCAATGTTGTAAGTGTGCCGCACGCACTTCTTTCGTTGACCACCGCAGCTGACCAGCCCAGCCGTATGACTGCGGCATGTTCTTCACCCGCTCCCAGTCAACACTGGCTTCCGTGTTCACCAATCCCAACGCAGCATACCTCGCCGGGGGCTCTGCTTCCAAAATCTCTTCGCCTCTCAACAATGGACTCGAGAACAGTCGCCGTTTCCGCGCCCTGCCGGTATATGCCACACTTCTCTCGCAAGGCTCGAATGGGTTCGCCGCCATGATCTCCAGAATGGTCCTCCTCGCCCGTCGAGTCGCAGGTTGGATCCGTGCTTCTGAACAGTACGAGCTTCTCCCTGGTGGTGACTGGAACATTGAGAAGGAAACGTTCATCATCGTCCTGTTTCGGGCGAGGGACAATAACTTGAACGACAATTTGGTGGAAAAGATCAACGCCACGAGACAGATGTATGTCAGCGGGACCAAATGGAAGGGCGAAAAGGCTGTGCGAATCGCGGTGTCTACATGGAAGGTGGATGTCGAGAGAGACGGCCGCATCGTTGAGCAGATACTGGCGGCTGTCGCCGAGGGTCGTGACTTTGAAATGGCCCAAGTCAAATAGAATTGCGCTTCCTGTTGGGAGGGGCCGCCTTGCGACAGACCTGTCGAACTCGCTTAACCAAACTTCTTGGAGCCACCCTTGCCCAAACTTGAGGCCTTGTTCTTGCCCTTCTTGCCCTGTCCAATCAGCTCCAAGTGTCCGGCGCGTTCGCCCAGGACGGCCTCTGTCTGGGCCACCATGCCCGAGGTGAACTTTCGGTTTACGCGATCGGCATTCTGCTTCGGTGTCTTCTTGGGTTTCGAGACTTTGGAGGCTTGACGCTTCGAGTGGACGACCTTTGCGGCGTTGCCCTTGACACGAGGCTTGACAGCGCCTTGAGCCATGGCTGTACTAGGACGGCGGTGAATTGATTGCGTGAAAGTGGTGTGTTTGGTGTCAAAAGTCGGTGCTCGAGAGACGCAGAAATGGGATTTTGGTATGGGCGGGGATTTTTTCTGCAGGCGCCTTATCGCCCTGCACCGATAACAACAGCCAACCAGTGTGGCGTTTCACTTCCTTTGCCTCAAGAATGTCACCACGCGACAAGTACTATGCTTAGATATTGCTCATGGATGGCATCGTAAGACAATCGATGTATGTTAATCTGTCATTATGGCGCAGTTTGCAATGGTGTGGTCTGTAACATTGGCCACTACGGTTAGGGAATCTCGCATCCTCAATCGTCCGCAAGACACTCCAGTCCCTTTGCTGCAATCCAAGGACAATCGCCGCACATCAATGAAGAATACCAGTGGGTTGCTTGATTTGTATTCGAGGCTTTTGGTCTATCCATATACATCATCAAATCGTAGTCCATCCCAACAATCATCCGCCTACGCTATGCTCCGGACCCCCCCAAAACTGGGAACATTTATTTCTTCGCCTTGTTGGGGAACTTGGGCTGGCCAATGTCGGCGCCCCGCAGCTTGACGTTGAGCACGCGCTCCATGGAGGCCAGCACCTTCTGGTCAGGCGTGGCCGACCCCCGCTCAAAGTCGGCGACGACGGTCTGGGTGGTGTTGCACTTTGTCGCGAGGTCCTTCTGGGTCATCTTGGGCTCCATCTTCTGTCGCGCCTGCGAGATGGCGTCGCCGACCACCTTGCCAACGGTGTTGGGCTTGATGATGTCGTCGGAGCGGTCGACCTTTGTGAGACGCTGACCCTCGCCAGTGCCGGCCTTTGAGGCGTGTCAGCAACCAGGAATCAATACTTGTCAGAGGTAGGGTGCAAAACGTACTGTGTTGGCAGTGCCGTACTTCTTCTCGGTGCCGACGATGCCTCCGCTGCGCTGGGCGGCGTTGAGGGCGGCCTTGCCACGGATGACGGTCTCGCGCTCAGACTGGCCCGGTCCACGGACCTTGCTGCCGATCTTGGTGACTTGATCCCAGTCAGACATTGTGACGGTTTTGTAAGGTGGTGATGCGGTGATGCGGTATCGTTTTTCGAGTCGTTGCGTAGGCGAGAAGATGTGAAGTGATTGTGGCTCGCGTGCGTTATGACGTTGAAAGAGTTGTTGGTGGGTTTTGTAGCCTCGAAAGAAATGGAGTCGATGAGCAAAGGCCGGACCCAAGCATCACTGACTCAATCGGCGGGGGGATGATGGAATGTGCTAGTAGAGGGGTCGTGGGTGACAAAAGTGCACTATTGGCACTGGCCCGCCATCTTTGCCAGATTTGTTAAGGCCTGATCAGACTTATGGCGCAACTCTTTCGAGGCTTCTGATTTGCTAGACGTGGGACAAAAAGGAAGGCTGCGAACCAAGTCTCCAGCATCTCAGCTGTAACAAAAGGCATCAGTCCATGTATATAATTATATGCTTCATTACGCTCAGTAAACGGGACCTTCCATAGGGCTGTTCAAATATTTGTCTTGTCTATAGCGCGCTCAGTGCGACCATTTCATGAACGGTCGTTGCAGTGTTGTCTCTTCTCCCCCTTTCCCCTGGTCGCTGGCTCGGAAAACAGGCTGCACCTTGATGGCCAGTCATTCCTCGAACGTTCCCCCAGAACACCAACAGTCCCCTCTTCTTGTTGACTATCAGAGCTTCTCCTGCGAATGGATAGCATTCACGATGATTCTCCCTTCGTCTGCGCACTGAATGCATGGGACTACATTGAAACGGCCTTCGGTGAGCATGGCCACGCCCTATGGGCAATGTCTGCTCTGCTTGGATACGCCCACTTGTTCCACACGCGGCTGAATTTCATCTTCATCGTCCTCTTCGTTCTATGGCTCAGCCTGCAAGACATCTGTCTGGCTGTTCAATGGCACAATGTCATCATCAAGCACGTCACCCTGTCCTTGGTGTCGATAGGGGCTCTGGCTCTGGCCAGCCTTTACTTTCGGGGTCACGCCTTTCGCCAAGCTTGGACCGGCGACGAGGAGCTGATACCGTGCAAAGTAACGAGTTCAACTCGGGCCTCTACAGCCGACAGGTCAATTTTGGTGGGAAAGCTGGTCTCGCTCTGCTCGGCGACTCAGAAATGCACCAGCAGACATGTGCCAACCCACCCCCGATGCGTTGACCTCAATTTCCACAACTGGGCGACGGTGAACCCAGAAGACCACCTCGCAAATGGCGATGCGTCGGTGACCTTGGATCTCAAACTCAAAGCCTCCCTCAGGTCACAGGTAATGTCAGTGCTAAATCGAAGTGTCCAATCTAACAGCGTTAGGAAATCGAGCCCGAGTACTTCTCTCATGCTTACTTGGTCACGGCGATCAAGGCACTTGGTTTTTGGCTCCCACCTCGCGTATCACTTTGGTACCTCTACTCCATGGACGGCGGACTCTCTTTCCTGGTACTTGAGGTGCACAGCGCAAGCGGTGAGCGCGAATCCTTTATTGGTTTCCCGATGCCGGCCTCTCAAGCTACCCAATCTACGAATCCGGTGCTCGATGTGTCCGGCCCACGCGTGTTCACTTTTGAGACCACCTTCCTGAAAGACCCTTCGGTCGCTGGACTTGGCTTAGAGGCTGGGGCAAAGACGATCCGAACGACTGATCCACTCGACTCGACGCAACGCAAGCGGCGGGGACTGAGCATTGCCATCGAACTCTCCGACCACGCTTCAAGTGGGCCAGGGGAGCTCATTCTCGGCCTACAAGTTACAGGTGAGCCGATCAGGGTTGGGCACATTGGTGTCTTCGAGAAGCTCGCATTCACCTATTCCGTTCTGTCGACCATTATGGCCTCGATGGTCACAAGCTGGTTCGACTGGATCAGGCTCTGTCTCAGCCAGTATCCCTTTGACGAGCATAGCCGCGAGCAATCCGAAGTATATGCCCAGCGCCCCGCCGACTTCTTGGAACGGGATATCGAATTTGCCTTTGAAAAGTATCTCCTCGCATCCGGGGAAGCAAGCAATTTACCTGTCGTGGTCCACTACCTTGCGAGCGGTGTCCAGAGGCGTCAGAAGACACGACCCACCGCAGCCCTCGCAGAAAGATCCGATGTAGTTGTTCACGTCCAGCTGAAAGTACTCACCCCAGAGTTCTATAGGAGATTTGTCGGGTACGCTCACGACATGGAAGCTATATTTTGCGAGCTGCGGGAAAATCGAACCGTCTGGACAGACAAACCCGAGGTCCTTGATCAATTGTTTCTGAAAAGGCCAGGTCGACCACTACAGACGCAGAGTCTCGTGGACTATGTCACGTTCAGCCTCATCCGAATGTTGCGCAAGCGACCACCTCCTATCAAGAGGCAAGCTTCATCCGCTGGGTACGCATCTGGTCTCCCAGCGGGCGTCGATATTCGACAATTTCGAATGTCTGCAATGGATGCTTTCATCCTTTGCCAAGGAGACGACGACCTCAAACGGAGATACCGGTCGGCTGTGCTTCAGCTGTTCCTGGCCGAGCGCCTCTTCTACGGTTCCGTACGCACGCTGAGCGTGGTGCGAGTTGTGTTCAGACTCACGATAGCATGGACCATTGCCAAGGTCTGCACCTTATCTGTTACGAAATACACGAATTGAAAAGCGGAACACTCGGCGAAACGAAATATTCAGACTTGCCCATGGGGTGTTGCCTCTGTGACGTTGGAGGGGCTCAGACTCGAGGACCCCTCGGCGGGGTCAGCCAGGTGCCAGACTGAAGCTGCGACCTCGATTCCAAATACCTGCTGCGTACATGATGCGCCAATCTCCAACCGTCTTGGTCTGTGGGTCGGCAACTGGGAAGCCGATACGATCGCGTTGAAGCGTTTGGCATTGTTTGCGCTGGGATGTGATTTGGAATTCACCTTCCAGGTACGCGACGCCACGACACAGCCCAAGAGCTCGACATGATATACTTCCCCGGCTGGCAGCCAAAGCTACGACACGGCATCCAGATCGTCCAATCATTCCCTTTCTTGGCAGCTTACCCGCTGGCGCCGGCACGAGTGAGACGACATTCGACACCCGTCCTCTGGTCATTTCCACACCGTGCACGGCAGCTCTTCGCAGACTCTGGCGGGCTATTCCGCCGGAGCGGGAGATTTGCTGCCATTCAATTGGATGTAACCAGGCACGAGATTCTGTCTTTTGGCTGCAGGCAGAGTGCCATGGGCGGTGGATGGTGCATATCCTGGAGATGACCTGAAGGCTACTGTGCCAATTCTCCACAGTCCCTGTGCCAGAGTCCCATGAAGCATCGTCATGGTCCACCATAGCTCATAGCTCCGAGACACGTTTATTTATTACCCCGCTGGGTCCCCTCGAGAGAGCTGTTCAGACTCAACATTGCAATCTTACATCCTACGCCTACTCAAACTTACCATACTAGCCATCATGCCTCTCACCGGACACTGCCTCTGCAAGGCCGTCACCTACTCGGTCGACGTCGAAGCCCCTCTGCTCACCGGCTACGATCACTGCGACGACTGCCAGCGCCAGTCCGGCTCGACCTACTGTAAGCCTCCCATTTGATCCGTCTGACATTGGCATCCGGCAAGACTCACATCATCCCCAGCCCTCGTCGCCGTCGTCCCCAAGGACAAGCTCACCGTCAACGGCCCCGTCAAGAAGTACTCCTCCAAGGGCTCCTCCGGCAAGGACGTCCACCGCCTCTTCTGCTCCGAGTGCGGCTCGCCCATTGCGCACGATCCCGATGCCGCCCCCGAGATCATCGCCCTGAAGGCTGGTACCTTTGACTCGGAGCTCAAGAAGAACCTCAAGCCCGTATGTCCACCGGAGTCTCCAATGATCCGCACCACAGAGAACTAACCAATCTTTCAGGATACCGAGATCTGGACCGTCGGCAAGCTGCCTTTCTGCAAGGAGAACCTGGAGAAGCCGTTCAAGCACATGCCTGAATAAGCAGGATCTCCATAGCATGAATAATGAATCCTCCTAAGGCACTCCCGTTCCTGCGCTACGACTACATGTGAAACCCCTGATCAGACCTGGCGTGGTTGTAGGCAAACAATGATGTACGACTCAAGTACGAGGCCATTCAGTTGTGCCGTAACATCACTACTGCACAGCTCGCACGACTGGATGGTATGCAATCGATGGACAGGTGCGTGAAATCAAGACAAGCCATGGTGTTTGTATTCCTTCTTCGTGTGTGTGCCCTATGGTGGGTTTACTTGCCTACAGCTAATAATGTTCCACTACTTCTCTCCGAGAACCGGCAGGCGCATAGATGCCTCACATTCCAAATGCCACCAGCAAAAGAAAGGCCGCCAATGCAAGCGGAACATTGCCCATGCTCATGGCAGCAACATTGTCGGTGCTCTTTCCGAAGGGAGACTTGGTCGCGATGACAGCTGTCTCGGTTGTAGAAGATTTCTCTCCGTGTCCGCCGGCATGCGTCAAGTTGAATGAATCGGTCATGTTGTAGTGCGGCTGAGATGTGCCCGTGGATTTGGACCCGGGTGCATCAAGACCGTCAGTGTCCTGATCCGAAATGTCGTCCTCCGGGTCAGTGCAGGCCCAGTTGTAGACATCGGTGGCAATCGTGTCCCAAAGTTTCTTGTCCTTCTCCTCGTCGTCTTTGTCCCACTCGTGGCCAAAGTACTTTGCAAGACTCTCGCCAGTCAGCTTGGGAGGATCACCTTGAGCCTTGACAAATGATCGCCCGCCAAATTCCGAGTCATCATCCATGTCGGAATCTTCATCGTAGAACCTGTTGGCATCTTGGCAAACATCATCCAGGTCTTGCAGCAGTAGCTGTGTAATATCTGAACGTTTGCTGATGGAACGTCGAGGAAGGATACTATTGCCGTGGCTGTAGTGATGCGTGAGGGTCGCAGTTTGTGTCTCGATATGCCCGATCACACGTGTGACGGTATGCTTGCTGGGAGGTGCAGAGGTGGTGTGGTGTCCTTTCCCCATGATGATGGAAGTTGATGCAATTAATGGTTCTGTGTGTGTGAAAGTTGTTATGGGTTTGAGGCAGCCAAAAAGAACTGATGTTGCTGATGTTGTGAAGAAGACAAAGACAGGGTGGTAGGGTTGCGAGGACGTAGACCTTTAAGAGGATACCTGGTTGACGGGCTCTTTGAGGCAAGAGGTTCTTTCTCCTTCCAAGCACTTTCTTTCTGGATGTGTAGTGCTGCCTCCCTGTGAGGGTAGGCAAGAATCATCTGCAGACGGGGGAAGGACCAGCAGAGTAGAGAAGCCATGGTCTTGACCATTGCATGTGGCAGGCACCTACGTATAAGATTGCTTCTTCGAGACCTATCAGCCATACAATGGCAGCTGTGTATCCAAAGGGTTTTGATATGCTGCGAGAGCACGCTCTCTTGAGGCAGTATGAAAATGACATTTGCCAGCGAATAAGGCAAGTCTGTTCTAGTTGCTTCAGCCCAATGACCTTCCGTGCCCCTTCCGGCTCTAGGTGATATGGAAAGAACCTGCCCAGTCGCAGCAAATCGCCTAAGGTACTGAGTTAGACACGTAAGCCCCATACTTGCACTTGCCATACATTCAATCCATGGCCAGTCGCCTAACGTTGGACTGGGACAGCCAGTGGTTGCAACGGCCACTCAATGACATAATAAATCGAGCTTCGTGGCAGTGAAATTTGGCTCTTCCGTCTCGTTCACTGCGAACCACAGCACTCAGACAAATACAATTCGCCGCCTTCAGAGCAGGTCAATCATGTTGCCATTCAATGAACTAACGTTAGGGTGCACCAAGTAGTGTTCTGTCGGATCTCTCGCAGAATAGGTCCAACATCCTCAGCTCCCCCCTTTCATGTCAGACCTCGGCGCCAGCGCCCAGTCGCCACACTTTCGTGCCACGAAGCACAAGTTGGCTGCCATTGCCCAGGTCTTCATCTCGCCGTTCTCCAGCCCGTCCAGAGTCACCCAGTTTGGATACCTCTCCGTCGTCATGTACATCCAGACCCATTTTCTGAACTCAACCATGCTCTGGCGTGCCATTGTAATCAGATCTTTGCCGGACATCCGAAGGAACGTCGATGGGCCCATCGAGAGAATCCACTGCAGGTCGAAAAGCTTGTCCTTTGGCTGGAGGCGCAGTCTCTTCAGTTGAGTAAGCTGGTTCCTCGTCATTTTGGCTATTTGATCGGTGTCTGCCCATTGCCCAGTGTAGGGGAACTTGCTTCGGGTTATCATGCCCTCTTTAGCGAACGGGATGCCCTTCTCTGACACGGCGTGCATCCAACCATCGGCAAAGATGACCAAAACTGCCGACTTTCCGTCTCCAATGAAGCGTTCAAGAGGAATTTGGGTATAGTCATCCACGCCTTCGGCAATTGCGGGCAGGTCCACGCGGTGCTTGAGGTTGCGCTTGAGCATGTCGAATACCTCCATCCTCTCCTGGTCATCCAGATCGCGCGTGATCGCCGTAGCAAGCGAGCTACTAACTCTCCCGTCGTGCACGAATGTCTCTTGGTGAAACTCCCAGATGATCAGCTCCCCAGGGTATTCTTCGTTGAAATGGTTGATGGCGTCTATGATATGAGGCAGGGTATCTCCTGCCATACCTTGCAAGCCAGCATCAGATTTGATTCCGTGAAACTCGGCGAACAACGCGTCAGGAAAAGAACTGTTGCGATGTGCTCGTGGATAAATCTTTGCCACGCGAGTGTCAAGAACACGAACGCCATCACGGCGCAGCTGCTCTGCCAGTGAGCGCGTCTGGGTAACTGCATATTTCTCGATCCCTAATACCCCGAGCCTGGTGCTATTGGCAACATTGAGTGCAGCGTGGTGTGAACGCGGGACGATGACCTCGCGTAACGACTTTTGTCCAATTTGCGGAAGCATGTTGTGCATCCAGCCAGCGTCCCCATCGGCTTTGTCCACACCAGTCGTCGAAATGAAGCCATCTGTCTCAGTGCCAGCCAAGAGGAAGGCCGTTCCGCCGTACGCCCCAGGGAGAGAAGGCGGCACAAACCATGTGTGCGAGTTGCCAATCATCGTGGTGGCGCCTTTTTTCGCTTGAGAAGACATGAGATCCCCGCGGAAGGTAATCTGCGCCTCCCACCGGTACTTCTGCTTGTTATGGCGGTATTTCAACTCGAAGGCCATTGGCGTCGATGTTCCCTCCAGATGATAGACAAGTTCCCCGGCGCTGTCAGTTGATCTGTCAAATAGGCCTTCACTAGGCTGGATGAGAAATTGGACTGCCTCGCCAGCCTTCACTGACAAGGGGGACTCTTGTTTCCAACCAACCATTTGATAGGAGTGTGAATAGTTACGCTGCCAATTATAAGGCGTTCCATTCATGAGAGTCAGGTAGGCGGTACTCAGGTGATCAGAATGTTTGCGGCGGGCAACGGGTGCGAGTATTCGGCTATTGGGAGCGAGTGACAATGCACCTGCATTCCCAGACGCTGTCAGTTGTGTCATTGTTCTTCTGTGTCAATTTCAACTCTGTATTTTGACTCACGAGTCCCTTCATTATTCCCGGCTGTCAAAGCCTGGCCGCTCATGGTGGTGGTGGCAAAGGGGTCTCGATTGTGTGAAGCCGTCGGTGCTGCATAGGCTGATATATCAATACTAGCGAGCGCAACGAAGAGCGCAGTGTAAAGATGCATAGCGGCTATCAATATCCAATATAGGTGATATAAGCATGTATTGGTGAAGTAGGTGTGCCACGCAGTCCTTCGCCTGGCAAGTCAGTTGAGACGCGTTTACGAGGAAGAGAGGATCTTGCATCTGACGGCAAGCTCTGGAATGGGTTTTAGGTTTCTAAAGTTACCGCATGTGATCTTACCGTGCCTTATCAATGGAAGGGAAAGTGCCAAGTAGATCCGACATGAGCTCTGTGGAAGCAAGAGTCAAATCACAGTTCAGGCGGTATTGCCACACTCCATGTAATTGTGATTGTGTCACAATTGAGCCGCGCCGGGGAGTTCCTTGCAATGCAGATGTGAAAAATCAAATGCTGCTTGTGTTATTGATATTCACCAGCACGACGGCTATGCTCCTCCTGATATAATGTCACCCGCAATTCAATGCAACGTTTAGGCATAATGCCTGGGGTGTGTCGCGCCTCTTAGTCGGTATTATCAATCTGCATGTCCCCCGTCATCAGATCTTCATCGTCCTCCAGGTTTTCCTCGAAATCGCCCATCGGATTCTCCTTCTCCTTCTCGGCCCGCTTCTTCTCCCTGGCCATGTGGCTCACGTACTCGCGATTCGTGCTGAGGCGTTCGTTCACGAGCTTGTACTCTTCGGTCAGTGCAGTAATTGTGTGGTGTGATTGGGCAATTTCGCGCGCAAAGTCCGCTTCCGAAAGCAGAGCTCTGTCTTCCTGGAAAATGAGGTAGTCTTCCTCTCCACCCGTTCCTCTTCGCAGCTCAGCCTTGAGCGATCCTGAAGCAATCATCGACTCCAGTAACGCTATCACGTCCCCTGCGTTCAAGCTCATCAATGCGCTCGTTATCTCCTGCTGGATCTGCGAGATCGGGAGCCGTGAGTATACATGGCGGAGTTTGACGATAAGCCAGCGCTGATAGGCGTCGACCACCTCAGCAACCAGTGATTGTGTGCCGTCCTCTTCCCAGGTTGCAGCATTGGTAGACACAGTGCTCGTGAGAGGTTCCGACGTTCCAGCGAGGAAGGACTCGGTGAGGTTGATGTAAGCAGTGCACAGTCGAGGAAACGAATGCTTCGTCCAGGTCAACGTGTAGTTTGGCAACGTAGGAGCCACGCCATCTGCTAGCAACCCGACCAAGAGCCACCTTTTGTATGCCGCCAAAGAGATTCTGCTAACCCCATGATCTTTCCCGGGGTACGTTACGGCGCGCTCAAAGGATTTGCGCGCCTTGGTCCAATTTCGTCTCGTGGTGTATAGGAGTCCGCTCACATAGTAGTACTCGAGCACATGAGCCGGTTCAACGTCGTCGGTCAGGCCAGTAGACTTCGTTATGTAATATGGTGATGGCAACGCGGCGTCGCAGAGTAGTCGGCCGTGGCGCATAGTGGGCGCGCCAGGGAAGAATGTGAGATCGCGGTCGATAATGGGTAGGACAGCTTCGACGCAGTCCTCGGCGAGAGCTAGCTTGGCGACGGGCAGATACGCCGAAGTGTAAACGGAACCACTGGGATCTAGACGGGAGATAGCCGCACTAGCGAGTTCGGCAGTGAGAAGTGGCTTGTTCTATTAGCTGAGATTCGGCCGCGAGACAGATACAGCTCCTTACCGAGAAGAACTTCCCGGTGCACACCTCTTCCAATATTGAGCGGAAGAGCGAGCCGACGTAACGGACTTGAAGAACATCGAAGCGCGAAAGAAGGTTGAAGAGGACTTGGTGTACCGCTGCTGGCTCAATCGCCGTGGAATCCTTGGACCGTAGAGCATCCGTCAGAATCGAAGCAACGAGGCAACAGCCGATAGTGTTTGTCGTGGGATCAGCGATCTACATTCGATTAGCACATAGACTATCGATGCTTGTGCTTTCAATGCAGACCTCTATGGCTCTGGCATGGTTCGAGAGCACTGCTTTCTTGAGTTCAGCCTTGTTCAGGTTCAGGTCCCTGATATATTCTTTGGCCGCATGATCGAGCTGTTGGTCTTCGATGTGGAGCTCCCGAGGTGGAGGAAAGCTCGCGAGGAGGTTGAAATCTTGCTTCATATTGACGCAGGCCCGTCAAAGGGCGCCTTCGCACTCGCACAGAGGTGTGATCGAGCTATCGGGTGGCAGATATCGTACCGAAGTGGTGTTGTGACGTGCTTGACTGTCGATCGCAGAGTAAGGTGTTGCAGCGGCTCGGAGGACGTCGACGCGAGTGTATCAACGCGAAGTGTGGAAAGACTTTGGATTAATCAGAGACTAAGTAATCACGAAGTTCGTCAGGTCGTCAGGCTTGTGCAGCAGCGTACAAAGTGATGAGCCTCGAACGGCACGGTGAGGCAAGCTCGCGTCGCGCCATTGTTTAGCCGAAGGCAGCACTGATGAAGTACCTCCGGCTTCCCCGCCATCGACGTCGCGGGGTCACCGAGCGCTCACCGAGGCTGACTTACCCTACACCCCCCGCCACAAGCTCGGTGTTGAGGTTAAAAATAGCACAACAAATGGTTCGTTGTTTCCAAGACTATCAGTGCTGAGAGGGATCAATTGAAACTTGAGTGTGTCTTCAAAATGAGTTCAATTTCTTCCGTTGTATGGCGACGGAACTCATCCTCGCAACTATTGCGCTTCCGAATGCACAAGTAAACAAACCCCTGGGAACAGGAAAATAAACGAAGCGTGCATTTGAACACGAAATTTCCTTCAGGACAAAAAGTTTTTGAAAACTCAGCAACATCTTTCTTTTTCAAAGTTTGTGTGAATTGATACGAAAATATCTCTATGATGCCAGTCCACGGCAAAAACTTGTCTCCTTTTCTATTCACCTCATCACATCAAGCTCTGAAGTCCAACTCAAGTCACCCAAGATCCTCTGCTGGGCCTGGGCGGCTGAATGGGACCTCGAGGAAAATGCGCAAACGGCTCTCTCGCTCCGGCCAATCGCGCGACCCGGGTGAGCCGGGTGAGCCTCCACCCGCTGTAACCCACCTACATGCTAACTTACTCCGAGCTAGGCATCCACGCATCGAAAGCTGCAACCACTTGAAGTCGAATTACGTGGGCAGCACGAACAAACGCGTGACGTGTAGCAATTTATCGAAACAAAACATTCGGCATCCTAATCCAGAAGGGGCGGCATTTCGCTGGCATTCTCCTCCACCTAACACAGCCTGTAATGTCTGTGTTGCTGTCCGCGTCCTGCTTCTGATTCCTCGAAAATAGGTTACGTGCTATGGGGAGGCTTCCCTATCTTTATCCCGTATTACGTGACTTATTATACCGTTTCTATCTATTGTTTTCTTCTTCCTCTCTTACTCTTACTATCTGTTACGACCCAATATGCGGCCACTGACGTATGTCACGTGGGCCCCATAATTTCGTCGTACGAACCTATTCACATTCTTTATACAGTAAAGTATGAAGCGGCATACCGGCCGCCTAAACAAGCGACATTCGTACGAATATCGTTCGCACGAATGCCGGTCGCACGAATCCCTATTCGTACGACTAAGGCCCTACTATTTCACACTAATTACCTTAGATTATCTATAAAATACTATAATCCGGATTATCGCACTTATCTTATAAGCCTTATAATCCACGGGTACTATTTACTTTATATAATAATCCCCTTAGTATATAGGAAGCCTAGCTTTACTATAGTTAGTCTCTACTAGCTCCTTAGCTATTAATATAATTATCTACGTAAGATCTACTATCTCGTATATAGACTATAACCCGACCGCTTAAGTTAACGATATCCTAGTATACTTAGTTTATAAACCGACTTTAGATCTACCTACCCTATAGCTAGTCTAACCCGAACGTTATATATTAATAGCTCTTATTTAGTATATTACTATATCGAGTACTCGAGTAATACGATACTATAGCTAGCGAATCCTCTAAGATAACCCCTAAGTCTATTAATAAGGGCAAGGCTATGGCTAAGTATACCAAGCCCTCCTAGACGGCTTAAACTATAGACTTAGACTCGGACGAGTCCGACGATAAGGATATAAAGATCCTTAAGGGGTAGATCTAAGAGTTATAAGGGTAGCTATAGTAAGTCCTCGATATATAGGCCCGTGATAAGTAGTAGTATAACGAAGCCTACTGTTACGACCTAGTCCCTCGTAACCCCCTATAAGCAGCTATTACGCCTGTATTGATCGCTCGTCATTCGATTAATGCCTGATCTTTTGCCTATGGCGCAACGGTTAGGCGTAACCATTACACCTACCGTTCCTTCCACGAAGGAATAACCTTATAATAGTAGCAGGCCGCCTAGCTAAGAAACGAGATAAATAACGTGAGCAATAATACTATTCGATAAGCCACCGGCAAGGACCTAAGAGAGATTATAAAGCCACGCTAACTAGGACTATTCGATAGTACGACTAAGGACCTTTAAGGGTTCCTAACTTAGGTTAGAGCTTATTAATAGTATTTCCCGTCTATCCTTCGTACGGAAGAAGATAAAATACGTTACGTAGTAGGATATTTATTAGGAGCCGCTCTCGTATAGTTCGAACCCACTCTTAGGGACTTCGTAACTAATACTTACTAATACCGAAAATAAAAGACGAAAGATATCTTCGCGTACTATAATAACTTTAAAGAAATATTAAAAGCGACCTTCGGGATTATTAATAAAGAACGCCTAGCCGAGAACTAGCTAGAGGCGTTAAAATAAAAAAGGTTAGCCTCGGATTATAGCGCCTTATTTACTTAGATCGCGTCTAGGACTACTAAGAGTAAAGGAGATAAGATAGCCTCCTTCTACCGAGGCCTTAAAGACGAGGTTAAGGACGAGCTATATAAGGAAGACCGACCCGCTACTCTCGCGAGTTATATCGCGATAGTTATTAAGA